CCTAAACAAAATCGAGACTAGTCACTAAAGACAATACTGTTCCATTCCTGATCCCAGAGTGACCGTTGTCTGCACCACTCAAGGCGATTACGTCGGTGTTCTCGAGTTAAAGGGAGGACCCAGTGTGGCCGGTATGAAAACAAGCCAAAACTTCTCATTCGTCGGTAAACACTTCGCATGCCAATAGGTCTTCCGTGTTCTGCAAACCATTCATTTGCAGTGGACCTGGTAGTGGAGAAACGGTCCCTTAAGGCAAATAATCTTAGGCGGCGATTTTCACGGTCTGTTGTTCTACGGCGGCGTCCAGTGCCCCTTGCTCTTTGCGTACGGCCTTCTCGAAGCCATGCCTGACAACACGTAACCACAGTGTCTACACTTCTTTGCACCCTAACTGCAATTGCCCGAAAAGAAAGTCCAGCTTCCCGAAGTCCCACTATACGGCCCCTATCAAACTCACTAAGTTGACGAAATCGTACAGGTCTCCGTACTCTAGGCATCGTAACCGATCGTAAAGGATGTCAAGAACCAAAATCCACCAACGTTGATTCTTTACTGCGGCTGAAATATTCATTTTTAGAGCGTTAGTGAATTAAAAAAAAGCAGTATAAAAACCGGAATGTCCAACTGATAAGGCTGAAAATTTTTTCACTTGTTATTTACAGTAAGATAAATACATTCACCAACTTTTATTAAAATAAAACCATTTAAACTGGGTGTTCGGATTTATATGTCACTTAGTATATTTTTAAGTATTTGTAAAATGAGCTGGAGACGTCATGATCGAAACGCAAAATCGAATATTTTGTAATATATAGTGTCAGTAGTGATCAAAAGTTATCGTTATAGCTACGCGACTCAGGTTATATAAGTACCCGCCTAATAGTAACCCACTTGTCAAGCATACGATGTACTAACTATATTAGTACACATTAATACATTTTACTATTAATGCTAGATATTGAATTAAAATGTAAAGAGCGTTTGTGTACAATGTTATTATAGTAATCCACATTGCTAAAGGTATAAAAGAAATAAAAATAAGATTACAAGCAAGAATCATTCATAGTAAAGTTGTTAAACGTAAACCGTGTATCTGGCGTTGAAAATCGAAAGTTCATGGTCGATATAATGATCCACTTTCTCTAATATAGATCACGATTCACTGGTGAGTACGATTATTCAAAAGCCGGCATTTTTTTCAACGATGAGATAATAACGGTCTATCGTGTATTTTAAAGAGTAGGTACTGGGAAACATAACCATTAATTTAAATTCATGTACACGGCCATAAGCGTGCTGCAGTTGGAATAAAGGAAATGCCTCTTGTTGTATTTATAAGACAAGTATGACTCAAAAAATAATAGCTAGTTCCTTCTAGAAAATTCAAGATAAAGCATTACGGATATTTCCTACAGTCCAAACAAAAAGGTCGATTAAAGCCCATTCCATTTTAAACGGTGTGACTTTATAAAGTCATTTTTGGGGTATTTTATGTGGAAACCTTTTTGAATGTCAAAAACCATATTCCTTTAACACCTAACTTCCTAAACGGAATGTGATATTTATTGACCGTGAAATCAAAATTTCAGTAATTATTGATGTGCAAGGTCGTAGAAATTAGCTGATACTGACGGGATGATCAGTAAATACTGATTGTGCGTGACTCGTAATTTCTCGTACAAAGATCTCTGACTTGGCGCCCCGATGCTTCTTGGTACAACAGATGGTCTGGAATTTCGAATGGTTAATTTTGATCAGCCACCGACCTGCTACTACTTCTTACCCATGTCTTCATAGACAAATCATTAGAACAAGACTGGACCACCAGTACAATGTCATCAGCATGGAGATAGACCACACGCTGCTACAAACTATTCTTACCTCTGAGAATGACGAATTGAAACACGGATAAATATTGCAACAGTATAATTGTGAGCAAAAGCTCACTGCTGCTGTATTTGCTGATGTCATACTTCTTAATTTCTTGACGAAATATTCACAGTGAAGCGGCCTGACAATGAGACTATAGATTCGTAAATTGTGAAAATAAGAGAAACTAAGTATGCCGTATTCTCTTTTCACGAGTAGCTCAGATTGTGCTGATGCGGTCATAAAATACACAGGTGCTACGGTAGTGTCATATGTGTTCACATACACCTTTCTCTTACATTTAATAATTATCTGGATTAAACGAGGAAAGCGGCGAGTAGCTTTTATGGTGTACAAACCATTTTTATGTTAGTACCTACAAATCATATGGGTACCTCTAGCTTCTAGAATACTTATATAACTCTGATACTCGAATGATATTTTAGATTACATATACCCCTGCATATGCCTCTGTATATGTGTGTAAGATATTAATAATCCGTATTAACATTTTATGAAAGTAAACATATTAAATTAGTTACAATACTTCCATGTTTAATAATATGGTCCGGAGTGATTTTTATGCAACCAAATTGACGATAGTTAATCATCAGGATCAGGAAATGATTACTAAAGATGTTTCGAGATTGTTGTCTTAGCTGTAACAACCCTTGGTGGGAATATACAAAAAATGCATTCCTATAGTTTCATACCACATGTAATCAATTAACGAGAAATGAGTTTGGACCGACTTGGAACTACTGATCAGACTTATAGCATACTTGTATATTAGAGATAGCTGTCACAATACCACACTATAGAATTGACATAAAAAAGCTGTTATTGCAACCAGTTTTCCACTACCGGTATTTTCATGTTCTCTCCTGAATACGAGGGTGGTCCCAGAAGTACCCGGCCTGACCTAGAGATGGCGATAGTTGTTTGAAAAGTATCATTGTATTAGAAAGTATGCAACCTATAAAGCATATGTGTCAAGTTTGAAGACGCCACGTTGTTTAGTATTTGTTTGGCAGCCATCAATACTGAACGTTTTCAGTGAATTTGTGAAAATGGAGAAAATTAGTCATCGTTATGTGGTACAATACTTTTATTTCAAAGGTCCCAGCCCAACCAATATAAAAGCTGAACTGGATTCTACTCTGGGTGAGTCTGCTCCTTCGTTTACAACAGTAACATATTGGGTAGCAGAGTTTAAAGTAGTCCGACCAAATGAGGTGACGACTCCAGAAGTGGTGAAGAAAATTCACAAAGCGATACTGAATGATCGTCGACCGAAAGTGCGCGAGCTAGCAGACATAGTAGGCATTTCAAAAAGTGCGGTTCATCGTATATTGTCTGAAAATTTGGACATGAGAAAGCTGTGTGGAAGATGGGTGCCGCGATTGCTCACAATCGAGCAAAACCAGTGTCGTGAAGATGTTTCAATTGAGTGTTTAGCGAAGTTTCACAGCAACAAAGCAAAATTTTTGCGTCGTTTCATAACCATGGATGAAACATGGGTCCATCACTTCACACCCGAGACAAAAGATCAATCAAAACAATGGACTCAAAAGGGACAACCGGCTCCAAAGAAGGCGAAGATCGTTTCATGTGCAGGCAAGGTTATGGAGTCGGTTTTTTGGAATGCGCGTAGGATAATTTTCATTGACTATCTTGAAAAAGGTAAAACTATCAACGGCGAGTGTTATGCGAACTTATTGCAACGTTTAAGCGATGAAATCAAGCAAAAACGGACGCATTTGGTTAAGAAGAAAATGTTGTTTCATCATGACAATGCACCAGCTCACAAATCCGTTACTGCAATTGCCAAAATTAACGAATTAAAGTTTGAATTGCTACCTCATGCATCCTGTTCACCATATTGAGCCCCCTCGGATTATTTTGTGCTTCCAAACTTGAAAAAATAGCTCAGTGGTCAAAGATTTTTAATGGCTATTTTGAGGAGCACGACAGTTCTTATTATAAAAAGAGTATCGAACTTATTGAACATCGCTAGGAAAAGTGTATAGAGCTCAAAGGAGATTATGTTGAAAAATGAATACATTTTTTTAAAAATTTTTTGTGTTTTCTTCGTTGGGTCGGGTACTTCTGGGACCACCATCGTACACATGCAGCTTTTTCGCTGTAGTCATGTGTGATTTCAAAACACAACGCCAGAAGTACAGTACAAGCAAAGTGAAACTCGGGGACTACTTGAAAGGCTTCCAGTTACGAGAAACTTGAAGCCAGTGTCAACTGTGGATCGAAAAGTCCATACGTTAATAGAAAGGTACTTCTGTGTACTAGAGCCCTTAAAAATTTGCCATAACAAATCCGTCTTAGATCGTTCATTCAGGTGGCTTGCGCTCTTTCAAGTACCTTCCTTTTACTTTATGCAACTCTGATCGATAATTTGCTAATTTGCTCCATCAGTCTAAGAACTTTTTCTAGTTCTTTGGTAGGCTGCTGTAGTGGTCTCTCCATCTCTTTCGTTTAACATGTCTGCTGTCTCAAGGGACGTTTTAGTGGTTACCTTATACTGACATTATGGTATTTCACCAAATACTGGGCACTATAGTATAGATAACCCAGACATCGACATTCAGAAAGGTCGATAGTATCGATAGATAAAAAAGAAAGAAGTGTATGTTATACAAGTAATCCGAAAACTGGGAAAAGCTTCATCATAAAGTAATATGGAAAGCGCCGACCAATATGAGCTGGAGTCGACCCAAAATTCTATGGATGAATAGGATAAACAATGCTCAAACGAATTCTTGACCCGAATTTAACTAGGGATGAGTTATTAAACTTTTACTAAGAAGAAGAATGAAAAATGCTTTATACACTATTTTTTGGGAATTTTTCTGGATTGGTCAATACTTCGAAAAAAAATTGAGAGTCTGTATAATTAAAAACAATCTATCTGTACCTCGGCAAACAGATATTTTATCATATGTACATTTTACTATATCTTACAAATATTGCCACTGTATTTCGAAATATGCTTTATAATTTTCACCGACAAGTTATTTTTTAAATAGGAAGAAACTGAGGCAAAGGTAACATAAATAAAATTTAAATAGTTGTAAAGCTTAAAAATTATTTTAACAAATGAGCCAATGACTTACCGAAAAGGGTTACAAGCAGCAAGTACACCACACTCCTCTTCATAGTAGATTAAAGGAAAATAACCGCGTACCGTTCAAACAAGTAGAACAATTGAAACCGTCAACGTCTATCAGAAGACTGAAGACTTCCCGAACAATCCTCCGGTTTTGAAACCGCCAATGGTCATTCTGGCTGGAAAGTGGCAGTACCACCACTACATGACGGTTGGAGACGGTACCCGGTGCCGTATGTGCAACTACCATCGATGAAGATGATGCCTGCATCTACCGGTGTCAAAGGAGGAATAGTACTGTGCATTTTTTGTGACGATTAGGTTTTATCACGGATAGATGGGCAAGAATTTTTACCGCATGATTTTCGAATTTGGGTTATGTGACACATACAACATAAAAACCGTTTTTGTCTCATTTTCCGTCAGTCCGTCTGCTCCTTGGAGAGTACCGCTCGTATTATATTATATAATCAGTCAAAAATTTGTAATCCTCAGATTTCATATAAATTAGTCAATACTGTTCGAATGATCAACTGTACCATATTTTTGAAAAACGAAAGCCAATAGGCTAAGAAACTCATATACAGCAATGACAACTTGAAATACAAAATCTGATTGGATTTTAGCATTATTTGTCTTATATAAGTGAGATGTCAAATTATATTAATATGTGATCCTTATATTTTTGTCAGATTATCCAGTAATATTAAAAAGTTTAATACTTTTCAAAAGCTTTTATGTCTAGTGATTCTTATATTCTTAATGCCACTATGTGGGAAGTCAGAACTCAACCTACATGACGTCATTTTTCCGTATTTATGATATACCTAGGGTATAAACCAGTTTTTTTATTTTAGGTGCAAATAGAATGAAACCGATGTAGTAGTAAGACAGCACAAAGTGCCATTTATTACTAGAAACAGCTAACCATAGTTTGACGTCTGTGGTCTAATGAACGAAAGCTATACTACTAGTTTGCTTATATATAAATAGGTTGACCCCTGCACTTCTTACACAAAGCTGTCAACAAATCAGAAAGGATTATATTCGGCACACGCTACTGCGTCTTGTAAGAGAGTTGGCTAAGAACATGTATACTAATGAAATTAAAGGGATTGTGTCAGTAAAACAGGCTAATACAATCAGTCCACAGTCCCCACAGATTTGACAACATTGCGATCTGGCCGACAGTACCGGTCCACCCAGCAACGTGGCAACTCTGCATAGCCTACACGAATAAACGAATCATCATTGTTATCCCTCGGCATTACAAGCAGACATACTTAAGCTCTTTGAGTTGTCTGACGCATATATCAAAAACATATATATCTCTATTATTCAATTTAAGAGAAAATATACGGAGAAATCTATGATGTATGAAATATGCCTAGTAGGTGCATAAAACTGCCAAGGTTGGAAACATATAGATTCCTTGCATCAAACATTGGCATATACTCTCCTCCACCCCCTTTAATCTTCAAAATCCAATTCTCAGCCTCTCCAAGTTTTTTTCTGAAAATAATCAGAATCCTCTCAAATATCAAAAAATCAAGTTTGAACGATTTTTTTTGTTTTTTTAGAATATGAACAGAAAAAATGTGTACTTATATTACCAATAATAAAGGCGGATGATAAAAAACTATTTCCCATATGTGATATTTCTAAAATGTAATATTCAACTTCTTTTGGATTGTAATAAAATGAAAATCGGTGATGCTTCGTATAGGCACAAAAATTTAGAAAACGAATACTGTGACTTCACACATATACACGTCATAGTATATCATATCAAGCTTCTTCCTTTGAAAGATTCTATCCGAAAATATAATAAAACATGGGACATTCGCTTCAAAAATTGGTATATTTTTGACAATCATTTTGCGTTAAACTGTGACAGCCTGCCAGTCCACCATTTTTAAGGTTATTAATTTTATATTGTATATTTATAAAGTACTGATGAGTAGCTTCAAAACGAGGTATCTCATCATGACCCCTGATCGCATATAACATTTAAGAGTTGGATTTTATCCTGCCGAGGGGGCGAATTGACAAGACTTTAAATAATAGGCGTAGGAGTTTTTTCTCTCGAAATAAAAATAGATGGGTCTGAACGAATTTCTTCCCAAATGCCGTTCATCAGAAATTGGTCGTGTTTCGTTTTCACAGGGCCACCCTGTATACTAGATTATTACACAGCCGGAACATCACAGGTAGTGTAAATGGCAACATTGACTCGGTGGTGCCCATCCAAGTGGTGTGGGATTTATTGCAGCAGCAGGTGGCTGGTTGTCTGGTGGTATTTTTCCCGTCAATGTCACAATCGATTTGATGAGATGGCAAGGAATACGTACCAAGTTTCAAATAAAATTGACAGAGTGTTTTCAACTTGGCTGGCGTACCCAGCCTGTTCTATCGATTCGATTGTGATACTGTGGTACAAAAAATACAGAACTGTACTCATTCAAGTTTGCAAACTCGTTCTATCTAAAAACAGACAGCCTTCCCCTGCGTCTTTAGCTCACACACCACCTAGATGGGTACCATCGAGAAAATGTTGCCATTTACATTGTCTTTGATATTCCGATTGCGTAATAATCTTGTGTATGTACATTTAATTGCAAATTTCCTCATTATGTGACTTTACAATGCAACTCCCAGCTTTTAGTTCTTAATATAGCCCTGAATGTATGTTCTTATTGATCTTGATAAAGTAATTGATTGATAAGATGACATTCTTCTACATCTACCACTAACTCTTAAATAGTAGGTTGTAAAACCATAAAATATCCAGCATTGTACTCCAAAGTGAACGAAAAATAGTGTCTCCAGCTCATACAAGATCGTTTGTTCAAATAACAACCCAACTAACAATTATCACTCCTATTAGAGTTGCAAGAATGATTATGCAGTATCCTTACACAGCATTGTATACTGTAAGAACATTGGTAAAACTCTCTTAGAACAGCTATACAAGTGGAATGGGCACACCTAATAGGACACTTCAGTCATTTAAGGGGTTGTATAGGGGTGCAGGTAACAGTTATACAACAAAAGTGTAAGACTCTTGCAGCCGCTATAGGACATTTGCGTCAGTGCAATATTCAGTTTTTGTCAACTATACAACTATTCTGTTACGTGATTCTACTTTATTGCAACCAAACTATTTCTTATGTATTATATAGACGAAGTGAAGAATATATAACTAACAGATTACAGTCATCTTGTTTACTTACATATCGGCCATTGTGAATTTCATACACAGCAAATTTTATTGTGATTATCGTGCAAAGTAGCTACGCAATTTCTACGGGCTTCGTATTTGATTCATATTTTAATAATGATCAAAAGTATGCTAAATTTTTAAGATGGAAAACTGAACTTATCTGTGTTAAATCTTCCACAAATCCTAGAATTAGACACAATTACACTAATGTTTATCACTTTATATCTCGAATATTTCGAACTGAAACATAATTATTTAATATTAAATAGAGGAATAAATGATTGCCCAATATGGCGGGTGGTTGTGTATAATCATGGCATCGACCATGTTGTCTTTAGTTTATTAGAATATTTTGGTGTTGGCTGCAGGTGTTATACAACAATTTGACAAATGTCTGAAATAAAATACCGACAGAGTCGAATGATTTACCCAGAATTTGTACCAGGTCTATATCTTCTGTTTGAACAGTTGATAAAACCTTTTGAACCAATATGCATGCGTTGTTTGTCTTAAAACATTGGTTATGGCATTTTAACTAAAAATATGACAGCAGAAAGTTAGGTTATGGTGAAGTGTGCCGAGCACAGCAATTGTATACTACAAAAGTTATAATATTGTTGCATATGTACAGCCTTTAACAGTTACTAAACAACAGTTGTATAAGTGCTTCCGTTGGGAGCAATTTGTTGGCTAAAGTAGTAAATTTGCACAGCATTACAACAAGGCTCGGGTTTGTTTTATAAAGGTTACCATGGATGCCACAACACAACCATTGCGACTGACGTGCAAATATGCCGTATAAAATAGATGTATAAACGTTTATGCAACAGTTAAAAATTTGTCCTATAAGGTGTTGTATAACTATGCTATAAGAATATTTTAAACACCACATTTTAAAGCAAATATGTTGCAGAAAGCAAATTTGCATCCCACACAACATTAAGCCAGCGTTTTGGTGTTCAGGCAACACCAATAGAGAGCTCTTATGGCTGAACGGTTCTTTTACCAAAAGCTTATAGCACTACTTTGCTAGTTGGGAATGGTTGGTCTTTAGGTTGAAGTTTTTCCAAGTGTGTAAACAAAGTTCAGAAATAAACAGGGTGTTGTTTTTTGAAAACAGTTCTTTCAAAGTTTAACTAGGTAATCTGTATACCTGTTATAAGAGGCTAAACCGTAGGTCATTTATAATAACCACAGTGACCTCTATCCACGGCTAAAATATCTCGCTTTCCCAATAGAATACCCTGTTTAAAAATTCGAGCTTGCATACCACGACTGTCCAACAACTAACAAACAGCAAATTCTGGCGGACCGCTCCGGCATTCAATAACTATTTTGCCCGACTTTATGACCCCATCCAACTGAAAGGATAAAAAACACTATAATGGAAAAATGATAGTAGGTATTCTTTTTTATTAGTTTCAATATCCTTTTAAGCATTTCTGCTACTCCACGTTTAAGTATTCCTGTGAGCAGTTAACGAATCGTCTATGATCACGCACGATTGATTTGTTTTTTTAACATTTAAGGCCGCGCAATGTTTGCGTTAACATTCTCAGGATACACCCAACTCACCTTTGATTCATCGGAATTTACATTTCAAAGATTGTAACTTAATCTAAAGGTATACACACTAACACAAATGATATGAAATAATATAAACTGTAATAAAATAAGCGATAGAATATACGAGTAAGCGTTTTTCTCTCGAAACCGAATGGTAGTAATCCCTTTATTTTCGACCAATTACATAATTCAGAGGTCAAGGACTAGACGGAAGGAACATTTTCGAAATTGTAGGTGCTTCCTAAACATAGACAGACTATTTTGATTATTTTGTCCTTACACAATTTTGTATTATGTAGGTTTTTCTACAAGATGTTAACTTAGCACTTAGTTGTACGTGTTGCCTAAACGTCATGAGGCTTGTTATCAATCTTTGGATCTGATGTGATGTAAAATTTGCTTCTGAGATGGCATTACTGGAGGTCCAAGCTGTAAGTTGTATGTATTGATGATAATTACAGGTACATTGGGTTCTTTTCTCAAATACACTTAATTGAGATTCAAAGCTCGAAATTTGTTGCACATCCACTTTTTCTTATCCATTCTGAAAATTACATATACAAATTTGCTGAATTTCAAAAATGAGAGAGATAAGAAACATTTATATTCACTGTACACTGTCGAATTACAAGCCTTATACATGCTAACAGTAATTACACACGACGCGGGCGCGGTGATGATTTCCCATAATGCTCCTTAGTTTTTCGTAATTTATAACCTCTCTTCAGAAAGCACAACATATAAATAACACGTCGGGCACAGCTAATAGATATACTTCATTGGCAGCATATTTAGTAATGACTTTCTCACCCAGCAAATATCACTGATTTTATACACATGCAGACAAATACACATAATCATCAAGATGAGATCTTGCTTTCAACCAACTTTCATCTCGTATATAAAAACTAGACAGGGACCACTTACAAAACATATGCAACCAATAATGCGTGTAGTTTAGTTGAGTGATTCCTCCATAGATGGACTTTCACCACGATCCTGGTGAGCAAACGTCGAATGACTGTTTGCACCCTAAAAACTACCTAGTCTGCAAGATGACATTTTATAGTTTTTTTTTTTACATTTTATAGGTTTCTTTCATGATACCCATGCCGGTTCCATTGCGAAGATACAGGATACACAAATTTTCGTAAAACATAGATAGGGTTGCTCAATCTACAAAATTATCAGATTACCCTCAGCTAGAGTGCAACAGTCCCATGTAATCGTCATCGGATGCAGAAATTTTTCAAGTACACTGAGGTTATTTCTTATTGTTGCATTATATGATATGGATGTTCATAACAAGATCATTGGTACCTATGAAAATCGTTGGATGGGTCAAGGAGACTTAAATCCACTAGATCATTCTCTATGCGACCAAATATCAGCTTACACTAGTCCGAGGGAAGCTGAGGGATATGATAAACCGAACAATGACTGTATGTATTTCAATAAATGACCCTAGTGTACTTGAAAGTGGTTAGTAAGCTGTTAGAAGACGACTAGATAATCCCCCATGTTGATCTGGCCAATGAAACCACATAAATTTGAAATTCTTGTTTAATGCAGTACACGTTTGGTCACAACGGTGACATTCTTTATTACTGTTGTTGGTTTTTTAAGCAAAATAGAGTGGTTTATTCGATCTTATACAATGTGAACTTGTTGTTGTTGATCTGCAGCAAACGTTAGATGACTCATGAGGCAGCATAACTTAACTATCAGTTCAAGGATTTGTTAGAACTTCGAAATGGACTGGACTTAATCATCAAAAGAGAAAGTAGTCCAAAAAATAACACTTATAGTTTGTAAGCTATCGTCAACCCGCCAACAATAACTTGGCCAAAATGTCAAGGCAATGCTTACAGAAATACGGGTCCATAAGTTTAAGTGATGAATGGGGTTTTCCTCGATAAGTACTGGGCTTTATTCAATTTTCACGTATTCGTGTCAATTTTCCACACCCTGTAAGTATCTCCACGTCGCAGATACAATATTTTCCGAACTGAAACGAATATACTTTTGTTGAGTACCGATAAAATAAGCAACATCAACAGTAGAGGAAAGTGCCTGAATATCGCACACTTTTTTTGGGAACCTGTATCTTGGAAGAGAAATAATTTTAAGCTGCGATTATAAGGTGAAAATGTAGCCTAATTATCAATAAAATACATCATGAATCAAAAATATATTTACCAAACAAAATCTCTTATTACATAAAAAAGGCATAAATCTTACAATTTTATTACATTTTAATACGGTTACGCAATATGGCATATGCAATATTGGGAAACTTTTCGGTGGACGGTATTAGGAATTAGGACCCTTATCCGGACAAATAGAAATCACAAACAAAATTCTTGTTTTTGTCCGAATTTGAGCATGCCTCGTCGCTCCATTTAAGATACTGGTAACATCTTATCCATTTTTCGCCGCTGGTATCCTCTGATAACAGTCCCAAACAAAACATCCATTCTGCGTCATTATCTTTATTTTCGGAACTGTAATCCATGTCAGAATAACCATCCGATTCCATATTTATATCCGACTCACTCGACTCACTATCATATCCTTCTTTTCGGCTTCTGTTACCTTTATTGGAATTTGTGTTGTTCGAAGAAGCAGGTTTCTCTGCCAAAGATTTCGTTTTTTTATTGGTTTCTTTGTCTTACCGCACTTAACTCTTGCAATATTTATGTCATTTTTCTTTGTTAAATTCTCTTTATTTGACGGACCAGCTCCGCATTCTAAGGATACTACTTTTTTTAGAGCCTTTTTTATTAATTTCTGCCACCTCCTTATATGGTGTACTGGTTATTAATTTTGCTGCCCTGTTCTGGGCTTATTATTTGAGACAGTTTTACATACTCCACTGACAGATGGTAGTGGAATTATGTTTTCAGGGCTTATGTAGACCCTGTGTGATGGAGTAATTTGTCCTGGATGAGGAGTGTTGTCATTCTCTGTTGAAGGTGGAGGTGTTGCTTCACGTTGTCTGTAAATGGCAAAGTCGTAATCATAAAAATAAACCGGTTGAAAGAAAAAATGTCTGTTTTCCTGAACTTTAAGTACGGTTTGCCCAATAATTTGCCTATCTGATAAACAGAAAAAGTTCTACCAACATGATTTTTAAGCCAGGTTTCAATCTCTTGAGAATAATAAGTTTTGAATGGACTCATAAATGCCAGATCCAGTTGTTGCATTTTATGGGTCGAATGGGGTGGTACACTGATAATTATCACACCATGTGTTCTAGCAAGCTCAATGAGGTCCAAGTTTCGCGTATGAGAGTAGTGTCCGCGAAGAATTAGTACGACTGGGTCGTCAACTGATGGCTTTGTGTGTTTAATGAAATGCCGTAGCCATTCAGTAAATAAACCTTGTTGAATCCACCCCGATGGATGGCATCCTGCTATGGTCCCCGGGTCCCCGGTGGCACACCGTCGAGAAGCTCTGCCTTCATGTTCTTCCTTGGAAAAATCAGCATCGGAGATACGAACCCTCCAGCAGCATCCATGCAAGTCACCATTGTGACAAACTAACCCCCCCTCAGCCGCAGTGATAGAACCGACCTGTCTTTTACCTTTCAGCGAGATTACCTTGGAATGTGGGAATTAAATAGTTTGGATGCTTTCAGATACGCCATTTTATTATTTGTAACAGCGTTTACTGCAACCAACATTGACTTCTTATCCCACTTTTTCCGATTGTTCCGAGAATTCATTTTATCTGGAATAAAAACAAATAGTTATATTTTTGTTCCTTGAAGGTCCCTAATATCATACACTGCGATACTCGTACTAGGACCCCTTGTTGTGCGATATTAGGTCATACGATACTTTTAGGTTAGAGTAATTAAAAGCAATATTTGAAATAAGTTATATTATTTTCAGAATGATATAAAATGAAGAACAGAGTTTATAAATAACAGGTACAGAGAAATAAAAATTTTTCACTTACCGCTCTTTCAAAAAAATCCACAAATATCAGACACTGTTAAAAACTCGTGTTCTACCAAATGCACGTTTCCCAGCTCTACTGCTATCTACTTTTTCTCAGAGCTACTGGGCTTAACGTGACATCTTTTGTCGGTGTCCCGGAACTAAAACCTCAGAATACTAAGGTCTAATCGTATTAGTAAAAGAAAAAGCGCATTGTGCGATAATGAACACCTGTGCGATATTTAGGCACTTTCCTCTACGTTACTGAAAAATATTATCTTGCTAAAAACTCATCACCTTCATCAGCAAAAGATTGCAGCTTTACTTATTTATCTGGGACTGCGTTTCACCTCCTGAGTCTTTTCAGTAGAATGTTTGCCAGGATGCTTGTCAGAATGAATGATGTTCCACTGCTGGTTCTCCTTATCGCTAGTATAGTTGAATCGATCATTTCACAAACCCCATTAATTACACAATCTGAATTTATCAGGAATCGATAAAACTGACGCATTCAAAAATAATAATGTTGGGCTTAATATAGTATTTGACTTTTATTTGAAAAGGAAGGAATGTAATGACCTACGACCTACCCAGAATACACAGACAGCTACCTTTGTAGAAGCGTTTTCAGCAACAAAAAAGTTTATTGGAAAACATGACTCGAGTGTTATTTTAAATAACCGATTCAGTTTAGTCTTCCATGAAAATTTCCCTAGATTGAGTCGTCACTGCTTTGGTCTTTCTCACGGTGAAATATTGATGGCACTCAAAACAGTTTCTTGCCAATGGATGCATCTGAGCTTTGCCACAAACGCTCAAAAGCCTTATCACCTTGAAGGATAGGGATTTACAGCCCAGGTACAATTTATGACCCACCAACTATTTATATTTTGACGATTCAGATAACCATAAAAGACTAGAAGACATAAAATGCAAACACGAATATATCACTGAGAATATAAACATGCATAACAGTAAATCAATGGACGTTTGTAAAGAAATTAAGTCCGACGCACTGGTTTCATCTAAAAAATTAAAGCTGTTTATCCCTGCATGGTGGTTTTGTCATATTATCGATATTGTTATTAACATGCAGTGAACAGTTTAATATTTTTAAGCGAAAACCGTGAATCGGATTAAAAAATCGGGCAATCAAATTTGCTTAGGAATGATTGAGGATTTCCAGAATAGTTGTTATTTTAAGAGATATCAGTGGCCCACCTTCTATGTCTACCAAAGTAGGCAGGTAAAATTCCGTACGAACGCCGGTTTAGAATATTAAAACATGTAGTACATTAAAACTGCCTTTTATAGCTAAAATATGTATACCAAATTTCATTAAAATATCGAATGTGGTAGTTACAGATATTAATTGACTTATTGTTGAGAACTTCACCACCATGTATATCTCAAAAGTTAAGGCGTTCAGGACATATGTTCATATGAAATTTGCTTCTTAAAATCGGCCAAAAAACGCCACCTCAAATATTAACATTCGATTAAGAGACACCAATATATAAATTGACTTCGTAAAATAATCTTTCTACTTTACACATGAAAATCATTTTTAATAAAAGTATAATAATTATGACCCTTATATTCCAACAACAAATTCCCATACCGTGGCAAAGTTCACAGATTTTTAACAGCTACGAGCTACAGTGAACATTACTTAAAGTAATTCTCTTGAAATCTACGAGAATTCCAATTTTTCAAAGCTGCTGCAAAAATTTCCAGATAAAACACCTAAATAGTCCTTTATCTGTCACATAAATGATTTTTTGTTATTCAATGACAAACCGTAAATAAATAAATAATTTTATGCACCCAGTTAAAAATATTACGAACATTTTTTAATCAAAACGAAACAAATGAAGTTATAAAATACAAAGTGACACATCATCTAACACCTTTGTTGCTAATTTGAAAGTAGCATTGTTTATATTATGTAACGAGACCTCTATGCGGATGGTGTGATGGCTACTTGCTGCTATACCATTTTAATGACTTCTGGGAAGCAGCACCGGTGTAATACACCGTTTTTCATGGCCTTCTCTTACGTGAGAATCAAAACAAGGTAAAATCGGCATTGTTCCTTCTCCTACACGATGTTTATCTAATAGGACCCCTGTCATACTCTTTATACATGTAGCGTCTAGAATTTTTTATGTTTTGCTGTTTTGTATGTTGCTTCTGTCGAGACGCAGCCTTTCAGTTGAATGCTAATGGTGTGACTGATTTTGATATACCTACCACGAACCAGGATTTGTTTGGTTTTCTAAGGACGATTCATGATGTTGATAGCCAGTATGAAGCTTTTTCGTCATTCGTCTTTATCATCTATTTATATTTTTGTATTCGACCTTGAAACGCTTCTGTCAAACCTTAATTAAAAATCGGCGGTTATCGAGATTTTCTAATAAAGGCATTGACACCTTAAGGGGAATGATTTGCAACTATTCTTTTTCATATTATAGAAGATCTCATTACCTACAGCAAAAGTGTCCATGAGCCCAAAGTTTTCTAGCAGATAGCTTCTTAGCTATATTGACGTTAAATTGTATGTTAATATAAAGTACTCGCTTAGTACAGTAATTATCAGGTGTTCTTATATCCTTGCGTTAAATACGTGAGGACTTAGAGGAGGTCTAATTGTATGATCCTGAGATAAAATTCTGTTTTGTTGATCTTTTTTTTATACCTATCATTGAGGCACCTGTAGTCTTCTTGTGGTGACGGTGGTAACAGTGTATATGTTTTGTGGTGATAATGGTCAGAATTATGATTTTGATCAGCTAAATCCCTGGATGCTAATACCGCCATCTTGGCAGAAATAAGTATTTAAAAATTTAATCCCGAACGAAAGTATTCTTTATCGCAAGCAAACACAATTTCGCTCAATCACTGATGAAATGTTGACGGATTTTCCTGTTTTGTCCGAAAAAGACGTTTATTTAGCTCTGGACGCTACCAAAAAAAGAAGCCGATGCATATTACGATGAACGCATACCTTCTGAAGGTATGTAAATTAAAATATAGTATCTACCAACACCGATGTAACTGACTTTGCTTCTGATAAGTTGACACTAGTGGATACATTATTCGTTAAAGAAAGAATTCAGTCTCGCCATTAATGAACCAAAATTCTATGTTTATGTAGATATTAGCAGAAAAAACTTAATTACAAGGTAAAGATTCAATCAAAGTTACTTATCTAATAACTATAATCTGATTTTCGGGTGTGTAAAGTATCACAATGTACAAATCACTCTATCATCTAATGATCTAGAGGACATACTTATAGGATTTGATCAACGAAATCGAATAGATTAGAAGGAACCAAGCATTGCATTGTTTTTCGAAATTTTTTGCGATCACAATACTTCTCCGGCCGTAGGCGAGGGACGTAAGAGCAAGAATCATATGAACCTTGATAATTCGAGTAAAAAACCTTAGTCAAAAATGTTTGAAAATTTTTCAAAGAGCCATCGCCGTAAGAATTATATTCTTGATTCTTCTTCTGTAAGATTCAAAATATCCCAGTTTTGTATGTATTGTAATGTTCGCAATAAACTTGAGAAACATTCGATGCTTATTGTATCCACCCGCCCCGAAAATATATTTTTTCGCGATTTTGACATTATATTTTCAATGTCCTGTATCTTGGGGTAAGGTGGCGTTTCAGCTGTAGATGTTATTTTGTGACTCTCTGCCTTAGAAATATTGCCACTGGTTTTTTAATCATACTGTACCAAGGTACCTATTTCTGATAATATTGTACTTTTGTATTGTGTATTGTATTTGTACTTGCACTTAGTACAAAATTAGTAAAATTTGATACTTGCTGGCCCGTTTCTGTTGATCCAACTGAACTACTATATGTTTAGCTACATCGCGATGAAAAAATAGCATCATGAACAAGTTCTTGAAATAAACAGTGACGTTCGACAAATTTGTTTTTTGATTTACACCGAAATTATTTTTTCATTGCTTTTGATCGGATGCTCACAGTTTTTAGCAATTTGAGACAATATTGTAGTAACTAGATTCAAACCTAGAAAATGGTAAAGGACATTTCTTGCCCGAGAGCTGAGAGAGATAAACATCACTTCTTTGCCTTCTTTTACAATGACACATGTTGGGCAGGTGTTCCATAGTTGACCTGCGTCAACAGAGATGAAGTTTGCGGCATGTCAAACGTCACTGTCAAATAGATGTCAAATACAAAATTGGAGTATCATCATCTTGCAAATCCAAAATAGCTGAATATTTTGGAAATATCCTTTGTTTAAAAACTGCTAGTTGTGATCCATTAAAGAGACTGAAAATGCCAAGCCAAGAAGTAACTACCACCAAGGTTGTTGTCCATCCCTTGGTGCTTTTAAGTGTGGTGGACCATTTTAACAGAATGGGTAAAATTGGTAACCAAAAACGAGTTGTAGGCGTTCTACTTGGCTGCTGGAGAGCCAAAGGAGTTCTGGACGTCTCTAATAGTTTTGCAGGTAACATAGAATCCTCTAGTTCACGGTGAAATGCTTTACTATGTGAAATGTTCGAATTTCAGTGCCTTTTGATGAAGATGACAAAGACAAGTCAGTGTGGTTTCTGGACCATGATTATTTGGAAAACATGTATGGTATGTTCAAAAAGGTGAATGCCAGAGAACGAGTAGTGGGATGGTATCATACAGGACCAAAACTACACCAAAATGATATAGCGATAAATGAATTGGTCAGAAGGTATTATGATACTCTTCTAAATACCTATGAACTTACTAGCCATTTGATGATCAATTCACATATATCACATTAAATACTGTGTACACATGCACCTATCTGAGTCATGACATATGCATGCAATTGACTCAGTCATGGATAATGTGAAAAACTGGTGATATAGCTTTTAGTTCATCCAACCACAGATGGTCAACCATCATCAGTTGTTTCTTGCTAATTAGTAACTACTCAGCATGATGTAGGCTTTCAAAAGATATTTGAATTCACAAAGCAGTTATCATAATTAATTTTTTATGTCTGCTCTTCATGACTGCTGTCCATTTTCTTTTAGGTACTGCCCAAACTCTGTCTTGGTGATCATTGATGCAAAACCCAAAGACTTGGGCCTACCTACTGAAGCATATCAAGCGGTAGAAGAAGTACATGATGATGGCTCGCCTACATCTAAGACATTTGAGCATGTGCCCAGTGAAATTGGAGCTGAAGAGGCAGAGGAAGTAGGAGTTGAGCATCTTCTTAGGGACATCAAGGACACCACAGTTGGCACACTGTCACAAAGAATCACCAATCAGCTACTTGGACTGAAAGGGTTACACTCACAGCTAAGGGAGATCAGAGATTATTTAATACAGGTATGGTGACAACTGTAAATTGGACTAAACTTTGTCTTAATCTCATTTCTGTCAAATCAACCACCAGCATCTGATCTTCAATTTCTTATACTTTTACTGGTTATCTGGCCATACATGCCTGGGCAACAGGTGATTAAAAGCAGTGACCAAGTTTTGATATAGGGTAAATAATGTTTGAACAGAAATTAGACAGAAGCCTCCCTTGCAATGCAAAATTTTCAATGGATTACATTAATTTTGGTTATATGAAACTGGTGAATGAAGCTTCATTCTCATCCATAATGAATAGTCAAAATGAGGCTGGATCTTTTTCCATTAGTTTAACTTTTATATCCAGTAACAGGGTATCCTAAAATATGTGTTTGATAACTAGAGCATAAAAAATCAAGTCAACTGTTTTTGTATAATGTTCTAATTTGCTTTAAAAAATAGTGACCCTAAGAAGTTTTTAAAAAATAGTGATATCCTTTGTAAACCTGAATCTTTATAAGTGAGCACTGTGGATTATTTTTATAGAAACCTGTCATGGCACCCATAAATTGACACATCTATTTGACTATTTTGATACATTTAGGATTTAGTTTCCTGAAGATTGTCAGTTTGACTGTATTACTAAATATTTAAGCATGTTGTAAAATATTATACTGTCAACATTTACTAAATATCAATCTGTTTTGAAAATCAGAACAAGATTGTAATTTGATAGGTATGTTTGATAAGAAGGAGGATCTTCCCAAGTAGATATGCCTTTGCCATCTGTCTATTTGACATTATTCGCTGAACAGTACTGAACCTTTCAAAATACTCCTTATTTTTGTTGTTTTCTTTTCATTATTATCCTATAATTGTTCTTTTTCTGTGGTTAATCAAAAATTATTATTATGACTAACTTAGACCAAACTCTCGACTTTGCTCATGTAAAGGTAGTGTAAAGTTTATTTGATTTGCATTAGTCTGAAGGAGATTGGTATCAGACAAAAAAATGCAATATTCAAAGCAGTACAATAATTATTATGGCCATGAACGTTTTTTATCAAACATTTTAATGGAACAATAAATTAATTTCATTATTTCACTTTTTATATCCTCTGCAAAAAGTAAGGAGTTTACTTGAGGATTTATTTGATCTTAAAATGACCTTGGTCAGGTTCATGGCAGGAACATACTTGAACTTGAAATTGTATGCATTTTGTATTTCAGGAATTAAAATTAATGTTTCTCTTTAAAGATTCGGTTGATCTCCAAATTACCTTGATGGTCATGTCATGGGCATACTTCATAAAGTTTCTTGCTCTTTTTGTTTCTGGTGTCAAACATATGGGTTTCCATTTAAGAAAACTTCCAATGAGCTTGAATGTCATAGTCAATGCCACGTTTAAAGCCACCATTAGATGGATCTTTTCATACCTTACCTAACTTTATTAGACAAAATTTTTCTTTATGAAACGTATTTTTCTAGATATATTCGAAACTAAGACAGACATTCCCATTTATGTATATAGATTATAATTATCATTTCAAAACAGCTCAACTGGTTGATCAAAGATACTATCAAGCTGACATTATTTGTAGGATTGGTACTAGGGTAACTCCCATATTTTTTGCAGGTCAGTGAAGAAAAACTTCCAATCAACCACCAAATTATCTACCAACTCCAAGATATCTTCAATCTACTACCAGACATCAACCAAGATAATTTCAACAAAGCTTTCTATGTGAAAAACAATGATCAAATGTTGGTAGTGTATTTGGCTGCAATGGTTAGATCCATAGTAGCATTGCACAACCTGATCAACAACAAGCTGACCAATAGGGATGCTGAGGAGGGCAAGAAGGAAGAGAAGAAAGAGAAAGATGCCAGAGATAAGGAGAAGGATTCGAAGAAGGATGGTGATAAGAAGGACGAGAAAAAAGATGAAAAAAAGAAATAAATTTTGTTTGAGATAGTGTGAGAGGTTGCATTGACTGATGTGAAGTTACAAACATAGTTCATCCATTTTTCATTACAATCTAAAATTGATAATGATAATTTATGTTTCAAGTACGAGATGGATGAATTTGAGACTCATTGTGTTTGAGCCTACATAAACTTTTTCAAATTATATTTTTATTTCCTCGAAATGCGGTTTCACTTGTCCCTTTGTCTTGGTTCCGAAAACAGGTTACTGCAAATACTAACAGAAATTATTATCTGACATTATCTTCTTTGAAGGTTCTTGTTTAGCACTTTGACATCTTTTTTGTGTTTTCCACGTCTATTATTCAGGGTAATTTGTCCAATTCCTTCTAGGCAGGCAGTATGGATTCCGGCACCAGCGACCCACAGGGGACCTCCGTCACTCAGTTGTGGAGTAAACTCATACAGTCTTATGGCGAGGCTTATGTCCTTGCTCTTGATATCACGAAAGCGTTCGATCAGCTGTGACACGCTGCCCTCTTATGCAAATTTCCATGGTATAGCCTCCCAGAAAAGCTTTGCAGATAGGTGGCTGACTTTCTCTCTGGCCGCAAGATATCCGTCGTAATTGATGGGTTCTCCTCTTCATCCCTCAACGTCAACCGGGTGTTCCCCAAGGATCGGTCTTTTCCCAGTTCTACTAACCTTAGGCAGTTCAAAAATCGGATTAACAAATTTTCTTTGGCGCGGCTGCTTCTGGATAAAAAAATGAGGACGTAATATGCGACCTAAAATGCAACGAATTCCACCTTATACAGGGTGGTCCATAAGTCCTTTGAAATTTCAAATTTGAATAAAATTTAACGGGTGAGCGTGAGCGGCGCGGGCGAGGTGGGGGCAGTATCTTCAGTGTCTGGGAATTCAGTCGCCATGGAGTGTTTCACTGGAGCGGATCGTGCCTTTTGTGTGCGCGCGTTTTATCAAAATAATGATTCGGCAACCATTGCGCGGCGTAAATATCGAGAATACCACAATTTACACAATTTTACAAAGTGTCCAACAGCTCAAACGATTAAGAACTGGGTTGCTAAGTTCGAAGAGACTGGTTCGACGTTAGATAAACAGCGGTGGGGTCGACCAAGGACAACTCGTATTGAAGAAAACATCAACATTGTGGCACAGTCTGTTCGTCAAAATCCTACCCAGTCTACTCGTAAGCGTTCCAGTGCACTAAACGTACCCAGAACATCTTTACAGCGGATTTTAAGGAAAGATTTACGTCTGCACGCTTACAAAATTCAGTTAGTGCAGGAATTAAAAGATAATGACGCTATTCAGAGACTAAACTTTGCGAATGAAATGTTGAATCGATTTTCTTCGCTCAATAATGTGTTGTTCTCGGACGAGGCTCACTTCCATTTAAACGGGCATGTAAATAAACAAAATTGCCGTTATTGGAGCCCCGAAAATCCAAGGCGTAAGCATCAGAAGCCCTAAAGTTACAGTTTGGGCTGCTATGTCAGCGCATGGCATCGTAGGCCCTTATTTTTTTGAGGACGACAGAGGTCGCGCATTAACTGTTACTTCGGAGCGGTATGTAGCAATGATAGAAGAGTTTTTGACACCAGCGTTACAGAATTTTCCAGGCTATAATACGCAGACCTGGTTTCAACAGGACGGAGCAGCTGCCCACACCTCCAACACTTCTATGCCCGTCGTCTGTCAACTTTTTCCCAGCAAAGTAATTTCTCGAAGAGGAGACATTTCCTGGCCACCACGTAGTCCAGATTTGACCCCAATGGACTTCTTTTTATGGGGCTACCTCAAGAGTAAAGTGTACGACACCACTCCGCGATCAGTTGATGTCCTGAAAGAAAATATCCGAAGAGAAATGGCAAGCATTACAGTGTTGACTTGCCGCGCAGTCATCGACAATTTTAGACGTCGTTTATATGAGTGCCGTGATCGTAATGGATTGCATTTAGACGATGTGATTTTTAAAACATAATTCCCATTCAATAAAGATGATAACAAAATATAATAATTCTTCATAATGTAACTAGTTTGGTTTTATTCCTTTTTTTCCAGCTCAAAGGACTTATGGGCCACCCTGTATATGAACAGGCGAAAATACTTTCCTAGTATATCGGTTTTTGTAGTTTTTCTACAATAACCTGAAATCTGACATTTCAGACAAATTAATGAAAAACTATGTGAGGTATGGGTGAGACTGCAATTGATTTTTAATGTTTGTACTCTAATTAAGTAAAGGTAACCATAAAAAATGCAAAGAACCTATGTAACATAAAATGGCAGTTATTCTAAACAACAGTATAGTTTCCTTAGAACAAATAATTTATGTCTAGCTCGAAAAATTGGCAAAAATTATATTTAAAATCAGTATGAGAGCTTTTGGTTCGTTACAAATAGATGGTCAAACCAACTTTGGTAAAATAATAATTTCTCAATTGCATGATAATGTTTATATAAATGTATTTATTTATCACAAATACATGTTTTAATTTCTGTATTGTATGACGTTTCGGCCACCATAGTGGCATTTTTCAAGTATAATGTGTTGATCTGTCCTCCAGGTGGTAGTTCGCTAATTTTTTCTATTCTTCATTTCTTTAAAGTGTGTTGCGACAATAGAAGCCAGCATTACAATTTTAAGGTGGTACCGTGTTAAACCAGAAAAAGGTCAATGTGGAGGCCGAAATATCGTATACTAATCAAAATTTAAAACATGTGGTTTGATTCGACCAGATAGGTGAGCCCTATATATACATTAAAACCGCAGGTTAAATTTGAGGAATTCAACTATTATATTTTGCATAGTTTTTCGCATCTTTAAGATTACATTCACTTAATTTGAGGTCAAGAGACGAAGAGCATTCACATTCTCGACCATATCTCTTAGAGTTTTTTTATTATACACGGTGTCCCATTTTAATCAGCCCACCTAAATATTTAGAAAACTGGTCATTCTCGAAAAAAATTTCAAACAACAATGACCTAGACTACGACATTCAAGGTCAACTGAGTATACTCAAAAGAAAACAAAAATTTCACGTCCGAACAAGGTCACACCAAGTCATCGAAAACAATTTGCTCTAATAAAATGTTCAACAGCATAGTGGTAAGGCGTGTTGGATCTTCACAGTCAAGTATAAATTTCCAAAGGACACCTCATTTTAATACTGCAAATGAAAAAAGCAGAAAAGTTTACATCCGAATGTTGGCTTGACTTTAAAGTCAAGGGAGGTCGCATTGGAACGCAAAATTTTGTGCTTTTTCCATTTCCAGTATAATTTGGACAAGTTACAAATTTTTATAGAGTAGGGTGGGGAGACAGAATAAAGGAAAGGGTCATAAGAAGTTAACTGTAAAAATCGGGTTTCGTTATTAATCACCGAAAATTTGGGGGACATTTGATGGAATGAAAATGGCGGACTTTTGTAACACGCATTCGCCTTTTTAATCTAGTTCACAGCTACCTCTCTTGTTTCTGCTGCTGAAATTTGGCAACGGTGCTCTTTGTTTACATTTTAAAAACTGTCAACTTATTTAGGTTATGACATTAAAAGCAGTTTAATTTAAGTTTCACAGTAGGTTTTTCACAATAACTGCACTAATGTTTTCTATCCTTCAATGACCGAAAGTACATCCAATTAAAACTGCATGTTTGTCACCGCCTTAGAAGACTTGATTTGTTATCGCCAAAGTATCCTGGCCTCGTTATCACATTTCTTGAGCTAAAGATCGCTGAAAATGGCACTCCGCCGTATATTCCATATCCATGATATCCGCCAATTCAGCTGCATAAGAAACTTCAAGACACAAAACGTTTATCTTTCTGAGGATAAGAAAACCGAGGCTGAGATTTTTAGCAGAGAAGGCGACGATGGCACATCCAAAACAATATCTGGCGACGTTTTTTCAAAAGACAGCGAAGTTTTTAATGCTATAGGAGCAACAGAGGAGCTTTTGAGTTATATAGGACTAGCAAGAGAATATGGACATGAAGCTGAGCATCAGTATACAGATAAACTGAAAAGGATACAAACTACGGTTATAGACATAAGCACAGCTATATCTCGCTCACCATCAAACAAAACTATAATACCTGAAGTGTACAAAAAGGAGCTAGAAGACTGGATACTTGAGTATGCCAAACAATTACCTCCTCCTGAGCAGTATGTCATTCCAGGTGGTGGAGTAGCAAGTGCTTCTTTACATGTGGCTAGAGCAATCTGTAGGAGAACAGAAAGAGCTGTTGTTCCATTAGTTTGTAATGGATCACTTGATAAGGAAGTTATTGCTTATTTGAATAGGCTATCTGACTTTCTTTTAATGGTATCCAGAATCGCAGCTAAACATGATAACAGAGCTGAAAGCATATACATTCCAAAGCCAGATCAAGAGGTCCAGCCTCAATAAAATTTCCTGTTATTGTTTGAAATGTATTTTACATAGATCTTTGTATTAATTTCTGTTAGACAATTAAAGTGAATATTTTTTTCCAAAAAATAAATGGAAATATATAATCTCTTAAACCCATCTTTAAAGAGTTTTATTCTGCCCAAGCTTATTTTTATCTATCCACACACCAAATGGATACAGCACTAGGCATTCTTTCATATTGAATATGTGTTCCATAAGTCATTACTTGCCATTCATCTGTAAGAAAATTGCATTTTCAGACACAAGAAAATTTGATTTTTGTCCATTCCCTCTCAGTGCAATACTTGCAATGTGACTGAGGTATGTTTTCCGAATATAAAACTTGCAACACTAAAATAATCCTGCGCTTCCTTAGGTTTTTTCCTTTATAGGCTTTTCCTTTGCCTGCTAGCTGACAAACTGAGGAATGAGAGATTTCTCCTGGCTCAAAAAAGCCAAATAATATTGAATGCTTAAGATAATACATTTATTCATGTTGTATATGCTCTTGATATCACAAAAGCATTCGATCAGCTGCGCATTCTGCCCTGTTATACAAACTTCCATTCTATAGTCTCCCAGAGAAGCTTTGCAGATGTGTAGCTGACTTTCTCCCTATCTCAAGATATCCGTCGTAATTGACGGATACTCTTCATCCGACAACGTCAACGCGGGCGGACTTTCCTCCGACACTGTTCCTCTGACATATCAACGACCTCCTTGTCTGTACGATCAACCCAATCCACAGCATTGCTTTTGACAGCACTCTACATGCAGGAATTCAGAGCGACAAACCGATGTCTGCCGGTAAGCTGGGAAAAAGAAGACTAGCAAGGACTCCCTCTCTGACGAGAGACCTGGAGGTTATCAATTCTTGGGGACGCAACAATCTTGTTCAGTCTAATGCTTCCAAAATACGGTACTGAACCTTTCGATGGATGGCCGAAAGCTAGGCTATTTGTTTAGGGCTTCGTACATCCAAAACTGGCTAATGCGACCGCTGCTTTTAGTGTGGATGCGGAAAAAAATTCGGGTTGTTATTTGGTTGTTGCAACGTCTAATCTTCCGAATTTTTGTTTATGTTGGCCGTTCCTGTTTTAAATTATAAAAGAATTTGTAGATTTGGCAAACCCTAACGGAGAACATTTTGAACATTTATTGAAATAAAAAGTGATATTTTCGTGTGTTTTTGTTTTCCATCTGAACAAATTAAGATAAATAGAAATTTCTCCAATTTTGTAGAAAACGAATTGACCGATTCAAAAATATCAAACGTCAACATGAAGGACTTCGAATATTTTGACGTGTCTCGGAGTATTTTCTTTTAATCAACGGTTTTCGATAAATCCGTGGTGGAAAGTTTTCAAGTGAACCCTGTGTATTGTCACATTTCAGATAATTTACGCAAAAATCGGATAAGTAATTCTAATAAACCTTGAACTCTGTCCACTGGTGAAAACTGATAGGCGTGGTGGCAAACTCCATTTTACAATAAAATAAAAAATAGTAATATGTAGTGATAATACAGGTGAAATGCAATACCGTTTTACTTCCCACGCCAGTGGTGAGGCAGTATTGTAATCCCGAAATTTTTTGAAAATGAGGTGTTGTACGCTAATACTTGGTCCTGCTATAGCTTGGAAAGTACTGGTTGGATTTTGGAGGTCCACTTGTAGTATGTACTTTTATCCTGACTACAGACAGATCTTGAAGACGAACAAATCGTATACCTACTTCTTCTATCTAGTCCGAATTCGTTGCGTTTTATTATTCAGAAATTTTTGATCCCGGTAGTATTCTCCACCTCTTACTCACAATATTGCAAACAATTCGCATAATATTAGTTCTGTGACTCCAACAAAACTAACTATACCCAGGAACGCGATATCATTTACCAGTGGAGGGTCAAATTTTCAAGATATTATGCACCATCCACAGTCAGAGTCAATTATTTCATTTAACAATTCAACTATATTCATTACCAGTTGTGAGTGCTTCAATGGACCGCGAGTAGTAAAGATACCAAAGTCCTTAATATGATTTTTTTAGTTCAACAATACTGTTTTCTCCTGATACTCATACTATGATCTATGTCAAGGTACAAGGGTTTTTCATAATCGCAAAATGAAACAGATACCACAGTATACTAAAGAGACTGTACTATGTAAATTCAAGCGTTTGTTTGCAACTCCTACTTCAATGGAATAAAAAAAATAAAAAGACCACACATTTTTATTTATAACTAAAAATATAAATGTTTAACATTATCTAGAAGACTGGGCGACTGCAAAACACTAACTCACTGTGAATGTAGTCAGTTCATCCAGATTTTATAGGATTTAATTTAGGTTCTACCTCACGCATTACAGTTTGAATCCTACTGAGTGCCACTGGAATCACCACTTCAGTATTGCAAAAAAAACATTATTTCGCGTCTCTGTCCTAATTTTACGCCACGGGTCATAACGCCCCGCTTTTAAAGTTGTAATGCCATATTTTTTCAACCAAGGCAGGTGTTATCCGTTGCGTATAACACCTCCCGTATATTATCGTTAAGAATGACAATGTCAGCCTAAAAACTATTCGGAAAATGCAATAAACATGTGCGACCTAAAAATTCCTCAGATTCCTCCTGGATTATCTAAAATAGCTATCAATTAATTAGTCGCTTATCAAACACACAGTCCGGCATGTGGGCGCGAAAATCCATAATGTAGTGAGGGAAAACAACGCTAGAGTGCTGACGCCTTATAGGCCAGTGAATAAGGAACACCAGGTACTGGTTCTGGATATTTGGCCTAATAAGGTGAGTATAATCTCTTAGCACTGGGGTATTACCATAAAATCTTTGAGAAAGAATCACAAAAAAAAGAAAAATAGCTACCTGCGGGTTGTGGTGCACAAGCCGCAATCTTCCCAACTATAGAGTTATAGCCCTTAACATTTGCATATTCAGCATAATTTTGAGTACAACATTGGAGATTTTTAGGACTGGGCCCTTTTGAAAGAAAGTTTGTAACCTTCGCTCCTTAATAATTTTTGATGACTTCTTCCCCGTGCGCCCAAAGAATTGATGTAATAGTTAGGTTGCAAACTCTCATTTCCTGTTCTTGGAAATGTTGAAGAAATATTCATAGATTTGTATACGCATTATATGCAATTCAAATATCGAAAACTTACACATATTACCTAATCTCATACATGTTCGAAATAGCAAAAGCTACATTTCAGGTGAAATAAAAAAATAACTATATTGATTTTCCAGCAAAAGCCATCGGAAATGGCTAAGAAATATTTTAAGTCTAATTTAAGTGGACTATACAGGGTGTTCCAGAATAAGCCGACAACCTCTCCGGGTGCTTATAAAATCCGTACATGATAGCGTCCATTTAAGAAATTTATTATCTCTTAGATCGTCAGGGTCAGACTACCACTGACGAAATAATACTCTGTATAATAATGAATAAAAAAATGATTCCTTTGGAAAGCCCAATTCTTTGACTTTAAAGATGTCTCGTTGATTGATTTCAATTCAATGAACCACTTCTGTTAAATAACGTTCACCGACGAAATCAGTGTAAACTTGTCAATACTCATTTTATCTAAATCAAACAAGAATGATTTTTTTTTTCAGCTAATGCATTAGGATTGGAGTATACAGAAAAAAATCATTCTTGAGCCATTGAGCCGTATTCATAAAAGAGGTGCATATTCTCGGAAGCATAAGGTTAAAGTATAAGGTCTTGCTTCGGAGAAAAAGGTAGAAGTATAAGCATATCCTTGTTTTCATATTCATAATGATTACCTTATACTCGCGAGGATATCATCCAAGAAGAAGTAAAAGGTTGACTGGTATTTGTATCTTGAGCGACATGTTCTTGTTTCAAGAAAATGGTAAATATTGATGTGTCTTGGTGTAGAAATTGCCTTACTAGACCTGAATCGCGAGGCATACGCCTTCTCCCCCTAGACGTATCCCACCCCTCGTCCTTCAATTGTTAGTATTTTCTCTCAGTAGCGATGTTTGAGTGCTGAAGCGAGCAGATGCGACCGCCCCTTCCATGCTCCTCTTCCATGTTTCATCGTTGATAACTCTCCTTCCGAAGACAAACATCTGCCTTAACATGAATGCTGTGACCATGGCTGCGACCCCCTTCAAACAGATTCCTAAACCCGCCCTTGTTTGGTGAAGCAATAGATTACGTGTTAACTTCCCCAACGTTTCTCTTTAAAAGCACTTTTATAATGTTTTGGTCAGTCGACACCGTGACAAGTCACTTACTGCCATGTTGGTTATCTTTCCACAGTTGAAATCTGCAGTCCCTCTAACAGTGCCCATCTCAGTGGGCTCATTGCTTATCAGGATCATTTTCTATTGAAATGCTTGTCACACATGGACCAAAAAGCAAATAACGTCAAAACAGTTCAACATATAAACTCGATAGTTTGTAAACGAAGCCTACTAACTTCACGTGTTTTATTGTTACGGGCATTCGTCAAACAAGCATATGCAAGTGGGCAAGGCTGCAGCATAGCGATCAACAAAAAGGGAAATGAAAATCTAAAAACTATTCACTACTGATCAAAACCACTGTACTATCACCGTCCCTATCGACACCGACGCGCGGCGCCCCACGCGTCGATTTTTCCTCGGATCCAGCTGGCAATCCACAATCTTGCATTTCCCACAGACCAAAAGCGAACACTTTTCAACTTCGTTCTACCAAAACCGTTCCAGATCCCACTATCCAGATGGTTATGTCCAGTCGCACGCTGTTTCCGCTTTTCGTGTTGACAATCGGCACCTTCGCTTTTGAGTTCAAGCATCACAATAATGAGGAGTTACTTCGTGTGCTGCAGGAGGTCAACTTGAGGTGTCCGAATATCAGCAGGATTTACACTTTGAGCGAGACTTCGGTATTGGGGGTTCCGCTCTATGTGATTGAGTTTGCCACTAGGCCTGGGCATCATGAGATATGTAAGTGTTCCTTCTGATCTGTAAAGCGTGACTTATCAGCGCGTCGTGTTTCGCTATAATTAGGAATGGCTACTGAAACTTTGTGTATTTAATGAGGTTGACTGAGAATTCTCTAATCAATGGACAAATTGGTTAATATGTATCTGCGTTGAAAAATACTACATGTATGGATGCCTACAATCTGAATATTAAAATCATTAAGACAATTAAGAACCTTATTGTCAGCGCTTTATGCAAAGTGTTGAATGAATGCATATCATCAAATATCTTCCCCGATTGCCTAAATATTTCTAGAGTAGTACCTATACATAAAAAGGGTCATGTGGAAGATGTTGACAACTATCGCCCCACTTCAATCGTGGTGAGATCTTTGAAACCATCCTAAATAAACAGGTACTGTCTTATTTCGAGACCAATAGTTTGCTTAGTGACAGTCAGTTTGGATCCAGGAACAGCAAATCTATAACACTGGCTGTAGTGCAAGCTGTGCAGTATGTGCAGAGTTGTTTCAGTGCTGGTAGGGTTGCAAGAGCAACAATTCATGACCTCATGAAAGCCTTTGATTCACATCCATTCTCGATTAATGTCTGGATCAGTACGGCTTTGATCATGGTAGCCTTGAACTTGTTACATCATACCTCAGTGACACAAAGCAGTACGTTGGCTACAGGGAAATTGTTCTGAGGTCATGGAGATATAGCACCGGGTCCCACTGGGTTCCGTTATAAATTCCACGCTTTTATAATAGGTATTCATAAATGAGCTGACCCTTTGTCATTCTCATAGTATTGTCCTCTATGCAGATGATACTACTACACTAGAGAGTGGTAACACTGCTGATGATTTGAACACTGTATATAATGATGCAGGGGAAATGTGCCTGAGATGGCATACTTTTTTTGGGTGCTATAATTTTTTTATTTATGGGCAAAAAAATATTTTTATGTCGGAAATATATAAATATGGAATAAATAAAGCAAAAAACTTAAAGGCTTTTCTATTACCAAACGACAAAATATATTTTTAAAAATTAACATGGTATGCCATCTCATGAAAGTAACTATTGATGAGGTAGCATAGTAATGATAAAAATATGAAACTAGCAACAAATTTCACATTTGAACATTTTTGTCTCTCTGTCTAACCCAGCACATTTTGTATGGGACCATTTTTTACAGATGTGACACTGGAACCATAATTCCCGTGATAACGATCAGAAGTAAAGTTCATTACAATAAATACAAGGCGACGAGTCCTCCTCATCTAGGTCATCTCCTACGTCAAAACTCTCCATCTGATCATCTTCATCCTCATCCTCCATAACATATTTCTTATTCATGGTTCTGTCCGAATTTCTTATCATCCTTTCTTTTTTTTGTACATCCTTCTCCTGCTCAATCTTTCTAACAATTTTCTTCTTAGCAGCTCTCGCCGCGATTCTCAACATCACTTCTTTCTTTTGTGCTTCCTCATTTTTCAATTTTTCAATTTCAGGGCTTGCTGTTAGATTACCATATGACCCTTTTTGGAAATGAGTTACTACACGCCCTGGGTTATTTTTAAGCCAATTAGTTAGTTGTTGATTGTAGTAAGCATTAAGAGGATCAAAAAAGCTAACATCCAACGACACCATATTGGATTTTTCCGTTCATCTGTTTCCAGGAGTACTAGACCTACACCGCACTGATAAGTTATTAATGAGCACGAAAGAACGCTGTCTACGGTTGGTCATGGTTATAGAGACGGAAAGGGAACAAGTCCATTTTACTAATTTTTTCATATCTTATCATACTGTTGGCAGCAATATTGCATTTTTATATTTGTCTTCAGTAAAGCCAGAGTTCAAGTACATAGCAAACATGCACGGTAATGAAGTGCTGGGGAGGGAACTACTTCTAAAGCTAGCGGACTACCTTTGTGAGGCATATACACAAAACGACCCTAAAATCAAAGCTCTTCTTCAAATGACGAGGATTCACCTGATGCCCAGCATGAATCCTGATGGCTGGCAATTGGCTACTGATACAGTAAGTGCAATTTATATACAGCATCATTCATACCTTACCTACTTTTATCAACATATTTTAAACATTAAAAGATAGTCTATAATTTAGACAATTCATATATTTGCACAATTTACTTCAGTCAAGAAATAAACTCGCGATCAAAAACAACACCAATAATAAGTGACATAGGAAACATTTTCGGGGCATGTGTTTGCTTAAAACAAAAAACGGTCAGCTTTTCAATCATATGGATAATGGTTTTTATGATATCATGTATTCTTACAAAAAAAACTAATTAAGCGGTAGTTGTATCTTGTAGCTTGGCAATTGACAATCGTAAAATACGTTGTGAAGAGCGGCATTAATGTGTTCATTATACGAGGAGGTAACCAAAAATAACCGGAATAGCATTGCAGTGCGCGGAACTTGTGTAGTACACATTTCTGCCTCTAGAGGCGTATAGCGCAAAGACCCGATTTGTGTCAGTCAGGAGACTGGTTCTTCCACCACGATAATGCACCTGCGCACACAGCCATCGTTCAACTGTTCGACAGTTTCTGGCTAAAAATGGCATGGTTCCGCTGCCTCACGCACCTTATTCGCCTGACCTGGCTCCGTGCGACTTTTTCTCATTTCCACGCATGAAAAGGGGCATGAAAGGACGCCGCTTTGACGACATTGCAGATGTCAAGAAAATAACGAGAGAGGGGCTGTCAGAAGAAGGAAAACTTCAAAAAATGTTTCGGGCAGTGGAAGCACCGGTGGGACAAGTGTATTAGTTGTAGTGGACAGCATTTTGAAGGAAATAAGGTTACTCTGTGAAAAAGTTCAAAATAAATAGCTTTTAAAAAATAATTCGGTTTTTTTGGGTACCTCCTCTGATCTAGAGTCAGAATACGAGAAAAATTTCAACAGCTTAGCGAGTTTGACAATGGGCGAATAGTGGGCTTGTGTGCGGAAGGTCAATTGCGGACCCATGGTTTCGAGAGCATGAAAAGTCTTGTTCTTCATTATCTTGGCCCATATTTTGTTCCTCCATATGAGAAACGTTGAAAATATGATATTTCAATGATTTTTTTACTTATTTTTACGTCTCAGGTCAACTGGCAAGATAGTATCGTCATCGAAAAGAATTTCGGCATTGGAATATTATGTTTCGGTTGTTGGATGAAGACATGAATTTTGATGACATTTTGACGCAAAACTATATCATGGCAAAACATTTTGTTTAGGTTTTGAGAATTGGCCCACTGGTGGCGAACCTATGAGCGAAAAACGAAACATTTCAAATTCGTCTGTAACACTTTTTTAATGTTTTTCTAGCATCTGTAAAAAATTAAGGTTGGGAATTTTCTGTACGTTTTTGATCATTTTAGGGGGTATTAAAGCTTATTAAGTTGTTACGAATGTAATTTTCGTAGTTTCCGAAGTTTTTTGATATCTTGTCTGTCTGATTAGGCATATTTTATTGGCCATCGTTATTAGGGTTGTCTTGGGCTCCAGGTGGCCTAGTGAAAGATGAGATTCTCAATTTTCGATGGAAACGCATGTTCACCACATTGTTGGAATTCTAGTCTTTTGCTTATTGGTTGAACCGTTTTGTAAACAATCAAGTAGATTTGTTGCCGTTGCCTGGATATCCCGATCTTCCACCCATTGAACACGCCTGGAATATTGTAGGAAGAATATTACTCCGTTAGTCCTATCCTCTATAGACTCCAGCGGTACTTCGGCACGAGGTACAAGTAACCTGGGGTGAGATACCTCAAGAGGAAACCGATCATATGTTTAGTAGTATGCCCAGACGTGTTCTTGAGTGCATAAGGCATCATGGAGGGGCAACAAATTATAAATTTACAGTTTTTTCTGCGGTTGGATTTTTCGAAAGTTTCGATCAATAGCAAATACACTGAAAGTATAGAGTCAATCTACTTGATGCAATTTTTTTAATTCGCAGGGTGGTCAAAGTTATCTGATTGGAAGGACAAACAACAATTCTGTTGACTTGAACAGGAATTTTCCAGATTTGGATAGAATTGTATTCAGAAATGAAGATAACGATGCTGTAACAAATAACAATCATCTCCTAGGACAAGTATCGCAACTATCCGACCCTGTAAGTAACAAAAGTTATTTGTGAGTAATGTTTATATTCATAAATTGGAAAAATGAGATGGACGTTTCTCGCGCTCCTCTATTAGACAATGTTGCAGTGATTGGTGTGAAAATTACCTTGCTAGACCTGAATTGTGGAGACGTGCGCCTCGTCACTCTAAAGTTGGTCTAAACACACTCACCACCCGCTCTTCAATTGTCACAAGAGCAGTCGCTATTAGAAGCACTACCTAGGTAACCATTTAGCAAGGCCATTCTTCAATTTTGAATCGCCGGAAAAGACCTCCCTCCCCACCCAAGATGGAAATCTTCCTAGGCACGAATCCTAAGACCACCATTGCATTCCTCCCAGACAAATCCCCAGATCCGCCACTAACTGAAACTACAAGATTAAGGGAAAACATAAGAAGAAGGAATAAACTCACCAAAACAGCATTCAAAACGAAATGTATGTTTTCTTCTCATCTTTCAATGAAGAGAAATCCATGTTTTCCTTTCCTTTAATGCCCATATTTCTTTCCGTTAATGCTAATAGTAGTCTTCCAGTTTTAATTAAGACTCTGACACTAGGATAATTCCATAGCTTCAATAATATTCTCTCAATGTACTTCGTATCTTTGCTCTGTAGCCGGCTCATTCCAAGAGCCTGAGTTGTGGAGCCACACACTTGTGCGACGTGGGCTTTTTTTTATTTCATAACACAATTTACTGTGACAAGGGAATTTGCTATTAGAAGCACTCATCTTGAATTTTCAATTGCCGGCAATAACTCTCCCCTGCCCTCGAGACGGAAATCATCCCGAACCTTAATCATTAGACCACTTCTGCGCTCCTAACCAGAAATATTTCCAAGTCCGCCACAAACGGACACTGCAAGACTGCATAACTGACTGACACCTTATAAAATGAAATGATTTTGAGCCAATTTTTAGCTTATTCTTTTATTGAGTATTAAACGTTATATGTGAGATATACCTGCCTCTAGAAGCCGCATAAACCAGAGCCCATGTTTTAACATCACTTTTACGAAAATTATTCATGTTCATATTCTACAACTGTTTAGATGTTTTGCAGATTAAGCTGTCGAACTGTCGGAGCCGCTAAATTTTACATCATGCGGTGAAAACACTCACCAGCGACAATAAGCAAATTACCGACACTATCTCAAAAAAAAAATAAGGGCTGATGACACAATACAAATAATTTCCTTAGAGCCACTCGCGACCGTTACCGCGATAAATGCAAGACTCTATTTATCAAAAATTGATGGAAAACGTAATCAAAAGGGATCAGACTTGCAGGGCTTTCAGATCTGTGTGTAATATTGTTTCTCATGCATAACTCCTAAATGTTGACAAATCTACGATGTTTCATTTCATGACCTACTCGAATACCTCGCCGTCCAGATCGACTTCCTGAACATCAATCACCCCGCTTCAGAGGTAGTTCTTCTCGGTGATTTCAATGCTCATAATGAGCTTTGGTTGGGCTCAAATAAGACCGATGCAGCAGGTCGTGCAGTCGAAGCGTTCGCTGTTACTCAAGGGCTGACCCAGCTGGTGACGAGCCCTACTTTTTTCCCCCGCGTCTCGTCACACGCCAGTAGCCTGCTGGATCTCTTTCTGACCACGCATCCTGTCCCTTACAGCACTGCTGTCCTGTCCCCCCTGGGTAACTCAGATCACGGTGTTGTGGAGGTTAGGTTTCGGTCAGAAGCCGCTGTGGCAGCAGAAACTCGTACAGGCCGCAAAACTTGGCATTACGGACATGCCGACTGGGAGGGGCTCAGAGACATCTTCTCTAGCTTTCTTTGGAGAGATGTCTGTTTCACTGACGCGGATGCGTCGACTGTCTGTTCTTCGATAACCGAAATTATCCACGTCGGAATGGAGGAATACATCCCTCACACAGTGAAAGTTCCTAAACCAGGGTCCAACGGCTGGTTCAACAAATCGTGTGACACTGCTCGACAGCAGAAGATCAAGGCACACAGAACCTACTTACAAAACCCCACTGTAGAGAACAGACAAGCCGACGTCGAGTCCAGAAACAAATATAACGAAGCGGTTCGCAATGCCAAAAACCAGGATGATATAAAAGTAAGGCACAGGGTAATGTCGCAGCGCAATGGCAGTCGGTCTTTCTGGACGCTGGCCAAGCAGATTGAAAAGAACTTCTCACACAGTAGCCTTCCACCACTTACGTGTCAGGATGGAACTATTGTATTCAACTCAAAGGCCAAGGCGGAAGTGCTAGCCAAGATCTTTGCTGCCAACTCCACCATGGACGTCCCCACCAACGCCCAAGTGCCGTCAATTCAAAGGGTTCCCCACACTATGCGGGAGGTAACATTCAGGCATAAGACCGTAAGACGAGTGCTCTTGTCGCTCGACATCAACAAAGCTTCTGGTCCGGACTTGATTCCTGCCATCGTACTGAAGAGATGTGCAGCGGAGCTTGCTCCAGTTCTTTCGCGTCTCTTCCAGATATCTTATGAATCCGGCACCTTCCCAGAAAACTGGAAATTTGCTCATGTACAGCCCATCCCAAAAAAAGGATCTAAGACCGACCCTTACAACTACAGGTCTATTGCTCTGCTTTCTGTTATAAGTAAAGTGATGGAGACGTGCATAAATCGCGAGCTTCTGGACTACCTGGAACGTCACAGCTTGATTAGCGACAGGCAGTACGGTTTCCGGCACCAAAGATCCACAGGGGACCTCCTAGCTTACGTCATGCAACTGTGGAGTAAACACATCCAGTCTCATGGTGAGGCTCATGTCGTTGCTCTTGACATCACGAAAGCGTTCGATCAGCTGTGGCACGCTGCTCTCTTAAGCAAACTTCCATCCTATGGCCTCCCAGAAAAGCTTTGCAGATGGGTGGCTGACTTTATCTCTGGCCGCAAGATATCCGTCGTAATTGACGGATTCTCCTCTTCATCCCACAACGTCAACGCGGGTGTTCCCCAGGGATCGGTCTTGGCTCCAACACTGTTTCTCTTACATATCAACGACCTCCTTTCCTGCACGATCAACCCAATCCACAGCTTCGCTGATGACAGCACTCTACATGCAGGAATTCAGAGTGACAAGCCGATCTCTGCCGCTGAGCTGGAAAAAAGAAGACTAGCGACGACTTCTTCTCTGACAAGAGACCTGGAGGCTATCACTGCTTGGGGACGCAACAATCTTGTACAGTTCAATGCTTCCAAAACACAGTACTGTACTTTGACGAACAAAAAGCGTCCTAGCGCTCATACAGTTTCGATGGACGGCCGAGTACTACCAAAGAGCCATTCATTTCGGCTGGTCGGAGTCCAGATCACCGAGGACCTGATCTGGCACGAACACATCTCTTGAATAGCTGCAGCTGCTGGGAAAAAGCTAGGCTATTTGTTTAGGGCTAAGAAGTACTTTTCTCCGCATGACCATCTCACTCTATACAAGGCCCAGATAAGGCCTAGCCTCGAGTATTGCTCACACATTTGGGGTGCTGCCGCCCCGACTACATTGTCCATGCTCGATGCTGTCCAGAGGAGGGCGGTCCAATTGATCGATGACTCTTCTCTAACAGACAGTCTCGGGACTCTTTCGCACCGGCGGGCCGTCGGCGATCTAGCTCTTTTCTATCGCTACACCAACGGGCTTTGCTCCTCAGAGCTTTCTTCCATGATGCCGCCGCGCGATGTGCCTGCCAGACAGACCCGCCTGACTTCGGCGTCCCATCCTGACCGTGTCAAACTTCGTACATCCAGAACTGGCCGATACGACCGCTCCTTTGTCCCGAGGGTATCTAGACTGTGGAACAATCTACGGGAGGAAGCTTTTCCCTGTTCTACTAACCTTAGGCAGTTTAAAAATCGTATTAACAAAATTTCTTTGGGATCATCATAGCAGCCGCGGTGTTCCGGCATTTAGGCTTCTGCCTGCGCGGCTGTTTCGATATAAAAAAAAAAAATTTGAGAATACCTAAGAAGCAGATCACTCAGTTATACATTGACCTTTGCTGCTGTCACATTAATTTCAGCTTCAACCTGAAACAAGGGCAGTGATGAGATTTATAATGCAGATTCCGTTTGTTCTATCTGCAAACTTACATGGTGGCGATTTAGTAGCTAATTATCCTTATGACGAAAGTAGGAGCGGTAGGCAGAAAAATGAGTATACCTCCACTCCAGATGATGGCACATTCAGGTAAAAACCGCATGTATACTCCATGTTTAATAGAAATGAGGAAAATAACATTCCTACATTATATGTTATTATATATACGCAAAAAAAGTGATCTTGGTTCAAGAACAACTATATTCAATTGAGGACCGTGACTTCCGTATGTTTCTAAGGTATATATATATAAGGTATTGAATTAAGGTCAATTTCTCAATTGTAAGTGCTACGTTTCTTTAAAACAATGAAATTACCTCATTCAAAGTATCTGAGATCTCGAATCAATATCATAATTTCATAAAAACTCATGCTTTTAATTCAATAGCACCCTTTTTGTTTGTATTCAGTTGAATAAAATAAAGCAATAGAAAATTGGAAAACCTAGTATCTGTGGAAAAAAAACGCCACGACCTGACGACTCCAGCCGTATTGATGCTTGACATAATGTCAAAAACCTTATATTTTTTTCTGTAATTTGTTCTACTTTCGTACTTTTCGCTAATTCAATTATTGTTTATATTTTACATCCATTAAATGATTCTTTATTTTTCAATTAATTTGGTCTTATGGTATGCTTATCTATTATTGTCCTGTAATTGGGAGACTGTTGGGAAATAAAGATTATTATTATTATTAATGGTGCGTTATAGGTATTTGGCTCTGTCGTATTCAACAAAACACGCAGACATGGCGAATCCGAATAGGAAGGGTTGCGGTGATATCGATAGCAACAAGTTTGCAAAACAAGGTGGCATCACTAATGGAGCTAAGTGGTATAGTTTGCAAGGAGGTAAACATTTCAAAAAAACTTATTATACTCGTATGTGTGGGGTTGCTCAAAAATCACTCTACAAAGAAATTGAAACACCCGCGGGTGCAGAGAGTGCAGCATAAGCAATTCATATACAAAATTTCCGGAATTTAATTAATCCAGGATATAGATGAATCTACTAAACAATATTATCTTCACCATGGTGTTTTTCGAAAAATCTGTCATACATATTTGATGAGGTATTTGATTGGTTGAAATGTTTCGAGTAATTAAAAAATGATCTTATACCTAACATTTGTTCTAATAAAACACAAGTTTGTTACTTAAAATGAGTGTGCTACGTTTCTAGTCACTACAGTTTTTATCTAAGCATTTCACATCAAAGTCATTTTTGAGATAACCCCTATTCAAAGTATTCGATGTCCTACAGAATTGTGACCTAAACTACATTTCTTTTATAGGCATGCAAGATTTCAATTATCTCTCCACAAACGATTTCGAACTAACACTTGAACTAGGTTGTGATAAGTATCCTTCCGAAAATGCTCTTGAGAACGAATGGCACCGAAATAAGGAAGCATTGCTCAATTTTATATGGCAGGTAATTTTTTGTATGTAATTAAATATTTGGTGGAAATCATATCGGTCTGATTGCAGTCTCATATCGGTATAAAAGGAATTGTCTACGATAGTATCACCCAACAGGGTATACCCAATGCTGTGATTCATGTGAAAAATATGACCAACGGAAAATCGAGTGACATCAAACATGACATAACTTCAGGTTAGTAAATCATAGATATTGCATTTTTTCTATGCTCCAAATTTAAACGTTGTGAAAATACAGTCCCTCATCTCTAAAGGTATCGGCTTTGTAAAACCATGGTTATAAACATATTTTTGTAAATATTTCACACTCTTATATCGACAACTTTTATGACTGGTGATAAAACTCCGTAATTCAATCTAGATTAATAAAACATCGTTAATTGACACGTGTATTGGTATTTTAAAAGGCATATGATCACCTTATGGTCTGTAACGTTATCATAAGCTGCCACTATATGACCAGTATGACGGAGTTTTATTTGTACTAAACGTTTGTGAAAATGGAATCTAGAATAATGCTGCACATGGCACATGTTATCATCATAAATCCTTCAATAATTTAATAGGCATTCTGAAGACGTAATATACGAGGCGTGTTTTTTATGTCTCTAAATGAAACAATTTAGGCAACCGAGAGAATATTAATTGTTTTTCGCCTTTAAACTCGATACATTTTTGCATCCCATCAAACCAATCTGTGAAGCATTAATTCTACTCTGAAGTTGGCATATTTACAATAGCCTCTGTATAAGCTTCTATCACTTCCTCTGGAGACTGAAAACGCTGCCCACGCAATTTGTTCTTAATTTTGGGGAAAGTATAAAAGTCGTTGGGGCTTAAGTCAGGTGAAAATGGTGGGTAATCTACGACATTCTCAGAGTCCAAAAATTCAACTGTGCCACAAGTAGTGTAGGAGTGTGCGGTTGACTTATCGTGATGAAGAAGGATTCGGCGCCGGTTCTTATTTGTTTTTCGCAGTTCGGTAATAACGCGAGGTAAGGAAATGGTTGTATACCAATCTGCATTGACCGATCGACGATCCTCAAGGGCAATTATGGCAACATGCCCAGTACGTTCGCGTTTAAAATGTGCATACCAGCGACACACTGCTGTTTTTGATGGAGGTTCATTCCCGAACACAAAATTAAGTTCAGCCATAAAAGCTTGTTGCTTTAATTTACGCTTGAAATTGTAAGAAAATTATTGCACGTAATTTTCTTGCGTCAAATCCATTTTTAACCGAACTTGGAAACTTTCAACTCTCACTGGAATCGAATGAATTCTCGCATCAATTCGGAACAAACAACCTAACCTCAAAAATATATGGTCTGTCAAATGACGCTATAAACCATTGACTAACAGGCTCACTTTGATCAAGTCCCACTTCATAAGAGACACACCTCGTAGAATACTACCTAGTGAGAGCAGTACGATACGATATATACAGGATGGCGCATCGAAAACGAAACAGACGCATTTACTGGCAGCTCAGTTTTTTTTTGGAAAAACGCTCAGACTCGTCGATTTTGTTTTCGAGGGGGACACATGTTTGGCAAAAAATCACGTCAACACGTGCAGCCCCCTGGGCGGAGGTGACACCAACCCTAAAATCTTAAATGGAAAGGGGGGTGAGCATCAGTTCAGTAGTTTTGAAGATTTATTGATTTAAAGCTTAAAGTAGACTTTAATAGGTACATCAGATTAGTTTATACTACTTTCAGAAGAAATTTGACTAAAAGAATTTACTCAATAAGTAAATGCTTTTCTTCACTAATCCCATGGTTTGTTTATCATTTTGTTGTTGAAAATAGCTATTGGAGCGTTTTTTGTGGCAAAAAGTTATTTCTTGAAGAAAGAGAAGGAAATATCTAGTACTTATTTTAAATAGGAATTTAGTACATAGTTTGCGATTGATTTGACCAAACTTTGCAGCTAAAATAACTTGTAACGCTTTATTACATAAATTAACCACGGTATATTCCACAGCAGAAAGAGTTGAAATTATCGAAATATTTTTCGGAAATAATCAGTGCGCTAATAGAACAGCAGAAATATTTAATGAGCGACATGAGAACAGTAACGTGCATCGAAAATATGTTCTAGAACTTGCAGCTAAATTTCGGGAAACTGGGTCAGTCGCCAATAAAAAACGCAACATTGAAAATTCCATAAGGAACGAAGCAATAGAAGTGGGGGTTTTAGGTCAAGTTTAAGTAGATCCTACGTTAAGTACCCGCAAATTGGAGACTGTGTATGGTGTTAGTGGACGTACTGTCCAACGGATTCTAAAGGCCCATAGTTTTCATCCGTATAAAATTCACTTGGTACAACAACTTAATGAAGACGATTTTGATCCGCGATTACAATTTTGTGAAGATATGAGTGAATGAATTATAAACGATGAACATTTTCTATTCAAACTTGCTTTTCCGACGAATGTTCCTTTTTCTTAAATGGCGTAGTAAATCGTCATAACTGCCGATATTGGTCCGATTCTAATCCCAGAGTTTATCATGAGGTTCATACACAGCAGCCACAAAAATTAAATGTTTGGGGTGGTACAATGCGAATAGGTTGATGTTCCAACAGGATGGTGACCTACCACATTACGCATTACGTATTCGACAATATTTAGATCAGACGTTTCCAGATCGATGGATTGGTAGAAGAGGTGCCATTGAATGGCCCACAAGATCGCCAGATTTATCACCTTTGGGTTTCTTTATGTGGGATCATTTAAAAAGTAAAATTTATTCTACTCAGCCAACATCATTAGAAGACCTGCGACAAAGAATTGTGAATGAGTGCCTTTAAATTACTCCTCAAATATTGCAAAATGTGCGGCAAAGTTTATTATTGCATGGAGAGTCATGGTGGCCATTTTCAGCATTTACTTGCCTAACGGGTCAGTTCATTCTTCATTTTTAAATTACTTTGCTGCCAAATGTATTGATCTCCACTAATGATGATGCATTAGTTTTATTTAAGCTTTAAATCAGTAAATCTTCAAAACTACTCAACTGAAGTACATTAATTTTATATCATTATAAAGGGAATTGAAAGACCTTTAAACTAAGGTAACATTCGACCCCCCTTTCCATTTAAGATTTTAGAGTTGGTGTCACCCCCGCCCAGGAGGCTGCACGTGTTAACGTGATTTTTTGCCAAACTTGTGTCCCCCTTGAAAACAAAATTGACGGGTCTGACCGTTTTTCAAAAAAAAAACCTGAGCTGCCAGTAAATGCGTCTGTTTCGTTTTCGATGCGCCACCCTGTATAAGAGCATCATGCTTTAAAACTATTCGTTGATTCAATAAAAAATACGTATATTTGCTTTCAGTACATGATGGCGATTATTATAGACTGTTGATTCCTGGAACTTATAAAGTAACGGCTTACAAAGATGGATACTTACCTCACACAAGACTGGTAACAGTCTTAAACAGACCATATACACCAGCTCAGAGGGTCGATTTTCCGTTGAAACCCATATCGGTGAGTATGTAATGTTTAGTACAGTGTTATAGTTAGTTGTAAATCAAGAATTGCAGCATGATGCAGCTGAGGCTTGACCGAATGTCAATCTTTTGGCCAAAATCGAGCAGAAACGAAGGTTCGGCTCTTACCTGAACCCGGGAAATTTAAGAATTCGAACCTTCTTCAGAAAAGAAAATTCCTGATATTATCATTTACGTACTATTCTGAAGCCTGATTAAGCGAATTTCCACCGTTGAAATTAATACTTTTGGTGTCGTCATTCCCTAATATATACGAGGGTGGGTCAATAAGTCCGTGATTTTTTTGCTATTTCCCGACTCGTGACTGGAAAGGCAATACTGCTCCTGTCAACAAGTATCTGTCAGTTGACACCTGTCAAATTTTGCGTCATTTAGTCTGTGTTTGTCAGCCACAGATATCAGACGATCGAGCGAATCGTAATGAAATTGACAAAAGTAAATTTCGGGTGCTCATCAAGCATTTTTTGTGGAAAATCAGAGCTAAGCTTGATAAAGACTGTGGAGACTCTGCACCCTCAATTTGAATGGTATAAAAGTGGTTTACTGAATTTCGTTGAGGCTGTACCACCGCGAAAGATGCAATTGAAAAGGTTCACGGCATGGTGTTGGGCGATCGGCACGGGTAATACGTAAAAAAACCTATAAAACGTCAAAAAAAAAACCTATAAAATGTCATCTTGCAGACTAGGTAGTTTTTAGGGCGCAAACAGTCATTCCACGTTTACTCACTAGGATCGTTGTGAGCATCCATCTATGGAGGAATGACTCAACTACACGCTTTGCATATCTCTTGTGAAGCCGAGTAGTCTGTAGTTTTCATCTCTAAGAAGATGTGAAACAAAGAAAGCAAGATTGCATCTGGATGATTATGTGTATTGTACTGCATGTGTATAAAATCAGTGACTTTTGCTGTGTGAGAAAATTATTACTGAATGTGCTGCCAATGAAGTATATCTATTAGTTGTACCTGACGGGTTATTTATATGCTGTCCTTTCTGAAGACAGGTTATGTTCAAAGTTATTAATTACGACTTAAGTCACATCACAGAAGAATTAGTGATGACGCATCATATATACATCAAACATTTCCGCAATGCCTCACATCTAGGCGCTGATTTGTATTTTCTATTGATATCTAAATAATTTTTTATAAAATTTAAGTGACTGGAAATAAAAAGTAATATAATAACTTTTTCATTCCATAAATATTCCTGTCTGTAGCATATTTTCTCACCTGTTCCTTCACCAACCAGGGATTTTCTTTTCTCATCTCTCTCATTTTTGAAATTCAGGAAATTTGCAAATTTATAATTTCCAGAATGAATAAGAAAAATTAGATGCGGAACTAATTTCTAGCTTTGAATCTCAAGTAAGTTTACTTGAGACAAGAATCCAATGGAATTATCATCAACACATATTATTAGCATACAAATCCTCACTATGCACCTATGGATTGCCGTTTCCTTCTAGCTATAGTATACTTACAGCCTAGACCTCCAGTAATGCCATCTCAGAAGCAGATTTTACATCACATCAGAGCCAAAGATTGCTAACAAGACTCATGACGCTTAGGCAATACATAGAACTAAGTGCTAAGTTAACATCTTGTAGAAAAACCTACACAATGTCAAAAAAAACTAGCATAATGCCAACAAAAATCGGCATAATTATACCCTGCAATGTGGTCATTTTTTATAACAAAATGATCACTCAAACCACTTTATTTAGTAGCAGCGAATAAGTTAAATTGATAAAATCGATTCCAGCAATAATGATGAAGTGAACATTTGACGAAAACTAATGGTGGCGTTAGCAGTAGCGGATAGGATACTTTTTGGGTGAATGTGATGCTGAAGCTGATGTCGAAGCCCTAGTTTTAAATGTAGAACAAGGAATCAACCTTCTCACTGACACCTGTCATCAAAATATTCAAGGCTTCTAGGAGTTTGTAGGTTCCTTGTTCCAGATCTAGGTCCAAATGTTGCTATAATTAAGAGTAACTTGCTCCGTATAAGCGATCTGACCAAAAGGGACGCATTCAAAGAATATGTTCGACTTTGACCAAAATCGTTAACCCGGCAATCTAGACGATGATCTTACTTTCAGCAATAGGAGTAGGTATACCAAATAATTATAGCCATCGTATCTTTTGTAGTTGCCACCATACATACGGATGCAGACCGACAACTATATCAATTCCAAGCTTGACGAAGAGCTTTCCAGTCAACAACAGTGGTCAAATTGGGTGGAAGAGGACGAACCAATATTAGAGCCTATCGCAGAACAGTAACAGCTGACAAAATCTTACAGTATACTTATGTAACATATATCATTCCAGTAGACTTCCATTATCTAATAGTTTAAAACATATATTGGATACATAATTCTCAACACTTCACGCACATGATTAGTGTATAGTTGTATATTATACTTTGAATTATATTTTATGTACCGTTAACGTGAAAAGACACACATACATATTATGTAAATCTAATAAAATATATTTTAGAAATGTTCTATGGAATTTTTATTTCCGAAACAAGAAATTCTTTGTTCCTGAAACTAATCAACTGTTCTCTTCTTCTGACCGCACAAGACATTGTTTCTATGATGTGCAGCATATAATAAATCACAGAAGTTTTGTAAGCAAAAGTAGGTTTCAAAAAAGGTATAGTTTTTTATAATCGAATTCCGAAATTGAAATTATTTATACTCTCCACGTGATTGTACGACTTTGGAATGTCTTAAGTCATTGGTTTGAAAAGACTGGAACTAACTGTTCATATGGTCTGATTGAGTATCCATTACAGAACAGGCTCACGTTTATTTTGTGTTATTATCTCTAGAAACAAAAAAGTTATAACTATATTAAGACGCAATTGTAGGTAATTCAGCAAGCGCTTAGAGCATTGCGGTTTCCATCAAAAATCATCAAATACTCATAGCCTCCCAATCGCCCAAAAAAATTATGTCCGTTCATGTACCAAATACCCTGTATAGTCACCTATGTATATGGTTGTATAAGCTCATATGGACAGCTCCGTCTATATCAAAATATACAGGGTGTTCCTTAATGATATGCGAATATTTAAGGGTGTGAATCTACATGAAAAATTAATCTTAGTTTGCTTTATAAACTAAGGTCCAAAAATGTTTCCTTACAGAAACTCGGCGTGTTGAAGTTTTGGAAAAAACATAGAAATTAATTAATATTTTCAGAACCGCTTCAGATATTTCATTGATATTTAGTACATAGTGAAAGTTAATAGAGTTAGAGTTAGAGCATATTTTTCAATGTAAAAATAATTTTTAGCTTTAACAGTGGCGTGCGTGCGGGTATTGACTTCGATATTTAAAAATGGTACGCCAATGGTTTTTTGCCAAATAAAAATTATTTTTGAATTTCCCGTTCAGTTCAAAACAAATGATCTCTCTTGAATTGCTTTCTTTCGAAGCGCCATTTTTGAGTAAAAAAATAAAAACCGTTCTATTGTCTACATTGCAAAATTATTATTAATGGCTACCGCAGATGTAGCCGAAAGCTATGGACCAAATCCAACCCGACCACGGCTCAACAGCCCGAAAAACCTAAATTACATTAGAATTAGCCGTGAAAGCCTTCATTCTTCTATTATTAATTTAATTGGAAAAATTAAACACATTAGTATGCATGCTTCCGCCCTCCTTCTCATGGAATTGCGCACTCGTTGAAATATCCCTGCAGTGTTTTTTATTCTATCACAAGCTGCAACTATTCTTTCTCTTAATTCCTCTACAGTGTTAATGGAACACAAGTGTCTTAAGATAGCCCCACAAAAAGAAATCTAAACTGTTGAGGGCTGCGGACCTTGGTGGCCATTCTTGGGGTCCACCGCGGCTAATCCAACGATTTGGATAAACAGTTTGTAAATAATTACGAACCGCTACACTGATATGCCCTCATGCACCACCATGCATGTACCACATATTGTTTCTTATTACTAATGAAACATCATCAAGCAGCAAAGGCAACTGTTGTTGAAGAAAATAGAGGTAAGTCTGTCCGTCAAGTCGTCCCGGTAAGAAGGATGGGCCAATAAAGTGGTTGCCAATAATTCCTGCTCATACGTTAACCGAAAATTGGTGTTGGAAATGGGTTTCGGTTACGGCATGGGGATTTTCTTCTGCCCACAAATGATTATTTTGGAAATTCTGAATGGCATTTCGAGAAAAATTAGCTCCGTCCGTGAACAGAATCATTAATTCAAATTGCGGATTTTGTGTAATTTTTTCAAGATACCTTTTTTCTTCCTAAAATTTCAACACCCCGAGCTTTTGTAATGAAACATTTTTGGACCATAGCTTATAATGCAGACTAACATTAATTTTTCATGTAGATTCACACCCTTAAATATTCGCATATCATTGAGGAATATATACAATAGTAAATATAGAAATAGCTGTGATAAATTCCTTAAGATGATGCTACGGTATGTCATTTTATCTCGGATATTTTTTGGACTCACGAATAAAGCATATGGTTGGCTATATTCAGTTAGAATACTTTAATCAATGCTATAACTAAAAGAACAGCTAAACCCCGCCTCAGTTATCCAGCTCACAATCACAATTTCTACATCTTATTATAAAATTTTATTGAGTTTTCAGATGGCAATTCATGTGATGTCATAGAAAGGAAAATAGACAGTGTAGTCACAGCAACTGTTTCTCAGAATCCGATATATATGGCCTATGAGCCAAATTTGTATTTTATAAGTCATAAATACCCATGGAAACCTTGAAGCTATAGAGGGTTACAGGGGCAAATGTGTGTTACATAGACTCTAGCGGAACAGCTGCGCATATGACACGTATCTATCTCCAGATATCCGCCGCGTGGTACCTCCACGTTTGAAAGTCTGGGACCGTCTACCGCCAACGGACAATCACTGACAAAAATTATCTAATCTATTATCTATTATCTATTATCTATTATCTATTATCTAATTATCGAAAGCTCGCAACTCACGACGTTAACCATTACGCCACCGGAGATTGTATAATAATGTATCACGTTATACAAAACATTAATGGTTACAAAAGCCTCATCTCTATAAGCGTTGAAGCTGCGCACGATATGGACCATGAAAATCAATAGCAGCTTCATAGTTCAGTAAAATTCGAACACGTGTGAGAATAACAGCTTGCTTCCTTGATTTATTTCATTTATGAATCGAATTATCCTAGTGTTCTTGAAATAAATATTTTTCTTTAATAACTGGATGCTAGATACCCTAATGATCAGAAAAAGGGAATATCAACAATTATTTTTTATTATATTGGGTGAGTACCTGGACAGAACCTCAAGGATGATTCCTCACTTAGTTCTTAAATGAAAGATTGGCAAAAAACGGGGCCGAAAAACAAAATCAAATAGGTAAAACTATTTACATGACCACAATTAGGAAATGGCCACCAAGATTGCCGGATTTAAATCCATTAGACTTGTATCTTTGAAGAAAATTAAAGTACATCTCGATTATAAAGTTTTTGGTAACGGTGGGGTAGATCTTAGTTAAACCAGCACATACGGGATCCTTGGAAATATTTCAAGGTGTTCGGCGATGATGGGAGCTAATGTTTGAATTGAAGTTTAAAGAATAACTACAGTATGTTTCGTGCTACTTATGTTGAAACGTTTTTCAACAATAAATGGACTATTTGTATTTTTATTGAAGCGAAATTTATATTAACAAATTTCAACAGAACCTGTTGGAAAATCAACTATTTGTATTTTTATTAAAGCGAAATTTATATTATCAAATTTCAACAAAACCGGCTGGAAAATTATTCAAAATTCTACGAAAAAGGCATGTTTCAAAGAAGTTTAGTACGTTGTATCTTAAAAATGTCTACATCAAACATTCGTCTTATGCAAATGCTACATGTTCAGTATTTCATCAACATGGCATGATGACTAACAAGAAGCGCCCTAGCGTACATCAGGTTATATTGAATGTCCGAGTTCTTTTTGATTGGTCGTGGTCCAGATCAGCGAGAAGTTGATTTCGCACGAACACGAGCTGACTGATCGATGACACATCTCTAACGTACAAGTGGTCACCGTTCTGGCTCTCTTCTACCCTACTGTCTACGCGCTTTGCTCCTTAGGGCTCTAATGCATGATGCCAGACGGAGTCGACGGGCCTTCCATGCTAACTCTGTCGAACTTGGTACACCCGGAACTGGCTGTTACGACCGCTCCTTGGTTCTTAGGGTGTCAACATTTGTAAAACAATCGACCTGAGGATATGGGCAGTTCAAAAATAAGATCAACAAGGTCCTCAAGCTCATTATACAGGGTGCCTCATGATGTCTTCACCTACTGCTACGGTGTCTGTCCATTTAATAAATAAGAGTGCCACTGCATAAAAGCGAGTGGTTTTAAAATCGCATTGATCCACCAAGGGCACAATAAACCGCCTTTACTACTTCTCCTGTGCTATAACGACATTCGGCCTAGCAATCTTCTACCGCGCAGCTTAATCCCTCATCTCTATACTATCTTGCTGGTCCCTTTATCTGTGCCCTCAAAATTCCTTCCATATCTCCTAGAAAACTCAAATGCCCCGAGGTGTATTCGCCAGCTGCTGTTCCAGTGCCTGTCACTTCGATGAATAGGAGTGCCACCGCGGCCCTTGTCGTCGCCGGGTCAGCTTCTTCACGCCCAAGGTCCTCCCTCAAAGACTCAAGATGATGCTGGGTAGGAAACAGAGCCTCAAGGGGGAGCCCGTGCTGGCCGATTATGGACCGGAAGAGGCTTTTAATGAGAGCGCTGATACCGAGTGGGTTAATAAGGTGAATAAATGCTCTTTTTAAACACTTATCATGATGTCGTCTGACTATTATTATGTTTTGTGAAAAAAGTAGGATTGTTCATTTTAAGTAGAAACAAAGAAAGATTTATTTTTCACACCTTAGAAATGTTGAAAAGATCTACTTTTGTACTATTTATGTGAATTTCAATATGAATTAATTATACTAAAATTCTTATATTGCATTCTTAAAAAAATACATAAATTATTTAACAACACTACGTAAATAGACAGAAAATTTGTTTTACAGGATATAAAAGCCGTAATTTTAGGATCAATTTAAAATTCCCGAAAACTAGTGAACAATGCAGGGCACCCCTCAAATTGTCGCACTTGTTTCTCTTTGCTCTCCCTCCTTTCTTTCTTCCCGAGTTTGTCTTGTGTGTCTGTATCCAGATCTGATAGACCTACTGACCCACGATACTTTAATCAAGAGTAAAGGTCCCACGGACCTCTCTGACACGTAATGACGAATAGGCTTCATTATGCCACTTTCATCATGCTGCATGTCAAATTTTGCTCGGCTTTAAGGAGCGGATAAGATTAGTGACGTCGCTTAAAAGGAAGGCGCCGAATTTATCCTCAAATAAGAATTCTATTGCCCATTATCGCTACAGATATGTGTACTATCCAGATTTTTAAGAATATAATAAAAGAAAATGTGCATCCTATTCTCGTTTTTTGTGCACGTCGCTGGATGTATGTCCTGTATGTATTCTTCCGACATATGCATCCAATACGGACGATCCGCTATCATTTTGTACTCTCGCGGCAAAACTTCCCACAAAAAGCATCAATACCAACATACTTCATTATTATTACTGATTATAAGAAAAAACGCCGACACACGTCGTTCACCCTTGGTCCCCAGGATCATTCCCTTGAAATGTTTAAATAACAAGAGGTATCCAGTAATAACTTGTTTGAAACGTATTTCAAAGTCCTTTATTTTGATATTTGATTCTTCAAAATCAGTCGACTCGTTTCCGAGAAAATTAAAAAAGTCTTTATTTATCGTAACTTGTTCAGATAGAAAACAAAAACACAGAAAATATCACTTTTTAGTTCAATAAGTGAACAAAATGTTGCCCGTTAAGATTTATATTCGTTTATAATTTAAATCGGAAACTACCAACATAAACAGCAATTGGGAAGATTACGCAAAATTGTTGCTGCGACTGGTATTTCATTAGGCTCTGTATACACAGTTACTAAACTCCATAAATTTCATCCATTGAAAATGAAAATATTGCAAGAGTTAACCGAAGATGATTTCGATAGGCGAGCTGATTTTTGTGAACAAATGACTGCAACGATTAGTACCATTCATGTAAAGAATATCTGCTTCAGTGTTGTATGCACATTTTATATGAATGGATTTGTTAATACAAAATTGCAGGTATTGGAGCCATGAAAATCCTCATGCTTATGTAGAAGGGCATACCTAGTATCCCCAAAAAATTAATGTATGGGCAGGCATTTTAGGAAACAAAGTGATTAGGCTATTGCTTATCAATGGAAATTTGAATGGAGACATTCATTTGGATATGTTAAAAAATCTGCTTATCACTGAAACCATTGAAAACCAAGTCGAAGAGGATGGAAGCCCTATACTTGATGAGGCTAAAATTATTTCCAGTAAGACTGCGTTCCTGCTCACTATGTTCTTCCGGTTCGGCAATGGCTAGACGACGAGTTTCCAGATAAATGGATAGGGCGAAGAGGCGCTATAGAATGGCCTGCTAGATCTCCTGATTTGACGCCATTAGACTTATTTCTATGGGGCCATTTGAAATCTATTTTGGATCCCACAAGTAATTTGTTTGCAAAGCACTTAATGGTGTATATGATAGTTCTGTACATCCTGTACCCTCTTTTTTATTTGAGAAGACAGGAGGTATACTACTACACAAAGTTTCTCTTGAGGAAGTATTTGATAAAATCGTAAGTCTCCCAGTGAAGTTCAGCTCGGGTCCTGACCAAATTGAAGAGGTTTTTCTCAAAGAATGTATCGTTACACTTGCATCTTATTTAACATGTCCATCCAAACAGGTGTTTTTCCTGACACTTGGAAGCACAGTTATATTAAGCCATTTTTTAAGTCAGGAGATGTTGAAGATATTAGCAATTACAGAGGAGTATGTAGCCAATCATCAATTACGAAACTTTTTGATAGCTTGATATATGATCAACTTAACTGGTATTGCCGTGGGCTTGTAAGTAGCTGTCAATTTGGGTTAACTAAGGGTAGATCAACTGTAGAGAATTTGGTGTCTTATAAAGTTGATCTGCTGGAGGCCTTGGAAAAGGGTCACCTGGTGGATGCAATCTACACAGACTTTTCCAAAGCCTTCGACAGATTGAACTTCGACATTCTATTGAAAAAGCTGTCAGCTTATGGTTTTGTAGAAAACACTATAAGATGGTTGGACAGCTTCCTTAAGGGTATGACTCAAGGTTACGTCAGGGGTTCCTCAGAGGTCCCATTGTGCTCCCCTTCTCTTCATTTGTGAATGACATCCCTGATGTTCTCATTCATTCCAAAGGAACTATGCTGATGACCTGAAAATGTACAGGACAATAACGGAGAAAGACGACATGGTGGACCTTCAGCGGGACCTTGATGCGCTGTGGCAGTGGACACAGCCTAATCACTTGTAACTGAACTCTAATAAATGCTTTTTCATTAGTTTTTTCAAAAGTAGGTTATTTGTAAAAATATATGCTTTTGACGTATCGATAACATCTACTGGATAGGTAACTTATTTAAGCTAACAACATTTGTTGTTACCTACAAAGCATTTTTTATGCAAATATGGTCTAACAGATCTCAAATATGATCATTTTATAAGAGAACAGTTATCTCAGTGTCAATCCTTTTTAATTTTCAGAGATGGGTGAGAAGATTGATGAGAACATGTGCCTTGTTGAGTCTAGCATCAGTAAGCTGCAACACACCGAAAACTTTCGAGAAATTCCCATTCTTGCAACTAACTACTTTCATAGTAGACAGCATTGTAACCATACTTTTTACAGCTGAGATGATTGCTAAGATGCATATCCGGGGGATTTTAAAGGTTAGTTCTTCAGTTTGATGATTAGTGCGAAACCACTTACAGTATACATATATACAGAATAGTAAGAGTACTTCAAGACATACACTTCCGCAGCCACATAGGAAGCTTTTTCACATACCCTAGAAACATTGGGCTTACTTGCGCTAAATATATCATCCATCATTTTTTTGGTTCCTATTAAATAAAATCAATGACTAACATGCTTGTATTTTCCAGGGCGACAGGCCTTATTTAAAAGACCACTGGTGTCAATTTGATGCAAGTATGGTGTTTTTTCTATGGGTATCGGTCATCTTGCAAGTGTTCGAAATATTGAATGTCGTTCCTCAGTTTAGCTATCTTTCTATACTTCGAGCTCCTCGACCATTGATAATGATCAGGTTCCTCAGGGTTTTCCTGAAATTCTCTATGCCGAAATCAAGAATCAATCAAATATTCAAGTAAGTGTGTTTGGATATTTTCGAAAGTAATATCATCTAATTTTTCCGAAAAAAGTCGAAAAACACGTTGCTACGTAATATTTTAACAAGAAGCATAAGTGCTGGTGGCAACAAAAATCCAAGTCGAAGACGAGGATTTTTGCACCTGCACGAATGTTTTTTGTTAAAAAAATATTACTTTGCATTGTGTTTCTTCGATTTTTTCCACAGGAAAACATTATATGCACGAATGGCATTTGACAAGGCTATTTCATGAATAACAAATTATTCTGCATACTTTTCTGGTGACTTAGGAGACCATAATTACTTGTTATCAAAGGTATTGTAATTTTTGGTGACAACAGCTGTCAAGTTTTGCCGCGGTTAAGCTCAGAAAAACTGCTGACAGATGCTGTCATACAATTTTTCCATCTACAAACCATTTGTAAATTAAGACAGTCAATCATATGGTTGAAGAACTGAATAGAAATCCAATAGAATATCAGTTAACGAAAAACATTACAAATCAAATTAACAAATTACACTGATCAATAGCCAAAAAATATCCTAAATAAAATCAACAAAATATTACTATTTTTAATGTGCTAAAACCGGAATGAAACTTATTTTTTCAATATTAGTTCAAATTTTAGAGATACGGTAATTATATGTGTTCCTGCTGAGACAGTGTTAATATACTGTAATTCACAAGAATGCACGTGCTACATTTTTATATTCGGCAAGGAACACATACGTGTACATTATATTGTTTTATATTAGCCATTTTTTCCTCAGTGGGCTGACAGCGTTCATGCAAGATGTCTCGAAAGTGCGTAAACAATCCAGATCAGTTTTGTTACGTGTGTGGTGATGTGACTTTTGCGTCTCAGAGACGGTCTATTACTCCACTAATAACAAAGGCATATCAGCTCTATTTCGGTTGTAAACTAGGTGATCAAGACAAACAGTGGGCACCCCACATCTGCTGTAATACATGTGCTTCAAGTCTGAGGCGCTGGTTAAATGGCAAAAAACGGTCTATGCGCTTTGCTGTCCCAATGGTTTGGAGATAGCCTACAAATCATATTAATGATTGTTACTTTTGCATGGTACCTTGTGTTGGACAAGCCACAGGTATGTCCAAGAAAAAAAAATCAATCGGTTATTAACTACCCAAGCATACCATCTGCGATGAGACCTGTGCCTCACAATGACGAAAATCCTATTCCAAAACCCCCAGAATCCTACACTTGCGAATCAGAAAACGAATCAGATCATGGCGATCGAGTGATTCGTCAGGAAGAAGATATGCCATCAACGTCAAGAGATCCTGATTTTATACCGAGCACGTCATGCCACCAACCGCATAAAATAACACAGTCAGAATTAAATGATCTTGTAAGAGATTTAGAACTTCCAAAATGTAAGGCAGAGAGACTGCAGCAGTGGAACTTGTTAGAACATGATGTTTCGGTATGTGTTTTTCGTAAACGCCACAAAGACTTAGAACCATTTTTCAATATGGAGAATAACTTGGTTTTTTGCAGTAACATTAACGGCTTACTGGCGGCTTTAAATATAAACTATAACCCAGAAGAATGGAGATTGTTTATAGACAGTTCAACATTGAGTTTAAAGGCAGTGTTATTGCATATTGGAAATATTTTAACATCTCTTCCTGTAGGGTATGCAGTTCACATGAAAGAATCATATGACAATATGAAGTACCTATTGACATGCATAAAATACGATGAGCACCAATGGCATATTTGTGGCGATTTGAAAGTTTTGCACTTTTACTTGGGCTGCAGCTAGGCTACACAAAGTTTTGCTGTTTTTTGTGTGACTGGGACAGTCGGGCAAAGGCACTTCATTACACCAGACAAAACTGGCATGTTCGTCAATTCCTAGAGCCAGGTCAAAAAAAATGTACATCATATGCCATTAGTAGATTCGAAAAAATTTTTATTACCACCACTGCATATCAAGTTGGGCCTAATGAAAAACTTTGTCCAGGCATTAGATAGAGATGGGTCAGCTTTTCAATACCTGCGTCAGAAATTTCCAAGACTAAGTGAGGCAAAGGTTAAAGAAGGTATTTTTGTTGGGCCACAGATTCGAAATATTTTGAAAGATACACAGTTTGAAAACACTTTAACAGGTATTGAAAAAACTGCTTGGAATGATTTCCGTCTGGTGGTCACTAATTTCTTGGGAAATAGAAAAGCTGACAACTATAAAACCCTTGTCAAAAATATGCTGTCATCGTATCAAAAGATGGGCTGTAATATGTCTCTTAAGATACATTTCCTACAGTCACACCTGGACTTTTTTCCTGACAATTGCGGAGCCGTAAGTGATGAGCACGGCGAACGTTTTCATCAGGATATTTCAACAATGGAAAAAAGGTACCAGGGAAAGTGGAATCCTTCCATGCTTGCAGACTACTGTTGGGCTCTTGGTAGAGATGCTCCAGAAACGATCCATAAAAGAACAGCAAAAAAGACAGCGCATATAGTGATTCTTATAAGTATATGAATCTTGTTACGTTTTTTTAATATATCCTTAAAAAAAAAAAGTTTTTTTCTAAACCGCAACTAATTTTTTTATTTCATTGTCATTTTTGGATTCAGCGCCCCAAAATTAACAAAGAAGTGCACTTTTCCCACAAGATACAATTAATAAACTAAAATTTGTTGTCCAGTGTTATACGTCATCACTACTATAGATAAAACTTTTACCACTTATATTTTTGCGTTGATACAATTAGTGTTATTATGATACTACAACAATTTAACAAACATTTAACCATCACAAATTTAGTGGTACATTGTTTCATATTTTTCAGGCGATCGAGTCAGCAAATATACAATGTGACCCTTTTCTTTTTATTCTTCATGTCATTGTACGGACTACTAGGAGTTCAATTTTTCGGGGAATTGAAGAACCACTGTGTTACAGTTAACACATCGTCTCCCAAGTAAGTTAATCGAAAACGGAAGAGAAGTTATTTATAAAAATTCTACACAATCCGTTAGTATTACTTATCTCACCACATTGACCTCATGAATGAATCTACAAGAGAAAACGTAGAGGTACCGATATCATGAAGTTAAAGTATGATAAGGTAACGTAGAACCTAAAGATAGAGTGTTATCAACATTTGGTTCACTCAGTTCTATTAAAATTTATTTATTTCAGAGCTGTTACTATAAATAATCTAGCAATCCCAGATACGTACTGTTCTTTGGATCCGTCTTCTGGTTACCAATGCCCGGAAGGGATGAAATGTATGAAGCTGGAGGGAGTATCTAGATATATCATTGGATTCAACGGGTTTGATGAATTTGGTTAGTAACACAGAAATACTTTTTAATTCGTTAATCACTGGATCTCCATGTGTCACTGCCGCCAAATAGAAACGCTAATGCAGAATTTAACGATTTATTAAAGGTTCAGTCATGTCGGTGACCTTTAACAAAGTACAATGATCATGCATTACAATTATCGCATAAAAATTCAGACAAAGTTTTGGTATAGACGTGGACGGAAATCCCATTTTCAAAACCAACAGAGCTATTAAACGTTGATAAAGGGTTAGAATAAAATTATGTCACCTTTACTTAGCTGTAGCATTAGACATTTTTATGGACTTTGGATGAATATAGAGGGCAAAAGACCCCTGTTACTTATTTTTGGTTCTGCTGAGTAGTTATTTTAGTTACAAATACTGAATGAATGAGTTATAGAATTAGAGGCTTACCGGCCACCATGAAGCCACTTAAACGGGCCCTTATACACCTCTATATTCCCTAAGCCTCAAGCCCCGCCCTTCTAGCAAAGTTGAGTATAGCCTGAAATCCCAGATCCTTAACGTTCTGGGGATCCAAAGTGATGGACACCAATATAGTCTGAATGTAGTAGCTCAGAGCTTCACAGCAACACAGAACATGCGCAGAGGTCTCTTCCTTAGCTGAGCTCCCTTGCCTGATGGAGATATCTAGAGATGCTTTTCCATTTCTAAGGGTGTTGACATGCAATCCACTTCTCCACTTTCCTCCTGACTCATTAGGCGGTCACCCATAAGGCTGCCTCGGGACCAACCAGCTTTCTGGCTGATCCTGCTATCGCAAGAGCGTCCGCCATATCATTAGCTTCATCGCAGCCTGGCTGTTGGATTCGCCGAAAGGCAGAGATAGCCTAATTCTAGGCCCAAAGATTCCGGCGCCACAGGCCTCTTCAGTAACTGAGCCGTCCGTGTACCAGACCTGCCCACTCCCTTCGGAGACCTTCCGTCATCCGAAGTCCCACACTAAACTTGCGGCGAACGCGATATTTAAGGGTGATCAGATCACCCCTGATTTGAAGGACGGGATCCTCCCTTTGCAGTACGACTAAGTGGCAGTTGGAAACTTAACAGGATTCAAAAAGGCACAGCTGTTTGGCCTTAGCTGTCTCGGTTACACTAGTATATAGATTATTATTAAGTATTATCACTTTGTCGACTATCCACATAGCCTTACTATCCAACCAGAAGGACTTTGAAGTTGAAAGTTTAAAATAGATGATGACCTTGATATTGGGTATGTCCAGGAAATACCAGCGCTCAATGTTTGAACACTGAAAAATGAAATTTTCATATCAAATAATGGATACTAGCGTTGAGCGCTGTATTGCGGCTTTATGCGACTATTGGCTCAGGTGCTTTTAACATAGTGCATCTGAGCGGGCCAAGCTAGCGAGCTGGAATTCGAGGTACTGAAATGGATCCATGCTATATTTTAGCGTGAAAGTGATAGTTGATAATTTGAAGATAGCGCTTGTGCGCCATCTTAGAAAATATTTTTAAATGGAATGGGAATCCTAATTTAGAAGTTCATTAAGAGTACTTTATAACCCCAGAATATAAAGTTGCCCCCTTTCAGAATCGCGGATTAACAGGCTGTCAAAGTTGAGTGTTTTGTATATTTAACTGTCTATAGCTCAAAAACAAATTATATTATTATATAGTATATGAATCTTTCTTTCTTAGAAGGATGTATCCGAAGATGTAGTATATGGAACATTCGATACTATTCGTCATTTGTTTGTCTGGGCGGTCCGTAGGACCTTTGCCCATTAGTCACTGTATAATGTACTCGTACGTTAGACGAATCTGTCAGTCCTGGTTGCCCAGAAACCAGACAATGTCAAGGAAAAGGAGAAAGGGAAAGAGAAGAAAAAAGGAGAAGGGCAAAGAAAAACAGAAGTGTTTAGTTTAAGAGGAAACACGTCGGCATTTTGACTTGATACACGGATTAATTTTGAGGTGAACTAAACAAATTTTGATTTGATTTGTTAGAGCGTAATTTTAAGTTTACTAGTTAGCGCTAATTTTTTATTACAGTGCGAGCCGTAGCCTTGAATGTTTACTAACTTGCTTCACTGTGTATCCGCTGAGTCGCGCAACAGAGTGTTCCTGTGTGATTCCGCTTGACTATAACGTTGCTGCGCCTGAAGCTTGACAAAATCCCTCAAGTAAGGAATGTCAAGGTCTCTGTGTAGTGTCTCGTTTGAGACATACCATGAAGCGTTGCAAATTGATCGCAAAGTTCTACTTTGCAGTACTTGAATTTTTGCATGTGTGTCTTGGCAAGAAAACACCAAGCCGCACATACATAAGTAATGGCTGGTCTAATAATCATTTTATATAGGCGAACTTTGTTTATCAAACTCAATTTGGAGGATCTACATAACAAACGATATAGTTGCCGAAACGCAATTTGGAATTTTGTTTTCCAAGCTGCTGTATGTTTTTGCCAGATCATGCCTTTATCAAGTGTGACACCGAGGTACTTGGCAGAATTTGTCCAAGATACACGATTGCCGACTATAGAAACCTCTGCTGGGGGGCCGCGACGTTTTTTGGTACAATAAATAGCCTGCGTTTTCGAATGATTAATTTTAATCAGCCACCATTCCGCCCACTCTAATACTTCTTCCACCGCACCCTGCAACCCATCGTGAACCAGATCACCAGTACACGACTTGGCGACAAGTGCAGTGTCGTCAGCATAGAGGTAGACTTCACAGTGGCTGGGACAGGGACATCATGGATAAAAAGCGAATAAAGGATTGGTCCTAGGACCGAACCCTAAGGAACACCCGCCCGTACTGGCCGTCTTGTTGAAGGAACATTCGATTTGAACCAAAAGGTCAAAAAAACCTGTCAGTTTTTTTAATGGACGACGGACTCGGACAGATCCTTTCAAAATAAGATTAATATAGGGTGGCCGATGTGTAACTGACTTGTTTGTAGCTTGATTATTTGTAAAATGAAATAAAATGCGTCCATTTTTTTCATCTTAATATTTTATTGAAACTTAGAAATTATATATGAAAAATAATATCAGACAAATATCCGCCTCTAGAAGCCGCGCAAACCTGAGCCCTCTTGATTACATTTTCCATTACTTTTTGATAGGTTTCGGAGGAATAATTTTATACGCACGCGTTGTGGGATCGTGATGAATTAGACACATGTGCGTTAAACAACAACTTCGGCGCCACCTACTGAACTGCGTGTTTCAAAAATGGCGCGCAATTTAAATCAGGCTATTATATATTGGCCACCCTATATAATACATTATAGCGTTTTGATGATTAGTTTTTGAATTATAAGCGACTGTTTGTCCTCCATTTTGAAAGTTATTGAGATGTATTATATAAGGTTATAAAGCACTCATGACGACTTTCAAAATAAGATATCACATGACTACGCATTCCATTTAAAAAAATGTCCCAGGACGGCGCACTACTGCCATCTTCAAATTTTCGTTAGAGCCTTTCACGCTAAAATATAGTATACATGCATCAGTTTCATCACTTCGAATTCCAGCTGGTTAACTTGACCTCTTCAAAAAAATAACGAGATTTTTGAAAAGCACTGTATTATGTATATTTGTGTGTTAATTTTTTTTACAGTAACCAGTTTCTTCACGGTATATCAAGCAGCATCCCAGGAAGGATGGGTTTTTATCATGTACCGAGCCATCGATTCTTTACCAGGCTGGAGAGCAGTGTTGTATTTCAGCACGATGATATTTTTTCTCGCCTGGTTAGTGAAGAACGTTTTCATAGCTGTCATCACTGAAACGTTCAATGAGATTAGGGTTCAATTCCAACAAATGTGGGGTGTGCGTGGACATATACAGAACAGCTCAGCATCACAGGTACATTCAGTGAAAATGGGTAATACTTAAAACCGAAATTGACAGCTTGCACAAATTCTAAAACTTCCAATCCTTATTTAAAGTTCCCTATTAACAAACTAAATTTGTGTTTTGGCGTGTTTAACAGTTTAAAATGTTAAAGCATATTCTGGCGTAAAAGTCTTCCACAAATAACTCAGATGAATCGATCGAAGCTTTTACAGGGTGTTTCAAATTCGACCCCCACCATTGGGATCTCCCAAACTGGAAGCAAAAACAAAATACCGTTTAGAAAGTTTCCAAATTCAGAGTACTTCCGGAGAGAGACGAGAAAAACATAATTTTCCCAAAAAAAAATTCCTGACTGTTTGTAGTATAGTGTAGTGGGATTTGAAAATAGAATGAATGAACTCAGGAAAAATAAAAGTGATTTTGAAATAAATCTGACAGAGGAAATAAATAACTAATTTCAAGGCCTACCTAGAAAATTTTTTGAAATAATTAAACTTTGTCAATGTACGACATATACATTTTTGGAATCAGAATTAAAACTCTTTATATCCAATATGGAGTCCATAATAAAAAATAAAATTGATGCTGGAGGTCAAGAGACGAAACGTCATATTGATGTTCTAATTATGCCTTCTTGTAGAGGAAAAAAGTGGCAATGATAGTGTGGAATTTATTTTGAAATCACACTACAAATAAAGTCAGAAAAAAATTAAAACGATTTTGGAAAATTCGATATTCTTACCGCCTCTCTCTGGCACTGCTATTACGTTCCTTGAAAAGTGACATTAGGTCGGTTTTTGTGACATAACGTAGATATAAGATACAAGATGTTAACTTAGCACTAGCTGGTGGACACTCGTTCTGTAGTACGTGTTGCCTAAAGGTCATGATGCTACAGTTATCAATGTTTGGCTCTGATTTGATGTATCATCTGCTTCAGAGTTGCATTATTGGAGGTCTGAGTGAGTTATTTATACTATGTATACTACAGCTAGAAGAAGGATTTGTGTGCTAATAAGGTTATTACATAATTTCCAGTCATTTAAATTTTATAGAAATTTATTTTGCGATGTCAATAGAAAATACAAATCAGCGCCTAGATGTGAGACGCTGCGAAAATGTTTGAAGTGTGATGCGTTATTCCTAATTTATCTGTGATGTGGTTTAATTGCACACAACGCGAGCGCGGTAGCGATTTCCCATAGTGCTCCTCAAAGTTGAAAACAAAAAAAACTGGAAAAATGGTAATTTATAACTTTGAACGGGAAGGACAACATATAAATAGCCCGTCGGGCACAGCAAATAGATATACTTCATTGGCAGCGTATTCATTAATAATTTTCTCACATAGCAAATATCACTGATTTTATACACATGCAGATCAATGCACATAATCATCCATATGCGATCCTGCTACTCAACCGACTCCTTTCGTTCACATCTTCTCAGGGTAAAACACTAGAGTCTACTCGGCACCACAAAACATAGACTTGCTTTCTGCAACCAACAATGCGTGTAGGTGAGTCATTCCTCCATAGATGGACGCTCTCAGCGATCATAGCGAGCAAACGTAGAATGAACTATTTGCACCCTCAAAACTAACTAGTCTGGAAGATGACATTTCGTTGTTTTTTTTTTGACGTTTTATAGGTTTGCTATATTATAGCCGTGTCGAAGTACTTTGAATTTCGAAACTTTCTTAGCGGCCTTTTGTTGATTACCTAAATACGCAGCTTTGCCTCCATTTAAGCAACTTCGTATCTCTTACAGTTTCTGAGATCCCCTTGGTGAGGGACGAATTTGAAACATCCTGTACATCTAGGCAGAATGTACATATTGAAGAACACAATAGAATGATTCTATAAAGGGTGTTGTAAATGTCTACGGCGCTGTAATAAGCAAACAAACCCGATAAAATAGGACAATTTCTCCGAAAAATTTTGTTTAACAAAGATTTCTCAAATGAAATAATGACACATTTTTTATATTTTCCAAACTTCAATGCATGTAGCTCGGCAAAGAGGCATTGTGAATCTATGGCTTTTCATGTTACGTTTCTTATTAGTTTATGTTCTAGAGACATCGCTATCGTTTTTTGTCACACTATGAGTTACCGTTACCATTTTGCTTTACCTAATAGTTGTAAAAATATATGTTGAATTTCAGATCTTAGTTGGTGATGGCAAAGGCTGGAAGCTCGTAACAGTCGACGACAACAAGCATGGCGGACTGGCACCCGAATTCTGTCACAAAATTCTGCGTTCTCCACACTTTCGACTGCTTGTCATGTGCGTGATTCTGGCAAATGCAATAGTCACGGCAACCATGCGATTTCGCCATGATAATAGACCTAGACACGTATTTTACGAAAGGTACTATTACATAGAGCTAGGTTTCACGGCATTGTTGAATCTGGAGACCATTTTCAAAATATGGTGTCTGGGATGGAGAGGATACTGGAAACACTCGATACACAAGTTTGAGCTACTTTTGGCAGTAGGAACCACTATACATATCATACCTGGATTCTACATGACTGGATTCACCTATTTTCAGGTTCTAAGAGTGGTGAGTTAATATTATGTAGATTTGGAAGCACAAAGATTGTTCCCATACATGTAGTTAATGTCTAAACAACCACGGAGGCAATTCTTGGGTGACTTGTATGTTGTATGAATCCTACATACTGTTTTCATTCGTACGTATACCTCGTATAAATCTACACATGTCTATATCTCATATCTATAGGGTGATAATAAGTTATCTGGCTAAACTTCATTCCTGTAAGTGATTCTGAATCCAAAAATATCTATATATCGGATCCACGAATCTCTTGCAAATTTTTTGGAAAATCAATTTACTTCTCTAACCTCATTTCTCGAACTCGGTTGAAATTTCTTGAGTACAGATATAACGCTGGAAATCTAAATTAAATCGAAGGAGAAGAACGCTTCTATAATAATAATAATGATAATAATAATAATAATACACCAGGAATAAAAACTCGAAGAGTACGAAAGCAAGCTATGGAAATAATGCAACGAATCCACCGTCATTCTCACCAAGACGCAACTAACATCAACGAGTGGCAATGTCTTGATGCCTTGGAGCAAAAACTGTCCGTATATACTCAGCGATTGAAAAGGTATAAAGCGTCCAGTCACAGAAAGCACGACAATGCACTCTTTCAACGATCCGAAAAGGCATTCTACAGAAAACTTACATCCGAATCCCAGGAAAAGAGCAAAACGGTGCCCTCAAAGGACCAAGTAGAGGAATTTTGTGGCAAGCAGTTTGGCTCGACAGCTTATTACAACAAGTGTGCAGGATGGATTACAGATGAACAAGCGAAGAGCCTTTATTGCAATCCCATGCAGTACAGGGCATATACCAAACAAGAAATAGTGGAAATCTTTAAGCAATTGCACAATTGGAAGGCCCCGAGCCTAGACCAGATTTCATGGCTACTGGATAAAGAAGCTTTGGTGGATGCATGAACAACTAACAAGATATATGCTTTTGAATCAAAATAAAACTCCAACGTTCCTAACACAAGGGCTAATGGTATTAATACCAAAAGATCTCAATAATACAGAAGACCCAACAAAATACCGCCCAATTACCTGCCTTCCCACGCTATACAAAGTGATCACTGCTTGTATTTCGAAGCGAATTTATGCTCATTGTGAAGAAAACGATATTATTGCGCTACAACAAAAAGGGTGTGCTAAGGGAGCTATGGGATGCAAAGAACAAAAGGAACCTATACATTACGTACATCGACTATCAGAAGGCATACGATTCTGTATCTCATGAGTGGCTTGTCAGTGTGCTGAGGTTCTATAAGATAGATGAGCATTTGGTGGCCCTATTAGAACATATGCTGAAACCTGGAGAACCAGAATAACACTGCATACAAATGGAGCCAGCGCCATTCAAACTGAGACGATCTCTATCCGAAGAGATCCTTTTCAGGGTGGTTCACTAAGTCCCCTATGGTTTTTTCTAGCTATAAATCCCCTCTCAAACCTCTTAAATGCAACAGGGTATGGATATAATCTGAAAGACAACAGAAACGCATCCATAAAACTAAACCACTTACTGTATATGGACGACCTAAAGGTAAAAGCTGCTACTGAGAATCAAATTAAACATTTGCTAGAGATAGTCGGTCAGTTCTCAGATGCCATAAGTATACGATTTGGGATGGATAAATGCAAAACCTTATCTATACGTAAGGAGAATATCTACCCTGGATGATTTTCAAGCGGCAGAGGCCAAAACACAAGAAGCTACAACGCTGGATTGAAAAACCTCTACATGGGAGACATGCAAACGGATTAGCCAAGAAAACGTTGAGAAGAAAGCGTCAAACTATTGGCTTACCTCAGGCCAAATGTTTCCTGAGACTGAGGGATTCCTTGTAGCTATACAGGACCAGGTCATCCCTACCAACAATTACAAGAGGTCCATACTTAAGAACTTGCAACAGTCTGATAAATGCAGGTACGGCTGTCAGGACTCCGAAACAATACAACTCGTAACTGGTGGATGCCAAGCGTTCGCTCCAACGGACTATAAAGAGCGCCACGACATAGCTGCCAAAATCATTCACCAGGAGATGGTATACAAATTCAAACTGATCGAATGCAAGCTACAGTACTATAAATATACACCGCAACGTGTCCTCGAGAACGACAAGTATAAACTATACTGGGATCGCACTGTGCTTACGGACCAATACATAAAAAAAACATACCTGACATAATCATTGTCGACAAGGGCTCCCAGAAAGTAACACTGATCGATGTGGCCATACCTAGTAGTCACAATTTAACATATCTACAATCATAATGAGAAAGTTGCAAAATACAGGGGGCTAGAATTTCAAATTAAACGCCAGTGGAAAATGAAGTACGTGGAGACAATACCAATAATAATGTCATCAACAGGGGTGATACCAAGAAGCCTGCAAGAAAACATCAAAGCGCTGGAACTGAGTGAAAACATTTACAAAGTCATACAGAAAGGAGTTTTGCTGGCAACTGCCCACATAGTAAGAAAATTTTTGGGAACGCAAGTACCTAGTCAGGTCACTATTGAGGCTTATCCCTTTGCTGCTTGAAACGTCCGGGTTAAGCCAGAATACCCCGATTAACGGGAGAACAAAGCCCTACGGCTATAAAAATAATAATAATAATAATAATAATAATCATAAAAAAGCGATAAGTCCTATTTTAATTGGCTAAAGGCTTATTACGATTTTTATTAAGGCACTACAGGACATATATTTATAACTTATCTCTTTAGAATCTTCAAAAGATCGCCCCTTAAAGTTTGGCTACGCACTTTATTATTGAGGATTCTTTGTATTCCAGGTCAGACTGATAAAAGCTTCTCCACTGTTAGAAGACTTTGTTTACAAGATCTTCGGCCCAGGCAAGAAATTGGGCAGCCTGATCATCTTCACCATGTGCTTGCTGATCATTTCGTCAAGCATCTCCATGCAGCTGTTCTGCTTCCTGGACTTCACCAAGTTCGAGACGTTCGCCGAGGCATTCATGTCCATGTTCCAGATTTTGACGCAGGAGGCATGGGTTGAGGTCATGGATGAAACGATGCTCAGAACCAGATCGATGCTCGCACCACTTGTTGCTGTTTATTTTATCTTGTACCATCTGTTCGTCACTTTGGTAAGCATGAATGTAGTGCTTTTGGACCTCCATCCACACAAGATTCCAAGTCGTACATTTTTAAAGAGTTAGGTGACCTTGTGTCCAATTCCCTCCACCTTCATTTTTTAGCGATTCAGAATATTAAAAAGTTGCGTATCTTTTTGTCCTGTATACAAATTGGGTTTTAGATCGTGTTGAGCTTATTCGTAGCTGTCATCCTGGATAACTTGGAATTGGACGAAGACATAAAGAAACTGAAGCAGCTGAAGTATCGAGAACAAAGTGCTGAGATTAAAGAAACGCTACCGTTTCGTTTAAGAATATTCGAGAAGTTTCCTGACAGCCCTTTAATGGTCAGCTTACACAAAGTTCCATCTGATTTTACTCTACCAAAGGTGAGTAACAAAATGGATGTCATAATGTGTGACATGGGTTCAAGAACTAATAGCAAAGTTATGTCATTCGTAATTCATGGTATGCTACGAGGGATGTCTTTTAAGTTTTGCATATGGGAATAAAACAACACGGTAGGTAGTTTTAAATGACTTTATTGACTTTCGAAGTATTCTCCACGAACATTAATACACATATGCATGCGCTTGAACCAATTTTCGAAGGACTTATTCCACTCGTTTGCTGGCAGATCCAAAACGGCATTTTTGAATGCGTCAACTGCTTCTTCTGGTAACTAGATCGGAACTATATGGTCCAATAATTCCACGTTTTCTTCCGTTAAATACTGAATTGTTTTTTGGGCTGTGTGCAAGCTTGCATTGTCTTGGTGAAGGATGATTCTTCTTTCGGGGTTAATTTTTCGGAGCTCGTGATGACTTTTGGCAAACAAATGGTGGTATACCAATCCGCAGTAACAGTTCTTTGCTCATTAAGAGGCATTGTTGCAATATGACCCGCTTTTGACACAAATGTCGCGACCACCTTTTTCGAAACACTACTTCGAGAGCGAATGACTTTTGTTGGCTTTTCTTCACCTTGGAACACCCAAACAGCCGACTGTCGTTTATTTTCTGGTTCATAATAGTAAATCCGCGATTCATCACCACTAACAATGCTGTACACATTTTTTGAGTTTCCGGAATTGAAACGGTCAAGCGTTTTTTGACGCCAATTAACCCTGGCTGCTTTCTGCTCTTCAGTCAACAGGTGGGGTATCCAACGAGAAACTAATTTTCTTACTCCTAATTCTTCATGTAAAATTGTTTGAATTGAGGTCTTTGAGATCTTCAAGGACGCCTCAATGTCGCGATATGTCACATGTCACCCTGGGATCGTTGCTAAGACTCACCCGTCCACGTTTGAATTCTCCATACCCACGGGAAATTGTCGACTGATGTGGCGCTTCGTTGCCGAAAACAGACAGTAACTCAGCAAGGCATTCTAGTTGCGATAATTGTCTCTGAAAGTTGTAATAAATTATGGCGCAAAAATGTTCTCAGTTGAGTTCCATTTTTCTAATGACTTGGTGACACTTAAATATTCACTGTAATGAGAACACTGTACGTATCATTGTGAAACTTTGAATTTAAGTTTACTAAAGAGTGAGGTTAAGATTCGGTACTGACGTTCGATCCGCGCGGTCTACTATGTTTCTATATGCAAAACTTAAAAGACATTCCTCGTATTAATTTCACAGCTTGAGATATATTTTTAAGATTTGCTTTATTTGGTTAATTTTGTTATATATTTTTTAAGATTTGCTTTATTTGGTTAATTTTGTTACTTTTGCTCTCCTAGGTTAGAGAAAGCTTCATGAGACAGTTTGTGTATGAAAATGAAGAAGAGGATACTGCCGAAATCAGCATAAAGAAAGCTAACGAAGACGTATTTGATACCAAAGTTATATACAGGAAGCAGAAACCTCTGAAGGTGTTGAACGAACTGCCTAAAGTTAGGGTTGCGACTACGAAATTGAAGAAAACGGCTGTTTCTCAAATAATCAAGTAAGACTTATTTTGAATTTTTTTATCTAAAATCGTCAATTTTTCAGGATGTTTAAACAGATACTTTGAATAAAACAGAACATATAATCAAACATCACGCAAATATTCAAGGGACGATCCTAGTGCTATTTTAAGGAAATTTTAATCATTGGCGATTTTCGAATACCTAATCACTTCATTTTGAGGATACGGGGTGGAAAAGAATTGAGAAGATCAGTGTTAACATCTATGTGGATGTCTAAGATTTGATAAATCGGATAACTACTGAATATACGAGGTCTGTAAATTAAGTGATATGTCTGATTTTTTAATATTTTTATTCAAAACAACTTCCTTCTGACTGCACACAGCGCTGGAGACGGTTCTTGCACTGCTCATAGTAGTGGTGGAACTTCGATACTGGAATAGCCTTCAGTTGGTCGGTTACAGCTGTTTGAATAATTTTGACTGGCCCAAAATAAGTTTCTTTGAGGTGATTTTTTCAATTTTGATGAGAGAAAAAAGTCACAAGAACTCAAGTCAGTCGAATAAGGAGGCTGAAGAACCACAGGAATGTTTTTACTGGACAAATACTCGTTTATTGACATTGCTGTGTTCAAGGAGCATTATCGTGATGCAGGACCCAGTTGTTCTTGATCTGATGAACGCTGGTGTGAGACAAATTTAACTCTTGCCCGATCATTCTGTCAACCAACGATCTGAACGCACAATATCCCGGATTCTGTCCATATTTTCATCGGTTCTTGGTTCAGCTTCAATCGACTCCCTCCCTTCTGAAAATGCCTCAAACCACCGAAAAACCTGGGCTTTTGACAAATCAGAATCTCCGTAGACCTGCTGAGGTTTCCATTGCACTGCGCCCAAGTCTGAAGCAAAACCCGATAGCACGTCGTTGCTGAAAATTGATGTCATTCATTTTTGGAACGCAATAGGAAAAACTACTTCACAAAAAAAATCGCTACCGACAACCAAATGACTCGAGCGAGTTCAAACTTATACTGAATGCAAATCACATGTTCCCCTGTCTCCGCTCCAAGCTCAGCGTCTTCAGTGTTGCCACGTCGAACGCTACGTTGCCAGTCTCATCACTTAACTGACTGACCTCCTATATATCAGTTGCTATTGATCATGAAGTGTGATATTTATTTACAATGTACATTAGTGATGTATGAGGTTACTTACAAAATCGACTGACACTGACGGAAAATTTATTTTTTAAATTATAGTTTCTCATGTAATTTAGTGGTTATTCGAAGATCATCAAACGCTAAAATGGTCTAAAAAAGCTCCCTTGACTATATGCTTTATCTGTTGCAAATAGCCTCGGTATCTAGTACTCAGTTTATACGTGGCACTCCTCTGATGTTTTTTGTAAACGGGTTTGATGTTGGTACTGATACCAAAATGTCATAAAACGTAGGCAACCTAATTCCAACTACATTGACCGAGATTGACCACAATCTTTTCCAGTGACTCCAACAATCAAAGACTGCTGCTGGGCGACTCGTCCATGATCCCAGTACCTGGAAGCAAAGGACCCTTGAAACCGCAAGGCACCGTCAACAGTATGAAACAGTTACGTATTGAGCATACGAAGTGAGTTGATCAATCTGATCAGGTTTAAGCTTAGAATGCAACTGGCATGCAACGTTTAGAATCTTATGATCCACGAGAGCCAAGTATCTACGACATCTTAGAAGGGTTAAGGGTAGATGGGGAAAGGAAGGAGGATTGGTAAATTTTCAGTTACAAGCAAATGAATGGCATGATGATGAGTCGAAAACGAACTACTGTACGCAGCTTTTAATAGATCATTTCTTGAACAAAAAGGTTAAGGGATGTGTTATTCTGATGGACGAGGAGCTGTTTGCAATCCATGGATCTTACCCATAAAGATTGAATTAATATCAAGAAAATGGTAGCTTGACCGGCATAAAGTACATTAAAATGTGGTGGATTAGCGGTCAAACATGAAGATATTGCAATTACACAGAAGCAAACACGTTGATCGAAGATTGCTGATACTAAAAGATATTCTTCTGGGGTTGCCTATTAAACTATTACCACAAGCACATCACGAGTTTCAAGATATAGCTCTTTTGAAAAAATATCTCGCGCGATATTGTTGCAGATTTATTAGATGTTACTTATCTTAACCAACCTCTTTTACGTGGAAGATCTTCTAATCTTTATACAAAAGCTTCGGTAATATTTGTGTCTAATCCGGATAAGAAATGCATAGGTCTACAATCGTAGAACACACAAGGACAATGACTACAATAAAAGACTACCTTGCCACATTGCATATTATACAGGGTGGACCAGAAAGACGTACGAATTTCAAAACCGAATTGCTCTTGACAGGCACAAATTTAGTCGCCATGGAGCGTTTTACCGGTGAGCAGCGTGCGTTCTGTGTTAAAGCTTATTACAAAATTGGAGATTCGGGTACTATTGCGCCGGCGTCTGTTTCGCTCTGTAAATCAATGTCCTGGAGAAAGTGTGATCGGGTCGTAGGTCAAAAAGTTCGAGACTACCGGCTCGACAATGAATTAGAAACCTGCGGGGCGTCCATGGTCTTTACGAAGAAGCGACGTCCGTATGGTGCGAACCGCGAACCACGGTTATCATCCCGAAAGAAATCAGCTGAGCTCGCTACATCAAGAGCATCTGTAAGGCGTTTGCGTCTTTGGTAAAAGACTCCAAATTACACCCATTTAAACTTCAACTAGTGCAGGAATTAAAACCGTAGGATCACCATCTACGCCGTGCGTTTGCCGAAACAATTTTAGAGCGCTTTCCAAGTTTGAACAATATTCGCTCTTCTGGTGAAGCTCATTTGCATTTGAGTGGATTTGTCTTTAAGCAGAATTACCGGTATTGGGCCGCAGAAAATCTCAAATTAAAATACCAACGACCTTTGTATTTGCGTTATGGTACAGTTTGGGTGGCAATGTCGGCTGAAGGAATCATTCGACCCTATTTTTTCGAAAACGAGCTGGGCCAGACTGAAACAGTAAATTCTAATCGCTACACAGCAACGCTACGTAACTTTCTCTCCTCAACTGCATAATTTCGAAGCCTACTATAGTAGGACCTGGTTTCAACAAGATGAGACACCCCATACCACCAACGCATCTTCAGCAGTTCTATACGAAACGTTAGGCAAAACTGATATCGCAACGAGGGGACATTCCGTGGCCTCCCCGGAACACAGACCTCATGTCACTGGATTTTTTTCTCTGGGGATACATCAGAAGCCGCCTTTACGCCAATAAACCGACGACGATTTCCCAGCTCAATCTCAACAGAGACTCGAGAAGTGCGTACGTCAAGTGTCTACTTTATTAGAAATGTAAATGAATCAACCTTACGCTTCGTTTTTTTTTTTCTATGATTTTTTAAAGTCCACTCAACTTAATGGCTCACCCTGTATAACAAAAATCAGGACAGTTCAATTCGTTTATAACACTGCATATTTCATGGATTTATTTTTATCTGTGATCTAAAACTCATGTTTCTGTAACCTTAGGAAATATGCCTTCCCCTAGTCTCAGTAACTAACAGTGCTTTCTTATTTCAATAACGGTTTACGTAGGACTGCCTTGCTACTGTGTAAAATCGAAATATGGAAGATTATAACGAAGCAGCAAATACAATATTATGTATAGTGAAAAAATGCACCTATATGTGCTGTCAGCACTTTTTAAAAGTGATATTTGCCTTTTCGGTTATTTAGGTCGCAGAAAATAAATTAAAAAGTTCTAAGTTATATGTACGAATATGTTCAACGCAATTACTATTTTTGAGGTCAGAATTATAGATCTGAAAAGTGTCATAAAGTTTTGAGTAAGTTCAAATACGTTAGCTTCCAATGACAAAACTACATTCAGTCACATCATCAAGCATTCAAGAACGAGTCGTCAAATTACAGTTACCAATCCTCAATCCTTTTGTAACCCATTAACTATTGTATTGAATATTAAGTAATGTACTATATTCTGACGTAACGAATTGTTTTTGGAATAAAGAAAAGTTCGTTAGTAGCGCCAAATCCTTTCATGTCCCGGCATCTAAAGTAAATACTAATACAATCTTGGGTAGAAGCAAGAGACCCAATTTTTATTTATGACAAAAACTAAGCAAACATGTATTATGGATGTAGCTATTGATACAAATGGAATGGGTTAGGTCAGTGGCGGATTTAAAGAGTGGCAAAATGGGCATTGCCAGTTGAGCCTCCTGGCCGAAACGTCACAGTGCCCCTATCAGGACAGCTCTAGAGCCATATTGGCTAGCTAGTTTCAATGTGAAATCTATAGCAAAGGATTCAACGCTTGCGAAATTTTCCCAATAATAGTTTGTGCGATGTTCATGGAATAGTTTGTTAGCATTTACATCATAGGTTCTCAAACTTATCTCATCTTCTGCCCACTTTGAGAATCAACTATTTGGTAGCGGACCCCGAAATTGTTATTCAAGATGTTCGTTTCGGGTAGAGGGAGGGTCCGGTCGGCAAATCCAGCTTGAGCCGCGAGATGCGCAGAAAACAGAGTGAGCCGGTGGATGTCTGAGAGAAACGGTAATAGCCGACGGATATAGAAGTACAGTCGACGCGGCAAGTTCAGTTACAGCGTGCCAATTTCTGTTATTTAATTTAATTTGATGAAAGGCTACCTATTTGACGATTACAATTCGCCCTTCGTAGACAGCCCCTTGACTTCGCTTACCAACTACACTGAGGGAAAAGACATCCGAATTTGGCATTTCACTAGAACTTTACAGAAAAAATGTTGGGATGCAATTCTTTCATTAAGGGATTGATTGATTAGCTAATTGCCTGATGGTCGCATATACATAGAATCTAGCTGAATAGAAAGAAATATTGATTCTAACTGAAAAACATAATACAAAAAAGCTTCAGGTGGGGGTTTTAAACCCTATAGATTCTGTTATCATTTTCGAAATTTTCAAAATGGATCAACAGTTTACTATCCAAACTATCAGTACTTTTAGAGAATTTTACACATACCTCACAGGAATGAATCTGCAAACACTTTCATTTATCATCATCAGCCTCAAAAATTGATTTACTATAGAGTGTGATTCTACACCCAAAATTCTGCTATCTTCCTCTTCTCCTTCTGAATCTTCATCTTCAGTTTCAAAAAAATCACTATCACTGTCAGTTTGATTTAAATTGCTAACGAATTCATCCACAACTCATCCCAGTGTTTTAAAACAGCAGAAAATTTAAAATCGATATTGAGACATGCTACGTGAGATTTCATTGCTGCCCACGAGTTCTATAGGGTTCAACTAGCGGTTATAGGGTGGCAATCTGAATACATCGTGCCCAGCATCATGCAGAATTTTATCTATTGTAAACTTCTTATAAGCAGGCTTATATCATCATTTCTGTTTTGGTTGTTGAGTAAGTTTGGCCTTTTTCTGTTTGTATATTATGATACGGTGCGTTGTCTATAACAACCACGCTTTTGGGAGGTAGGTTTGGAACTAACTTTTCTTCCAACCACTTTTTACAATTGTTAAAATTCATCTCATTATGGTAATCGCCTGTACTACACGTAGATTTCCATCTCACATACACATTGGGTATGAATCCATGTTCACTGCCGGCATGGAGAATAATCAACCTGGCCCCTTTGTTTACAGATTTTTTTATGCTTTCCATGGAGCCACCAACCCAGGTTTTGGGGTTTGTATGGGAAGCGTGTATATATGTCTCGTCAGTATAGATCACACTGGACGTCCTTCTTGTCTATATTTCTGCATACTCCTCAAGAACATTATACGTAAATGGCGAATTTCTGGTTTTTCCATTAATAGCTTCCTATTGGTCTCAAATGATTGCCACTTAAACCCTAATTTATGAATTTCTTTACGCAACGTTTCTCTGCTTCCTCGATATCCTACTAGCTCAATCATCTTCCTGTGTACACATTGCAAGGTAGGTACACGTTTTTCGGTTACATGAAAGTTTATTATTGTTTTTCGTAACAATCCTCTGTTGAAACCATCCAGACCCATCTTACTATTAATATTTCTCCGTTTGTTTGGTGTAGAAAATGAAATTGTGCTGTTCTCTTGTATATTTAACGCTTCCTTTTTAATGCGTTTGATGGTAATCATACTGACACCTGTAGCTGCAGAGACCCCGTTCTTGTTTTATAATTTACAATAGTTTTGAATGAAAAAAAAACCCATTTTGTACACAGGCTTTGATATAACATTCAACCAAGATGTTAGGTCTCACCGCTGCTCAAATGGGCAAGTAATTCGTGAACAATTCTTTGTCATTTATAGATATATATGTTATACTCATCATGAAGGCTAAAGACAATTTGAAATCTTTCTGTGATAAAGTGCTTTTTTTTCATTAATGGTTAAAACTATATGCAAAATTACGTGAACGAACATAGGCATTTTAGACAAAGTCTTCTCAAAGTAATTTATTTTTCATTGTTGCATAAATTTTGGAATCCGCGCATCTGACCTTGGTAGACCAAGCTAGATTTGTCAAACTGTAATCACAGATACCGCAATTAAAAATTGAAAAGCGCGGGGGGGTAGGTGGAGCAGTTTGCTGCACCTCAGCGCTTCTGAGAACGAATGCCTAATTTTGAAGAACATGCCATGAGTCAATGTCGAGGAATGTAATCATACTATGTAAAATTAAGCTTTGCCCTCGTAATACAAACGAATTTTTCTGCCACTGTAGGATATAACAAAGTTTTCGGTCCTTTGATGCAAGAGAATCTAAGAAATTTAAATTACGAATTGGAAAACAATATTCAGAATTTTTCACCACAGATCTGAAGCATTAACCGGTCAATTTCACATGTATGTATATATTTTTCGCAAGATCATCATTTCACAAATGCCAGTTCGATACATTATTTTAGAGTTTATTATTGCAAACAATATTGTTGCGGTATGTTTGGGTCGTTTCTGACTTTTCCTATAGACTTAGCTAGTGCTGAATATGTCATGAGGTGTTTGAAAATTGTTAAAGAATATCATCGGTCTTCTTTGAATGAAGACACGCCAAACAATTTTTGTATCATCTACATCAAATCAAGATCAGTTGCGAATTCACGCATTCAGTAACAAATGCAAAATGAGGATTCAAAGCTATATGATTACGGTACCCATCCGATGAAAAATTTTCATTTCACAATGCATCACTTGTTTATGATGATGTTCTTAAATCTGCCACTGGCTTGGGTTTTAGATCTACCTATTCAGCAGCATTTACCGTTTCATTAGCTAATTTCGAAAAGTTTTTGCAAAATCTCACAAACTTGATATTTTTGAAAATATATTGAGTCATGAGACGAAGACAAGTGCTGATGAAAATGGGCTGATAACTAGTTATAACGTACTTTTTATGATGTGCCTAGTGCATATCCAATTTTGATATTCGTTTCAGGTTTGGATCTAGGTCAATAAGAAGAAGTGTACGAAGTGGATCCATCAAATTAAAGCAAACTTATGAACATCTGATGGAAAATGGAGACATAGGTGTGAACAGAGTAACTTCTAACAGAGCCCGGCCTCATGATTTGGATATTAAGCTTCTGCAAGCCAAGAGACAACAGGCCGAAATGAGAAGGTATTTTTGACACTTTATTGTACGGTGTTGTAAGTACTAGTTGAGCCAAAATTCATGAATATCTATTTCCCTTTCGTCCCTTAGACTCTATCTTCCTATAGGCGGACATTTTGATACCCGCGCCAAGTGGCGAGGAATTATTGTAATCGTGAAAAATTTCGAAAATGAGATATTATGTTTATGTCCGTCTGTCCGTTAATATTTGACCCAGTAGAACTTGGAAAGTACCGATCTGATTTTGATGAAATTTTGAAACAAGGTAACTAGAATGTCAAGAACGAAAAATGTTTTTTTTTCTTGAGAAACTGGTTCAGCGGCGGCGGAGCAGCGAACAACAAAATAAAAAAAAAACTCCAACCTCGTTTTTTTTTGGTGCTGAAGGGTCTCCTCATAATTTTAAGCAAAAATTTGGGTAGAGCTAAGATTGGGGGATGAGAGTTGTACAAGTCATGAGAGGTTGTAAATATTGCATTTTCGTATCTGTGCTCCATTATTAAGCAGCTTCTGATCCCGATAATACAATGCATTCATTAGATATAATAGTCGTACACATTTATGCATGTGAAGCTTAGTTCCAAAGGTTGGCTACATGATCAATGGTATCCCCTAACATAGTCATACATGTGAAGGTAGCTCCAAAAGATGACTCCACAATCCTACCCGCCGCTAGATTACAGCGCCCCGAATAAATGCTGTCCGCCTGCGATGCGCCGTGGCCGTAGCATTAAGGATACCCCAAACTGACGCGAATATTTCGCAGCGACTGCGATCAATTCGCGACGACATTGTCGCCCAGGGACTCTTCTAGTAGAAGCAAATGAACAAGAACAGACCTGTGCGTCAATTTAGCTCACAGCGGTGCGACAGTGCAGCGTCTAAATTCTAATTCGGTGCTTGCACGATTTTTAGCGCTGTCGCAATGGCAAACACCTCTGGAAATAATTAAACAATTTCCAATTCTCTATGACTTGAACAAAGGGGACTACAAAAAAAATGTTCGAAAAAAAGACAAAATCTGGGATGAGAGGTATGAGATAGGAGTGGAATTGAATGACACCGGTAAGTTCATCTTTACTGAGAAATTATTATAATACGTTTATTATTTATGAATGGCTTAGCTAAGCTGATATTGACCAACAATATTAGGAGTTGAAGTAGTCAACAAATTTTTCTTGTGTAGAAAATGCCAGATTCGTTGCGCGTCTTGGATCATTTTCGATGTTGGTAAAGGCTTGTGATGGATCTGGATCATCGTCTATAAGGTGTATATACTGTTCGTCACATTGCTTACTGCGTAAAAAAATATGCAGAACGCATGTAGTTTTTACTATTAAAATTGTAGTATCTCTTTTCGTTTCCATGGGCCTATAAAAAATTCTCCACTTTTGACTTTCGACTTGTAGTATGGATCAACGATTTTATGTTTACCTCAGAGTTATGTCAAGCCTTTCTTCCGGAGAAATAGCCTCCCGATAATCCGTATCCATCTTTTTAATGTCTTCTTTAATATAATCTAATATCTCATCGAAGCAATCACTTGTCATTCGAAAGTATATATAGAACCGTTTTTTGTCTTGGCGCAATTCAGACATTAATGTTTGGAATTCCAACAATTTCCTTCTTCCTAAGTTAATTTTATGGTACCATTTTCTTCGCTTCCTGTAAATATTTGCGAATGTTCTATTTTTTTGAGACCTAGATATTGCAAGAAATGCATACCTACTCCATTCTTTCTCCGCCAAAGCAAGATATAGAATTGCTTCTTCTTCATCTGAAGAGTACATGTTTTAATTTGATTTTCAAGCTACAATCTCACACCGTTTACTGCCAATCCACTGCGATCTTTTCGCTTCGATATGAAAGTCCCTCAGATGTTCGCAGCGAATTTCGCGAGAATTATATCGCCACGAATATCGCAGCGGATTAATCGCGTTGGTTTGGGGGATCCTTTACTCATAGAAGCCCGTGACGCGCATACGAGGTGAGCGCGGTAATTATATACATTCTGTCTGTGCCTACGAGTCTTATGCTATTGCGGTATTGCATTAACTGGTTCTGCAGACTTTGTAGGTTCGTATCTAATGCTAGCGTACACCTCAACTCATAATAAACAGGCCTGTCGTGTATTTTTTTTTTCGTGTAAACCTGCATAAGTGCGTCGAATTGCTTTTCAGGGTTTAAAGTACACAGCAAGAGCTATTATAATCAGTTATCAAAATGTTGTTACAGACGATCTTACACCCCAGCTCCAAAGAAAGAAGTCTGTCCGGTACGGTGCGCGATACTCCCTGCAATTTAGGAAAAAATGTTTTTTCGTGAAAACCTGCACAAGTGCATCGGTGTGCTTTTCAGGGTTTAAAATACACAACAAGAGCTATTATAATCAGTTATCAAAATGTTGTTACAAATGGTCTTACACCCCAGCTCCAAAGAAAGAAGTCTGTCGGGTACGGTGCGCGATATTGTAGGAAAAAATTGTTTCGTGAAAACCTGCAGAAGTGCGTCGATGTGATTTTCAGGGTTTAAAGTACACAACAAGAGTTATCATAATCAGTTATTAAAATGTTGTTACAAATGGTCTTACACCCCAGCTCCAAAGAAAGAAGTCTGTCGGGTACGGTGCGCGATACTCCCTGCAATTTAGGAAAAAATGTTTTCGTGAATACCTGCACAAGTGCGTCGATGTGCTTTCCAGGGTTTGAAATACACAACAAGAGCTATTATAATCAGTTATCAAAATGTTGTTACAAATGGTCTTACACCCCAGCTCCAAAGAAAGAAGTCTGTCGCGTACGGTGCGCGATACTCCCTGCAATTTAGGAAAAAATTGTTTTCGTGAAAACCTGCAGAAGTGCGTCGATGTGCTTCTCAGGGTTTGAAATACACAACAAGAGCTATTATAATCAGTTATCAAAACGTTGTTACAAACGGTGTTACACCCCAGCTCCAAAGAAAAAAGTCTGTCGGGTACGGTGCGCGATACTCCCTGCAATTTGTGAAAAAATTTTTTTCGTGAAAACCTGCAGAAGTGCGTCGGTGTGCTTTTCAGGGTTTAAGGTACACAACAAGAGCTATTATAATCAGTTATCAAAATGTTGTTACAGACGGTCTTACACCCCAGCTCCAAAGAAAAAAGTCTGTCGGGTCCGGTGCGCGATACTCACTGCAATTTAGGAAAAATTATTTTTCGTGAAAACCTGCAGAAGTGCGTCGATGTGATTTTCAGGGTTTAAAGTACACAACAAGAGCTATCATAATCAGTTATTAAAATGTTGTTACAAATGGTCTTACACCCCAGCTCCAAAGAAAGAAGTGTGTCGGGTACGGTGCGCGATACTCCCTGCAATTCAGGAAAAAATGTTTTTTCGTGAAAACCTGCACAAGTGCATCAGTGTGCTATTCAGGGTTTAAAATACACAACAAGAGCTATTATAATCAGTTATCAAAATGTTGTTACAAACGGTATTACACCCCAGCTCCAAAGAAAGAAGTCTGTCGGGTACGGTGCGCGATACTCCCTGCAATTTAGGAAAAAATGTTTTCGTGAATACCTGCAGAAGTGCGTCGATGTGCTTCTCAGGGTTTGAAATACACAACAAGCGCTATTATAATCAGTTATCAAAACGTTGTTACAAATGGTCTTACACCCCAGCTCCAAAGAAAAAAGTCTGTCGGGTACGGTGCGCGATACTCCCTGCAATTTGTGAAAATTTTTTTTCTGAAAACCTGCAGAAGTGCGTCGGTGTGCTTTTAAGGGTTTAAGGTACACAACAAGAGCTATTATAATCAGTTATCAAAATGTTGTTACAGACGGTCTTACACCCCAGCTCCAAAGAAAAAGGTCTGTCGGGTCCGGTGCGCGATACTCACTGCAATTTAGGAAAAATTATTTTTCGTGAAAACCTGCAGAAGTGCGTCGATGTGCTTCTCAGGGTTTGAAATACACAACAAAAGCTATTAAAATCAGTTTTCAAAATGTTGTTACAAGTGGTCTTACACCACAGCTCCAAAGAAAGAAGTCTGTCGGGTACGGTGCGCGATATTGTAGGAAAAAATGGTTTCGTGAAAACCTGCAGAAGTGCGTCGATGTGATTTTCAGGGTTTAAAGTACACAACAAGAGCTATCATAATCAGTTATTAAAATGTTGTTACAAATGGTCTTACACCCCAGCTCCAAAGAAAGAAGTCTGTCGGGTACGGTGCGCGATACTCCCTGCAATTTAGGAAAAAATGTTTTTTCGTGAAAACCTGCACAAGTGCATCAGTGTGCTATTCAGGGTTTAAAATACACAACAAGAGCTATTATAATCAGTTATCAAAATGTTGTTACAAACGGTATTACACCCCAGCTCCAAAGAAAGAAGTCTGTCGGGTACGGTGCGCGATACTCCCTGCAATTTAGGAAAAAATGTTTTCGTGAATACCTGCAGAAGTGCGTCGATGTGCTTCTCAGGGTTTGAAATACACAACAAGCGCTATTATAATCAGTTATCAAAACGTTGTTACAAATGGTCTTACACCCCAGCTCCAAAGAAAAAAGTCTGTCGGGTACGGTGCGCGATACTCCCTGCAATTTGTGAAAAAATTTTTTTCGTGAAAACCTGCAGAAGTGCGTCGGTGTGCTTTTCAGGGTTTAAGGTACACAACAAGAGCTATTATAATCAGTTATCAAAATGTTGTTACAGACGGTCTTACACCCCAGCTCCAAAGAAAAAGGTCTGTCGGGTCCGGTGCGCGATACTCACTGCAATTTAGGAAAAATTATTTTTCGTGAAAACCTGCAGAAGTGCGTCGATGTGCTTCTCAGGGTTTGAAATACACAACAAAAGCTATTAAAATCAGTTTTCAAAATGTTGTTACAAGTGGTCTTACACCACAGCTCCAAAGAAAGAAGTCTGTCGGGTACGGTGCGCGATATTGTAGGAAAAAATTGTTTCGTGAAAACCTGCAGAAGTGCGTCGATGTGATTTTCAGGGTTTAAAGTACACAACAAGAGCTATCATAATCAGTTATTAAAATGTTGTTACAAATGGTCTTACACCCCAGCTCCAAAGAAAGAAGTCTGTCGGGTACGGTGCGCGATACTCCCTGCAATTTAGGAAAAAATGTTTTTTCGTGAAAACCTGCACAAGTGCATCAGTGTGCTATTCAGAGTTTAAAATACACAACAAGAGCTATTATAATCGGTTATCAAAATGTTGTTACAAACGGTATTACACCCCAGCTCCAAAGAAAGAAGTCTGTCGGGTACGGTGCGCGATACTCCTTGCAATTTAGGAAAAAATGTTTTCGTGAATACCTGCACAAGTGCGTCGATGTGCTTTTCAGGGTTTGAAATACACAACAAGAGCTATTATAATCAGTTATCAAAATGTTGTTACAAATGGTCTTACACCCCAGCTCCAAAGAAAGAAGTCTGTCGGGTACGGTGCGCGATATTCACTGCAATTTAGGAAACATTTTTTTTCGTGAAAACCTGCAGAAGTGCCAATCTTTCAGATTGAATGACCGTTATACATTTTTTATTATATTGTCTTCAGAAACCAACGCGAGGAGGATCTGCGAGAGAATCACCCATTTTTTGACACGCCTCTGTTTGCTGTCCCAAGAGAAAGCAGATTTCGCAAACTGTGTCAAATGATAGTTTACGCTCGGTATGATGCAAGGCTTAAAGATCCGCTGACTGGGAAGGAACGTAAAGTCAAGTACAAAACCCTACAGTGAGTAAAAATATATTTCAGGTTACTATATGTGCTGTAGTGTGGACCACGCAAAGTAAAATAATGTTATCGTCCATGAGTAGGCACATTCTTATTTCATTTGGTCATCTTTTAAAAACTGAGTAAGCCTTGTTTCACGTCGATTTTGGTTGTAAGCGGAGTATGATCAACCTCTGTTACTTGCAGTTCTATCCCAAGATCCTATAAAAACTTCGATTTGCTGTCGAAGGGAGTTAGAGCGACTTTCAAAGATGTGGTGATGATGTGTAGTCATATTGAAAGTCTTCTGCCAACATAAAATATCGGATTGACCGTATAGACTTTCATTGTCTAGACATTTTTTGAGAACACGACGTTTCTAGTGATGTGGTATCTTCAACCGTCTTTAGGTGAATTGGCAAAGGCGGTCCTTCCGTGGTTACTCACACTCGCATCGCTGACCAAACTGAAAGGACATGTTCGCCAATTCACCCAAATCGTGATCTCAAAAATCGTATAGTCAACGAAAAGTATTTATTTCACATTTAACACTGTTCTGGATGGAGAACAATCGTCTCATTAATTTAAATCCTTTCAGCAATTTCCTTGGCTTAGTGACGTATCTTGACTGGGTAATGATAACGATGACAACACTATCATGTCTCTCGATGATGTTCGAAACACCTTACTATCGGGTCATGGAAAACGTTAGCCTGCAAATCGCCGAATACGGATTTGTTATCTTCATGAGCATCGAGTTAGCTTTGAAAATTTTGGCTGATGGACTTTTCTTCACCCCGAAAGCTTACGTCAAAGACGTTGCTGCTGTGCTTGATGTTTTTATATACCTCGTAAGTATTATAATCCATTATAATAGCTAACGCAAGAAATAGGGAAATATCTCCCAGATATTATCTACTCTAAAGCATGTAACGGGTGTTTTTTTAAGAGGTATAGGATTTGATTTTCAAAAAAAACACAAAAAATTTGAACAAACGATTAAATCTTTATTTGAGTCGATAGAACGGTCGATATAATTTAATGTTTACAGATTATTTCATGTAAGTGTTGGCCGCGGCTCCGCTTTAGATGGCCCATGCGCAAGGTCCAATTTTTGGCACACTCTCTCCAACATATCGGCCGGTATCTCACGAATAAATGCTTCAATATTGGCTTCCAGTGCGTCAGTCGTTGCTAGTTTATCCCTGTAGACATTAGCCTTAACATGGCCCCACAAGAAATAGTCCAACGGCGTTACATCACACGATCTAGGCGCAAATTGACGGGCCCCAAACGTGAGATAAACTGTTCACCGAACTCGGCTCTCAATAGGGCCATTGTTTCGTGTGCGGTGTGGCATGTGGCACCGTCTTGTTGAAACCACATGTCAGCCAAGTCCAGCTCTTCCATTTTGGGCAAAAAAAATTTGTTATCTTCCCCCGCTAGCGCTCGCCATTCACAGTTACGTTCCGGCCATTGTCGTCTTTGAAGAAGTACGGCCCGATGATGCCACCGGCCCATAATCCACACCAAACAGTAATTTGTTCGGGATGCATGGGTAGCTCATGCAATGCTTCTGGCTGGTCTTCACTCCAGATGCGGCAATTTTGCTTGTTAACGTATCCATTCTACCAGAAATGAGCTTCGTCGCTGAACACAATTTTTCGATAAAAATGTGGATCTTCCTCCAACTTCGCCAGCGCCCATTCACCAAATTGGGAACGTTGTGGGAGGTCGTGTGGCTTCAATTCTTGCACCAGCTGGATCTTATAAGCTTTTACACCCAAATCCTGTCGCAAAATTTTCCACGTAGTGGAGTAACAGAGGCCCAATTGCTGCGAACGGCGGCGAATCGACATTTCACAGTCATCACTAACACTGGCGGATACAGCCGCAATATTTTCTTCAGTCCTCACTCTACGTCTGCGTGTTGGTGGTTTAATGTTCGATAATGTAAACTGGGTTCGAAATTTAGTCACAAGCTTCCGAATAGCTCCCTCAGTAGGCCGTACACTCTCTTAACCGAGCATGAATTTTGATAGTAAAATTCAATAATTTGCAAGCGTTGTTCGTTCGTAAGTCGATTCATGGTTAAATTATAGACCAAACTGAACAAGTTTGACAATGACATAAGACACGATTCACGCGTCATCTGTCAAAAACAGTGTTGCCAAAAAGATACTAGCAAAAAAATCACCCATTATTAAATAAATTAGGGAAATATTGTATAAGACACGTTAAGCTTATTAAAATAGCGTCACCTTGCTTTTGATCATCCTGGAGACCACAGTGGAAAATTCTAAGCCCAATCAGAATACCTACCTTTACAAAAAAAATATTCTTCATATTTCAGGTCAGCTTAACATTTCTTTGTTGGATGCCTAAAAGCGTCCCACCGAATTCCGGAGCACAACTTTTGATGATTTTGAGATGTTTGAGACCGCTGAGAATTTTTACGCTGGTACCGCATATGAGCAAAGTTGTATATGAACTGTGCAGAGGATTTAAGGAAATCCTTTTGGTATCTACACTTCTGATACTACTGATGTTTATTTTTGCCAGTTACGGTGTACAACTGTATGGAGGTAGACTTGCCAGGTAGGTGGCAATCTATCAGATTTATTTTTGTACCGAAATGACAACAGAATTTTGTTCTCGCTCCCCTCAAATGGTTCACCAGAATCTTTACATCACTGGTATGTCTTGATACGGAGGTAAATAAGTATAACATATCCGTTTTAGATGTAATGATCCTAATATTACAAGGCGAGAAGACTGCACGGGAATTTTTCTGAGGCGAGTATTTGTCACAAAAATGAAAGTACAACCAGGAGAGAACGAGACTTACCCAGCTATGCTAGTACCGAGAGTATGGTAAGTACAGATGTACATCATTTTTCGATATTGACAATATCCAATTAATTTTCAGGGCGAACCCAAGAAGATTCAATTTCGATAATATCGGCGATGCAATGTTGACCCTTTTCGAAGTTTTGTCTTTCAAGGGATGGCTGGATGTAAGAGATGTTCTTATAAAAAACCTAGGGCTTGTAAGCAATTTAACAACTATCGAAGTATCTTGTTTATTAATTGCTGTTTTTTTAGGTCCATGCAGTTTACATACATGTATATATTTTTCTTGGCTGTATGATAGGTCTCACACTATTTGTTGGTGTCGTCATTGCCAACTATTCCGAGAACAAGGGTACTGCTTTGCTGACTGTGGATCAAAGAAGATGGTATGTATGTACTAGTACATATTGCATACGTGAACGATTTTTTTTTTTTGCTTATGTAAAACTATGATACTTTATAGTGGACATATTAAAAGACAATGATTTTAATTACTTATTGAAAAAGGAATGAAAGCTCAATTTGTATATGAAATATTGCATTTTTTATCTATATGTTTTAGGTGTGATCTCAAAAAGAGATTGAAAATAGCTCAACCGTTACATTTGCCTCCTAGACCAGATGGCAAAAAATTTAGAGCTTTCATTTATGATATAACTCAAAATATCAAGTTCAAAAGATTTATTGCTGTCATGGTATTGATCAATAGTGCACTTCTGGGTGTAGGGGTAAGCATCAATTCCTCAGTAGTATGAAAGGATCGTCGACTGTTTCCAAAAATGATTACAGGTCCAAGGGACATTCAAATGTGTAACCTTAACAGAAAAATTGTGTCAAGTCAGTCAAGTTCTTTCACAACTCGAATGATTCATATCTTGGAACCATACTAAACATATTGTAAATATCCTTGATTCACAGGAATCCTACGGTTCTAATTTAGACCATTTTCTAGATCTTAAAATTTTTGTGAGGACCGAATACTTGTGAATGTAGCATCAAGATATGAAATGAATAACATTGCACTTATCAAAACTGTATTACTGGGTCATAAAAAACGTTCTGGATGCTAAAAAATCCATCTCATTGAGGATAAGTTCTATGCTTTATAGAGCTAACCTCTCAGTGTGAGCTGTTCCTTCTAGTAGATTCTCTAGACGTGATAGGATAAGCTATTTAATCCATTTTCAGTGGAATAAAGATGAACCTTACACAGAAATCCTAGCGACGGTTGACATTATCTGTACCTGTTTATTTGTGGTGGAAGTCGTGATGAAGAATATAGCCTTTACTCCCAGAGGCTACCTACAATCTAGAAGAAACAGATACGATCTTTTTGTAACTGTGATGGGCGTCATTTGGATGTTCTTCCATATCATGTTTAAGGTTTGTTACATTAATATTCAAGCGACACAATAATTGCCGTTAGAATCCTCGAATTGTTCTATACCATAGAGAGAAAATGTCGTCAAGTAGGTTAACTCTCTAAACGGATCAAGCCAGTCAAACAGATCCATACAATTAGTCCATGGACATTCTTTCGCTGCCTCACCGGTAGTTACCGTCCATACAGTCAGATGCGTCAGCGCCCCCGCGGCACTGCTGAAGTACGAGCAGAACAGTAAATCAGACGGGTACGCCGGGCGATAAGCCCATTTAGCAGGAGGCGAGTATCAAAAATATCATTGTAAGTTTTAAACATAAAAGTAAAAATGAGATATCCCTTACCCCACCGCCAATCCCATTTTCAACCCCTATATTTTTCTGAATATGATCAGGAGCCTCTGAAATGACAAAAACGAAGTTTGACAGACTGACAGGCAAACCGATGGAAATGAGTGACATGGTTTTTCGTGATTTACATGTGTGACATCCAAAAATTATATTTCATTTTCGAATTTTTTTCGAGAATGCAATACTTCCTCGCAGTCGCGTAGGAAGGAAAATTATGATGAGAAATTTGTAATCCGATCCTGACTGTTTGATAATCGCTTTGGAGATGACAAAAGCTTCACCTTGATCATTGTACATTTGTCTCATTTGTAGTTTTTAAAATAAATAGGATCATTTTTTTGTAGCGCCTGAAAGTAAGGTACGATAAGATTCTCTTTTGCTATGTAATGGTTATCCTTGGTGGTGACCTGCAAAGGAAGAAAGCGAAATTTTTCAAAATTATTGACGGAAAGGAAAACAACAGGTTCATTGTATTTCCAGTAACCATTCACATTTGCCATTATGGTGGTCAAATAAGTATTGAATTGATCGTGTAAGGCAGCTGGAATGATTCAATGTAGACTGTCTCATGGTTAGGGAAGGATGCAATGACTGAGTTGTTTTATTTTAGTCTAAGATCCGAAATAGAAACGATTTTCACCCAGCGTTTACTGGAGGAAAAGTATTTCATTTCAATTTTAGTAAGTTAAGTTATTAAAAAATTCATTGCGAGTGGGTTGTTCAAAAAAAATATAATAATAATATTGTAACACCCTGTATATTGCGGTAGGTCATAGTTTGAGTTCGATTTTGTGCTGTCAAAAAGTAGGTACATACGAGCCCTGTCTCAATGAAGTTGGCCCAACTATCAACACAATGTTTTTTATGAAATATTCCTGACATACAGCTGTGTGTGTTTTTTACCATTTTTAAGTAATGTACCATGGATCCAGCTTTCATGAGGCTACAAAATGTTTCCTTCAATTTAACCTTTAATAACATTTAGCAACAATCTCACATACTACTCTCCTGAAGATGATGGCATAGCTCATCGAAAGCAAGAGACTAATAAAGTATAACGAGTCCTCATCGCTTTAATCATGTCTAAGTACTCAACTATATATATATATATATGTATATATAGGTGCAAAATTAAAGCTTCCGCCTTTTGTTGGGTACTTCGACAAAATTTAAGCAAGGAGAGGACTCTTTATACTTTTTTATTCTCTCTAGCTTTCAATGGTCTTTGCCATCATCATCAGGAGAGTAGTATGTGAGGATGTTGCTAATTGTTGTTTACGTATAGGATGAGGGAAACGTCCAGTAACATGGTGAGAGCTGGATAGACGGTACAATGGTCAAAATTATACAAACTACACACAGCTGTATAAGGTCCATCAGCAAGAAGTAATAGCACAAAATTCGAGTAAAATCTGATTCAATGAATTCATTTGATTTTCAGAATGATCTAACCTACTTCATAGGATTCATGGTGGTTATTCTGAGATTCTTCACAATAACAGGAAAACACGCAACATTGAAGATGTTAATGTTGACTGTTGGAGTGTCAGTATGCAAAAGCTTCTTCATCATTTTTGGCATGTTCTTGTTAGTATTCTTCTACGCTCTCGCTGGTACCATAATATTTGGCACTGTCAAATATGGAGAAGGGATTGGAAGGTAACGGGAGTTTCTATACCTAACAGATTCTCAATAACTCTACGATCAGATTCAGGTTCTGTTATTAAATGCTTTATCTTAGTATTCAACTCCCATTCTGTATCTATCAAATGGATGTGACCACAAATCACGACAAGATAATTCTATTGATATTTCGGCTGCCACGGCCATATTAGAGCTGGATATACATTTTTAATAAATCTGAAAAACAAGAAATGAATACTTGGATGACTTAAACATATCATGTTTCATGTCTTGCGAGTAAAAGATGTGAGATAGAAGTATAGAGTAAGATGACGAAATCGGATGAATGATACAAGTATGTTATATTTTAAAGAAAGTTAGATTTGTATCCTACAAAATTAAATACCTTGGGAATATATTGACAGAAAAATATCTTCGAACATTATACCATGCACTGATTGAGCCTCATCTCACATATGGTATATTAGCATGGGGAGCTGCATGTTCCTCACGTATCTATAATTTAGATGTTTTTCAAAAAAGTATTCTAAAAATGATATTTAAAAAACCGAAACTTTATCCCACTGAAAAATTATACGCGGATGTTCGAATGTATGATATAAGACAGCTTTATTTCTTACACAGTATCACTCACTACCATAAATTTGTAAACACCGACCAAAAAATTAAGCATAATCATTATACCAGGTACAAAATTTGTGGCACAGTAGTTCCTCAACCGCATAAATCTATAATGCAGCGATCGTATCTCTATTTAGCGCCTAAATTTTATGAAATTATACCTAAAGACTTAAAAGATTTACGTTTCGGAAATTGTTTCAAAAGAAATTTAAAAAAGTGGCTACATTCTATATCTAGGACTGAAATTCATAAACTCATAAATACGAACATCAACTAAATACATAATCTACTGTAGCTAATTTTTGTCCTTTTTTGTCATTTGCATTCTACAGTTTCAACTTAAATTTATTGGTCCATGTACAAGCGATGTCTTCTATTGGGCCTGTTTTGATTTTATATTTATTTACTCATATTGTTTGTTATCTTTGTACATTGAGTGAATAAATATTATTATTATTATTATTATTATTATTTATACTGTCAACGATCGGTACATTATCTTGCAGGATACTTTTTTCTAGCTGCCACATCACCTCTATAAACTAACTTTCTCTTGAAGTTTCGTCGTATTTGGATGCTTTCTAGGTTTATCATTATCGAAAATACTCTTATGTTCTTCCAGACGCGCTAACTTCGAGTCTCCAGTGACAGGCGTAGCTATGCTTTTCCGTATCGTAACGGGTGAGGATTGGAACAAAATAATGCACGATTGCATGATTCAACCACCGTATTGCACGCCAGCTGCAAACTATTGGCAAACAGATTGTGGAAACTTCACAGGTTCCCTAATTTATTTCTGCACTTTTTATGTAATCATCACTTACATTGTACTGAACCTGTTGGTGGGTAAGTTGACTTTGCTTACTTTTTGCCATTTAGATTGTAGATCTCTTAAATAAAATGAAAACCTATTATGATAATTCACTAATCTATTTACACAAGCATTACATAGCTGGAGTATCTTAGGGAGTGACAATGGCAACACTTTCTGTGTGTTAGCCTCAAAAATGGTGTGTCATTTGTTGGAGGTGGAGAACACTTAGCCGCGCTGCGATGTTGCCATTTGGCTTTATCTTTGATACCCCGTGATTATAGATATCACTGGTGATATACTGAATATTTATTACATTGCAGCTATTATCATGGAGAATTTCTCGTTATTCTATTCAAACGAAGAAGATGCCTTACTTTCCTATGCAGATATTCGGAATTTTCAAAATACTTGGAATGTTGTCGATATACATCAGAGGGGAGTTATTCCTGTCAGAAGGGTTAGTATCATATTTCGAAAAACCTGTATTTTATGTACATATGAGCTTGTTAAATCTCAAACGAAGTAGCTCTAAGACATGAAACATATGGTTACTTTAAAAGCTTATCCCTGAAAACAAAGTATTAACTTTTATGTTTTGAAAAGATAAAATTATACTTCCAGGTCAAGTTCATCTTGAGACTGTTAAAGGGTAGATTAGAGGTAGATCCTCAAAAAGACAGACTCCTGTTCAAACATATGTGTTACGAGCTTGAAAGACTCCACAATGGTGAAGATGTTACCTTCCACGATGTCTTGAAGTAAGAATGTTGATATATCCAGTTACGAGGCAATTTTCATCCTATTCTTTTTTTTTGTAGCATGCTGTCATACAGATCTGTAGACATTCGTAAGGCTTTGCAGTTGGAAGAGCTGTTAGCGAGGGAGGAATTTGAGTATATTATTGAAGAAGAGGTGGCCAAGCAAACGATCAGAACATGGCTGGAGGGTTGCTTAAAGAAAATCAGATCTACCAGTGTAAGGCTCACGTTAAGATATAAATTCACATTATTGTCGAAAATAAGTTATTCGTAAGATTTACATGAAATTAACATAAAACTTTAAAAATGCTCTGACAAGTTTGGTTCCTTTTATACCTACCTGTTTATTATACTCTATTTCAGAAGCAGCAAAACAGCCTGATAGCTGGACTTCGAGCGACGAATGAAGCACTAATAATAACTCCAAAAGAAGAAGAAAAGGAGACAATAAAGAATGTCACAATAGATACTGGAAATGAGAAAGTTGATAAGGATAATGAGCCCAAAAAGCCAAAGGCACCTCTGCCAAGATCCGAAAGCACTGGTAGTTCTGCTGGTAAGTCACCTTTTTTATGCAGAGGAAGATTGCATTTTCACGATATTTCAATAACTACCTCAAGTTTTTTGTGTAAATTGTGTGGGTGGCCAATTAAATAATTGTCTGATTTGTTTCTTCAATACCCTTAGAATAAAATAAGATAAATTCAGTTTTTATCTTAGTATTTTATTCTGGTGGAAACATGGGAACACATTTCACCTATTCTGAGTGCCTTAAAATTCGACAACTTAACCTGCCATAAATGTAGTACTTCCAGCAACGCAGAACACGAATTATAAAAAAGGTATCGGAAATGTACGGGGAATATCAATGGAAATGTCTAAAGATACCAATATGTCAAAAATCACACATATTTAAATCCTTAAAGGTTTTCCGGAAATGATCAGGAGCCTCCGAAACATCAAAAAACCAGTTTTTATTTTTTCTATCTATTACCTATAACTCCTAGGCTACTGCACGGCACGGGTATCACGTATCTTGAAAAGTCACATTATGCCGATTTTTTTTGACATTACGCTGGTTTTTTACATTATATAGGTTATTCTACAAGTGTTAACTTAGCACTCAGTTGTACGTGTTGCCTACACGTCATGAGGCTTGTTATCAGTATTTGGCTTCGATGTGATATAAAATCTGCTTCCGAGATGGCATTACTGGAGGTCTAAGCTGTAAGTTGTATGTGTTGATGATAATTACATTGGGTGCTTGTCTCGAATACACTTAATTGAGATTCAAAGCTAGAAATTAGTAGCGCATCCACTTTCTCTTATCCATTCTGGAAATTACATATACAAATTTGCTGAATTTCAAAAATGAGAGAGATAAGAAATAATTATATTTACTGTACACTGCCATATACATGCTAACAGTAATTACACACAATGCGGGCGCGGTGATGATTTCCCGTAATTCTCCTCAGTTTTTCGTAATTTATAACTTTGAACATAACCTCTCTTCAGAAAGCACAACATATAAATAGCTCGGCATATTCAGTAACGATTTTCTAACACATCTAATATCACTGATTTTATACACATGCAGACCAATACACGTAATCATCCAGATGCGATCTTGCTATTCAACCAACTTTCTTCTCAAAGATAAAAACTACAGACCCGGATCACTCACCCTCACAAAACTATTCAACCAATAATGCGTAGTTTAGTTGAGTGATTCCTCCATAGATGGACGTTCATAACGATCCTAGTGAGCAAACGCGGAATGACTGTTTGCGCCCTAAAAGCTACCAAGTCTGCGGCTGAACAGGCATCAATCATCAATCATATCGATGGTATCATTAAAAATGTATTCCAGGTCGGAAATATTTAACCTCAACCCTATCCGATCCATCAACCGTCAAACCCGAGAAAGAACGTCCGCCAGCAGCATGTGCAACCACAGCACCAATGAAAAAGAAAAACACCAATCGGCCCGCTGCCATGACATTAATCAACGTGGCTGTGAACAAACCGGCCAATCACAACGAGAACTCAGCGCCGTTGGGCGGTGTTGCTGCGGAGAAGTCTCCGCCAGCGATGGGTATGGGCGGTGCTTATAGTGCCAAGCAGGCCACTCCCAAGGCGACGATGCATGAAATTAGGGACTGGTGGAACGAGCAGTTGGCTAATGCGTCGTCTAGTGACGAAGAGTGAGGGATATGAACTAGGAATGGCAATAGCTGGTGTCCTTTGAGATAAGATATATCGATCGATCAGCTGCCGCAAAGAAAAATATCGATGACAGCTAGACACAATACCTACAGGATTTCCTACTACAGTAAACTTCGCTGCAACTAAGTGGCCTCCCTCAAGAAGTAGTTGTTGCGCTTAACAAAGAACGATCTAACTACGTCAGTAACAAAATGTCATTGTCAACAACTGATAAGGAGGATTCGTCGTTCGATTATACAACTGTAAAAATTTAGGATTGTCAATTCCATAGACGTCCTTCGGAATTTCATGTACTGAACATCTTTATATATTTGGAAATTGAGAAAGAAGTCGACGTATTAGATAGATATTGTTACACTTAGTATACGTTTCTGTATACATATGTATATGTAAATGTGTTTTTCATGTTTAGATATTATTGTTCGGAGATAACCGTCCACGTTGTAAGATCAATCACAAATACGACATAAGTACACGTTAAAGAACGCCATTTTTAACGTTTAAGTCAATGGTCCCGTTCATCACAACGTAATACTACTGTAGCGATATTATTTTCTGCTAAACGCACATGATTACTTTGAGCGCTACCCGAGCTGTCCCCATTTTCTCCATCATGGCCAAAATATGCTCCGTTCTTGATCAAGTGGTATATTAAATACGTTTTGTTTGGTTCATTGTTTCCTTCGTCTGGGTTCGAAACAGTGTAGATGTCTTGTTAAAATAAAGCTGATATACAAAAGTTTGAGAGAAAACTTCAAAATTGGTGAACAAAAAGGGAAAATGGAGGGAAAGACCGAAACTATTACATACGAGTATAAAACGTCTATTCAGTCAATGAATCACCATACATTTACTTCATGCTGCAAAATGGTAAAATTACATTTAGGGGAGAGTCCTCCAATACCGTTACCTTAAGGTTTATCAACAAAAAAATCAAAATACTTATGGTTACATGTTTAAAACCTTCTGATATGTGTAAAGGAACTATTATGCTATTAATATAAATAATAAACAACTAGTAGGTTCAGAAGTAATCAAGTTTATTATTGCAATTCGAACACTAGAAAAAATCAGACTAAAAAAAATTGGCCTCCAGTACCGGCCAGTGATTAAGTAACCATTTATACAATACAATAATCGCAAATATACTGATCAGATAGCTCTGATACGTTTGCACAAGCCTCGTGGACCCAAATCTTGCAGTTTCCACATTGTATCCAATCCTCTTCGTGAGATTCGGCACACAAAGGACAAACTGTTTCTTCAATCGATCTACGAGGAGGAGGTAGGTTTTCGTTTTTATTTGTTTTTGTTTTCTTACTGACATCTCTTCCTGACAGCAAGCTTTTTCCCTTTTTAATAACATCTTTTTCTGAAACATTAACTTTCTTTTTAAGTTGTTCGACATTCCTTTTATCTGCCCTTTTCTCTTCCAGCATCCTTTTGTATGGAGAACTTGTTATAATTTCACTTCTTTCAGCTTTACGACGTCTTACAGTAGTTCTTCTTTTGGAAGCATCAGGAACCGGTGACAGTTCTGTAAGTGCAGCTTTAAAATTTTCTCTGGATTTATCAGCAATAACTTCTGTTTGAGTTTCTACTTGTTGAATAGATACAATTTCAGATTCGGCGTGAGTAGGAGTAGTTTGAGTCTCGGATTGTAAAGAAGTTGTAATGTCAGCTAATAAATTAGAAGTTGGAGTTTGAGATCCAAGTTGTCGAGAGGAAATGGATGTAAGTTCTCGCTGTGTAGAAATAGAATTTGACAGATTTGAACAAGCAGATGTTGAAGGTGTCGGTTCGGTTAGTTGAGAATGTGAGAGCGATGATTCTGTTGCTGATTGACTTTCTGTAACATTCGTCATGTCGGAACCAATGAAATCTAAATCACTGAAGATATTTCTATCAAAGGGGTGTATGCCAGTGCAGTGGAAGCCATTAACCGCGATATCCATTCGCGAAACTCGATTAAAAGCAATAGCAACAAACCCTGCAATCTCGTATTCACTGATTCTAATAGCAGGGTTTGCCCTCATCCACAAGTCACATGCATCATTGTACGCAGATTTAAATGGCTTCATGAACGTACGATCCAGTGGCTGTAACTTGTGGGTCGTGTGAGGTGGGGTGCTTAACATATGAATATTATTTTTTCTGGCAAACTCAATGACATCTAAGTCTTTATGACTAGCATGCCCATCTAGAATCAAGAGTACGGGATTCTGGGCTGTTGGATTAGAATATTGCACAAAGTGTTGCATCCATTTCAAAAATAATTCGGCATTCATCCAGCCGTTTGGTTGAGCTTCACCTACACTCTCATTTGGAGCATTAATCATTAGTCTTTCATTCATTCTGTTTCGTGGAAATATGAAATAAGGTGGTACGAACTGACCTCCAGCGCTCATTGCAAAAAGCACTGTAACGTTCTTTCCACGTTCTGCTGACGTAAGCTTTCCGACTTGCCTTTGGTTTTTAGTAGCTAACACTTTAGCATGTTTTTGAACAATGCTAACTCCAGTCTCATCACAGTTCCATATTTTATAAGGTGTGAATTTAAATCTCTCCATCAAAGTCTCAAGACCATCAAAGAATCGCATAACCTGAGGCCTGTTAAATCCTACTGCTCTCATTAAACTCGTTGATTCAGCAGTTCGCAATGATAAGTCACTATGTCTTTTCATAAACGAATAATAGTAATTTTTCCCTGCAGATTGTTTCTCTTTATTGAACTGGTGAGGTAACTTTAATTTCTCGGCCAGTTGGAAAGCGAGACGTAAAAATTCTTGTCTGTTTAAAGGCATTAGCCTGTTGGCCAAGTCTTTAACATGCGATGCCAATATTTCTTCATGTTCTGGTGCAAAAGTATTGTGAAAACGACCCATAACTGGCTCAATAGACATCTCTTTATTACTTTTAATAGCTCTAACTCTATCATTCAAAGTAGATCGTGGTACCTGATAGCGTTCTGCGGCTTGACGAGCACTTATTTTATGATTCAGTACCTTTTCCACGGCCTTATGCATGTTGGCAGGATCCCAGGTGCCCTTCTTTTGCGTTGTCTGACCATCATTCCCGTGACTTGACATTTTTGTATATCTGAAAGTAAAACAAAACAATTAAAAACGATCTAATAGCATGGCCGGTACTGTAGGACAACATTATGTCCGGTACTGGAGGAAACGAAAAAAAAACTAAATTCGATTTCTAACGAACATGAATGTACAAAGGTTAATTATAAAGACACTTTTCTATAGATATATAAGTACACTCTACTTACCAGTAGTTATTTGTTTTAAACTGGATCTCTGAACTTCGAAAATTGTGAATAGAATTTTAATTACGTAGTTAGCGTCCATCACGCGCAACTAAAATCTTTGAACTGGAAGTAAACTTGTCGTTGCAAGTTAACGCCGCGCGGGGAATATCATCCCGTGAGTGTATTGCACAAATCACGATAAAAATTTTAGCGCCATCTGTTGTCAGGTTGTAGAATTTGCAACTGGCTGGTACTGGATGCCGGCCGGTACTGTAGGACTCTCCCCTAGGTATCTAGCTGTAACTTAAGTACTATGTTATTTTAGATCCGAAAGTTGATAACTGACGAGCAGTGACATGTATCAAAATATCTTTCGGCTTCTGAAAAGCGCCGAAAGTAGCGCCACGCTGTGATGAACGAGACCAGTGATTTATTATTTACCATAAATGAGGTGCAAATGACGAACGTGGTTAATTTTTAGGGCCGTATCGTCAATTGTTCCTACAATTGTAGGACGCCTTTATGACCTTCTTGATTTCCATAGTCTTTTCTCTCCTTGGGAAAGGCTGGGGAATTTCTATATTTCTACTGGTCCGTGTCAGCGTCAGCGCTCTCATATTGTGAGGCTACGTTTTCTTTTTGAATTGTAGAAAATTTCAGGCTGATATAACAGATGATATAAATCAAAAGCAATTTGATGCAAAAAGATGTTTGTCACATAACCTCAAAATAGAGCGTTGACACGGAACAGTACAAAACTATGAAAATCAAGGAGGCCACAAAAGCGTCCTTCAGTAATTGTAGGAAGGACTGACGATATGACCCTCAGGTACGTTTACGTATGGGTTGCTTGTGATTACCAGTGGTCTCTAATACCACACACTTAAATGTTAGCGTTAACCTTAAATGACGTTTTAGTCATGATTTAGGTAGGGGAGAGTCCTACAGTACCGGCCGGCATCCAGTACCAGCCAGTTGCAAATTCTACAACCTGACAACAGATGGCGCTAAAATTTTTATCGTGATTTGTGCAATACACTCACGGGATGATATTCCCCGCGCGGCGTTAACTTGCAACGACAAGTTTACTTCCAGTTCAAAGATTTTAGTTGCGCGTGATGGACGCTAACTACGTAATTAAAATTCTATTCACAATTTTCGAAGTTCAGAGATCCAGTTTAAAACAAATAACTACTGGTAAGTAGAGTGTACTTATATATCTATAGAAAAGTGTCTTTATAATTAACCTTTGTACATTCATGTTCGTTAGAAATCGAATTTAGTTTTTTTTTCGTTTCCTCCAGTACCGGACATAATGTTGTCCTACAGTACCGGCCATGCTATTAGATCGTTTTTAATTGTTTTGTTTTACTTTCAGATATACAAAAATGTCAAGTCACGGGAATGATGGTCAGACAACGCAAAAGAAGGGCACCTGGGATCCTGCCAACATGCATAAGGCCGTGGAAAAGGTACTGAATCATAAAATAAGTGCTCGTCAAGCCGCAGAACGCTATCAGGTACCACGATCTACTTTGAATGATAGAGTTAGAGCTATTAAAAGTAATAAAGAGATGTCTATTGAGCCAGTTATGGGTCGTTTTCACAATACTTTTGCACCAGAACATGAAGAAATATTGGCATCGCATGTTAAAGACTTGGCCAACAGGCTAATGCCTTTAAACAGACAAGAATTTTTACGTCTCGCTTTCCAACTGGCCGAGAAATTAAAGTTACCTCACCAGTTCAATAAAGAGAAACAATCTGCAGGGAAAAATTACTATTATTCGTTTATGAAAAGACATAGTGACTTATCATTGCGAACTGCTGAATCAACGAGTTTAATGAGAGCAGTAGGATTTAACAGGCCTCAGGTTATGCGATTCTTTGATGGTCTTGAGACTTTGATGGAGAGATTTAAATTCACACCTTATAAAATATGGAACTGTGATGAGACTGGAGTTAGCATTGTTCAAAAACATGCTAAAGTGTTAGCTACTAAAAACCAAAGGCAAGTCGGAAAGCTTACGTCAGCAGAACGTGGAAAGAACGTTACAGTGCTTTTTGCAATGAGCGCTGGAGGTCAGTTCGTACCACCTTATTTCATATTTCCACGAAACAGAATGAATGAAAGACTAATGATTAATGCTCCAAATGAGAGTGTAGGTGAAGCTCAACCAAACGGCTGGATGAATGCCGAATTATTTTTGAAATGGATGCAACACTTTGTGCAATATTCTAATCCAACAGCCCAGAATCCCGTACTCTTGATTCTAGATGGGCATGCTAGTCATAAAGACTTAGATGTCATTGAGTTTGCCAGAAAAAATAATATTCATATGTTAAGCACCCCACCTCACACGACCCACAAGTTACAGCCACTGGATCGTACGTTCATGAAGCCATTTAAATCTGCGTACAATGATGCATGTGACTTGTGGATGAGGGCAAACCCTGCTATTAGAATCAGTGAATACGAGATTGCAGGGTTTGTTGCTATTGCTTTTAATCGAGTTTCGCGAATGGATATCGCGGTTAATGGCTTCCACTGCACTGGCATACACCCCTTTGATAGAAATATCTTCAGTGATTTAGATTTCATTGGTTCCGACATGACGAATGTTACAGAAAGTCAATCAGCAACAGAATCATCGCTCTCACATTCTCAACTAACCGAACCGACACCTTCAACATCTGCTTGTTCAAATCTGTCAAATTCTATTTCTACACAGCGAGAACTTACATCCATTTCCTCTCGACAACTTGGATCTCAAACTCCAACTTCTAATTTATTAGCTGACATTACAACTTCTTTACAATCCGAGACTCAAACTACTCCTACTCACGCCGAATCTGAAATTGTATCTATTCAACAAGTAGAAACTCAAACAGAAGTTATTGCTGATAAATCCAGAGAAAATTTTAAAGCTGCACTTACAGAACTGTCACCGGTTCCTGATGCTTCCAAAAGAAGAACTACTGTAAGACGTCGTAAAGCTGAAAGAAGTGAAATTATAACAAGTTCTCCATACAAAAGGATGCTGGAAGAGAAAAGGGCAGATAAAAGGAATGTCGAACAACTTAAAAAGAAAGTTAATGTTTCAGAAAAAGATGTTATTAAAAAGGGAAAAAGCTTGCTGTCAGGAAGAGATGTCAGTAAGAAAACAAAAACAAATAAAAACGAAAACCTACCTCCTCCTCGTAGATCGATTGAAGAAACAGTTTGTCCTTTGTGTGCCGAATCTCACGAAGAGGATTGGATACAATGTGGAAACTGCAAGATTTGGGTCCACGAGGCTTGTGCAAACGTATCAGAGCTATCTGATCAGTATATTTGCGATTATTGTATTGTATAAATGGTTACTTAATCACTGGCCGGTACTGGAGGCCAATTTTTTTGAGTCTGATTTTTTCTAGTGTTCGAATTGCAATAATAAACTTGATTACTTCTGAACCTACTAGTTGTTTATTATTTATATTAATAGCATAATAGTTCCTTTACACATATCAGAAGGTTTTAAACATGTAACCATAAGTATTTTGATTTTTTTGTTGATAAACCTTAAGGTAACGGTATTGGAGGACTCTCCCCTACGTGTCAAATGGGTTTAACGTTGACGTTTCTATAAAACGCTGTAGAAAGACAATGTTTTGGTGCAATTAAAGGTATAAGCATTGATCCTACCTGACGATTGCTAATACTGAATTTGCGCTTCTGAAAAATAATCCAGGATGAAACCGAATATCGTAGTGTCAACTATAAGAACTTGGTCATAGCTATCCTTCTCCTATCCGCAATAATTTGGAAATTTACTTTGAACAAGGTAGCGTCTCTCGTAGATGGCGCTGCAGCTAAATATATATGATCATATAGCTACAGCGACATCTACGAGTCACGTCTAAGTATTGCAAGGACAGTCATCGCTGTGACAAATTCGCATAGATGGTGTCACGGAATCTCATTTCATCTCGGATAATTTTTCGGACGCGGATATAGTATTAGATTAGATAGGATATGTTATTCAATGGTACAAGTTAATGATATGAACAAAATGGGTTATATCTGTTGTTTGGAATTAACGTGGATAAATTATATTGACGTTAGATGATTTTTAGAAAAAAATTTGTATTTTTTCGAAATAAACGTTTTACTGTTTGATTTTCATTTATTACTAGCAAAAAGTCACACTCTCGCACATAGTAGTTCTATTCACAGCTTTTGGCGGTAACGTCATCAACACGATACGAAATAAACGTTTGTTTGTACAGTGGTCGGTGACTTGTTTGCGACCGTGTCTGGGATCCGGCCGTATGAATTCTGCCTAAATAGTTTAGCGGAATGAACGGAATTTGTGTAGCAGGATCTTTAACACGATCACTGACAGGTTTATGACAGCTATACGAACAGGGCTTAAGTAAGCAAATCGACTGACTGAACTGACAGTGGCAAGCATACATTAGTAATACCCATACGTTGTCGAAAACAAATTTCGAGGTGGCAGATTGCATTTTTGTATGTAGGATGCCGGTAGATTTAGTGTGGCAAAACCGTGCAATGAAATATACCTGAATTCACTCAACTATCTAGTGCTTTTAAAAAAATCCCCCCACACTTATCTTGACAAGTGACATTTTTTGTGACATTATGTAGGTTTTTCTACAAGATGTTAACTTAGCAGTTAGTTGTACGTGTTGCATAAACGTCATGAGGCTTCAGTTATCAATGTTTGGCTCTGATGTGATGTAAAATCTGCTTCAGAGATGGCATTACTGGAGGTCTAAGGTGTATGATTTGATGATAATTCCATTGGACACTTGCCTCAAATACACTTACTCAAGATTCAAAGCTAGAAATAAGTTGTGCATCTACTTTTTCTTATCCTATTTGGAAATTTGCTGAATTTCAAAAATGAGAGAAATAAGAAATAATTATATTCACTGTACACTGTAGAATTACAAGCCATATACATGCTAACAGTAATTACACACAACGCGGGCAAGATGGTGATTTCCCGTAATTCTCCTCAAAGTTCTTCGTAATTTATAAGTAGATAACTTTGAACATAACCTCTCTTCAGAAAGCACAACACAAATAACCCGTCCGGCACAGCTAATAGGTACCTATACTTCATTGGCAGCATATTCAGTAATGATTCTCACACAGCAAATATCAATGATTTTATACACATGCGGATCAGTACACATATCACCCAGATGCGATCTTGCAATTCAACCAACTTTCTTCTCAGAGATAAAAACTACAGATTACTCGGCTTCACAAAACATATGCAACCAATAATGCGTGTAGTTTAGTTGACTCATGCCTCCATAGATGGACGCTCACAACGATCCTAGTGAGCAAACGTAGAATGACTATTTGCACCCTAAAAACAACCTTTTTTGACGTTTTATAGGTTTTTTACATAATACCCGTGCAGGTCAAGTTAGATTTCGGGGTAATGAAACTGGCACAAGGATACAGACAGTAGACAAGTTCAAGATGGCGTATAGGCGCAATGAATGACCATTCTTCATTTTTAACCTTCTTAACGGTACTTCATAGCCTCACAGTATAAATTTGCGATCTTTCAAAATGAAAGACTGACAGTCAATGTTGAGTGCTTTGATACATTGAGAGTATGTTATAACATTCGTCTCCCTTTGAAATGGTCTATCTGAATATGACGTAAAGCATGACTTTCCCTTCAAAAACATTGACAAATTTTGAAAATTTTTGTAAATAGAATGTTTGAAGTTTTATTACATATTCGGATAGAAGACTGGTATGACTTACTATCGCGTTTAAATGATTGGTTGTGGAGCTATATAAGCGATTCAATGTACAAAAACTTCTGACAGTTTGTCAGTTCACCATTTTGAAAGATAGTAATCTTAGAAAGCACTCATAAAGAGATTCAAGATGAGGTATCACATGACCCCCACTCCATTTGAAATGCTGTTTCAATACGGCGCCCATCGGCCATTTAGAAATTCTCAACTGCCACATTTACCTTAACATATATTATTATAGTCAATTAATCCCATCACCCAGTAACAGCACCCTCAAATTTCGCAGAAATTGTCAATATATGTGACATTCTGTAGAACTCAAAGGCACGATGACGTGTTTTTTGTGACGGAGTTTCTTGATCAGTAACCACGATGGCTGAAGGAGACGCAGAAGTAATCAAAGATCTGGAAGACGAATCCCCGCAGGTAATATACCTATAGTTGTCTCTGTATCTATGAAATTGATGGTGATAGGTAGAGCCATCGAATGCAACTATTCCATATACCTACGGCTGATGACAAAGTATGAGTTGCTTGATTATATTCTTTCTTTATTCTCCATATTTTTCAAATAGCCGACTCCCAATCAAAAACGTCGATAAAGTGATAGCTCAGTATACAGAGTGTTTCAAACTCGACCCTCGCCATTAGGATCTCGGAAATGGTACAAAATACGAAGTCGCTTAAATGGGGGCAAGGTTACGCATTTAGGTAACTAACAAAATGTCGCTTAGAAAGTTTCGAAATTCGAAGAAGTTCCGAAGAGAGACGAAAAAAAACGAATTTTCCAAAAATCGCTTTAACCTTTTCCTTTGTTTGTAGTGGGATTTCAAAATAAATTGCACACTTTTTCTCCTCTACAATATGGCATAATTAGAATTCCAATATGACGTATCGTTTATTTGTCCAGCATCAACTTTATTTTTCTTAAGGACCTCATACTGGAGTTTTGTACAGGTAAATAGAGTTTTGAATTCTAATTGAGAAAATATACAGGGTGTTTCAGTTTATTGTTGCATAACTTTAAGATTCGATAGAACTACTAAAATTAATGCATAAAGTCTATATAAACATGGGTCGAAAAATGCGTGGCTTCCGAAATACAGGGTGTTTAAATTTACTTTCTAGAATAGTTTTTTTTAAATATTTCGAACAATATTTGATGTATAACGGTGAACATTGGTATACAAGCGTTTTTTGGTACGACAAAACGAACCATGGGCATACTGTAGCCGCTAGAGGGCGCTCGCTACAGTACCTGTAGTGTATTAAAATGACCGAAAAATTTTTCTTAGTGCAATTTTTTGCTTTTTGAATAAAAAACTGATTCTTCGCACTTTTCAACATAAAAAAGCTCTCTTGTGAATTTTCGTTATAGTTAGCCGTTTTTAAGATATTTCGATTTTTAAGGTTCGATGCATTTTTAATTATTTATGATAAAATAACGTTAAAAAGTCAGTATCTCGATAATTTTTAGAAGTAGGCTGTGCCTGCAAATATTTTTGAAATTGAAATTATATGCAGTTCGGGAAAGAAATTTTCAGCATGAATTTAGTGTGAACGTGTGAATTGGTATCTACCGTAATGGACTATTTGGACCCTACCTTTTGCCTGCAAGGTTAAATGCTGCGACCTTCTTGGAATTTTTAAAGGCTGAACATGCAAATATGTGGGAATTTAAGAAGATTGGCCTGGTTCAAGCTTGATGGTTGTCCAGCTCATTATTCGAGAATAGTTAGAAACTGGCTGGACGAAAATTATCCAGAAAGATTAATCGGCGGTGGAGGACCAGTCGCCTGGCCTCCACGATTCCCTGACCTAAATCCATTAGATTTCTTTGTGTGGGGATTTCTAAAAGAAAAAGTGTACCAGACTCCCGTAACCACAAGAGATATGCTAATAGACAGAATCGGAAATGCATGTGATGAAATAAGGCCTTATTTGAATAATACGTTCGATCATTCGTAGATGTGGATTATGTATTGAACAATTGGGTTTACATTTCGAGCAACCACTTTAGATTTTGTATGTTTATCCTAACTATCCAATAGCATTTTAGTTGTAAATAATTAATTTAATTTGTTAAAAATAATATTGGAAAATTAAACAAATTAATATTCTGTTTTTTGTGTTTATTTGGAGTTAGGAATTACTACTGTGTTTAAAAACACAATCTAAACGATCATCTTAATTACTTGTAATGCCCAAATCGAAAATGTAAAAAAAATATTATTTTCCCATAAATAATTAAAAATGCATCGAACCTTAAAAATCGAAATATCTCAAAAACGGCTAACTATAACGAAAACTCACAGGAGAGCTTTTTTATGTTGAAAAGTGCGAAGAATCAGTTTTTTTATTCAAAAACCAAAAAATTGCACTAAGAAAAAATTTTCGGTCATTTTAATACACTACAGGTACAGTAGAGAGCGCCCTCTAGCGGCTACAGTAAAACTATGCCCATGGTTCGTTTTGTCGTACCAAAAAACCCTTGTATACTAGTTTTCACTGTTATACATCAAATATTGTTCGAAATATTTAAAAAAAACTATTTTAGAAAGTAAATTTAAACACCCTGTATTTCGGAAGCCACGCATTTTTCGACCCATATTTATATAGACTTTATGCATTAATTTTAAAAGTTCTATCGAATCTTAAAGTTATGCAACAATAAATTGAAACACCCTGTATAATACCTACATACCTGTCATACATTGACATTGCCAAACCTTAGTTATTTCAAACAAAAAAAATCTAGGTAGGCCTTGAAATTATCATCTATTTCATATACCACATTTATCGCCAAACGATTTTTATTTTTTCGTGGCTATATTTAACATGGGATTCCAAAATAAACTGCATGTTCTTTATTGCCACTAACATCCTCTACAAAATGGCGTAGTCAATTTTTTTAAGCTGTTTGATTTTGAAACGGATGTTGGAAAAATACGGTCAATAAAGAAGAAAAAAGTAGGTATTTCCAAGCAACTCACACTTCGTCGCTGCCGTTTTATCAAAGGCCTCAGGTCCCTGACCGATAAGGGTAATGTAATACATCGCGACGATTAGCTTTTTATCTCTAATAAATGTATAGAATGAATCTTACCGATAAAAACTGCGTAAAAAGAAAATATCAAGTGGTATCGACTTTAGCATTCGCGCGAAAATGTATGGAATTATCCATTATCAAGAATAATAACCTAAACAAAATCCATCATCATTGGCTGATAAAAAAATCCATGTTGAGCGTAACTATGTCACAGATCGTACATATCTCTTCATTCATCCGATACTGATAGACTGATGTAGTGCGGACTGAAGTTCACAAAAGAACATATTAAAGTCATATTTTAAACTTGTGGTGTGCTTCAATCCGTGAAAATGAAGGCTGTGGAAAATAGAACAGAACTACTCATGCACCATAGAAAGGTAATATACGATTTTTAGATAGGTATTTGTTTTACTACACGCACGCCAAAGAAAAATATGGATATTCAATTTACAATGACAGCGGGGTCTCACAGAAAGTGTACATCGGATTTATTTGTTAGTGTTTTTCAAAAGAAAATATTTTTTGATCCATGTGACTAATTTCAAAATTTCTATTATTTTCGAGATATATACCTAATATGATGAATAAGACGGGAAGGATTTGGGATAAGAAACTCATGTTGGTTATGCAATGCTTCAGACACAGTTCCGCATTTTTGGTTGCCGATTTCCAAACATTATCCATGATATACGAATCGATAAAATGATGTATTTTTTTATTAGCTCACATTTTAGATAATCTAACCGTATCACTATCAATTATCAGCTATCAATGCACATGAATAATTTTATAATTCAAATGGTCAAAGAAATAAGTCCGACCTTCATTTGTCAGTCTTTAACCTTTTCCGACCTTCCAATTTAGTTGCTATCCCATGTTGCCAAGTGGCGAAAAATTTCCTTCGGCTTCAAACTTGCACCAACTGTTATGGACGGTATTACCCCAAATTGCCGATTTTTGCCATTCTGTAAATCCATATACATTTGCAGGGAGAAGCACTCAAATGAAAACGAATTTGAATTGCGGTAATTTTTGTATTTCACTTAATACCAATAAATAAGTAGAAAAATTGCGCTATTTATGCAAGTAGCTGAGAGGTAAACAGTCGTAAGTTTATTTTGACTCAATTTTGAGGTATTTTCGTAATATTACCTCAAAATTGAAATATTAACTAAAGACTCCATTTTGCTAAGCACCACCTTTTTAATGTTGATGTTTTTAATTTTGAAAATTCGATATGTCCGTTCTTGAAGCTATGTTGAAATGTTTGCTTGTTTTATCAATTGCTCAAAACTTTTAGTTTTTGGATTTACGATTATTTACCTCTCGGATACAGATGTATATATATAGCTACCTACCTCTAAGGGTGACGAGCAGTAAACCAAAAGAATAGATAATAAAATCAGTATATACTGCCGAAAATGTATAAAATTGGTGACCTTGGTAGTTCTCTAAGTATATGAATCATGAGATAATATTCGGATAATGAGGCTCCCCAGCTTATCTACAACATTCGTGATGTATATCAGAAGTTCTGAAACTTATTTCATCTATTATACCTATTTGATGAGGTATCTGCGATTGAAAATGGAAGAGTGGAGGGAGGTCCTCTTCATCAGTGATTATGAGAACCAATGTCCTTGTGACAAACCGTCTACCCCCAATTCCCTATAGGCTCCTTGTATACCGCTCCCCGTAGGACCCCAGCGCTCACAAAAGGTGGCGTTAAAGACCAATTTGAGAAAGATTCGTGTATATGGAACTACTGAACTTTCATAAGTATATTTTCTGCCAAGCACTAATTTATCGATGGAAAAAACACTGCGCACTACGGTAAATGATCTGTTTGACCAAACTGAAGTAAACTAACCTATTTACCTTGTTTAGTTTTGGGATATCATTTTCTCAAGCCTCAAAATATATTTGTAACTTATATGCCTCCTAAAGCGAAACTGTCACTATAAACATTATTTATAGGACTTGAGAAAGTGTAAATTAATGTGATAGCTAATTAACATATAGATGAAATTTATACACCTTATGTACATCTATAAAACACCTGGAATTTTGCCTTGGCAACATGGCAACATCGAAGCGTCAAATTCTGTAATATCCGCAACAGATAGGGTATAGGGTTAACCCGGGCGTGTTGGTTTCTACTACATCTCCAACAAAATTATCCAAAGTAATTTTATTTGTCAATTCTTCGCAGAAGTACTTTGCAGGAGTATAAATAGTTCAAATTAAAGGTAAATATTTCCTTCAACTTTTTCATTCAGTTTTTTTTTCAGGATAATTGGAACATTTTCGAGTATAAGCACATTTTTCCTATATTTTTCAGTTTTTGGGTATAAAAACAGGTTTTCAATTAAACATATATTAGTATTGGACATTTTTATATCGTACCAACCTAATTAGATTTTTTCATGTCATTTGTTACATGGAGGCATATTATAGATGCATGGAAATATGGGTATAACAAAAAAAAAACGTTTTCAGGGGCTAGGTGCCTATTGAACGCATTTCGTCGAACATTTCACCTGTTCCCATTAATTTAAAAGCACCGATATTAATAAATAGTAAAATGCTACTATATTACTTAGATATCAGTGGTTGATATAGGATTTCCGGGTCCTGAGGCACAAAGTCCATACAGGTTCGCTGCTGGTGATAGTAGAAGAGCACATAGAGGGTAAGAGATCTGGAGTATCATGAACATACATACTGTCTACTCTTGGGGGCCTCATAAACCGCATTCCAAGTCACCCTTGAGCCTTCTGGTCCAACACAATGCATCATCTTAGATCCAACTTAGTTACATATCCAATATAACTTGTGCCATTGCTGTATTTTTCAGATATGTTTATCAGTAGCAGTTCTAAAGATGTATTTTTCAGAATGTTTTAGCCAACAAGTTTCTGGTAAAACTTGTGTCAAATTCAAACTTTTCTAGTGATCACTTAATATTTTAATATTTGGCAATACTAAAAAAGATATTTTCAAATTGATTAACAAATAAGCTTTGTTAGAGTGAGGTTTGCAAATGATGTATATCATAACTTATCAACTAGCAATGAACATACAAAAATCAAGCCAAACTATCCATTAGAACACACAAAACTTGCCCAACTTCAGCTGTTTCTCCACCAATACAGTGATGAAAAATGCTATAATTTGTATGTATGGGTTATATAGCTGTGCCTGGGCTTTCATTTAAGATACTTTTTTTAGATAATGATAATGATGGAAACTAACAGCAAAGTTCATTATAATTTTTCATTGCTAATTTCTAAGGATACTGGTCATTGAAATTCCATTTTTTAAAATAATAATAATAATAATAAGATGAACAATAAACATTTCTTTGATTCATTTCAATTCAGCTAATTGAGAGTTGGAACCATATTTATGGTTGAACATTTCCAGTGGTTTATAAGCCTCCAATAATTTAGTGCATCTTGATCAAATAGTTATAATGGTATGTTGATCTAAAGGCGTTGCAATAAGGAAGGTTTGATCAGATGAAATAACCTGTAGACATTATTAAACTTTTGCTGTGGCTTTAGTACTATATTATTTTTTATTAAACTATGTTGACTGGTCTCAGTGGGAAAGCAAGGTAGTGGACACATTGGAAACATCATTGCTGATAAACTTAAAGTAATGGGATCATATTAGATCTATTCTGGTAACTAATCGCAATGAGGCTTAAACCATGAGAATGAGTTGAGCAGAATAAAAATGGCTCTGGGGTGGTCCCTTGTATTTTTTTAGAACCTGAATAATGGGGTTGGTAACTTCAACCATCTTTAATATTCATTCTAACCTGATGAGGGTAAAAGGCCTCCTAAAATTGCCAATACAAATATGGTGCACTCATGTTGCTTGTTACAAAATTTTTTCTCCGCTTAAAAAGGATTTAAAGATTTTATAATATCCTAAGTGATTGGTACACAATATGCTATTCAAATCATTCAATACTATAAAAATCATATCATATGTGATAATTGACATTGTTTTCCTTTGCATATTTATTATCTTTTTCAGCGTAAAGTTCAGCCTTGATCCAGATATCAGCCATGTACAGCATGACCTTTTATGATCAAAATCTAGTATATACCAGTTTACGTTATCTGTAATCTAAATTAGGTACAACATTAATAAGGAAGAATAGCTTTTACATAATACAGATAATTTTACTTTTGCTTGGTTGTTGCCTTTGTTTTTTTTTGTTGTAATTGTAAAAAATGCCCTGCTTCTGCTGAGGCGCATACTTTTGAATAACGTTACTGGATTTTTTTCCCTGGATAACGTACAATGACACCAACTATTTTTGTCTGTATAAATTGTACATTTTCGAGGTACACGAGAGAGATACCCTATGCGCCAGCTCCTGAAATTCATCTGATGCACAGTATACCAACAACACTTTATCGTCGACATTAATGTTCCACATATGGACCCTCCTTTTTTATTTCATTTAGGGATAGAGACATTGTATGCTAGGCATTGTCAAGTAACACAGCCATGTCCAGGCCCCCGCACCCCGAGTTCTCAGAGTGGCCCCACTATTCAGACTGGAAGACATTCTAGATATTCTTGTATAAACAATATGAGAAAAATTGTATGTTTCCGAAATTCGAAATTAGTCATTAAAATTTTTTAATCTACACTTGAATTAACATAGATATAATGCTTTTTAAATTGAATAAGTTATATGGATAAATGGTTATAACATAGTATCGCACAAACATAATTATGCATGTATGAAATCAAAAAATGGGTATGAAGCCCCATTAGAAATCCCCCGGCCCCCAGATTCTTGACAAAAAATGTGCCCATGTTTGCCTGTCAGGGGACATACTTTGACATCCTGTATAATTTAGCTTAGTGATAGGGTGTATATATAATAAACATAGGAACTTTTTAAAATGACAACTTTTTGTCAAACGTCAAACATTTTTTTAAAATTACCGTGTACGCCTAATCCATTATGGATATTCAAATTGGCTAACTAAGGTAGCTTGGTAACACAGTGCACTACAATTTCTAAATATGGAAACAGAAATGAAAAAAATACTGAACAGCAGTTCTGTTGGATGCAATGGTTTATTGAGTGGTATATGTGAATGGAATTGGTTCTGTAAGCTTTAGAGGAGGTATTTATGTTGTGATAGAAAGAAATTTATGTTAACTTACATCCTGCATGTTAAAAGTTGTGCACAGCATCGTGTATGTATTGGCATAATAGAGGTAGAATTAAAAAAACACTGATCATTAAGTTAAATTTCGATTCCCACGTCCTGTTGAAAGAACTTAATTTTTATGCCCACTTCTGCATCATAGATAAAAGTTTCCAACCACAGAATCTTCAACTACATATTCACCGGTATTTCAGTGAAAACAAAACTTGATAAGTTTAATAAAACATGTAATACTTCTTACGCGATCATTGCATGCAATATCTGTTTGAGCACATTTTTTTTATGAATCAATGTAATAATAAATTTGAAAATTATTATAAACCTACAGCTATTGAAAATCATTAAAATGCTAGATACTTCAATAATACTAAAATAACTCCAAAACCTTATCTTGTAGCTGTCTCTCAATATTTCACTGGCACAACGCTTTTAATAGCTGGGCTAGAAAGAATATTCACCAAATGTCACATATTAAACAATATTGGATGTTACTATTTAAAAAACATGTGGTAAAAATAGAAGACTGAACAAGTTTTTAGATGTACTGGAGTTCAGATATTTCATACAATCATGGGTTTCTGAGTCTTTTAAAAGAGTGAAGTTTTAGATGTAGTTTTTTCAGTAAAAGCTACGAGCTTAATTCACGAACAGATTTATTGATTATTTAAACATTTAGTGCTTCTTTTTTTATTAAAAAAAAAAACAAAAAAAAGATGGAAAAACTATGCAGAAATAAAAGATTGAAACTTGAAATATCAGTATTTTATAAAGTCGAATACTAAGAATCACATAATCGAATTATGAGTGTATTACACGAATTATGAAATTTTTAAGACAATTTTTGAACATACCTTCTACCACTACATCCAATATTTTGCTGTTCAGTACTTGATATTTCAACACTGTGGGACTGGTGCTTAGATGACTACACTATTAAAATCAAACTAGCTACCCACAAAACACTCCAACTAACAAAAAATGTTTCTATTGAATTAGGAGAGATCCTTCTCTCGCCTAGATATAATCATTATGCACTAGATATTCGCAGTTGCATAATATTCTAAAAATACGACATGAAAACAGTTTATAAATACCTATTGCTGTTCGCAAGGATGTGAGCGGCGCAAGAACAGGGTTTCATTTTCGCCCTATCCCTTTCTGAATAAAATCGATACCCACCAGAAAGTCCGTCTTTCTAGTCCCATTTTGATCTCTAAAGTTTGCACCTGTGTTACCAAACTGACGCAAAATTGATTTTAAATTTAGTAGTATATGTTAGTGGTGGGGAGACGTTTCAGATTCGGTGGGGGGCTGTTATACAAGGGCAAACCAAGTTCATTAGATAAGTTTACTAGGAAGATACGTTTGAAGGAAAAAGAAAAAATGGTGTACTTGACTGTAAACGATCGCGATGTCGAATCTAACATTCAAGTAATGTATGAACATGGAATATCTCGAATGAGTGTGTTTAATTTCTTTTGTTTTTTTTTCAGATGGATGCTGGGGTACTACCACTGCAACTTGGGGCTGCTGAAGCAATCTCGCACCTTGATCACATGTGCGCACTTGACATAAACTCCAGAGCTTCCTACGTACGACTTTCTGGTATAATATGTACTATTGGTAAGTTTTAATAATTGTGTTTCAAGTTATAAGTATATCATGATTTTGTGTTATATTGTGCGGTTAAGATTATCTTCATTCATTATACTTCTACTGATACTAGTCTTGTAGTGTGACGATTGCCAAATGAGGGAAATTAACATACATTTTGGCTTGTGGTTGTGAATGTTAAAGGCACAAATGTTTAAGGTAGTGGCGCCGGTGATGACAGTCCATCAATTAACGATTCTTTCTGAACACGTGTTCGCCAGCTGGTTAGAAGAGTATCTGGGTTTGCAACCGTTTGGCGCTATATCAGTCAAACTTATAGGCGCTATAAATACACTAGATGTGGAATTATTTATTTTGAATCTATGATGGCTGCAGGTCGCACATAACCTTACCTTATTATATCAGTTGGTTGAATGCTAATCGAATTCACAAAAAAATAAATTAAATGAAAAATCATTAAATGGGGGCGGTTTCTTTTTTTAAATAAAGATCGTATGTACGTCGTTGTCACTCAGATCAGTCCATATAGGACCAATTTACTTTTAGTTCAGTAAGTCAGCAGGTTGATTAGGTTTGTTTCCATATATTAGACACTGAATGATCAGGGACTTTTCCTAGCATTCAGAATATACCTTTTCTATAAAAACGTAGACACTGATTAATATCAATAGCAGAAGATCAGTATTTAAACATTGACTTTGTGAATATGTGGATTTCTTCTTTTGGCGTATGTCCAAGACCACTGAAAATTTAGAAGTCTTTTAGCTACCCAATAAATTATGGAACAAGCTCTACTGACGTCTCCTTGAGCTTGTTTTCACTACCTAATTATTTCATGAGCCGGTTTCAGAAGCTGTGTAGATATTTTTATCTATGTTAAATACGGCAATACGAGTATGTGCGCTATGTGCTAATGTAGTTTGTCATTTGCCTTGGCGTCATAATATGCATGAAATGGCAGTATATTTTTTATTTCGCTCCTAATTCAATTTGAGATATACAGGGTGACTTCGAAGTTGAGTCATTTATTTTAACAGTGAGTAGATCTGATCAAAAGAAATGTTTTTTCCTTTACCATTTTTCTGGTAAAATTAAAGTAACAAAGTTATAGCCCTTTGGAAGTTTGAGTACCGCCCTGTCTCAATAATTTCATTCATTTGTATACAGTCAGTGTCAGTGATTAGTGGTATCTGTTGCGTGGCTCAAACGAAATAAAAAATGGCACATGTTTATGCGGATCGGTTTCCCAATCGAGTGCAACCAACCCCTCGTGCCTTTGTTAATGTAGTACAACGGGCTCGTGAATCAGGTGACTTAAGACCTCACAGGGGACCTCACGATCAAATACAGGTCCGCACTGAAATACTTGTCGGGAGGATACTTTATAAAACAAGGTAAAAAAAAATTTTTTATTTTTACACACATATTTCGGTTTATCTTCCTTCTAGAATCAGTATCTGAAAATTAATGACTCAACTTCAAAGTCATTGTGCATTCCATGCTAAATTGTGTTATTCACGTCGTTGTTTGTTGGCGCGTCTGATTACATCGTATCCGTAACGACTTCTCATATTTCGCTGAGGATATTTTGTTTGTAAGATTCCTTGCAAGTTACATATATAGTAACAATGTGTATCTTGTAGGCAAAGGTCCGCATCCGTATTGTGTAACTTAAAAAGTGACATTATATTGATTTTATGGACATCATGTAGTTCTTTTGACGGTAAAATGTCACCTTTTAACGAGCTAAAATTCAAATTCATGCTCCCTTGTAGTAGGCGTGGATTTCACCGATTTTTTTTTAATTATATAGATTTTTTACGTAATAACCCTGCCGTTTGTCAGCCAAAATATAACACGAATAGAAAATAACCGGAAGAACCATGATGAACATAACCAGAGAGCATCTTACCACTAATACTGCACAACTCAAGCATCATAGAAAGTGTGAATTAGTTTAAATGGCAACACTGGCTCGGTGCTCTCCGTCCAGTGAGGTATACCTAGACAGCGTTGCCATTAAAAGTTCCTACGATACGCGAGTTTTGTGAAATTAGCGGGCAGGGTATATGTATTGTGTTATAAAGTTTATGATTACGTGGCGAGATGAATTAGTGATTCTCTTACGTCAAGTTGAAAATAACTGATATGTTCTGACTAGACTGAACAGATTTATTCGTGATTAGCCTCTCTGAACACTGAAAATGTCATTAACAGCTTGAATTGATTATTGTAGATAAGTTAACTAATAATATGCGTAAATACAAGTACTCAGGTTGAGTATTTATCTGTTAAACATTTCTGTTTAGAGTAACGTTGGACAATCGTGCTTACCGCATGGTATCTAATGCAATCTAATGATGTGGAATCTTTCCAGTAAAAAGGCTATTATGAAAAATTTAACCACGAAGTAGAATTTTGGCAAGGTGTCAAATGGATCACCTAAACAAGCATTATCCTTGAAGCAATATTTGGCTATAATTATGGCAAGTATTGCCCAGCCATCATGATCATATTGCAGCATATGGCTCGACTATATAACCCGGCTATAATAGTTATATCTGTAAGGCTGTAAGGCTCGCGGGTTGTAATCCCGCCCTCGGAAGACACATTTAGAGCCAAGGATGTTGGGTTTATCTATAAATGCACACAAGAGATCGATGCAATATCAACTGGTACATAGAATCGCTAGAGCTGGTAATTGAATAACCAGTTACCAGAAAGTATATGGAGCAGAGTGCTGGCTTTGCTTTCCCAACTACCACAACTATATGTTGGCTACATCTTGGCAATATTGTCTGCAAGACACATACACATTTCAGAATTTCTCATCAGAAGGCCCACAAAATCAGACAAGAATTATTAAAGAAATTACATTAACCAGTCGCCATAAGCTTCACAGATTTGAATCCCGTTCCAAGGAAATGTTTCTCTTCGCTATGGATGCTGTGATTATCCGTAGGTGGTATACATTTTCCCCGCTAGAGTCTCTTTTAATTTATGCCTCAAGTTTGACTCCAACAGTTCGGCAACCTGACAGCAGTATATGAAAATAGGTCGAATGTGTCAAACATGTGTAGCAATATAGCCATACTAAAAGTATTGCTGTATGTTGTATGCAGCTAGGCAATGCCTTGAAAACATTGCCCGTTTGGAAACCACAAGATTCAGTATCAAAATATCTGAAAATTCTAGTTTTTTTGTCTTTCAGACAAAGTAACAGCAAAAGACCAGCAAAAATACCAGATATGTAAATAGAATCCGAATAAATATACAGGGTGTCCGCAAAGTTGGGGTTTTCCTTTTCAGAAACAACTACCTACCCATGAAATAACAAAGGTAATGTGTAGTGAAACGAGGGCGACCAAGTAAAAAAAAATAAAGGAAAAAGTACTCACTCTCACGTCTCTGCCCGAAATCATACCGCTCCAACAGAAAATGAAATCAGCTGATGCGCTACCGAGCAGGCGCAGGCAAACAAGGAAGGCAAAATGTTGCGTAAAAAGTCAAGGTATTGCATCCCGTCCAATCGATTTGGGAGAATAAATGGTCCAATGAGCATACCGTTCACCATGCCAGCCCAAACATTCACCGAAAATGTTTGTTGAAAATGTGCCCGACGGACAGCGTGTGGATTTTCTACTGACCAAACATGAGTGTTGCGAAAGTTATTCACACCATTACGCGTGAACGTAGATTCGTCTGTGACCAATATGCACTACAAAAAGTCCGGATTATTGTCATGTTGATGCAACAACCACTCACAAAACCGCACTCTTGCTGGAAAATCGTCAGGTTGAAGGGCTTGTACACGTTGGACGTGAAACGGGTACAGCCCCTCTTCACGCAGCGTTTGCCACACTTTAGTTTTTGATACTTGCACTTCTCTAGCCACGTCTCTAGTGCTTGTTGAGGGATTCTCGTCTACGCGATTACCTCTAGACGTGTGACCGTAACCGTCGGTTGAAGGTTGCATACTGACCTGACAGACTGACCCCGACCCAGTTCTGTCGTCGGGCTGAGCTAGTGTCCTAGTACCACTCGGGGATGTCGCGGCTACAGGACAGTATTCAGATATTTTTGATGTTGCAGAGCCCTTTATCTCGGTTCCCTTAAGACATTGGTGTATGTATATGGTACTAAGAAAAATTGCTTATGTTTTCAAGATCTACACGTCGTGTAAAGGAAAACCCCAACTTTGCGGACACCCTGTATAACTAAACATATATGAATTATAGTACACAAATTTCAACATACCCTTTTAAAAATTTTGATATCAGCAGATATCAGTACTTTGTACGAACTTTTGACAGTCTAGTATTTCACAGCTTTTCTAGCCTGCCGGATTGAAGTAGGTACTCTAAACCTTGATACAATTGTTTATTTTTTAGGGCCTGCTTCAAGGGATCCAGCTATGCTGGAGAAAATGATGGATGTAGGCATGAACATTGCCCGTCTGAACTTCTCTCATGGTTCGCATGAGTACCACGCGGAAACTATTAAGAATATCCGTACTGCCGTTGATAATTACAGTAAGAAGATTGGTATGCCTTACCCTCTCGCAATTGCGTTGGACACCAAAGGACCTGAGATTAGGACTGGTTTGCTAGAAGGGGTACGTTGAACATTACTATTTAGGTTCAACAGCAACTTGAAAATAAATGCTTCCGCAACATAATATTTTAATTATGCCTAAAATACTGAAAATATGCATCACTTGAAACGCAGATTTATTGACACATTTATAATGTCTACTTCATTTGCTTTTACATTTTTTGTCATTTTAATGATTTTGATTCTGTTTCCACATATTTTTATTTTAAAAGTCGATGAATTGTAACATTACATAACAAGCGACAAGTTGTTTATGGACGTTTTTGAGGTGCTTCTAATTAATTCGCAGGCTATACTGAACCAAAGTGTCAATACTATATGACATTTCCGTTCTTTTTTAAATGTCCTCCATCACATTTCGAGGGCCTGCGTTCTGTTGCTAAACGTCGCGTAATGGATGTGTTAAAAACTATATCATGTGATTTAACGATATATAAGTAAAAATTGTGAATACCCTTCAAGTGCAATCTTTTAGAACAGTAATTTAATAGACCTGTGTTATTTTCAGGGTGGCTCTGCTGAAGTGGAGCTGAAGAGAGATGAAACCATCAAACTAACGACAGACAAGGCATACGAATCAAAGGGCACAAAGGATTGTATCTATGTAGACTATGATAATATCCAGAAGGTAGTCAAGCCTGGCAACAGAATCTATGTAGACGATGGTTTGATCTCTTTAGTTGTACAAAATATTCAAGGATCATTCTTGACGTGCAAAATTGAAAATGGTGGAATGCTTGGCAGCAGAAAAGGTAACATACCGAATCTTCCTTCCACTTTGACACAAAAAGGTGTACAAACTTTGTTGGATAGGGTCCTAACAAGATGTTTGTCAACTTGAACATGAGTTTTATATCGACCTTAAAGGACATTTGAAAGACAAATTGAGAAACGTTTAGTTTGAACGAAAATCGTGACACCTTTACACTGTGATAGTAGAAGAGGACAGAATTTTGCACTTTTTTGGAGATTGGCTTACATTATCCACGATAGTTCCAAAATGTCTTTATCTGTGTACCTTGGGAGAAGTGGTAACAAATCTTCATAATTTTGTTCAGGTATTAATCTCCCCGGAGTACCAGTAGATCTTCCACCAGTCTCTGAAAAAGATAAATCTGACTTGAAGTTTGGGATTGAACAAGGCGTAGACATGGTCTTTGCTTCGTTCATTCGAAACGGTGCTGCTCTTAGTGAGATTAGAGGAATTTTGGGAGAGCAGGGAAAGAAGATCATGATCATATCGAAAATTGAAAATCAACAAGGTAAATAATCAATGGAATCATCATAGATATGCTAGTTACAAAAAATTACTGTACCTTATGCAAGTGACATTTAAGCCAAGTCAGGGCAAGCACGGCCAGTTGATTGCTAGTTCTTGCTCTTCTATTGGCTTATTGTTGCATGCCTGGCAATCTGACCAATGGTAGCGCGAGAATCTGGCGAGTGAATAGCTATCACATAATCTTATCATAGAAAAATGCGAAAAATTATTTTTGGCTATATTTTGTGACAGGTATGACAAACTTGGATGAAATCATCGAAGCATCTGATGGAATAATGGTTGCTAGAGGAGACTTGGGCATTGAAATACCCACAGAGAAAATCTTCTTGGCGCAGAAGTCTATGATTGCTAGGTGCAACAAGGCTGGCAAACCAGTAGTTTGTGCCACACAAATGCTGGAATCTATGGTTAAGAAGCCTAGGCCAACCAGAGCTGAGAGTTCTGATGTAGCTAATGCTGTTTTAGATGGTAAGCTGGTCGCTTAGCATGTTTTACTTTCCTCGCCTATGGTGCAGGAAGTATTGTTATCGCTCGCGAAGCAGTTCGAATATGAGATATTATGTTTTTTGGATTTTATATGATAGTCTAATCACATTAGACGAAAATACCCCTACAAATTATATCATGTTTATATCAGTTTTCAAAAGCCACTCATATACATTTTTAATAATAATATTCGGTATTTTCTAATATATTTTGGTAAGTTACGATATAATTTTGGTGTTGCAATAATTATTTGTTTATTTTTAATTCTAGAATCATATTCATAATTTTTATAAATGGTCGAATGTTTGTTTTTATGGAATTCTAGTATAACATTATACCAAAATAATTTTTTAATATCTAAAAATTTTGATTCTATAAACAGTGATTTGGAGGGATATAGTAAAGGTTTATTATGAATTGTTTTCATGAATAGTTTTTGTGTTACTTGTAAAGAATTTAGATGGTTATTATTCGTGGATCCCCAGATAATAATTCCATAGGTTATGTGTCATTCAACTAATGTTTGATATAAAATTTTCAATTGGCTTTCATTGAAAATTTATCTGTAGTATCTGAATTTATATAATATAAATCTAAGTTTCTTTTTAATGTATTGGATATGCTCATCCCAACGAAGATGAATAAAATAATTCCGAGATATCTATGATTTAGTTTACGTGATACACATATATTCATTTTGGAGATTTGTTTTCTTTATATTTAGCTGATTTTCTTCACTAGATATATTTTCAATTTTAACCTTATGTTTTCTTTATGCATATAATTTCTGTTGCAATTTCTTGGGATAATAATTTATTTTTTGATTGAAATTTCATAGGAAATTAATATCAATGTCTTCTCTACATTTTGGGCCTTTATGCAATCAAGCGTCTCAAAACACACCACATAAGCATTAAAAGTATACTTATGGCCAATGAAGGCTTCTGAGAAGTCTATTCTGCCAAGGCAATATTTCTATTATATTCTATTTTTATAAAATAATATGCAGTACACCACATAATCTAGTAATATGTTAATGACGGTTGGGATATAGTTCGAATTGATGTGGAGCATATGTTCTTCCAACAAGACGGTGCGACCTGCCACTCGGCACGCGACACGATGGTGCTACTGCGGACCAAGTTTCCAGTTTCCTGTCATCTCTCGGTTTGGCGATCAAAATTGGCCACCAAGATCGTGCGATCTAACGCCAATGGACTTCTTCCTCTGGGGCTATGTGAAGGAAAGTCTGTATGCGATTAAGACACAAACAGTTGAACGCCTTAAAGAGGAGATACGACGCGTTATCGAAGAAATAGAGCCACAGCTGTGCGAAAACGTTATCCAGAATTTTAAGAAAAGACTAACCCTGTGGAAGAGGTTTCGTGGTGGCCATTTACCGTATATCTTCTTTACTGGATATCCTATTTCATGTTTAATCGCAACTATTCCTCTTCATGTTTATATATAAATACTCGCTTAATTCGAAAAGAAATTGTGTTTTTCTTGAAAATCAGATCCGGCGCTCTTATTGACACTCCCGTTATATGTATAATTTTTTATTAGGTGCCGACTGTGTCATGTTGTCCGGAGAGACCGCCAAGGGCGATTACCCCCTGGAATGCGTCCAAACCATGGCAAGCATCGCCAAGGAGGCCGAGGCGGCCGTATGGCAGAAGCAGCTGTTCACCGACCTGACGAACAACGCGAAACCCCCGCTAGATGTCGCTCACACTGTGGCCATCTCCGCTGTAGAGGCGTCATTTAAGAGCCTCGCGTCGGCCATCATCGTCATCACGACCTCAGGCAGGTCAGCGTACCTCGTGGCCAAGTACAGACCGAGGTGTCCCATTGTAGCGATCACCAGGAATGCTCAGACCGCCAGACAGTCGCATATCTTCAGGGGTCTGTTGCCGCTCATCTACGATTGTAAGTAGTTTTTTCGATAATGCTCAGACTAACGACTAAAAACAAACGGATACTGCCATCTTAAATGTCACTCGCTGTGAGATCAAAGCGTCGCGTATTACAAATTCCATCAATGTGACTGCTTAACTTTTTTGTTTTCTGCATGATTCAAATAAAGTTAGGTGTCGATGCTCAATTTTTTTCTCTTTGGCAGTTCGAAAAGACTATCTGCTTTTTATTATTTTATAGTTACATATACCTATATATGTATATGTTGAGAAGTAGTCGTTGCCGGCGCCAACGACCAGTTGGGTAAGAAATACAAACTAGATCGTTTATTAGAAATCGACAACTTATAGCATAGTGACTTAAATCTTGAGCTTTCGACATACTATGTTGTCATCTTCAGGAGCTAAAAATCAAATTTGAAAATAGCAACCAAGTTAGATCAGTTTAACTTTTATTACTTACCAGACCACTTGTTAATATTATAAAAACTGCAAATATTAGGTTTGCTGTTAAATATGGAACACATAGCCATGCATTACAAACTTTTGTTTCTAAACCCGAACAGATTAAAATGGGGAAGATTTATCAAATTATTAAAAACGAAAACTACATTTTGGGGAAAAATACATATAAAAAATTGTTTTCGTACTATCTGTTATACAGAGGCAGAGAGGATGGACGGTTTTAAAAATATAAAATAGTTAATTTTTACTCGGAAACAAATTTATTGATGGAATCAGGTTCACAAGGAAATAGCATTTGAGACAGTCAAGTGTAGAAAATCACATCAGGCATGTGGTGGCTGAAATCGTTGATGCAGTGCTAGAGGCGTTCTTGGAAGTTCGCGTAGACTCTCTCCAACATCGCTCTCTCAACTTGGGCGACTTCCACGCGAATTTCGTCCTTCAATTCGTCCAGAGTTCGGGGCTTGTTCGCGTATACTCTAGCCCTGAGGTGTCCCCATAAGAAAAAATCGCATATGGATAAATCTGGGGACCGAGGAGGCCAATGAACATCGCCAAACCTGGAAATAAGGCGACCAGGGAAGAGAGGGCGAATAATGTCCATGGATGCTAGGGCTGTGTGGGCGGTCGTCCCATCCTGCTGGAACCACACACGTCGGATTGGAACACGTCGCCGGGCAGATCGAGTCGGACTGCGAAGAAAGACTTGTCGAACGCGTTCAACATTTTCAGGAGTTCGAACTGTTCGCGGCGCTCCTCTTGGTCTTCTGTTGATCAGTTCACCACGCCTGCGAAGTGATTCAACCCAACGAAGGATGGTGTTTCGAGAGGGAACAGCTCTATTCCGATGAATGTTGAAGTGGCGACGAAACTCACGCTGTACGACGATGGACTCATTATTTCAGACGAAACAATCATAGGCGAAAACCCGGTGATCCACCGTCCAAGGCTCCATAACGACAACTGGTAAAATAATGCTAGGATCTCACGATTCAAACGACACCCTCCCCCTCTCTAGTAGACGGAGGCGGAGAGTACTACCCATCCCAAAAACGTCCGTCCTCTCTGCCGCACCCTGTATATCTTAACAATAAGGATTTTTTTTAAAGTACACGTTTAATAAGAATTTTTTACTTTACTTTAAAACTGCATGGGTTCGAAATGTATTTGGTTTTATTGGCTGCTTTTAGTGTGCGAGTTGCTTTTAATTGCAGTTTTATTTTTTTGTTTTAACGCATCCTTAAGGTACTTAATAAGCCCGTTCGCGGCTACTTGGGATACCCTTGATTTTTTTATCGTATGTCCTCAGGTGACCGCGACGAAGACTGGCTGAAGGATGTGGACAACCGCGTGAATGCAGGTATCAAGTTTGGCAAACAACGCGGCTTCATCAAGAGCGGCGACCCCGTCGTCGTGGTGACCGGATGGAAGCAGGGCAGCGGTTTCACCAACACCATGCGCGTAGTGTACGTTTCCGACGAGGTCTTTAGCATATGCCTGGGCACCTGCGCCAAAAACAAATAGCGTTGGGACAGCACTGCTCGCAAGCATGCTATTGCGCAGGCGCTCTGTGTGTTTTGTCGCTAGCTGTGTCTGAATGCATCTTAGGGTAGTTTGTTTCGATGCGTTAAGACCACCTGTAAATTGTGTTGCGAACATAGAGATCTAGTGCAGACTTCTATGTTTCTCATTGTTCAAATTCCAATTTCACTTAATTTATGTCGTATTATTCCTAAAACTTCTGATGATAAAATTATTTTGGGTATTTTAAAGGGTGTATACAGAAATACAGGACATTTATCAATCACTCTCCAGTGATATAAAAAAGTGTGTCCATCACTATATTGCGTATTATATTAGTATAGGAAATCCCTTACATAGTTACCACGAAAAAGGGTGAGCCAAGACGCACAGAACACAAAAATCTTCTTAAAGCTAGTAACTTGAGATTTTTATTGCTCCCTTCCCATTATATTAAAATGTTTACACAGAAGCCGTTTTGGTGGTTGTTAACGCTACGAACTGAATACCTATGCATGATAAATTGTCAATCTTTTTTCATTAAACCTAATTGAACTTTTGTTTTTATTTGCTTTTTCAGCTGATTAATATGTTTCACACTAAAAACACTTTTCTGAGAAGAGAAATTTATACTCATTAAGTCTTTTGGGGTTTACATACTGATATGGGTGAAAAATTACTAGCAAAATTTCACGGAATGCGTTATGTGCATTATTTCCAGTGAGTTCAAGTTATACGTGAACGAAGAGTAGCTACGAAGAAAAAAGAAAGCTTTTCATTTACACAGCACCAAACTCTGTATGTGAACTGTATGGTGCTTTCACGTCAAGGTAAACTAAATATTGGATTTTGCAAAATATAAAGGGTTTTTCAATAAGTGCGTCTGAAATTTAAAATTGTACAAAACCAGTTGCGTGCGACATAGGATGGAAACTTTAATTGCGTATCAAAGTACATTCAATACTATTACGTTGTAAAAATTACATCATTCAAATAGCCTCCGCGGCTCCAATAGTTTGAATGATGTTCTCCAGTTGGTGAATTGTTGTTGGTTTGTTGTCATAACCAGCAACTTAACGTAAATCCAGAGAAAAAAGTCAAAGGGCGTTAAGTCGCACGATCTTGGCGGCCATTCCACATCGCCTCTTCTGAAAACAACATGCCCTGCAACCTTTTCTTGCAGCAACTGCAAGTCAGATCAGCCAGAATAATCATTTTAGGCTACTATTGCATGTAAAGGACTGGACTGTCCATAACAAATTTGAAGGGTCAATTGTCATCATCATGTTAGGCACTATTTGGAGATATACTTTCAAAAAACACTTGAAATTAGATTTTTGTTCAGTTATTCAAATTTCCTGTGGCGTACTTCAGATGCATCTTTCTCCGTAGGGGAACTCCCTAGAATGTTTTTTGTATAAGAACTTGTAATTAAAGCCGAGAGATTCCAAACATTGCTTATACACATTTGTGTTGAAGAAACAGGATAACTCTTTTGCTTTTACTGTAAGTATATAAAAACTAACCATAATCTGGTAATGTGTGCTTTGCATTATTAATGTGCTTATTAATGAATCGAAACTGCATGGGCATGCTTAGAATTTAAACGCGGTATGATACTAATTATATGTTCTTTACAGGACTGTCCAATAAGACTTCATCATCACTCAGAAAACAAGTTGAATATTTCTAACAATATTGTGATTCGGATTATTTATTTATACTATCCCGAAATATACATATATACATATATTGATTTAATGGAGTATCAGAGTAGTATTAAAAAACAAAATAAATTTATTTTACAAACAGTAATTTTATTACAACTCCGGTTTTATTTCAGCCCAGATATATTTAGACCATTCTTACATAAGGCTAGACCATTCGGTGAGGTGCAAATTCGGCAGACGTCTTAATGCGTAATGCGGTGGCCTCGTACAAGGGGTGCTAGGCAACGACATTTTTCTACTTTTTATTAAACATACTTTGACCAAGACCTCATAGTATGTCAGAAATGCTAAGGTGCTAAGGTGAAAAAAATATCTTTTATGGTTATTTCGAAAACTATGAAGTCTATGTCAAAGTTGTATAAAAAGTATTCAGAATTTCCCGCAACGTACAAATATCGAATAAAATGTATAGCATTCCATAAGAAAAACAACTGTCGCTATCACTTTCTGAAAAACTAATTAAGATATACGGTCTGGCAGATTATCAGAATATTTCTATTTGTTTTATACAGGGTGTCCCAGAAGTCGACGTCAAGCCGAAACCGGGTGATAGGCAAAGTCATAACAGCTATCAGAAAAATATTTAAAAAAATTTTATTTATGTGTTTTGAAAATTATAGGTCTTTGAAAAAGATATAGAAATTTCACGCCCTACGGCAGTCTGTCAACTCCTGTTACTACAAATATTAACTTTTTTTGGATTTTATTTTTACAATGTGATGATGAATAATGCATCTTCAAACTGGTGTCTCAACCTTACTGACAACTTTTCTCGTTCAGGAAAAATTGCCACTTATTTCCCAACTAAGTATTCCAAAGTAAAACTTTGCTCAACTTTAACTGGCTGTACTGGAAAAAAATGTACTACGAGAGTTTGGCAAGTAACCTTAAAAGTTGGCGCATTTAATAACGATACCACAATGGTATAACACTTAGAAGATTACTCGTTAACTGCACAATTTTTATTTGAAAAAAAACTGATGAAAATTTTTCAAAATTTCCTAATTAAACAGCGATAATGAAAACGCACAAGGACCCTTAAGGATAACTGTTTGCACAACAGTGGGCGTCAAAATGCTGCTGATGATGATTTACCTTTACAGCAAATGCTCAAACTGTTTTCCTTCAGCCGCAATACACGGTCGACATCTTCTTAAAAAAGATCGGTTTATTAAACGAGCGAATCCACGGTTATTAACAAAATCAGCTGCTTCCAATAGTCTTTGCCGTAGCTCAGCTACATTTTGAATCGGCACTGAGAGTGCATAGTGCGCTGGGCAGCCATCATGCTGAAACCACATGTCCCTCTAAATACTCAGTGGCACGTCCACCAATAAATTTTGTACATGATTTTTCAAAAGATCCAAATAAACTTCAGCAGTCAAAGTCGCTAGGAACTCAAACGGACCGATTATTTTACCATTTAAAATTCCTGTCCAATGGTTTATCTTGAAGCGATATTGAGATTTATCTTCTCTCATCAAATGTGGGTTTGCTACGTGCCACTCGTGTAAGTTATGCAGGTTCATGTACCCATCTTTCAATGTGGTCTCATCCGACCATAAAATTTTTTCAAAGAACTGTGGATCTTTCCTGTGTCTTTCTAACATTGTGCGACAAAAAGTAACTCGGGGCTCATAATCCCGGGGCAGGAGAGGTTGAACACGCTGTATGTGGTCACCAGATTTGAATCCGTTAGATTTTTTTTACTGGGGAACTGTAAAAGAAAAAGTGTATTTCAAGCCGATTCAAAATGCTACGGCAAAGACTATTGGAAGCAGCTGAGTTTGTTAATTATCCGTGGATTCGCTCGTTTAATAACCCGATCTTTTTTAAGAAGATGTCGAGCGTGTATTGCGGCTGAAGGAAAACAGTTTGAGCATTTGCTGTAAAGGTAAATCATCATCAGCAGCATTTTGACGCCCACTGTTGTGCAAACAGTTATCCTTAAGGGTCCTTGTGCGTTTTCATAATCGCTGTTTAATTAGGAAATTTTGAAAAATTTTTGTCAGTTTTTTTTCAAATAAAATTTGTGCATAAGTTAACGAGTAATCTTCTAAGTGTTATACCATTTTGGAATCGTTACTAAATGCGCCAACTTTTAAGGTTACTTGTCAAACTCCCGTAGTACATTTTTTCCAGTACAGCCAGTTAAAGTTGAGCAAAGTTTTACTTTGGAATACTTGGTTGGGAAATAAGTGGCGATTTTTCCTGAACGAGAAAAGTTGGCAGTAAGGTTGAGACACCAGTTTGAAGATGCATTATTCATCATTACATTGTAAAAATAAAATCCAAAAAAAGTTAATATTTGTAGTAACAGGAGTTGACAGATTGCCGTAGGGTGTGAAATTTCTATATCTTTTTCAAAGACCTATAATTTTCAAAACACATACATAAAATTTTTTTAAATATTTTTCTGATAGCTGTTATGACTTTGCCTATCACCCGGTTTCGGCTTGACGTCGACTTCTGGGACACCCTGTATAATGTAGGCGCATGCCTAAAGTTTTGTTTTACATAGTTTTGAAGATCAAATCAGATAGGCGACATCAACTTGTGCCAGCATTGCAGGCGTCAGGGCAATATCGCCAGTCGTTCCAACAATTGTAGGACGCCTGTTCATTGATTTTCATAGTTTTCAGCGCTCTATTTTGAGGTTATGTCACAAATATCTATTCGCATCGAATTGTTCGTGCTTTTATTCATATCATCTGTTTCATCAGCCTGAAATTCCCTACAATTCAAAAAGAAAACATAACTTCGCAACAGGAGAGCGCCGACGCTGACAACAGCAGAAATCTAGAAATACCACACACAGCCTTTCTGAAGGAGAGAAAAGACTATGAAAATCAAGGAAGCCATAACGGCTTCCTGCAATTGTAGGAACGAATTATGTTGGCAATTTCTTCCTGGATGTTTGTCTTCAAATCTTGTAGGTTCCTTGGAAGGTTTACATTTACACGGGGTTTAAAAAAACCCATAGAAATCGAAACAGTGGCCATCGATCTTGCACTGTTCTACTGGAACCAAATGTCCCCTAAGTTCAACTGTAGCCATAGAAAAACATTCCTCTAACATGGTTGCATACCGGTCGGAACTTACTGCAACTGCGACTTTATTTTCCTCAAAGAACCAGGGACTAAGGAAATTGTATGTTAAATCGCAACATTGAAGCTCTCACCGCCTCAATGTGTTCCGGTGATCTAATGGGCCGAGGGACTCCAGTTCTTCGTCTTGGTACACTTGCAATTTGATCTCAGTGATCCACGTAACAACTAATTTCCGGTCCAGGACAGGTGCCAACGGGGCTAAATCAAAGAAATTCCAAAAAGCGCGCTGGGTGCGATCACAGAACATCGCTCGAAAAGTAGGCCTCAGCTGCAAAAGCACGCTCCCCACTATTCCAGCGCATGATAGCAGCTGAACTGTGTTATGTTATGATATGCTACCACAATCTGCTAACATTTTGTCTTAGAAAAATGAAACTACAATGTGCCACCACAATTCCCATGTATTACCGAGTATTAAACATTTTTGACTGTTAAATTACTTAACCTAGACCCGTAAATCGTTTCACAACTCGTCCTTTGAAAAATATCGCAGAACGAAACTTTTGATATCCTCAGTTGTGCGTTTCCCTTTATAGTCTGTCACAAACTTTCCATCTTTGAATAACTTCACTGTAGGGAATCCAGATATTTCATACTCTTCCGTTACTTCTGGATTCTCCGTACAATCCACCATTGCCATGCACTGGTCGTAGCCTTGAGATGCTAGATCTTTAGCAGCTTCTATGTAGTCAGGTTTCATTCTCTTGCAATGGCCACACCAAGGTGCGTAGAACATCACTAGCACCACCTATAGGAATACATTATTATTTTCGAACACGCGGCAGTAGAAAATATTCAAGGTTTAAAGGTGTCAAGAAAGCGTACGGGTTTCCATATTGATAATAGCGCAGGATAAAGAAAAAAATGCCAGAATTGTTGTCATTAATGAAGATAATTCTTTGTTGTTTTGTAAAGAAAACCATGATGCACCACCTTTTTTTTAATGTAAGATGCAAGCATGTGTTGCTAATAATATTTAGATGCCATATTTACCTTGCGCTTTTTCAACGTTTGGGTGAAGTTTCGATCTGTCAGATGGATCACAGTTGAATCTGAGAACCAAGAGAGGTTCTCAGGAGTTGGCGGTGATGGTGTGTTGTTTGACAATTTGTCAGGTTCTAACATAAATCGTACAAAGTCGTCAGCCTGAAAGAAAAGTATAGTTTATAAACGCTTACATTACACGAAAAATTAAAATCTCTGAATAAATCTGTTATCGGAATCATGAAATTATCTACAAATATTGTACAGCGATGAAAGTCTATATACTCTTTTATTCTTAGTTCAGGAGTAGCCACTACTGTTACGTGTGCTGTTATATGTACCCTCAGTTTGAGTGTGGGCATTATTAGGCACCTATAGGAGTTTATAAAAAATCCAAGTCGTGGTTGTTTGGCCGCCATATTTAAAAATGATCTGATTTTTTTATATACTAATAGATGCCTAATAATACCCTGCAATAAAACTGATGGGACACGTGGCTTTACTGGCTGCTCTTAGACTATCTGACCATAGACTCACCGTCCTTCCTCCATTGTATACTCTGGTATTTTTAGTATAATAGCTAAAATATTTCATAGTAGGATATCCTTTAACATCGTTAGTGCTGCATAGCGCCTGTTCGACAGTACAATCAACAGCTGCGAATTCTACTTTTGGATCATCCCTAAACCGTGCCGCTGCTTCTATGAACTCTGGCTTGGTTTTCTTGCAATGCCCACACCCTAAAAAATACTTATGTTTAGTTTGTTCCTAGCAGAGTTGAGTATGCAAAGTAAACATCTGATAGACGGTCAAAGAACAATACTAGTGCACGAAGTGATATTTTTTATACATGAAAAATTCAAATATAATAATAATAATATTTATTTACTCTAAAATACAGGGAACATGAAACGAGTAAATAAATATAATATATCCATAGGAGGACAACGCCTGTGCATGGATCATATGTATGTTGAATTGCAAAATATAATAAAATAGAGAGAAAAAAGAAATTATTGGTAAGAATGGTAGAGCATTTATTGTGTAATATTTGAGATTATTTTATTAATTTGATTTCTCCCAATCGTGTTAATAAATTTTTTTAATTTTTTTTTGAAGCCTAATGTATTGCGTAATTGTTTTAAATTATTTGGTAAATGTTCGTACAATTTTGGAGCTATATATAGGTGACATCGTTTCATTAGGGATTTGTTTGGTTTAGGAACATTTTTTGCGCGTAATTTATATCTGGTTTTATGATTATGTTTAATTATGTCGTGTTCACTAATAGTTTTGTGATAATGAGTGATGGTATGTAAGAAGTAAAGTTGTTTAGTATCATATACTTGTGCATCATTATATAAGTCATTAGTTGGGTATAATTTTGATTTGCCTAACATTGATTTTAAAATTCTTCTTTGAAGTACATCTAAATCGTTAAAGTATGTCGTGCATGCAGCACCCCACACTACTATACCATATGTTATGTGTGGCTCGAATAAAGCTTGATATATTATTCGTAGATAATATTCAGTTAATATACCGGTTAGAAATTTTATTTTATATGCTATGTATCTAATTTTCTTTAGTATGTGAGAAATATGTACATCCCATCTCAAGTGGGGATCTAGATAAATTCTTAAATATTTTGTATTATTAACTCTATTGATTTTTATATTTTTATCATTTACCTTAAACCGAAGGTGGTTATATTTTGGTAGATGATTAGATAGTGATGAAAATGGTAAAAAATGAGTTTTAGTAAAGTTAATTGTTAATTTTCGGTTATTAAACCACTGAATAATTTTGCAAAAGTCATTTTGGATAATATCTTTTAAGTCGTTCCAATCCTTACCTTTATAGAGTATAGCAGTATCGTCTGCAAAACTGACTATTTTACCAGTACTGTTAATTTTGAATATATCGTTTAAATAAATATTGAATAACAGAGGACCCAAAATTGTACCTTGTGGAACACCACATTTAACAAACATTTCTTTACTATACGAGCTTAATAATTTTACTGATTGCGGTCTATTTGATAAATAATTTTCCATTAAAGTATACATCTTTCCACGAAAACCTATTCTTTCTAAGATTTCCAAAAGTATATTGTGGTTAACTGTGTCAAACGCTTTTTGTAAGTCCACAAATACGCATATCGATGGTACTTTTCCATCTATATTTTGGGTTATTTCATCTACTATACTTAATACCCCATCTGTTGTAGATTTGCCCGCTATAAAACCATATTGATTTGAATTTAGAATTTTGAATTTATTAAGAAAATTAATCATTTTAGTAGTAAAACGTATGTGACAGAGCCTATTGTCTTTTTTACGAGTATCCATCACGGTAGAATAACATGCGATTATATAGTAATATTTTAAAATTTCCTATATCGACAATTCTGACGGCTCCGTCAACGCCAGGTAGACATAGTCGTGTTTTGTTTTGGTTTTTTGTATGCTACAGATTCATTTTGTGCTTGCTAATAACTCTTATTTAGAAAAGTTTATTTGTTTACAAAAACAAAAAACGCAACAAGCAAATTTTACTAGATTTATGCGCGATCCATAAATGCTAACGTTACAGACTAATACAAAGATTTCGCCTGCTGATGAGCTGTTCAGCTCAGTAGTACGTCGAAACATGACGTATACTCGTGAGGGTTGACCATAACCCCAATAACTTTTCATGAACAGAGGCGACATCACAGATGCTAACTTATGGACTAAAGTATTGATTAAAATCGTCAGATAAAATAAGGACAGTGCAGTGACCCTTCGTTCGATAAACTCCATCCAAAGCCACGACAAAGTAGGTATTAATAGTGCCTTAAGGTGATTCGATGATATCTCGTCTGCAGTGTCTGTATTGGAACACCTGATTTCACTCTGTACTGGTCGTGTCGTCGACCGATACCGAATTCACGAATGAGTACCCTCATGTCCGCCTGTCGCCAACCTATTTTTTTGACATATATTTTTTATGTAATAACCCTGTGGATTTAGAGGCATTCAATGTCTCGATTTGAATCAGTCTGACATGGGAAGAAGCACGATCAATGTAAGATTTTGAAGATGAAAGGGGAAGCTCACGATTGTGGGCAAACTATACTGCCAACAAGATGCTATATCGCCCGACTACCACTACGTAAATGTCTTGAATCGCCATTCTTACAACCACTTACATGGAGCATAGAATATAACCAGCACATGCTTCTTCTTCCTGAGGAACGGCTTGAAGTTTTCCTCGTTGAGATGCACCACGTCGCCTGCCTCCTCGTCAGCCCAAGGTCGTTCTGGGGGCGGTGGCGGAGGGGGTTCCCGCGGCTCACGCATGAACTCGACGATACGCGTCGCCTCGCGCACGTTTACGTCAAACCGACGTTCGCCCTGCTCGAAGTAGATCACTGTTGGGTAGCCCTTCACCGAGTAACGGCTGGCCAGCGATTGTTCTTTGGTTGCGTCCACTGCTGCTAGCATGCCGGGGATCTGTTTAAATCCATGAAATAAATAATCTGCTCAACTTGATCAGCGGGTCACCTTTTTGACGGTTTTAGAGCAAATGTAATATCAACCTACAGCGTTAAAGCCACCGACTATTGAAAATGCATCGCGACTGAATAAAGGGTGCCTGCATTAGGGCACCTGTGTTCATTGAGGCGTGAGTGCGTCCCAGGAAAGATCTACCATTCATTGGAATCAATGAACGCGATCATCATAGAATACTCGCGATCTACCCACGCCCCAGATATCTACTTTCATAAAATTCTCTCATGACGGTAATCTATTGACGATAAAAAATCATGCATCTCTTACCCCTTCTTTTTTCATTATCGCAGCGGCTTGTTCATATTCTGGTTTCATCTTCTTGCAATGTCCACACCAGGGTGCGTAGAACATTACTAATACTGATGCTTCTGCTTTCACAACCGGATCAAAAGAGTTACCACCTAAATGCACTACCTATACCAATTAGAAATTGTTATCATTTTATTTGTACCATTACAATTGATGTCTTTTTATTTTTTCTGTAGTGGTTTATCTTAGTGCACTTTAAGGCGATAATGTAATTTCAGCTCTTTATACTGGCCTATTTCATAACCATAACATCTGACTGTATTTACTGGTGGCTAGACAACAGCTGCTGATTGTGGTCAATTCATTTTTTATGTCCTCTTGACACCTTTTTTATTTTTTTCCTCACACCAAGGTCCATAAATGCTCAATTTACACCCAAGATACTTGAATAACTATTAAAATATGCAGAGTATAATGCATCTTGGAATAATTTGCAATAACAATTTAGATAAATTTGGCTGATCACAAAACAAGACAATGTATGCAGAGTTGACTCACCTCACTATCCGTTTCAGACCATTCTGGCTCTTTTTGCTTGACAACTGGGGGTGCTGAAGGATTTCTCATGAACGCTACAATTGCAGCCTTCTTATTTTCTCCCTCATATGTATATTTTGGCTGACCATTGCTGTAAAGTGCGGATTATAGGACAACATGATTACAACAAATGATGCATAACTCTTTTGTGACCTCACACTGAAAACTACTACATTTGCTCAATGGAGTCGTGTTTCATGAAATTTTCATTTTTCCGAAAAACATTAAAAACAATTTTGAAACATATTATGTGGTGTACGAAAAAACGATTGGGGTACGGATAATTACGAAATTAGTAGATTTTGATTGTTTAATAGTTCATGTTTTGATGGAAGCAGTTTGAATTAGTAGACTGCATTTTAAACATAAAAAGTAAAATAAACACACACTAATGAACCCTATTGTGATAGATCCAAATGTTTCCAACAAAATAATGTTTATTATATGTATACAGGGTGTTTCAGTTTATTGTTGCATAACTTTAAGATTCGATAGAACTTTTAAAATTAATGCATAAAGTCTATATAAACATGGGTCGAAAAATGCGTGGCTTCCGAAATACAGGGTGTTTAAATTTACTTTCTAAAATAGTTTTTTTTTTAATATTTCGAACAATATTTGATGTATAACAGTGAAAATTGGTATACAAGGGTTTTTTGGTACGACAAAACGAACCATAGTTTTACTGTAGCCGCTAGAGGGCGCTCGCTACTGTACCTGTAGTGTATTAAAATGACCTAAAAAATTTTCTTAGTGCAATTTTTTGCTTTTTGAATAAGAAAACTGATTCTTCGCACTTTTCAACATAAAAAAGCTCACTTGTGAATGTTCGTTATAGTTAGCCGTTTTTGAGATATTTCGATTTTTAAGGTTCGATGCATTTTTAATTATTTATAGGAAAATAACGTTAAAAAGTCAGTATCTCGATAATTTTTAGAAGTAGGCTGTGCCTGCAAATATTTTTGAAATTGAAAGCAGAATAAGGATAAACGTCAATTAGTTGACAGTTAGTTTTTTTGTCTGTTAAAACCTGAAACGTTTTTTTGCAATTGTGAATGCACGAAAATTAGTTTCTTTTACCTGCTTTTTTTTGTAAGTTTTATAAAAATGCCATTTTTATTCTCCAATCAAGAGTTAGCGGATATTCATTTTGTGTATGGCTTTGTAAATGGAAACGCAGCAGAAGCAGCCAGAGAATACGCACGAAGATTTCCAAACAGACGACATCCAACTCGCTCAGTATTTGTAAGAGTGCATCGCCAAATAATTGAAAATGGTTTTGGAAATCTCCAAGGGGATCAAAACATAAATGTTCGTCAGCGCAGATTTACCCGTATGATTCTGCGTGAGTTTGATAGAGATCCGACCACAAGTGTTAGGAGAGTTTCTGGTGCCTTGGGAATTTCAGCAATCCATGTTCACCGTGTTCTTAGAAATGACCATAGACGTCCTTACCATTTGCAACCTGTGCAAGGACTACAGCCAGGGGACGGAGAACGAAGAATCACATTTTGTCAGTGGATTCTTGATAGAACTGATAATAATAGGGAGTTTTTAAGTAACGTTTTATGGACCGATGAGTCGACTATTTGGACCCTACCTTTTGCCTGCAAGGTTAAATGCTGCGACCTTCTTGGAATTTTTAAAGGATGGACATGCAAATATGTGAGATGATGTTATGTTGGATTTAAGAAGATTGGCCTGGTTCCAGCTTGATGGTTGTCCAGCTCATTATTCGAGAATAGTTAGAAACTGGCTGGACGAAAATTATCCAGAAAGATGGATCGGCCGTGGAGGACCAGTCGCCTGGCCTCCACGATCCCCTGACCTAAATCCATTAGATTTCTTTGTGTGGGGATTTCTAAAAGAAAAAGTGTACCAGACTCCCGTAACCACAAGAGATATGCTAATAGACAGAATCAGGAATGTATGTGATGAAATAAGGCCTTATTTGAATAATGCTATACCACGTTCGATCATTCGTAGATGTGAATTGTGTATTGAACAATTAGGTTTACATTTCGAGCAACTAGTTTAGATTTTGTATGTTTGTCCTAGCTATCCAATAGCATTTTAGTTGTACAATGTAATGAGTAATAATAGCGGTACCGCTAAACATTTAAACAAAGTGCAAAAAAGTGCATAATTGTCGGACCTTTATACAGTTCCTACGGCTGTGAGAATCACAGAACAAATTTGACGCAGCATATAAAAGAAATCAAATAACTACAAATTTCATGATCAACCGTACCTCAATCATTTCTTAAGACCCCTTGAAGGCTGAGCTATACATTAGCGCATATCGCAAAAATCTCATTTCTTACTTCAAAATAGAAGATTAGAATGTAACTAGTACGTAAATATCGTTTTTTCTTCAAGGACGCCTCTACTTGCTATTTTATAGAACTTGAAGGTTGCAGTTTTTTAAATATTTCTCCTAGCAAGAGAAAATTTATAAAAGCCGACTGAAGCCTCTCAACTTTATTTGGATCCTGTAGACGTAGAGAACTGAATTCTCTGAACACAGGTAACAGCATTTTATTGTCAGTACGAGATGCCAGTTTGATACTTACAGAAAATAGATCATTGTAGGAAATCCTGTGATATTATAGTGAGTCCTTATCATTGCATTTTCGGGTCGGTTAACGTCGATGGCAGCTAGGATAACATCATCTTTCAATTCAGAGGCTGCTTCTGCATACTCAGGTTTGAGGCTCTTACAAAATCCACACCATGGAGCATAGAACATAACCAGGGCCGGTTTCGCCTCCCTTTTTATGAATTTCGCCAAGGTCTGCAAGCAGTGCCACATTTTATGACTTATGACATGTTCGGTGACGGTGGCAAATGGGCGATAGGCCGCTGACACTTGTCATAATATAGCAGTGTGGCCTGTCTACAGGGTGACAATATCAGCGGGATAATTTTCATGAGGGTAGGCGTTTACGAGGGCAATCTTAATAGTAAGAGGTCTCCTATTTTTTTGAAGGTACAAAAACCATTTATTAATCACCATATTAACCGTCAATGAATTGCTCCTCGACGTCAAAACTGAAACCTCAAATATTCTTTCAACTTAGGAAACAAGTGATATTCACTGTTTAAACTTTATAATGATGTATCAATTACAATTACCAGAAATGAATTATTTTTGTACCTTTAAAAAAAGGAAACACCACTTTACAGCTATTCAGATATTTAACAGTAGATTCCGCCCCAAGCATTACCCTATCGAGCCCAGCCCGTATATACTAGAGATACCTATGCGGGCGTTCAGTCAACATAAAGCGGTCATAAAGTCACAAAGACTAGGAGTTTAAACGCAAGAGTGAGGCTGAAGCCAAAAATGTCGACGATGCGCTTAGGGCATCTCTCGCTTGTACACTCCGGAGAAATGAATTTCAGACTGTGCGCTACTGGCTATCAATTTGGTCAGTTCAGGAGAGTTGCAAGCGGTAATATTGGGTGATATTAATGAACCGCGATACCTCGCGTTTATTACCATAAACCTACAAAGCACGGCAAAACGCGAGTGAAATGGAAAACCTTTGGAATCAGGTATCCGCGCTGTACGTGATAATATGCGTCGACTTTAAAACATAAACCCGATTTCACGAGTATCCATCACTGTAGAATGACAGCCGATTATCTAGTAATATCTCAAAATTCCCCACATTGGCACAGGACACATAATTCTGACGGATCCGTCAACGCCAGGTAGAGAGAGCCGTATATTGTGCGCTACAGATTCATTTTGCACTTGCTAACAGCACTTTTATTTAGAAAAATTTATTTGCATAAAAAACAACCGTCACAAACAAGTTTTACTAGATTTATACCCGATTCATTATTGCCAACATCGCAGATTAACACAAAAATGACACTTGCATATCAGCTCTTCATCTCAGTAGACGTGAAAGCGTGAAATAGCCCATAAACATCGCGGCAGGTTATGTTAACAGATTTCAATGCACAGACGCTCTACGCCAACTAGATTTCCGAGAGCGTAAGACTACGCACATCACCTTGCGTAGCAATATTTAGGGATTGGTCTTATCATAAGCACACACCTTTTATGCAAACATTTTTTCTGATGATGATTAATCTTACACTATTAACTTATTTGTCACACTTCTTGTATCAACTGTAGCTTTACTGGACGGTTTTCAATGCTCTGATGCAACTGAATCACTTGAATAGTCTTTTGCAGTATCGTGTCGCATTGTCAAAAACAAAATGAGCCTTCTTAAAAACACTCATATTCCATTACAGATTGTTATGTGCGAGTTAGCTTTTACTTATTACACTTTGTCTTGATTTCGGTCGTATTTCTTAGTGGTAGATAATTCTATGGTGATTATGAAGATTTTAAAGCTTTTGACTGCCCATACATGATGACATAAACGCCATCATTGAACAATACTGTATACGGAAAATATAACTCACATTGGCATCTGGAATGTGAACAACATTTAATGCAGTAGAATCCTCTTCCCATGGTAAGTCCCCAGTTGGATCTCTCATGAAATTAGTCATAGAACTGACTGTTAACTTTCTATCGTAGTCTTTGTGAAAATCTCCATCTTTATAGTGTTTCAAGACAAACGGTTCATTATTTGGTATTTTGAGCTTTTTGCACATTTTTTTGGCTTCCCTAAAAGCAGATCAAACCTGTAAAATTTTGGTGTCGCCTAGGGATGAATTTTGCTTCTATTACTAGGGTTGTTGAAGACATAAATAATGTGCTAAAAACCTTGTGTAGTAGCAACATTTCCGAGATAGTGACCCGAGAATCTTGATTTGGTGGAAAATATGGGCAATTCTTATTTTCTAAAGTCATACTATTATTTATTGTTGCTCATGGACTGAAAGTCTTCTACAAATGACCTGTCATCGTCCATACATTCAAAAACCGTATTAGTCCTATCAGTTATGATACTTTTAATTATTATCAGTGTTTGGAATTTCTCATGGATGTTAGAATTTGATCAATCAGAATCAACATTAACAAATCAATTAACACGACGCCAAAAATCACTGAAAATGGCTTACTGGGCTCTAGCTATTGGATTTTCAGAAAAATATATTGTATTCCTTCTGTCATATGTCACAAAGTAAAAATATTTTCTTGGACTATCTATTTGTCACTATCTGTCAGAGCAGTATGTAAGACCTTTGCTATTGGTTATAGTACTGCGGGTCAATGAGACTGTCAGGTCTGGTTGCACAGATACCAGAGAAAGTCAGGAATACAGAAGAGAAGAAAGGAAGAAAGAGATTAAGCAAAAAGAACATAGAGTGATGTCTAGAGGGATACCTTGGCATTGTTAACGTGTATTCTGTAATTTTAAATTGATCTGTTGGACCTTAAATTGCACGATTTAATTTTATTCGCAATGCGAACCACAGTCGTGTGTGCTTCAACCTGCGACCAATCCAAAGTTCCATAAAGAAATAAATACTATTTGTATGATAAAAAGCCTGTAACCATAGGCGCCTATTAGGGGGCAAGGGGGAGCACATGCTTCTGTTGGGAACTAAAATATTCTTAATAGGGTGCCCAATTCTTGGTTTTTTGCTCTTGAAAACATCCCTACATAGACATTATTTTTTTGAACAGGTGGTAACTACGCTCCAAACTGGTCTGTAAGTCTAACCCCATTGAGAAGAAAATGTTACATATTGCTGAACTTGGTGTGAAAATTAGGATTACTTTGTTCTATTTCTGAATGCATGGAACGGGTATGTCACACAATTTTGAATGCTAAAATTGTTACAGAGTAGTACAAAGTACACTTTGTAACAGTTTATGAATGCAACCCTTTTCTAAGCCATTGCCAAGCTACAAGTAAAGATAGTTTTCATTATAGGCAAGCATACTGTCAATTCAAAGGTAGCAGATGGTAAAGTTAATTTACAATCATTAGGCATAAAATATTGAATAACGGTAGCATATAGTTGGGTTTGTATTGTTCTTCTGTTATGTATTGTAAAGTAGAAAACATAATGGATTATTATGATAAAGATGCCTATATGCCATCTGGTATAACTTTTCAAGATATCCAGATGTAAACTAGCCATGCCTGGCTCTGGAAAACATGCATTAATGACTGGAAAATAAAAAGAAAACAATGTTACATACCCTGAGCAATCAATAACAACCAAAGTTCCTTCGCCTTTAATATTTTTGGCAACATCTCTGATTGATTTTATAATGTTTTGAGCTTCCTTATAATTATTATAAAAACACACTAAAACATTAGTTTTTGTTCTGAGTATCTTCTTGAAGTCCTTGATATCAACCAAGTTATCCACAACTAGCTTATTCGTATTTTGCTTAGCGATACAGTAGTTAAGTTGAAATATATACTAGAAAAAGCATAAAATTAGTAGGTTGAAAAACACTTTAGAAAATAAAACTCACAGAAAGAGATATAAAAATATAAATAAAAGATCTCATTATAAGACTAGAAGAAACTGTACATATATTATAAAAATATATGTTTATGGATTATCCGAGAAATATACGCTCACATTAAGGCCCGAGTAAAGATAACATGGCAACGAAAGACAACTATTGAAATATACTCTACTAGACTATCGCTAGCAAAATTTTCTCGAGATCGTTGCACACCGCTTGAAAAATGCAAATGAAGATTGGAGAACTGCCGCTTTGACGTACTAAAATGATGCCGTTATTACCCCGGGATAGACATATGATCTTATCACCTAGATTGCGGCGTTGCCAGCTCATAGAACAATTTTGCTAGAATGTTTTAAAAAAAGAAGCTTTGGATAAAATATTGAGGGATACCAATGGAGATATATAAAATTTGAAGCGTAGCAATGTTTGCCAAGAAACTTCTTTACATTTTGCGTCGCCTGGCGTCTATGCGGCGGAACGTTAATGTCTCTGAACACTTCTTATAAATGCCTAGTTTTATAGGATAAAATACTTTTTGGATTAGGCACTTCTTCCAACAATTGGAAAAAAACAATGTTTTATTATATAAATATATTTATTAACTATTTGATCTAAAATTACATGATCATTAATAGGAGAAGTACGATTTTCATTTTCTCTGCTCTTTATTAGGGGAGTTCGATATAAACGGTTTGAATATAGCGAATCTATTTCGATACTGCCATAGCAACAAGTTCACATAATGTGATTGCGCTATGAAGCATACGTATATTTTGGTTAACAGTAGGAAAACTAATGTCTAGATAATTAATTACAATAGCAATCAACGTTACTTCAACAACTTGATCTCATCTTATCCAGACTTGCAATAGAAAATGTTTGAAAATATTAAGATCTGTCTCTGTTCTCAAGCCTCCGGTTCTCGGCTTTATAGCCGTTTTATATCGGCAAAAAATTTAAACGAATACAATATCGTTGTCGTCTACTATACAACGTTATTAAAATTCTCATTTATTTAAAAAAAAACATAGGATGTCAACCCTAACACACAAGTGATGAGTATGCAAGGCTCACCTAGATTGCTGCACATGTATCCTGTTTCCCTCAGAAGAGTTGGAAGTAGACCTAATTTCCACTTTGGAGACACTTGACACCCTCGTCACAACACTAAAACACCAAAGCACCACTGAGAGACAATCGAGAAAAAAAATAGCTCAGCAGAATAGAGCTCAGCACCTAGCTGTGAACGCATGGACACTCCGCTGCGCCGACGGTTGCCGAGAGACTGAAGCATGTGAGTGCGGTACTTCGCTGCGGCGATACGGTACGGCCGGGTGGTACAGTCACGCCCCTTTCCAGCTCCCACTCCGCGCGTCTGCGTTTTCTTATCTGACAGTATCACGAAGCGACTCGATGTTTACGTATAGGTACGTTAGGTATAGCACAACATTTTCAATTTTCAAACATAGTAATATCGATAATTCTACAAATATTCCCACAAATAGCCCCATAAAAAAAGCCCAAAGGTGTCAAATTTGGCGAGCGTCCTGGCCATTCCACAGGAACCTCGACGTCCAATCAAATGACCGGGGAAATTGTTATTTAAATAATTCCTAACTTGTCTGTAGTAGTGTGGTGGATGGTTTTTGCTGGAATACAATATCAGTATCGAATTCATTAGGACTTGCTTCGACGATTTCGGTGATTAGAGGGTCAATGGTATTTTCCAGCATATCCAAATACAGTTCCCCGGTTAAAGTTTGTTTGATGAATAGAGGCCCGACAATATGATTTCCCAATATCCCAGCCCAAACTTTAATTTTTTGTGGATATTGAGGATGAGTTTCCTGGAAGACGTGAGGATTGGCGTCACTCCAATAACGACAATTTTGTAGACGTTAGCGCCACCATGCGTCGAACGTCCGAGACTAAAAAGTTCATCCCATCGTGTAGAAAACACACAATTGTGGGGGTGTCGTACGTTGTACACAACGCCGGAAGCATCGTGCGAACTGGCAACACCAATGTCATCATCCTGTAAAAATATCAAATATCGCGTTTGTTTTGGTTAATATCCATTATATCTACGCTGATACTTTCGGAGATATTTCGTAAAAAACGGGCATAAAATACAGGGTGGCCAAACACGTGACGTCATAAAAAAAAAAATTAGATTCCCCACATCGAGAGGAACCCAAATCACCCCCATATATATGGTCCGATTTTGTTTAGTTTAGGAGTTATGATTTTTTTTCGGATTTTTCGAGAATTTTTGAGTTCTGTGTTTATTTTTACCATAACTTCGTTAATAATTGTGATAAATGCCTGCTTTTTTCACGATTATGTAGCTAAGACCTAAGGCTTAACTATCATATAATCATTCAAGTCATGTAACTAATACTACTTTTTAATTTTTTTCAAAATCTTCGAACATAACAAAAAAGTAAAAAAGTGCAACAACTTTGAACGTTTATAAAAAATTGAAAAAACATGTTCTTACTATTCGTAAGTATCTTAAAAACTTCCTTACGGTATCAGCTATTTACCGTAAAAATTTCATCAACCTAGCTTTACTACATGCTACCGTAATTGTGGCTCAAATAGAACCGAACCCAAAATTGGATAACCCTCTGCTCAATAGAAATTGTTAGTTTCGGAAAAAAAATTTGCAAAAACCACAAAAACACGTTTGATTTTTACTGAACAGCAGATTATTATTCATTTATGTTATTTACAAGAGGTTTTCAAAATGTCTGCCTCTAACAGAAATGCACAGTGTACACCTACGTATGAAATTTTGTTTTAAATCTCTAAATGCTTGTGTGTTGTTTTTCAACACATGTGTCGCTTCTTGAATTTTGTTCCTCAATGAATTTTCATTTGCACATTCTTGGGCGAATGTTATGTCTTTAAAATATCCCCAAACAAAAAAATCAATGGGGTTGAGGTCAGGGGAGCGTGGAGGCCATCGTATCGGTCCGTTTCGTCCGATCCATCTGTCTGGGAACCTTTCGTTTAAGTAGTTTCGCACGATCGTTGCGTTGTGGCATGGTGCACCATCATTCTGGAACACCATGTTCCGTCTGGCTTCCAGGCTTGAATCTTCCAGCAATAATGGTAGGCTATTTTCAAGGAAGCTTTTGTAGGCTACCGAATCCAACCTTGACGGCAGTTCAAATGGACCGATAAATTCCATATTGAATATTCCTGACCACATGTTCACACTAAAACGGTGTTGAAATGTCGACGGCCTTGACTGGTGGGGGTTTTCAACAGCCCAAGTATGTAAATTATGGATATTGAATATCCCTGTTCTTTCAAAACGTGACTCGTCAGTCCATAAAATTTTATCAAAAAAATCGGGATCCTCTCGTTGTCTCGCAGCATTGTCTCGCAGAAATCCACTCTTAACTGGTAATCTGAAGGCATCAACGCTTGAACTCTTTGAACATGATAGGCATGATAACCTTCTTTATGAAGAATATTTTGTATCGATGTTCGTGGTATTCTAAGGTTTTGTGCCAAAGATCTCGTACTCGTTGAGGGATTCCGGCTAATTTCTTCAAGTACTACTTCTCTGCGATCCGGATCAGCTGTAGGATATCCTTCATTGCTTCCTCGTCCTGGAATGCGGCCTGCCATGAAAGTGTTATGTGTGTTAATAAAAACACGGTGGTCTGGGTAATGCTCAGGTTGTGGTCCGCCTCGGCGTATAAGTTGTTCCTGGTACAGCTGAGCTGCTAAAGCGCCGTTGCCTTGAGCAACGCCATAATAATAATGCATCGACATTTCAACACCGTTTTAGTGTGAACATGTGGTCAGGAATATTCAATATGGAATTTATCGGTCCATTTGAACTGCCGTCAAGGTTGGATTCGGTAGCCTACAAAAGCTTCCTTGAAAATAGCCTACCATTATTGCTGGAAGATTCAAGCCTGGAAGCCAGACGGAACATGGTGTTCCAGAATGATGGTGCACCATGCTTCAACGCAACGATCGTGCGAAACTACTTAAACGAAAGGTTCCCAGACAGATGGATCGGACGAAACGGACCGATACGATGGCCTCCACGCTCCCCTGACCTCAACCCCATTGATTTTTTTGTTTGGGGATATTTTAAAGACATAACATTCGCCCAAGAATGTGCAAATGAAAATTCATTGAGGAACAAAATTCAAGAAGCGACACATGTGTTGAAAAACAACACACAAGCATTTAGAGATTTAAAACAAAATTTCATACGTAGGTGTACACTGTGCATTTCTGTTAGAGGCAGACATTTTGAAAACCTCTTGTAAATAACATAAATGAATAATAATCTGCTGTTCAGTAAAAATCAAACGTGTTTTTGTGGTTTTTGCAAATTTTTTTTCCGAAACTAACAATTTCTATTGAGCAGAGGGTTATCCAATTTTGGGTTCGGTTCTATTTGAGCCACAATTACGGTAGCATGTAGTAAAGCTAGGTTGATGAAATTTTTACGGTAAATAGCTGATACCGTAAGGAAGTTTTTAAGATACTTACGAATAGTAAGAACATGTTTTTTCAATTTTTTATAAACGTTCAAAGTTGTTGCACTTTTTTACTTTTTTGTTATGTTCGAAGATTTTGAAAAAAATTAAAAAGTAGTATTAGTTACATGACTTGAATGATTATATGATAGTTAAGCCTTAGGTCTTAGCTACATAATCGTGAAAAAAGCAGGCATTTATCACAATTATTAACGAAGTTATGGTAAAAATAAACACAGAACTCAAAAATTCTCGAAAAATCCGAAAAAAAATCATAACTCCTAAACTAAACAAAATCGGACCATATATATGGGGGTGATTTGGGTTCCTCTCGATGTGGGGAATCTAATTTTTTTTTTATGACGTCACGTGTTTGGCCACCCTGTATAAAGCAACACTATCAGTAGCTGTGATGGTATACGTGAGATGTATTGTGACTATTGTGGGAGATGCAGACGTTCAGGAGACTCTGCCATAAGTAATCAAGTGACACAGGTAGGCTGTTAAGTTCACATATCGGCATGATGTAGTTGGTAGATTATTCAAAATTGCATGTCTGTATTTAGCCTCTTTATAATCCTTATAGTTGGTACCGTTATATAAAGTATGAACGGCCGACAAATTAAAAAATTAGAACTGAGCAAACTAATTAAAAGTGACTAGCTTATTTACAAAGAATTATGAATTACATTAGTATTTTCTTATTTTTTCAGAATTATCAAGAAGCAGTATAATGAAGTGAGACGCAACATGAATTTGAAATAAATCTGTCTATATTTTCATGTAATATAATTTTTATACCATTGCCAACAGCATATGATTATTTTTTGAAACTGAATATATTTGCTGCTCCATAATTAGGGTTGTATTTTATTATTCTGAACCTTGTTCTCAGCAAAGTTGCTGATAGAGATATTACTCTTACTGGAGATATTTATTGAATATATGTTCATGAAATAATCCTTTAATATAGAAAATATCTTTTGCAGATTTGAAATTATGAACAAACGAAATCTCAACCACACTGCTAGCATTCCGTATCCGGGCGCATTCTTGGCATTATTTCGATAGGTCCTCTAGATCTCGAGGCAAATAGGCAGCCCAACCACCTGACAAACGTCAACGGTGTTACCATTGTTTAACGTGCAGCTCCCCCTTCTTCAGTGCTATGTGTTTTGTGGGTGTATATATTTTGTGGTTATGTGTATATTATTTGGATTATTTGTGTTTTGTGGTTGTCTCTTTTTCCTCTTTCGTCTCATTTTGTTTTTTCTAATATGTAAATTATAAAGTTTTCAGGAAATTCTCGCAATGAATTGAGTAATAATTTTTCTGTCGTCCAGTTATTTGAAGGTTGGGAAAATTTTTCCGTTTACCTGCCCTGTATCATCTCCTTATCTATAAACTTTCCTTAACGAGAATATCTAGTGGACCATTGTTCACATAATCAGTTCCCGTATTTTAGTGTTTGTAGGCGTACAATCCCACAATCATGGATATGGAAAGCGTAAGTCAGATTTAGGTTATACAAGCAGGTGATCCCCCCCGTGGAATGGATATCTGTCGACATATTTCTTGTATTCCTGCCACCCTCAAAACTTAATAATGATTTTGTTTTTGCCTTCTCATTATATTATTTTATAATGAATAATGCAAAGTAATCATATTCTTGCTGTATAGATGTCATGCTTGCCCATTTGTTCTACCATGACCATATCAGTGATTTTGTATTCCCACCACTCTTAATCATGTGGTTAGATTTCACCCTATATTTGAGAATACACATTATTTTTTGCTACACTAATCAGTATAATCCAAAACTTACCAAAATATCCAGTTTAGAACAAAAACAATAACTATAGAACTGTTTATCAAACTTATTGCAGTGGAATCACTTCAGGAATTGTGCAGGTATTGCATTTTTCTGTCTTTTTCTCTCAGTGTGAACCTGAAGTGATTTAAGCTAACTGAAGCCGCATTAATGTTAAAATGGAAGAAAAAATATAAATTTGAGGAATAATAAGAACTTGAACAAAAATTATACATGCTAAGAAAATATCAAAAGTAGATTTAGATTCAGCATGTTGAACTCTCCATATACATACATCATACTTTTATTTAAAGAGGAGTGTTGCAGACCAGTTTTTTTTCAGCCATACTTTTTGCTTTCCTAGCAATTCACTCATCAGTATTGACTAAAATTGTCAGATTATTATCAGATTAGGATAATTATCAACTTTGCAAACTATTCAGAGTATTGAAAGGTCTGTGTAAAAAAGTACAAATACAAATATTAAAAATATACAGGGTGTTTCAGAACTAAGGGATCAAACTTCTAGGGGTTATTCAGTGTAACAGTAGAAAACATTTGAGTATAGGGATTCATATCCGGAAAAGTGTCACTATGGCACTACGGCCCAAGATGCGTTAAAATTTAGAAAGACAATGAATTGCTTAAACAGGATTTAATGCATTTAATTTTTGCCTTTTGTACATGATATCATCACAACAATTATTCAAAATGTCTTTCTCCAACCTGAATACACCGATCTAAACGTCGCATATGATTTTGCCGTACGTGACTAAAAATTGTATACTCTTATTGAATGATTTCAAATGCTGCTGTAATTCGTCCAATTAAGTCTTGCTCTGTTTCTACTGGAGCTTCATAAACCAAAGACTTTACATGTCCCCACAGGAACGGTGTATTCATGTTGGAGTAAGACATTTTGCACAATTGTTGTGATGATATCATGTACAAAAGGCAAAAACTAAATGCATTAAATCGTATTTAGGCAATTCATCGTCTTCCTAAATTTTAACGCGTCTTCTACTGTTACACTGAAAACCCCTACAAGATTGATCCCATAGCTCTGAAACACCCTGTATAATTTTTTCTGCAATATACCATTACAAATAATATTATACAGGTATATTACAGCTTGAATAGTATATTTTTCTCTGGATGCACATTGTTTTAGATAAATGAATCCCTGTTATCAGTTTATTTTTAAAACTATATACAATACAATAACAATATCTTTTAGATTAGTGTGTAGGCACATTAGATTTAATATTATAGTTGGATCAGTAGCAATTAATGAATAAGATCAACTGCAATGCACATCATGCATTGTTAGCTTGACAATTTTAAATCCCTAGTCAAATTTATTCTTTTTTGATTTCAATAAAATGAGCCGTTTTTGAGAGTAAGTCATTCAAGCTTTAGTTTGTTGTCCAACTTGCAGTACTAAAACAAGTCAGCTTCATAAAAAATAGATCATCAAACAAGATTGTATTTTTCCAAAAATATTACTTTGGCCTAGTATTGTACAGCGTGTGGTAAAATATCAATATTGCAGCAGTGCTAGTCTGTTGCTGACAGGCTAAATGAGGTAATTGTTTTCTATGCAAAATTTCGTTGGATTATATTGTGTTGTTCAAACCAATAGTGGTTTCAATATACAGGGAAAACCAAATTTGTCTGAGGGCTTGAGTTCAATGTGTACAACAGAAAAGAATTGCTGTAGGAATAATTTATTACAATTTGACATTCAATACGTCCAAGTTCCATGTGCTGTATAATTGTTGTCCACATATACTCATACTATTCATTGTTTTAGTATTGCCAAGTCTGCTCAGTTGATGCTGAGTTTGATCCAAATGATGATCCATCTCATAATGCTTCAACAAAACATCGTTTTAATTTCATGTTATGGGAGTATGCAAATTATAGGTAAGTGTTACAAGAATGAGTATTGAAGGAAATACCTCAACAATTATTAATCAACATTAATTTAAAAACCACATCACATACTAGGTAGCTCAGTTTAGGTTTGAAGTATTCCATTCTGGTACTTGCAAAGCTCTCAGCTTTAAAGTTATCATAGTGATATACTTCTTATTTGATTTACAGGAAAGCTTTGGTAAGAAACCGCCACGGTGTTGAATTAACTGTCAAGGTCCAACAGATAAATGGTCATATTTATGATTATACTAGTGATGACAAGAAGGGCAAACATACTTTAAAGGTAAGCTTAAACAGTTTTCAGTAATATTTTCTGATAATTGCTCTATATTTTTACAGATATATTTCATATTCGATTTATAACAAAATCCATCTGGCTTCTACGAAACAAAATCTCAGACCTATATATAATTTTTGCATATTTTGTACCAAATAACATTTTAAGAAACATTATATGTTGTTATAGATAACACCAGAGGCCTTAGCATCTCATAATGATGAGATAGAATTCAAATGTACTATAAAAAATAGTCGTAAATCATTGAACATATTGATTCATCCCAGGGAGGTGTTACTGATCAATTATGATTATTTCCAATGGCATGATCCCCAAAACAATTTGGACAATGATAAATATGTTGAGCTGGCACCAGGTATTCAAACTATTAAGATTCAGATGTATGGTAGAAAATATTAATTTTTTTTGACTAATTCTATTCTGTGTTCAACAATTATTTTAGGAAGTGAATACAGTGTGATCATAAAATATTATGATGCAAATTGCAATACCTTGGGCATCAAATTACCACTGTCCTTCACATTCCAAACTGTTGAGGAAAATCCACATCGTTTCAGTATTGTTCGATCAATAGTAAGTTGTTATCATATATACTAATTTTACTTCTTCTATATTTCTTAAGTTGTACTTGTAATAATGAAATGATAACTTGAAATTGAAACAAAGACAAACATACATTATTTCAAGCAGCCCAAATAAATTACGGATCATGAGCTTCATCAAAAGACAATAAATTACATATATTTGAGATGTGGTGTAATTATATTCCCCATTGACTCCAATCTACAGCCCTATGATCTTCATATTTTGTAGAATATATCAGTAGGAGTACCAGATGAAAATGCTGATGATGAAACAGGACCTAGCCCATTCAAAGGAAAACCCTGGCCACCAGGAATAAAAGTTATGCCTCCTGTTCCATATAAGTATGTTGTTTTACTACTAGGGATGAACTTAGTACTACATTTTTCAAAAATCCGTGTTTGGGTACTCGCCCAGTTTCTGATACCAAGTACAGGGTACTCGATCGAGTATTAGGCCAAGTGCTCTGTGAAGTGATGTGCTCTGGGTTCTTTCAGCTACTAATAGGGATACTAAGATTATTCTACCATAGAATACTTCTAGGCAAAGGAATGGTGGTTGTCTAATTAATAAATTTTCTTACAGGGCATTTCCATACACCCACAGCATTCCAAAGAAATACTGGAAAGTTTTGCTTTATGGGATTGATAACTGGCATGGTATGGGACAAGGAAATGGCAATGACTTCGAAATTGTCAAGGAAATAAAGTAAGAATCTGAGCTGGCTTTTTCAGGACAACTTTGATATTTTAGGGATTTTTTACTATTACATTTTTAAACTCCTAGCGTTCAAGTTTACATTACACCAGAAAACAAAGCTCAAGCCAAAAATATGTAAGATAAATCGTAGAGAGAACCACATTATAACGATTACCATTTTTTTTATAGTCGTATTATAAAAAAATGATTAGATCTACATATTAAAATGTAATATGATTAAACCGCAACTTATGTGTTCCATTTAAATTTGAGTGTGAATAGACCTTTATTGCTTTGAACCATTTTTAAAAGTGTGTGCTCCAGAAGAATTCTAGATCCACCCCTATCGACAGATCATCAAAATCATGTTTTATGAACAGCAATTTTTTTTGTTTATTTGCCGCGGATTTTTATGCCCGTTTCGTACGAGACTATTAAAAAATGCGTTAGTCATATGTGTATACTTAAGATGAGTGAAACATTCTTGTCAGTTTTGGTCTATAAAAGCTACCTCTTAAGATATAACCAGAATCGTGCTCCTCGCCGATCTGGCTCATATCAATAATCTCGTTATGCACGGTGTCCTGTAGTGCGTAGTGCGCCTGAAGTATTGAAAGCTTGTTAGCTTGTGAGTTTATTTTGCTTGACTTGAGAAATTCATCCGATACCCTTCTGATGTTTTTTTGGGTTTTTTCAATGGATGTTGGCTATCATCCTGGCAAACATCACATTTCGATTATGCATTAAACTTCCTGTATTTTTCGCTCCAGGGAAGCTTTTGAACCAGGTTATGTAACTGCGAAAAATTATAAAAAATACTGGCATATAGTTCTCTGGATGGAAGAAATAGCGCAGACTATAAGTTTGCAACAGTACAATATGGAAAATGTAAGTCATGGCTAGAATTATACAGATATCGCCATAGTTGAAGTTAGTTTGCTACTCAGCATGTCTCAGTAAGAAATGAAGAAATGTTAACATGAAAGGTCGAGTTCTTGATGAAGTCATGAAGAATAGCTTGATTTTAGAATGACGAATAATGCCAAGGTCACTTAAAACGTTTGTGCTATGATATAATTCGTTCGTTTATTGTTAATTACTTGGCATATTGTAGGATTACCTGCCTTTTGACACATTAACACCCCTCTAACCCTATTAAAAATTTGTTCATATTGGAACTTTGTATCAATAGAACGAGTCAATTCGCCAAGACGTCTAAAGTTCATATATGGTATTATATTTCCGTGGTGTCAGGGAAGAAGGAGATAAGTATTAAAGTATTGTTCTGAAATCGGGTATTTAAATACAGCCTTGAAATTTTAGAGGTAGTTTAGAAAGAAATAACTCCTTTTATACGTCAGGACGCAATTTCAAAAAATGTTTATTCAAGAAAAAAAAATGAACATTCCATTTTGAACAAATTTTGACTTATCACCTTTTTCCCTGGTACCACGGATTTGCCTGCCAAAGTTCTTAGTGACGGTTGCCACCGAATGCATTGGCGAATGCAACCCGACGGCAATCCGACCGATACATACATTCAGGGAAAACCAAATTTGTCTGACGGCTTGAGTTCTATGTGTACGAGAGAGAAGCTCGAGAAGTGTCTATCAAAACATGTTAGAAAGAGATAGAAGCCGGCTGAAGAGCGAAGGTCATCACCTTATTGCATAGTAACGGTGACGCACAAGGTCGGGCAATCTGCCGTGTTGCCAATGTGTTATACCAGAAAATGTTTGCACAGACTTCTACAATAGGTTAGGATATACTATTAAACCCAAGAAGGAGGTCTGTTCGAACATTTAATTTAATATTTTTCTTTCATTTTGATTGGAATTGTTTATTTCAATTTTGATGCGACTTAGGGCCGTATCTTCAGTCATTCCTACACTTGTAGGACGCCTTTATGGCCTCTTTGATTTTCATAGTTTTTTACTTTTCCGTGTCTGCGCTCTATTTTGAGGTTATGTCACAAATATTTATTTGCATCAAATTGTTCATGCTTTTGATTTATATCATGTTTTATCAGCCTGAAATTTCGTACAATTCAAAAAGAAAACATAACTGTCCAATAGGAGAGGGCGGACGCTTCCACGGAACAGGTGCAATCTAGAAATATTTGAAGGAGAGAAAAGACTATGATAAAGGAGGCCATAAAGGCGTCCTACAATTGCAGGAACGACTGACGATACGGCCCTAAGTGCGCTAATTTATTCTAGAATGTAACAAATACCATTACTCAATACAAATTATCACGAATGATCATCAGACGCGTTTTTGCGTACAAGGTGTTTCAAATAAAATAAATCAAAAATACGACGTATGTTGATTGAATGATCAGTCGAGTTGCCGACAGGTTGCTTTTGGTTAGAACATTGCCTTACACTGACGCTACAATATACCATTCAGGACATTTCTCAGATCATACATCAAGGAATTTAAGATGATTATGAGGTGCATATAAACTCAACTCTCATTTTAGGTTACATTACGACGATTGGGAAACATATTTATATTAGAGGTACCAGGTCTGGCAGAAAAGAGACCATCTGTGATTAAAGGTGATTTTATTGACATCAAAGTATGTGGTGATGATCACACAGGATATAGAGGGGAAATAGTTAAAGTTGAAGATAAGGATGTCTGGATTGGTAGCATTGATGACGAGTAAGTTGCAATGAATTTATTCATAGCTTACAAGCCCAGATATCATAACATTTAATGTACCCTAGATTGTGAGTACATGGTTGAAGTACAGTTTTCAAATTCACATCCCATACATGAGTATATGTTACTGCCATTTATACTTGTATTAAATACATTCTTGTGAGTTCATATATTTCATGCATAATTTTTGTTTCAAGGCTCACTTACTACTGGTCAGTCAATCCAAAGATAGAAGTAAGCGTACGCTTCGTCTTAGGCCGACTGTCATATGAAAGAATGCACCAAGGTGTTGATCAAGTTGTAGCTAATGGTATGGTGCCATTACTGTTCCCCGAGGAAGAACTAAGTGAGCGACCTGTGTATGAACATCGACTCCTTAATGATTCAGAGTAAGTATTTTTTCTTTTAGTTCCAGCTTCTTAAACATTCAAAAGTCGTCTGAATAGTGTGGTCAAGTATTTCCTGAAGGAATCTTCTTCAATGTGTTAGAAAATTAGTAAATAAATCAGATGAGGCTTTCCCCAGTTCTTCCGGTCTTAGCTACGCAAGCCGCCAATCAATAATCATATTCTTATTAATTATAGCTTCTTTACGGCGATCGTTGGTGTCTGAAGGAGATACGGTAGCGGACAAACGTTTGGAAACACTCTTAGTAATTTTTAAAAAGTGCGCTAATTTTTTATTCTTTATTATTAAGGACTATTTTTTCTCATATATAGTTTGCTTACAGTCTTGGGGATACAATTGACAATTTGTGTTTGCTGTGGTACTACAGACTAGCATTAAAATACCTTCATATTATTTTAACAAAAAATGAGGCGACAAAAGTATGGAAACATATTTTTTATTACAAAATTAAATACAGTAACTACAAAAACATTTAAAAATTACTGTTTAGCAGACGTCTGTTGGGATATTTTGCCAAATATTTTTTACATAATCAAATAAATCGCTCCTATTTTTAAAAGTTTAAAAGTTGTCTTGTAACATGCTCCCAGAGATGTTCTATAGGGCTTAGGTCCGGGGATTGCGAAGGCCATGCAAGAACATTAACATTTTTTTATCTTAACCAGTCCTTTACGAATTTTGAGGTATGCTTGCCGTCATTATCCTGCTGGAATGTCCACGTCTAGTAAAGCATGACTCATCGGTCCATAAAACGTTACTTAAAAACTCCCTATTATTATCAGTTCTATCAAGAATCCACTGACAAAATGTGATTCTTCGCTCTCCGCCCCCTGGCTGTGGTCCTTGCACAGGTTGCAAATGGTGAGGACGTCTATGGTCATTTCTAAGAACACGGTGAACATGGCGTGCTGAAATTCCAAAGGCACCAGAAACTCTCCTAACACTTGTGGTCGGATCTCTATCAAACTCACGCAGAATCATACGGGTAAATCTGCGCTGACGAACATTTATGTTTTGATCCCTTTGGAGATTTCCAAAACCATTTTCAATTATTTGGCGATGCAATCTTACAAATACTGAGCGAGTTGGATATCGTCTGTTTGGAAATCTTCGTGTGTATTCTCTGGCTGCTTCTGCTGCGTTTCCATTTACAAAGCCATACACAAAATGAATATCCGCTAACTCTTGATTGGAGAATAAAAATGTCATTTATATAAAACTTACAAAAAAAAAACTGGTAAAAGAAACATAATTTCGTGCATTCACAATTGCAAAAAAACGTTTCAGGTTTCAACAGACAACAAAACTGTCAACTAATTGACGTTTAACCTTATTCTGCTTTGAATTTCAAAAATATTTGCAGGCACAGCCTACTTCTAAAAATTATCGAGATACTGACTTTTTAACGTTATTTTATCATAAATAATTAAAAATGCATCGAACCTTAAAAATCGAAATATCTCAAAAACGGCTAACTATAACGAAAATTCACAAGAGAGCTTTTTTATGTTGAAAAGTGCGAAGAATCAGCAAAAAATGGACTAAGAAAAAATTTTCGGTCATTTTAATACACTACAGGTACAGTAGAGAGCGCCCTCTAGCGGCTACAGTAAAACTATGCCCATGGTTCGTTTTGTCGTACCAAAAAACCCTTGTATACCAATTTTCACTGTTATACATCAAATACTGTTCGAAATATTTAAAAAAAAACTATTTTAGAAAGTAAATTTAAACACCCTGTATTTCGGAAGCCACGCATTTTTCGACCCATGTTTATATATACTTTATGCATTAATTTTAAAAGTTCTATCGAATCTTAAAGTTATGTAACAATAAACTGAAACACCCTGTATAAAAGATAATACTTGGCATAAATTATAAGTTGACTGCAAACTTGTGAAATAATGGCATTTATTGGATCAAGTCATTCAAATAGGCCCATACAATAAGTTCTTAGTCCGCACCCATTTGATAACGTTGCAATCTATAAATTTTTCCTGTGCGATTCATTGCTAATTGGCATGGGAACCTAACAAAAAACTTCAAAAGACATTTCTTGAGCATACTCAATATTATTTTGAAAAACGTTAAATACCCTCACAAAATAATTAGAGTAAAATGGGTGAACTATAAAAGACAGATAAGGTGAACCACCGCGAATCCTGAAAATATTCTGTAACACCATGTGTATAAATACTTTTGCTTTCAGATTCTGCAATCGAGCTATTTTGACAAATCCAGAACAAAAGATAGCAGTTTCTAAAATATTGAACAACACTGCTAAACCGGTGCCATACATTGTGTTTGGTCCACCAGGTACAGGGAAGACTGTTACTTTAGTAGAAGCTATTCTTCAGATCAAGCGCAAAACCCAGAAGAAAATTTTAGTTTGTGCGCCAGCAAACGCTGCATGTGACGTGGTGGCTGAAAAATTGATGAAATATTGCAAAAAGAACGAGATGATCAGATTAATGTCTAGAACCGTTGATATGTAAGCATATTTTTTCATATGAGTATGGTACTATCAAACATCACAGTCTTGTCGTTCGGCTTCTATCATATTCTGACATTAGGGTTTTCCATTAAGGACTTGACTTTCTTTTTAAATAAAACAAACCATTTGAGATATCTTGAATAGTGTCGTCTGAGCGATGCCCAATTGAGAACGCCGTGTAATCGACGTTTTCTGTTCGTTTGCGACAGAAGTTTGAACGGCAGCGATATTCTCGGCACTTCGACCAATCCACTGTCTCACTGAAACGGGAACATCCAGCAGCCAATATGTGGACATTTGTTTACTAAACTATCAATTGCTTGCCTACTGGGACGAGAATTACGACCAAAAAATTAATTTTAATTATTTGTAAGCATTGTCCGTTCGTGTACTTCACCATGATGAAAATGTTTTCTTTGGATGTCTTGAAATTGACAGTTCAGTAATTGATTCAAAGGTGAAAGTTCAAAGTTATCAAGACCCTGTTGGAAAACCCTTACCTCTAGCAGTGCGTCCCATGTTTTGATATTTTCTGTCTGTCATTCAGAAATTTACGATGGAGGTTCAAGAGAAGTTGATGCCATCTTTAGGAATAAACAATTTTCTTCAAAATGAAAATGAGGTCTTTTTTATTACTTCTAAGGGAATTAGTGCGATCTTACTTGGCAACATGGCTGTGACGATGGAAATTGTAGGTGAGCGTCCAAATACACGTCTTGGAGAACGCGTTAATCAATGCTGCAATTGAACAGTATGGAAATTAACTCCAAGAACACATCAACCATAACCGTCATTGTCATTGGCGATCCAAAGTTTATCATTGCGTCTCTAACGCGAGACATAGGGTTGTAGCTGTTACATATGGTTAGCTGCCAGATTGCCAATCTGCTCTATTCTTTTAATTCCCATATATAAACTCCAGTAACTTTTGCGATTTAGTAGGTGTTGAGTTTCAATACAGTACCTGTCACTTATGCTTATGATCAGATGTTATCAGACGGTTGTAGCTAGGATAGGCTACTGCGCGATTAGATGAGTTTGCATCTCATAGAAGTTAATTTTTTTATTCCAGGAGCAACATTCCTCCTATGCTCCTCGACTATTCAAACTACGATAAAGGACATGGGCGCTTCGAAAAGGTAAGATGAATAAAATATTCAGATTTAGCGAAAGTTAAACTAAGCAATATAATCAGGGGTCCAGCGATTTATAATTCAGAATGCCGCTATCCACAAAAAATTACGAACGCATTCCGTTTTTGAGTTACTGGATAATTACTATTATTTTTAGCTGCCCGCGGAGGAACTTCACAAGTACCGCATTGTTGTGACGACATTGATTTACGTTGGCCAGTATTCACGTAAGCTTCATCCTGACGTCATATTCATTGACGAGGCGGCGCAGGCGCCGGAGCCTGAAGTTTGTTCAGCCATCGGAATTGGCGATAAAGATACGCAGGTTGTACTTGCAGGTGATCCGAAACAACTCGGTCCCTCCGTGTTTTCTAAGGAAGCTAAACGATATCATTTAGGTAACTGCTAATGTACGAGGTCTGCAAATTAAGTGATGGGACTGGTAACGTAGCATTCGATCTGGCAACACTGGAGGCGCCGGGCTTGGAGGGGAGACAGGGGAACATGTGATCCGCCTTCAGTACAAGCTTGAACTCGCTCCAGTCATTTGGTTGTCCGTAAAGATTTTTTTATGACACAGTTTTTGCTAATGTGTTCTAAAAATGAGTGACATCAATTTCAAGCAACGGTGTGCTATCAGGTTTTGCTTCAGACTTGGGTACAGTGCCACGGAAGTTATTGCTAAACTTCAGCAGGCCTACGGATATATTATTTTTTAAGAGCCCAGGTTTTTCGGTTGTTTAAGGCATTTTCAGAATCCTGGATCTTGTGCGTCCAGATCGTCGGTTGATAGTCAGAATGATCGGGGAAGAGTTAACTTTAACTCACACCACCATTCATCAGATCAAGAACAACTGGCTGTTTCACCATAATGCTCCTTGTCACTCAGCAATGCCAATAAACGACTTTTTGGCCAGTAAAAATATTCCTGTGGCTCCTCAGCCTCCGTATTCGCCTGAATTGAGTCCTTGTGACTTTTTTTCTCTTCCCGAAGTTGAAAAATCACGTCAAGGGTACTCATTTTGCTGAAAGCTATTCCAGTGTCGGAGCTCCAGCACTGCTCTGAAGAGAGGAAGAACTATGTCCAACGCTATGTGGCTTCAAAAGTTAGTTGAGAGTGAAAATATAAAATTTTTATTATATTTGAATGAAAAAATGAAAAAATCAGTCTCATCACTTAATGTACAGACCTCGTATGCCAAATTATAATTTCGAAGCATAATTTTACCATTTTACCAATTGAACCCATCCCTGCGCGAAAATAAGCAAACAAGTACAATGATCTTGAGGATGCAGCCACAATACAAAGAAATTCAAGTAGGAAAGAAAGTTTGTTCTGTATTCATGTCGAGATTTCGAAAATGTTTATTTTCTTCTTCAGGGCGTACTACTAAGATAATTGTATGTCAACTTTGATCAGTTACATTATTATTAAAAATCAACTTACAACGCTAAATCTCATGATCTCAAACATCCCATTGTCTGGCCACTAATTCAAACCACATACAGCGTGGCCGATTTGTATGTTGAATATTTGTGAAATGAAATAAAATACGTCCATTTTTTCATCTTAATTTTTTATTGAAACTTAGAAATTATGTATGAAAAATATCAGACAAATAATGTCCGCCTCTAGAAGCCGCGCAAACCTGAGCCCTCTTGATTAAATTGTCCATCACTTTTTGGTAGGTTTCGGGAGGAATATTTTCAATCGCTTCCGTAATATTGTTCTTCAGCTGCTCTACAGTATTTGGTTTGTTGGCATAAACACTATTTTTCAAAAATCCCCATAAAGAAAAGTGGTGGCCGGTTGACATCACCAAATCGAGAAATGAAACGTCCCGGAAATATTGTTCGCAAAAGATTCATTGTTTCCCTAGCTGTGTGACAAGTTGCTCCGTCCTGCTGGAACCACATGTTTTGCAGGTTAAATTGTTGAGACCTACTTAAATGCGTGTATTAAAAATTGCGTGCAATTTAAATCAGTCAGTTATATATTGGCCACCATGTATTTGAAATACTTTTTAATCACGACGTATCGATCACCACGGTGATCTTTTTCAAGGACAATGGCAGCTACTATGACAACATATATTGTCATTGTAATTGGAAAAGGCCATCATGATCACCAAAAAGTATTTTAAGTATATGTGGTTTGATTTATCGGCCAGGAGTTCTATTCACAGGAAAACTACAGGATAAGTTTGAGGTATTATTTTATTCAGATAATTTTTTATGCGATAATTTTCGATTTGATCTTTGATAATGAATTCTAGATTTTTCACTTTTGGAGAGGCTCATGGATCGAGAATTGTATAAATCTGGAGATGATAACTATATTACTATGCTGAAAAAGAATTTCAGATCTCATGAAACTATATTGAGGCTTCCAAATGAAATGTTTTATAGTAACCAGTTGGAGGTAAGAAATTAATTGAATCAGTTGTACATGTCCGACGTAATATCGAACTATTGGCAATAAAGATGTTTATTATTTTAGGCACTATCAGCTGATGCGAGAGATGATCCTCTTACACGTGTAAACGTTTTCGATGCGATCCCCAATGTTCAAAAGAAGAAAAATAAGAAGAATCAAATTGGTTCAGCTTTAGAATACTTTTCTATGATATCGAAGGAAAAGAGGCAAGGCAAATCTCCCAGGTAATTATGAGAGTTGACTCATAAGGAAGCTACATTTCAAGAATTAAAAATAGACGTTTTCATATCTGGTGCCAAAAATGGGTTTTCTATTTAAGAAAACTTTCTTGATATTCAAATTATCTTAAGGTTATTATGAAAGTCACGTTCAAGGTCGTTATTACGTGAATCTTTTCAAACCTCGCAGCATTTTTCTTTATGAGACGTATTTTTCGATATTTTGACCCTTGCATACCTTCTGCCCATGAAGGTCGTGGTCAAACTCGTCAAAATGCCATGTAAATTTTCCCGTTGTTTACATTTCTGGTTCCATTTAAGAAAACTGTCTTGACCTACAAATGACATTGAACGTCATAGTCAAGGTTACGGTCAAGGTCACCAATAGATGGGTCTTTTCAAACCTTACAACTGTGATTCACAGCATTTTTCTTTAAGAATCGTATTTTTTGAGATATTTTGATTCATCCTACTTTTTGAACACCCCTGTATATTTTCGCGGATAAAACCATGCCCGTTACCTTCCTCGGGGGGTTTGTATTAGTAAGTGTAGACATGTTTATGTCTCTCCATATTGTGGCTCAGACATAAAGTTGAGAGACTGTATAGACATTCACATTTATACAGGGTGGCGCATCGAAAACGAAAAAACGAAACAGACGCATTTACTGGCAGCTCAGTTTTTTTTTGAAAAACGCTCAGACCCGTCGATTTTGTTTTCAAGGGGGACACAAGTTTGGCAAAAAATCACGTTAACACGTGCAGCCTTCTGGGCGGGGGTGACACCAACTCTAAAATCTTAAATGGAAAGTTGGGTCGAGTGATACCTTATTTTAAAGGTCTTTCAATTCACTTTATAATGATGTAAAATACATGAGCTTCAGTTCAGTAGTTTTGAAGATTTATTGATTTAAAGCTTAAAGTAGACTTTAATAGATATATCAGATTAGTTTGTACTACTTTCAGAAGAAATTTGACGAAAAGAATTTACGTAATAAGTAAATGCTTTTCTTCACTACGCCCATGGTTTGTTTATCATTTTGTTGTTGAAAATAGCTATTGGAGCGTTATTTTTGTGGCAAAAAAGTTATTTCTTGAAGAAAGATAAGGAAATATCTCGTACTTATTTTAAATAGGAATTTAGTACATAGTTTGCGATTTATTTGACCAAACTTTGTTGCTAAAATAACTTGTAACGCTTTATTACATAAATTAACCATGGTATATTCCACAGCAGAAAGAGTTGAAATTATCGAAATATTTTTCGGAAATAATCAGTGCGCTAATGTAAGAGCAGAAATATTTAATGATCGACATGAGAACAGTAACGTACATCGAAAATATGTTCTAGAACTTGTAGCTGAATTTCTGCAAACTGGGTCAGTCGCCAATAAAAAACGCAAGATTGAAAATTCCATTAGGAACGAAGCAATAGAAGTGGGGTTTTAGGGCAAGTTTATGTAGATCCTACGTTAAATACCCGCAAATTGGAGACTGTGTGTGGTGTTAGTCGACGTACTGTCCAACGGATTCTAAAGGCCCATAGTTTTCATCCGTATAAAATTCACCTGGTACAAATCAATAATTCTTCAAAACTACTGAACTGAAGCTCATGTATTTTACATCATTATAAAGGGAATTGAAAGACCTTTAAAATAAGGTATCCCTCGAACCCCTTTTCCATTTTAGATTTTGGGGGTGGTGTCACCCCCGCTTAGGGGGCTGCACGTGCTAACGTGATTTTTTGCCAAACTTGTGTTCCCCTCGAAAACAAAATCGACGGTCTGAGCGTTTTTCCAAAAAAAAAAAAACTGAGCTGCCAGTAAATGTGTCGTTTCGTTTTCGATGCGCCACCCTGAAGTCGCATACATTTTTCATGCACATTTTTATGCATTTATGATGCAGAAGGAAACGCTGTCACCTGTGATCGAAATGTACTTTACTTTCAGTTATTTCAATCCCAAAGAATCACAGATGGTCTTTAATTGTGTGCAAGCCCTTCTAAAGATGTCTTTCCGAGACAGCAGCAAAAATGTGAAACAAGAAGAAATTGGAGTTGTAACTCCCTATGTTAGACAGGTGAACAAGTTCGAATTTTTTGTATTGTTCTTCATTCTCACTAAGCATACTTTCAGGTTCACACTATAAGACAATACCTTAGGAACAGAAATATTGAGCATGTTGAAGTGGGAACCACTGAAACGTTCCAAGGGCGAGAGAAGAGAATCATTATAATCAGTACAGTACGAGCTCAGAAGGATTTATTGTTGTATGATAGGAAATATCGTCTAGGGTTCGTCAGGCAGGAAAAGGTTGGTAATTTTTATTTGGAGTCAAAAAATGACAGTTTGACAGCTTTGACTTGCTGTCAAACGCAAATTTTGCTATATTATGCCTACAGAGTGCTTTTCCATTGAGCGTTGTATGCATCCGGAGTGTGACGTGTCTAAAGGTCACACCTAACTGCATTGTCTGCACAACAGCTGTCATATGTACAAGTACAGTACTATGTGAGCATTCCGATATGCGAACTTTGTTACAGTATATACGGATTTCGCAATTGACATTAATATGTAGGGCGAGGAATAAGCCTTGTGGTTTGAAAAAACTACTTATTCTTTTTCAAAATCATTTGCACCGCATTTCATCATACGCGAGGACCAATCATAACACTAATGCAGTTTTCAATCAGCTTGTCTTTGGATGTAAACCTGCGCCCTTTTAGCTGTGAGTTTTCAAACTTACAAAAAATCAAAATTACTTAGGCTTAACTCACGGCTATAAGGTGGACGATCCAACATTTTTGGATGCCAAAATACTTCAGGTATCAGGAGCCCAGTGGCGACCTAGGTCTTGAATCTTTCAGAGCTGCAAACGGTTATGCCAAACAATATTATCTGTACAACAAAAAAAAAAACAGGAACATTTCTTTTCAACCGACCATGATTTTTCAATCGAATCGCCCGATCTTCATTTTCAAAAATCCAGACTCGGCTTAATCGTTTGGTTCTAACATCAAAAAAATATATAGCCCTCATTCCTCACCCAAGAATATCTCGTGTCCTATAGTTGTCAAATTGTTATTTTGTAGTTGCATTTTTTATGCAATAAAGGTTGACGGCTTTCAAACATTCTAAATCATTTACAACGACGAGTAATATTTTGTTTGAGATTATTTCATTCAAATGGTTTTATGAAAAAGTTGGTGGGGGTAAGATACGTCAGTATATAATACGGGAGATGGAACTTTCAAATATTATTCATGCGATACTGAGACTGATATTTGTTGTACTTGACAGTTTTAATATTTGTTTGTTTCAGATTTATTTAGCATTAATGCTACTATATCCATAATATCCATATTACACAGTATATAACAAAATATGTCTTCAAGACTACATATTTTTTATACAAAATTTCATTACTATGAATTCTGGTTTTCCATGAGATATGTTTTCAATTTCCCTTCGAACATTTTTAAACTGACACACATCTTGATATCATTACTTAATTTATTAAATTCGTACAATCCCTTTTGAAATACCGACTTGCTCGTTATATTTCTACTGCAGTTTTCCAAATGAAACTCTATACTTCCTCTAGTAGAATAATTGTGGCACTCATTGTTCAATACAATAAAATTTTTTGGTAGAACATGATTTTTTAACTTGAATATGATAATGAAAACCAAGTAGGCTATAAGTGATTTATATATACTGTTGTTATATTCCAGCGATTCAATGTAGCTTTGACAAGAGCCAAAGCAAAATTGATTGTCATCGGCTGTCCTCACGTACTGTGTACTGACCGAAAATGGAGGCGTTACATCGAGTTCAGTGAGGAACTTTGTAGCTTTTATGGTGCACCTTACGATAAAATCAAAAGGACGGATGAGAATATTGATGACATAACGCGTAGGATTGGCAACATACAGGCAACAGATACACAATTTGAACACCAGCAATAAATGCACATATCAGAACATGTATTTCCAACAATATTTTTGAGGTGATTGACATATTTTTCCAAAAAGGCCCATGGGAAGAATTAACAGTTCTTGCATAGTTTTAGTACCACTGAAGATCAAATTAAGCAATGCATGACATGTATTGGTGCATCTAGATAAAAAAACCTTCTAAGCAACTTGTAGTCTGTGACCCCATGTTCAACTGATTGTCCATCCATTTGTCAAAAGATGCAATTTAAATAAAAATGATTAAACTTGCGTGGCAAGGTTTGCCACTTTTGTTCAAAAAAAATGTGAAATCATTGGTAAAGTATTGATATTCCGTCGAATCAAAATTTGTATAAATACCTCAATATGGCAGTAGAAGAGTTTGTCGAGAGGTGTGTGCTCATCCTGACACCCCATTTCGGTGCACTGAATTTTCATCCGTTAAGAATCGATGGACATTTAGTAGTACATGGAGTCGGATTGTTGCTTATGCTGGTGTTTAACCGTACAATAAGTCGTCCTCAAAAGTACCGGGCATTTCGACAACTGTTAATTCAAGGAACTGAACTGAACATTGTTTTCTTCATGTTTATATTTTAAGCGTCTGCTGTGATTGTAGTTGTAAGGTTCATGATTCTTTTGTTGGAGGTATTTTGACTTTTAGTAACCCGATAATTTAACCTAGAGACAAGCTCCAATACAAGGTCTCAAATCTTATAATGTGACGCCAAGTGGAAGAGAGTTACGGAAAAATACAGGTACATGTCAAAATAAGTAAAAAATCTTTGAAATAGTTTAAAAATTTAGCATTGCGCTGTTTGACTTGATGTGAAAATATATATTTTCCAGAATGCGTGTGATTGTTATAAGTACTGATTCAATATGGCTTCGGTCTGATTTGTTTAAAAAGTACACATGGATATTATTAGAATTTTAAAGTAAGTACCAATTTAAACTTTTCTACGGAACTATTTCTGTGCGACCTTCTGTTGACCTATTTTATTTTTGTGGATACCCAATGAAGTTTTTTAAAGTATTTGTAAACATCCCGTCATCGTCAAAAATGTAGGAAATAATCAGTTCTGTTCGAATAACGAAGACTGAAAAAACTTGTCAGAACATATGTAAAAGTTTACATAATTATGTGAAAAATGTTGCTTGAAAGAGGACTTAAAAATATACCAAAAAGTAGTGTACAAGGTGAATGGTTATTGAAGAAAAATGTTTATATTTTAAGCTTGTAACTGCTGGGTTACCAGTCTCAGGGACGAGTTGCCTTGATATACAGTCTCTTTGAACTGTTTTTTTTTATTAGCTGTATCACAGAAAGAATGCAGTGTGATATGTATTACGATGTATGTTGATAATATGTATTATTCCCTACGTGATACATAGGAATTAACGTTTGTTACCCTGCTACCACTGGATAAGGATGCTCCTATCCTTTATTGTTGTAGTTATTTGATTTATTATTTCAGGATGCCCTCGAGGCGGATACTTTTAAATATTATGTATAATTATATTGTTTTATGTTAGCAGTGCTAGGATAGTATGCCTGAAGAGGTATTTTTATATTTTATTACTCAATAAAGGTATTATTTTTATGAAACTGTAATGTAAATGCATTTTACTTTATCAGCACACAGTAGTTCAAACATATCGTCGGTCTCCGCACGTACAGGCGTAAATGACAAATAATCTAAAATCGAGTTACGCCGTAAATTCACAGATTTTGTTGTAGTCTCTTAAAATTTTCAGAAAATTGCCGAAGTTATAAAATTCCGAAAACAATTTTCACATACAGGCTTATATAGATTTAAGCCTCTGCATTAAAAAAGGTTCTACATCATCTTAGTGTAAAAAAAACCGCAACGTTCCGACTAAAAAATCAGTATTTCATTTTCAATCTTATTTATTGCTGTTTTTCGTTCTCTAGCTCTCCTGTAAAATTTGTAAAATGTTAGTTACGCCGGTACGTGCGGAGACCGACGATATGAGGTTTCATTTAACGGCCAGACATACATGAAGGATTATAGCTAGTTTTTTTTTAATACGCATCAACCACGCAGGGTTATTAGCGGTGGATAGATAGTCTGATAGAGTAGAATCTCAAAGTAAGTGGTACTATTTGATTGCTTTAAGGAAGTGAATAGTGTTACAGAGGTTCGTAGTAAGGGCACTTGTAAGATCAAGTGTCGGTACATGATAAAGAAGTCTGCGCTGAGAACTCGCGACACTCCACTAGAATATGCTTCACAGTATGCTGCAGGTGACGCACTGTGGTTGGTCTGAACTTTGAAAGAAGTAGCTGTGTGTTATGGTCCGATTCTCAAGCCTTCTCTTGGTTGGGGGCGCAAGTACGGTCTTGACTTCTGGTTTTATTTCATATAACTTGCCGCTGGTGTCCTGGTTCCACGGATTTTGCCAAAGTACCCAGATGTGATTCTTACTATCAAAATTCATGCTCGGTTAAGAAAGTGCATCGAGCACTGCTTCCAATTTATGGGCAATTTGGTCGGCCTACTGAGGGAGCTATTCGGAAGCTTGTGACTAAATTTCGGACCCAGTTTACATTATTGGACATTAAACCACCAACACGCAGACGTAGAGTGAGGACTGAAGAAAATATTGCGGCTGTATCCGCCAGTGTTAGTGATGACCGTGAAATGTCGATTCGCCGCCGTTCGCAGCAATAGGGCCTCTGTTACTCCACTACGTGGAAAATTTTGCGACAGGATTTGGGTGTAAAACCTTATAAGATACAGCTGGTGCAAGAATTGAAGCCACACGACCTCCCACAACGTTTCCCATTTGGTGAATGGGCGCTGGCAAAGTTGGAGGAAGATCCACATTTTTATCGAAAAATTGTATTCAGCGACGAAGCTCACTTCTGGTTGAATGGGTACGTTAACAAGCAAAATTGCCGCATCTGGAGTGAAGACCGGCCAGAAGCATTGCAACAGCTACCAATGCATCCCAAAAAAATCACTGTTTGGTGTGGATTATGGGCCGGTGGCATCATCGGGCCGTACTTCTTCAAAGACGACAATGGCCGGAACGTAACTGTGAATGGCGAGCGCTACCGTGCGATGATAACAAACTTTGCCCAAAATGGAAGAGCTGCACTTGACTGACATGTGGTTTCAACAAGACGGTGCCACAAGCCACACCGCACACGAAACAATGGCCCTATTGAGAGGCGAGTTCGGTGAACAGTTTATCTCACGTTTGGGGCCCGTCAATTGGCCGCCTAGATCGTGTGATTTAACACCGTTGGACTATTTCTTGTGGGGCCATGTTAAGGCTAATGTCTACAGTGATAAACCAGCAACGATTGACGCACTGGAAGCCAATATTGAAGCATTTATTCGTGAGATACCGGCTGATATGTTGGAGAGAGTGTGCCAAAATTGGACCTTGCACATGGGCCATCAAAAGCGGAGCCGCGGCCAAGATTTACATGAAATAATCTTTAAACATTAAATTATATCGACCGTTCTATCGACTCAAATAAAGATTTGATCGTTTTTTCAAGTTTTTTGTGTTTTTTTGAAAATCAAATCCTATACCTCTTAGAAAATCATCCGTTAGCATAGCAGAGTGATAGGTGATCTCTCCTCAAATCCAACGGGACGCTCATGGATGAGAGCTTGCTAGCTGTCGGACTTGTTCAGAAATTTCCTGCTGCTATCCTAATAGCTGAGTTTTGTATCACCTGCAATTTTTTAGTAGGTTTTTGCTAGCCGAGTTATAACTGATGGATCCGTAGTCGATCTTGCTTCGGATGATGGATAGTATAGTCTCCTCAAATAGGTGGTTATTTTCTTTGCTGTATTTATTTCCGCCTTTCTTTCTTCCCCTTTTTGCCTTGAACATGTTTGGTATCTGGGTAGCCAGACCTGCCAGACTAACAAACCGACGATACTTTTAACTGAGAGCAAAGGTCCATCGGGCCGCGCTGACGAACAATGTCGAATAGTAGCCCAAACTGGCGCGGTAGTCGTGACGGCAGGCCACCTCATCAGTAGTTTGTATGGGGAAAGATACATACAAAACGGACGTGAGGAGCATAGGATAATCTACGTAAAAAGTGGCAGCAACGTTTCCGTGAATCCACCAAAGGTCGATGGACGTATAGGATGATCACTAGGAATCACGGCGACGCCGACGATAAAAGGAAACGGTGTGAAATTTGAAAATACAAGTAAATATACTAAATGACCGTGTATTTGTATTATTTAAAGCGTACACATTTATTTGAAAAAACAATCTTTTGCGAAAGGGCTAGGAAAACAAAAAACAATTTTATTTTTCTCTTTATTTTAATAAAGTGACAATTTTCTTACGAGAACCACTCTCGACACTTGTAAATTACAAATATAGCTATGGATAAAACAATTAACACCTTCTGTGGATATGATAAATTAGTTTAACAAATATATCGTCAGAACATATTTTCGTCGCAAAAATCAAAAAGAAAATATAACAAAACATATATATATATACATGACTGCTAAGGAGCTGTCAACAATTCTTCTTGGATGCTGTGTGATCTTATTAGCTTGATTCCTACTGAACTTGATGACCTCTGTGCCTGTTGTTCTTTTTCATGATGATATTCTTCTGAGTATTCTTTGATTCTGTGACCTAAGAAGACTGCTCTTTCTCGTTTCTTGATCATGTAATCTGTGGGTAATAGCCATCTGTTTTCATGGCATTCTTCTGGTGTGGGTCGTTTACTGAAAGCATAACAAAATATTAGTACTACAATTTATCGCGTTTGTTGGCCCAGCTAACAATACGGTTGGAAATTATAGTCTGAAAATACTTAAGAATGTCATTCAGAGGGTACCAGTTTGTGGCACATTGGCTCAAGTAACATCTGAAACTGTTGTGTCTTATGTCATTTTCTCACAAGGCAAACAACATGGAGCTATAGAGATTTTTTTTATACTCCAACTACCTAAGGCCTAATCACCCATTGGGTACCGTGGGGCTACATTCTGGCTCCGCCTACGAGATCCGTCGGGTGGTACCTCCGCGTTCGACAGGCAGAGACCGAGTACCACCTACGGACAAACACAATATCCAAAGCCAAGAGAAAAATTTCTCCTGGGACGGGATTCGAACCCGCACGGCGACTGATCAGGAGACCGAAGAGTCTACTACTGCGGCCACCGCTGCTGCCTGATATGTCGATGTACTATTTCTCGCATTTGGGTCCATGAACAATGCAGATGCAGCATAAGTAGTCGAAAGTTGCATACAATTCCAACAAGTTTGTTGCGACAACAAAGCTGGGTGGATGCTTTTTAATGTTGTTACGCCTTTTTGGGGCGATGGGTGAGGGTAACGTGTTCGGTACACCCAAAACAACAATCTCATGCTCAAGGGTGCATCTTCCAAGCCGATACAAAGAATCGTACCTACTGGTTCGATCCCCTCACCCGTATTACGAAACTTAAATTGTGAAATTATATCGAGTTTTCATGAAATTGCGAAGTTTTTCCTACAAAATATCACCTTTGAACTAGCCGACACATTTTACCGATATCCGAGTGATAGGTAAGGTGACATCACATTTCATCAGAATATAAAAGTTTATTCAATAAGAACAGGCAGATATTGAAAAAGAATAAAACAAGTTTTTTTTAAAATTCCCTGGAGTTTTTGAAACAGTTTGATAACCCATGACGAGTATATTTTACTTTTGCATTCCAGCTGAAGGTACCTACTTATTGTGAATGTTTTTTGTCATGTGAACTTTACCAACGAAAAAATAGTTTTTCTCACAGAATTTTGTCCATGCTGGATTTTTAGAACAAAGCGAAGATTGTCATTCAGTAAAGTGGTTATAGATTCGGCTTCAAGTAGTCAAAAGCGTGACAGATAATCAAACTTTCTGTCCTCACTGATTTGTTACACTTTCGAATGACTTACTTTGGGTGCCTCTTAAACAACAACATTAGGAATCTGGTAGCTTCTTGCGATACTTCTTGGAAGAGATATTCGAACCTATATCTAACGAAAAGGATGTTTTGTCTGCTCTCATTTTCATCCTCTCCTCTGAATGGAACCATGCCGGAGAGCATGATGTATGCTAGTACACCAACTGTCCAAATGTCCGTCTGTGGATAGGCTGGTTCTTCTGCAAGAACCTCAGGAGCTGAAAAATCGATTAAAAGGTAAATGCACGAAAATTCAATATTAAAAAAATGTCTGATGCGTTCCGTACGAAGATCTCTCAAGTGACATTTAGCTGAAACATTATTTTCCTCAAAGCAGGCTGTGTAAAAATTATACTGGTGCATTTCACTTACATATGTAGTCAGGATGTCCAACAATAGGCACAACAGTTCCTAGTTTCGTTACCCTATGAGCCGATCCTAAATCCACCAATTTTACTTGCACTGATCTCACTCCACACATGACCACATTATCTGGCTGAAGATCTAAGTGACACAGTCCTCTCCAGTGCAGATATTGTAGTCCATCAAGAACCTGAAAGGGAAAAGAGCAAGTATCACACGTCGTGTTTCAAAATAGAGTGAAGAAGCCATTGTTAGAATATTTTTAATTTTTGCTTTCAGAAAAACTGCTTCGCTTTGAGGATAAACTCCGATGAAAAGTTTCTAAAACCAAACAGCCTATTAATCTGCACGAACTGTCCAATCCAAAATAACTTTATAGATCGCCTTATAGGACATAACCGGTGATTGGGCAGGTCATAAGTCAGGTTTTCCTTGTCCTATCTACCAATTTTTGCACATTTCTTTCGAAAACTCACGAGCAACTAAACTCAAGTTGCTGGAAGTAAGTTAACACATGACCATTGTGTATTTCGAGTGTTCGAGAGTCTATGGCGAGGAGTATGGAGTCTTGGATTTTAGGTAGGAGAAGTTGGTTATTTAGAACAATTACCTACTTCCTACGCCACTGGTGTGGAAGTACTGTAATCGCGAAAAATTTCAAAAATGATTATGTGATATGTACGAATAACCGTAACACTTATTTCTGTCTATCTGTCCGCTAATCCGCGGAAAGTAATGGTCGGATTTTGATGAAAATTTCATACAAGGTTAATACTATGCCAAGGGTGGAAAATCTTTATATTTTTCGAAATTAGATCCGGTGGCGGTGGAGCTATGGGCAAAAACTTACAAAAAATAAAAATCGCTCAAACATTTTTTTTTGATGTTTCAGAGGATCCTGATCATCTTTGAAAAAAATTTCTGGTTCAAAATTGGGGGGTGGGGGAGAGTATATCTGAATTTTTTACAGTAGATGCTTGATCGACTTCAGCCGTAGCAATTACGCACACGTTTAGACATATTATTTCACTCATCAAAGATTTCCCCGTACATTTATCCTTAATACATAATGGTGGAGAAATATTTCCGAGTCAATCACACGCAGTCGGCTGGATATGAATCGATCGTCATCCACGCCTGATGTACATATAGTTTAGATCATATACGCCCACAGGAATTTTTCTATCGATAAGAGATAACTTTTGTGCGAGAGCGTAACTGCATCCAAAACTTTTTGAAGAGCGAGAGAGACCCAAATTCTGAATGGCCCCAAAATTCTACAAAAAACAAATTTTAATTGTATGAGTCTGTTTCAACTAACCTGATCCGTTTATTTTTTTTTTGTTGTGTAACTTAAGTTTAGTTATTTTGACTTGGGTGCTAGTCCATGAATGGGCGCTTGGGGCCTAATATCCCAGAGTCCTGAAAACGTCAAAACGATCCCTGCACCACGACCTCAACGGAAACAGAAAAGCGAATCACTCAAGATTCCTTCCTCTAGAACGTTACGTATTCTGCGTGATTCGCTTTTCTGTTTCCGTTGAGGTCGTGGTGCAGGGGTCGTTTTGACGTTTTCCGGACTCTGGGATATTAGGCCCCAAGCGCCCATTCATGGACTAGCACCCAAATCAAAATAACTAAACTTAAGTCCGTAGCTAACTTTTTTCTCAGAGGGACCAACTCGTGCCGAATATAATTTTTTGTGAACTGATGACAGCGATGCATAGCAAGTGCAGAGTCAACCTACTTGACGCCATTTTTGTAGAGGACACTCCACAGGTGATTTTTTGCTAATGCTCTAGCAGTTTTAAGAAATTTGAAAAGGGACAGAATAAATTCAAAGGATCCTGACAATTCATGAACTTTTGCAGTATTTCTAATTATTATATCTAATTATCATTTTTGCTTTTCTATTTTTTCAAGTACCTTGCTTTGAAAAGTATGCCAGTTTTTGTTTTATTGTAATAATATATTTCTAAAAGATTAAATTTGTTCTAAATAATATTTCAGTATTATCAACATTTGCTAGTGACTTTAATGGTTAAGAGTAGCAAACGCTAAATTTCGTCATTCATGTCTCACCTTATCTGCATTACTATGTTGTTGTAAAGAAATAAAGACTTCTATTATTATTATTAGATATTGAAATTAAAACTTGCAAATGATTCAAACAGTACTGCCGTTCTACTCGAAATTTTCAAGAAGCAGGCTCGCTGAGAAATAAAACACCCATTTTCACGGCTGATGTGTGAAAACAAAAAATGTGGCCAGCTCATTAAAATCATAAAAAAGTCAATAAATCTCACCTGTGAAATAATTGTAGCTACCATTTGTTCATTGTATTCATGCCTACTCGCTAGATAAGTCAATATGTCTGCCCCTTGGAGTTTCTCCAATATGAAGACGGCTGTGTCCTGTGCGCGATGTGCTTCCAAAAGGCATGCGATTCTCTCGTGTCTGAGAGACCTCAACGCGGCGAACTCCCCTTCCACTTCCTCCTTTCTTTTGCTGTATTCTAGTACCTTCGCAACTACTACCTTATCATCACGTCTGTCCACAGCTTTCAGTGCTATCGAAAATCGTCCCCTGCAAGATATCATAGTTTTTAGAGCAACCTCATATTTTTAGTACCCCCGAGTTTGATTGGTGCTTACTTCACGAGAACTAAGGCAATATAGGCAGCGGCAGTGGCCGCAGTTATAGACTCTTCGGTCTCCTGATCAGCCGCCGTGCGCTGCGCGGGTTTGAATCCCGTCTCAAGAGAAATGTTTCTCTTGGCTATGGATGTTGTGATTGTCCGTAGGTGGTAGACGGTCTCTGACTGTCGAACGTAGAGGTACCACCCGGCGGATCTCGTAGACGGGGCCAGAATATGTGCATGTTGCATGCACACGTGTTCCCTCGCCAGAGTCCGTGTGACGTTCCCCCCATCCGCTGTATCCCCCTATAGCCTCACGGTACCACATGGGTGTTTAGGCCTTAGGCCTTCGTGGTGGAATATATAAAAAAAACCGACCGTAACAAATATTGTACCTTCTGTTAGCTGGCCGAAAAAAATCTAAAAGGTCGACTGACCATGATATTAAAAAACCGTGGAATTGGAATTTGTTCTACAAGCCGATTAAACTGTTCCACTTTGTTTCATGAACTATTTCATATTCAAAAGTTTGAAGCTGCTCTAAGAATTGTGTAGTTTTGAACCAACTTCTTTTAGCGCACGTACTTACCTATGTATTTCAGATATGAAGTTGAAGTTTTCTTTCACATCCGAATCGTCCCATTCAATTGGATTAGATTCTACTGCATAATCGAGCTTTATTTCATCATGTTCTTCAGCTGGTTGACCACTGTCTGTTATTTCTTGTAAATGCCTCATAGCATTGCTCAACTGAATCTTTGGTGCTCCTATAACAAAAAATACAGAAAAATAGTGTAACATGAACACCGTTTTTACCATTTGAACTATAATTTATTACCCTCACTAGTTCATTACAACACTTGCAATTCATTTACTACAAATTTATGACTATGCCGACTTGACTATCATGTTGTGCGTTGTTGATGACTCATCGTCCACTGTCAATCGACTCTGCTCTCTGTGCCTGTATTTATTTTTGAATCGGCGCATCCAGCAGCGTTCTCGCGTATTCCAGACAGAACTCGAGTTTTCATCGAAGCTGGTAGATAGTGGTCGATATTTCTCGATTCGATGGGGTCGCAAAGTACTTACGAACGAACAACGCTTGCAAATTATTAAATTTTACTATCAAAATTCATGCTCGGTTAAGAGAGTGCATCGAGCACTGCTTCCAATTTATGGGCAATTTGGTCGGCCTACTGAGGGAGCTATTCGGAAGCTTGTGACTAAATTTCGAACCCAGTTTACATTATTGGACATTAAACCACCAACACGCAGACGTAGAGTGAGGACTGAAGAAAATATTGCGGCTGTATCCGCCAGTGTTACTGATGACCGTGAGATGTCGATTCGCCGCCGTTCGCAACAATTGGGCCTCTGTTACTCGACTACGTGGAAAATTTTGCGACATTATTTGGGTGTAAAACCTTATAAGATACAGCTGGTGCAAGAATTGAAGCCACACGACCTCCCACAACGTTTCCAATTTGGTGAATGGGCGCTGGCAAAGTTGGAGGAAGATCCACATTTTTATCGAAAAATTGTGTTCAGCAACGAAGCTCATTTCTGGTTGAATGGGTACGTTAACAAGCAAAATTGCCGCATCTGGAGTGAAGACCAGCCAGAAGCATTGCAAGAGCTACCAATGCATCCCGAAAAAATCACTGTTTGGTGTGAATTATGGGCCGGTGGCATCATCGGGCCGTACTTCTTCAAAGACGACAATGGCCGAAACGTAACTGTGAATGGCGAGCGCTACCGTGCGATTATAACAAACTTTTTTTGCCCAAAATGGAAGAGCTGGACTTGGCTGACATGTGGTTTCAACAAGACGGTGTCACATGCCACACCGCACACGAAACAAGGGCCCTATTGAGAGGCGAGTTCGGTGAACAGTTTATCTCACGTTTGAGGCCCGTCAATTGGCCGCCTAGATCGTCTGATTTAACGCCGTTGGACTATTTCTTGTGGGGCCATGTTAAGGCTAATGTCTACAGGGATAAACCAGCAACGATTGACGCACTGGAAGCCAATATTGAAGCATTTATTCGTGAGATCCGTCCGATATGTTGGAGAGAGTGTGCCAAAATTGGACCTTGCGCATGGGCCATCTAAAGCGGAGCCGCGGCCAACATTTACATGAAATAATCTTTAAACATTAAATGATATCGACCGTTCTATAGACTCAAATAAAGATTTAATCGTTTTTTCAAATTATTTGTGTTTTTTTTTTGAAAATCAAATCCTATACCTCTTAAAAAATCACCCGTTATTATATTTTGTCTGTAGCAATCATGATATATTAAAAAAAATTTAATTCCAGAAACGCACAAAGTTCAACCTTACCTTCAGGTCTGGTCGTGACAGAAGCTGACGGGACGCCTGGGTCGCTCCATCCAATGGAATTTTTAGCTGCCAATCGGAATATATAACTCTTATTCGGGTGCAGTCCGGTCATAAGGTAGAATTCATGATCAATATTGTCAGCTTTCTTGATCCAGTCCAGTTCATCAGCTCCTTTGTATTCCAGTTTATAGCAGATCACTGGAGAATGACCATCAAACTTGGGCTGTTTCCATTGCAGTAGAATCTCGGTATCTGATACCTGATTGATGAAACAAACCATTAATATCACAGTTCTGCTATGCTAAAAGTACCACTACCTATCCACAACGTCAAAAGGACTTGTTATACAAAATGCCAAAGTTTTCGTGAGATTTTGCCTGTGCTCGGGAAGATGATAAACTATTGGTGTAATTTTGGTTCCTGAAGCTTCCATGTCGATGGATATACCAATTTGTGGGTGAGAGCTCTTCTCCAAGATGCCGCTACTCCGTAGGTTTACGAAAGATGCTTGCCAGGCGCCTGTAACTGTAACAAGGCAAAAGGGCAACGTGGTAGTGTTGTGGTAGGCGACTGATTTCGAATCCCGTTACAAGACAATTTTCCTCTTGACCATGGATATTGTGAATATCCGCAGGTGGTAGACGGTCGCGGACCGTGAAGCGAGAAGGTACCACCCGGCGGGTCTCTAAAGCCACGTACAGACCGAAAATCAAACGCCGAGCAAACAAATGCAAGCACATTTGACGTTGGCGTTTGTTGTTGGAAGGTATTGGAATGCGCTCGTCTACACCTAAATTTAGTTTCGAGTTTGACCGCGTTGGGTTCGGTGCTAATGTCGAGCGTCGAGTGTGATCTTGTCGAATGCAGACAAACGACTAAATACTAAAAGCGCAACAAATCCTGTCTAGACGAAATCAAACCTCCCTTTGATGTGCCGATCAAGGAGCGAATGCAATCGAACGCTAACGCCGTCCTTGAAACCGTTAGCTTATGTTGGCTCGCGCCGTACGCATTTTGGCTTGCGTTGGAATCTCGGTCTGTACGCGGCTTAAAGCGGGGCCGAGTCCTTCCCGCGATGCCGACGGATATTTAGGCATTCATGATGGTTCAAGAAAAAAAATATAAGTGTGAGACTTACCTCTTTGGATTCGGGACTATCAGGCTCATCTGGTACCAATCCGATTACCACCCTGGTTCTGGCGATAGTCTGGCCGACTTTGTTCCGCGCTACTACTTTGTACATGCCTTGATCGAACGAAAGTGCTGGAGAGAACTTCATGATCGATCTTCCATCTCCGTCTGTTATTATTTTGATGCGGTGGGACTCTGCTATGATCGCATCATTCCTGGAAGGAAGATACACGAGCAGTTAGTATAGTTATTGTTGGTTCTCAGAGCTAACCGAGGGTTGATACCTTGTTCACTACTCACTGGCACAATTTTTGTGAAGGTCTTATTTATTTAATTTGTTATAATTCCCAACATTTTACACCCAATTACAGAAAATATACCAACAACGAAAATAAACCTATAATTCAACATCAGCGGGACATGAGAGAAACATAAATATATACAAGCGTGCAAGCATTTGAAATGTGGAAATAGCTTTTAACATATTGACTCTATATCACACCAAGGTACTAACTCGGTAACAATTCGATACAGATTTTTCTCGATCACAAAATCTTAACGAAAAGAGTGCCCGAGTATTTTTTGTTGTATTTTCTGTTGATTATTCACGTTAATATACAGGTTGTTAGGGAAATAATATTCGTAACTTCAAGAGGTGGTTCCTTTTCATTATAATCTAAGTCCGAAAGTCAACAGTTTCGGAGCAAAAAAATACTGAACTTATTTCCTTTTAGTCATGAAATAAATTAATTTTACACCTTAATAATCTAAATTCATATGCCTAATAACGTAAAATGTATCAATTCATCTATTTATTAATTAACTGTCTCTAACAAAATAATTTTCTTGCTTATTAAACATAATTTTCCGAAGAAACACAGACAAACAAAATGTTTCACACAACTGGCAACGTCGTACTCCACCTGATCTGCATGTATCATCGGGTGTTGTTGTGATTACTAATACATTTAACTGAAAGCGTTATTAAATAAAAAATATTGGCCAAAACAAATTGCATAAAAATATTCAATAATTCAAGGCATATTTTCAACAAAAATGTCATACAAACAAAAAACAATTCGATGAATCAGTTGCGGTTGTCGTGCGCCCGTATCGCGGTTGCATTGCAGCGTTGCCAAATGTTTGAGAAAATTTAATTATTTACGACTCACTTTCCTCGAAAACGATTGATTTTCGGACATAAGCTATAATGAACTATTTTACTTAGAATAATGCAAGGAATCACCTATTATTTCCTTAACACCCTGTATAATACTGTAAACATATATTTCACTCATAGAACTGTCTATATTTATTTTAACTAAATAATCAGAACTGCCACTGACGTTGATTTAAACGCGGCATTTTTTAGCTGCTTCGCAGTGACGTCATGTTATCTTTTTTTTTTGTTAGTTTGCTGTCGAATTTTTGTCATACCATTTGTTTGTAAAGCTACAAAGTAGTTATAGGTTATGGTTACTACTAGAAATTAAATTGAAGACTTAGAAAATAATGTAAATAAAATATATCTCTCTTGCTCACCTTGCAGCTTTAATGTCCCTGATTCATCATGAAAACGAATATTTTCGGGAGATTATCCGACTGTGCTTTTAGGAAACCACTTTGAGGCATTGTGAATGTGAGAGCAAAGGCCTGCTATTTTAAATCTGGCTGATCAATCAACAAAGTTTACCGCGTATATATTCCATTTTTCATTAATTGCGATAAAATAAAGGTGTCATTCTGTACCAATATAGACTGTATATAAAAATATTTGACCGTTTTGCTAGAGACATATAATTGATTATGATATCCTGATTTTCAATTTTTGGTTTGTATCCGCAATTTCATACCTCCATATTTCTATTATTTTTAAAGGTCTGATGATATTATCTAACCTTTTATTCGTCAGTACATATTCTGGCTACTACATCACTTTATTTTGAGCCATTGTGAAATTCGGCCGAAAAGGAATTATCAGGGCATTGAGCGATATTTTATGTATTATTTTTCAGACTTACTTGAACCACTGAATAATTGGCTGAGGCTCTCCTACTGCGAGGCAGGATAGCTTCATATCTTGACCTTCGATCATCGCCGTGAATTTAGGCTTTTCCCTGAAGGTTGGCAGTCTGCCTTCTTGCTTTGCTTCCAAAAGGGCTTCAGCCTCAACATATGCATCTAGTCGCGATCCTGAAAAAATGGTCCAGTGAAAAATAGAGCGGTAACAAGTTCATCTTGTGAACACTTCCTACACAGACGGGTCGAAAACGGAGCTGGAGCTGGGATTTATGGGGCAAGGCCAAAAACTGAGATCTCTATAAGCCTAGATGATATTGAAACAATATTTCAGGCAGCAGCGGTGGCCGCAATAGTAGACTCTTCGGTCTCCTGATCAGTCGCCATGCGCTGTGCGGGTTCGAGTCCCGTCCCAGGAGAAATTTTTCTCTTGGCTATGGATGTTGTGATTGTCCGTAGGTGGTAGACGGTTTCTGACTGTCGAACGTAGAGGTACCACCCGGCGGATCTCGTAGGCGGAGCCAGAATGCACACGTGTTCCCTCGCCAGAGTCCGTGTGGCGTCCCCTCTTTCCCTGTATCCCCCTATAGCCCCACGGTACCCAATGGGTGTTTAGGCCTTAGGCCTTCGTGGTAGTTGGAGTATAAAAAAAAGGCTGAATTACGGCCATACAGGTCGGCGCAAAGGAGCCAATAGGGAATGAAACTGCAAGTCAGTCGATCGCCATCTGCTCAGACAGCAAGGCCGAAATAAAGGCATTGAGTTCATCGCAAATATCGACTAAGCTAGTATGGGATTCAAAGAGCTGGGAAACCGAAACAAGGCAACATTGCTCGGGGTACCAGTATATGAAGGGCACAACTGACATGAAAAGGCGGATGAGCTTGCCCGACTGGGTGCGGCCAATCGCCTTATAGATCCAGAGCCTTCTGTGGCGTGACGAGAACATACATTGAACAGTCAATAAGAAATTGGACCAAGAAAAGGTCCCTAGAATGGTGGAACAACCAATTGCAGCAAAGGCAGGCAAGAACTCACCAAATAATGAAGGCCCGCGTTTACAGAAGACCTACTTGGATTCAATTCCTTTGTAATCTGTAATTACTAACAGTACCATCAGTATATGCTTCCTAACGAGGAAGTACCTTCCAGATTGACTACCGGCTAAAAATTCAGGTGATATAAACATTGTCTTCAGTTTTATTAAGAATATTTACTTTTTGGTCAAAGAACGAACGCAAATAATTGCTGGTGAGGCTACAAACCACAAATGGTAGGATGTAACGTACCATGGAAACTATCAGTGAGTACTTGGTTTCAATTTCAGACCTATTACGAGGTCTGTATATTAAGTGATGAAACTGTTTTTTTTTAAATTTGTTTCTTTAAATATGATTTCAATTTTATATTGTCATCGTCAAAATAACTTCCGTGTGAAGTGTCAGAGCGCGGGAAACGGTTCTTCCACTCCTCATAGCAGTGCTGGAACTCCAATACTGGAGCCTTGAGCTGGTCGGTTACAGCCGTTTGCATGTCTTCGACTGGCCCAAAATGAGTTCCCTTGAGGTGGTTTTTCAACTTTGGGAAGAGAAAAAACTCACAAGAACTCAATTGAGGCGAATAAGGAGGCTGACGAGCCGAAGGCATGTTTTTACTAGCCAAAAACTCGTTTATTGACATTGCTGTGTGTTCTGCAACACATAGTTGTTCTTGATTTGATGAACGACGCTACAAGTCAAATTTAACTCTTCCCCGATCATTCCAACTATCAACCGACGATCTGAACGCTCAAGATTCCGGATTCTGTCGCTAATCTCATCGGTTCTTGAGGATGAAGGTCTTCCGCTTCGTGGTTCATCTTCAATAGGCTCTCTCCCTTCCGAAAATGCCTTAAACAACCGAAAAACCTGGGATCTTAAAAAAATAATATATCCGTAGGCCTGCTGAAGTTTAGCAAGAGCTTACGTTGCTCTGTACCCAAGTCTGAAGCAAAACCTGATAGCTTCCACAAAATAACATTGCTACGCACAAAGGAATGCCTCAAGCGATTTCAAACTTGTACCGAAAGCGCATCACATGTTACCCTGTCTCTTCTCCAAGATCGGCGCCTCCAGTATTGCCAAATTGAACGCTACGTTGTCAGTCTCATCATTTAATTTACAGACCTCGTAGAAACAATGCTAAAAAAATTGAGCTTTGTAGAGCTTTAGAGAAACGTGAACCAATTACCAATTTCATGCTTTATTCTCCTTACAGCCGGATCTCTGTTTATTTCAGTGCCGTATCTGTTAATTCTAGCCTTTCTTTCGTCATCAATTTCTTCATCCATGATGTCAGTGAACCTTCTTCTTTCATGAATGACAGGCGTCTGGAAATTGAAAATGTTTCAGCAAAATCAGTGTAATTGTAAATGGCTAGTGTAATTAAACTGCGCTGGGTTGCTACACCACCTTTTTCATTAGTCTGGGGTGACCGATGATCCAGACCTGAGTGACTCAACGAGTGTTGTGATTTTAACTGATTGTCGTTCCTTTTATACAGGATATATAAAAGCTCACCTAAGCCCTCTCTAGGAGCAGGGAATATATTTAGTGGTCAATTTTCATTTTACTTACTACTTCACATTACTGTCGACAAAGCATTGTGATCGCGGAAAATTTCGAAAATCAGATATTATGCTTATTGAATACTACATGATATGTTACGTTCATCACGAAAAACAATGTCTATAATCTGTTTCGGTAGCTCTGTCTGTCTGTCGTCGGTATGCCGATGTGTCCGCTAATCCTCAGGTCGTCTATAACTTGGGAAGTACTGCTCGAATTTTGATAGAATTTTCACACAAGAAATCGGCCCAGGTGCGGCAGAAGTAGAAGCAAAAAACGAAAAAAAATTTATTGATCCCCAAAATTGTACACAAAATCATGCTAAGTATGCAAATTTCAAGGTACAATTGGATTCTTAGGAGAGACCACGCCCCCTGGCACCCCCTAAGGACGCATATGGCTATCTTGCCGGTTGGTTCGTTATGTCGGTAGTGGAGGGAAGAAGCTTCTGGATCGCAACGTTGTAACGATCCATTTGTTTTTTTTCTGATGTACTTATTCATAACTAATTCGTTGCCGATTTTTTTTCCAGAGGCGATAACTTGTGTCAAACATAATCGTTTATGAACTGATGATAGCGGTCTGTGAGGAGTACAGAGTCAACCGACTTGACGCTTTTTTTTACTTGGAATGCAAATCGAATGATCGTCTGCTAGAGATTGAAGTTGCGCGATTTTTAGAATTTGAAAAGAAAGACAGGTAGTCTTGCGGAAACATAGACGAAAAACAAAGAACAATCGTGGGCATGTTCGCAGTAAAGGAAGTGGAGCACAAATAGAAGGATTGGTAACCCGAGCGACCTACGTTTCCGCTTATTGGCTTCATCATTCCCAAATGGATATGCACACCGAAGTGAAAACATATGCCCATCTTATCTGGGTACGGATGTAATCTGAAGCAGAACAAGGATAGAAAGGTAAACTACTAACAAGAGCCAGCAGGCACAGTTGTGGCTCCACTCAGAAGACCTCGCGTATCATATTCCTGATGCTCTCCCTTTATTGCGGATATGCCGACGATTTAACTTTGTTTTAAGAATTAGAAAAGACAGAAGACCAAATTGATGCCAATATGGGGCCCACAACTCCGGTATTCCGCATTGGCACTTCTGCCATATACCTACGTTATGCCATCGTGGTCAAACATTTTGCATAAGCGTATCCCCTGCGATATTATGCTAGCGACAATCAGATTTGTCTGCCTCCGTCGAGTCTTTTGCAACGCTATTGCACTAAAAACTTAATTCTTACCCTCCAATCGTATCCATTTTCGTTGGACATGATGTAAGAGCCACCTGGACTGATGTGAGTAGCCACTTTCATGTATTCGCGCAGACGTACGGGGAAGTCGACATCTCTCAATTGCAGAAGATAAGTATCTGGTCCGTTCTGGTAGCTAAAAAAGATGAAGATAAGATTATGAATATAAGAATATGCGTGATATGCCAGTATATGTGAAAGACCTCTGGAAATCATGCAGATAACAAAGAAGAGAAAAGCATCTATAAAAGGTATAAGAAGTTCTTTTGCAAATATCTCTTAAAATACAAAAGCCTCGGCGCTGTATTTGGATGAGCATTTGGCCCTCAAAGCCAAAGATGACTTTTAAACAGCTGAACACAAGGGCGAATCCAGCCTTTGTGTTAGGGGTCACTTAGTCCCAGAGGCGGATTCAGGCGCGTTATTTCGATAGACCGATAGAGGATAGTTGCGATGCTTTCGTCCGTTCGTTCAGAGACAAGAGACCAAGCCTAGACCATGCTATGGTTAACTCGGTACGCATAAAGCCTCCCATTTTATTATATAATACTGCACAGGAGTCTATGACAAGTTGACAAGATACAAATAATATTCTGCGACCGGCAGGTTGAGCATCAGTGCCGGGGTCTCGAGGCCGAACTTGTATGACGTCACGGCCTAACCTGGTCTACGAGGTCGGTCGCCTACAGTATCCAACACAGGGAATGTCATACTTTCCTTAAAATCCAAGTCGTTGGAATAATTTTTTCAGATTTGTCAAAGATACAAGTTGTTGTCCAAAACGGACGCAGGAAAGTAAACGCATATTAAAACAAGAGAGATTGATATTCAAATCAAGTTGGGTACTTTATTTTGAAGGTTCATTTATACCATTTATGTATGAAAAATAATATCGCTCAAATGTTCACCACGACTGGATTTACAGACGTCTACGCGATGGTCGAAATTTTCAATGACATTTTGCAACATGGTCGGTTCTATGGCATTTATCTCGGCAATGATGTTGTTTTTGAGTTCTTGGAGGGTGGCTGGTTTGTTGACGTAGACTTTGCTTTTCAAATATTTCCATAAAAAGAAGTCCTAGGGAGTCAAATCGCACGATCTTGGTGGCCATGGCACATTTCCTCTGCGCGAAATCACGCGATCACCGAAGAAGGACTGCAATCGATGGATATTGACGTTGGTTGTGTGGCATGTTGCACCGTCTTGTTGGAAATAAACGTCGTCCATATCCATTCCTTCAAGTTGCGGCAAAAAATAGTCCTCTATCATCACGTGATATCGCTCAGAATTGACGATAACGGCGTCCCCGGCCGCATTTTCGAAAAAGTAAGGTCCGATGATGCCTTTTGACCACAATGCACACCACACAGTCACTTTTTGAGGATGCATCGGCTGCTCTTGATATTCACGGGGATTTTCGTTCGCCCAGATGCGGCAGTTTTGCTTGTTTACCGTCCCATTCAAAGTGAAATGCGCTACGTCGCTGAACATGATATTTGATGAAAAATTGGCATCAATTTGGCGGTGTTCAAGGAGCCAATCTGAGAACGTTCGGCGCGAAAAATGGTCGGCCCGACGCAGTTCTTGCGTCAATTGGATCTTGTAGGCGTGTACATTCAAATCCTTGTGGAGAATGCGGAGCAAACTTGTTCTCGAAATGCCCAATTCTTGGGATCGACGCGTTGTTGATTGTTTCGGATCGTCTCTCACACTCTCCTTCACAACAACAATATTTTCCGGTGTGCGAACGCTCCTTGGCCGGCCAGAGCCTGGCAGATTTGCCATAGAACCTGTTGCCTCGAATTTACGCACCAGACGACCGATGGTTGTTTCGTTTGGGCGGTTGTTGCGACCGAAATGTTCACGAAGCGCGCGAAACGTGTTTTTTATTTTTGCACCATTTTTGTAGTGCTCTTGAATAACTTTAATGCGGTCTTCAATCGAATACGACTCCATAGCGATAAATGGTAAACATTCAACTAACAAAATGACATGTCGGTGACAGAAAACAAAGATGGCGTCTATGTCAAATTGACGTTTACCTTCCTGCGTCCCTATTGGACAACCCATGCAAGTGAAACCAGCAGTGTTTTCGACTATAGGGAACGTGCTAATTCAAACATGGCCAAATCCTGTATATTATACGGTTATAGTATGCAATCTACTTACTGGCTTTCTGATTTAATGACGCCGATCTCGTAGTTGAGTGGAGATCTAGTAGGCAGCTGGTCCTCCCAAGAGGTTCTTGTTCTGGGAGTCCTGTCAGCAGGAGCAGGTGTGGCCCTTGGGGTGTACACTTCACCTGGCGGATACACCATTTTTGAGGGGTGAGTGAAGGCTCCTTCCAATGGGCGCCGTCTGAACCACCTCCTGCATGATGCGTTATCGTACCATTCTCTGGAAAATAAAGAACTTTTGGTTAGGAAAAGAATGACGAATGTTCGATCGTTGATCGTTGTCGCTAGATTAACAGACCTTCAAAAAGAAACATTATATGTTGAATTTACTGCTACGGTTAATTGTTTAGTGCAAAATAAGTAAGGAATATTTGATTTTCAAATTTATATTCAGTACGGCTACAAAGCAGTTTTGGGAGGAGTTGCGTTTAGTTGCAATTTACAGAAATACCTGAACGTTTATATGTTTAAAGTGTTGTATTTACAAAGATTGAATGAAATCCAAAATTGCAACAGTAGCATAACTAGTAAATCTATATTTCAAAAGGGAGTATTTGAATTTAATAAATTGAATAATGATATGAAACAGAGTTTGAATTTAAAAATGTTTAAGGTGAAATCAAAAAATCACTTTATGGCACTTAATTTTAATAGACAAGAATGTAATATTACAGAAAATGGATTGAAGAAAAATATGTAACCGAATCATTATACAAAATTGACATTGTAGCATTAATGCTAAATAAATCTTCAACATCAACAACAACACCAACTTGCGAGCCAGCCAATATGAAACTTAATTATTTTTTCCTATATGATTTTTAAATATTTAAAAAAACGCTGACATCAAATCTGAGGAAAAATAGTCTCGTTTTTAAAACATTTTTAAAGTTAATAAACCTATGATTCCCGTCGTATTAATCTATAATTTATCCCATTTTATTGTAAGTAATATTTACCGCAAATTGAATTACAATATTGTAAAGTATTCGTCCATTTATTGTAGTATATGCAATATTTAGCTGAAAAGCTAACAATTCCATAGCTTTTGGCTTATTGGACAGCTCGTATTGATACCGTTGGGGCGTCGCCAGCCACTGGCCCAACGGGGCAAGTTCATACGATGAATAAGAAATGTTTAAATTGTAGGTAAAGTCAATAGGACATAACATTTTTTATGTGTAGTATGGTGATTGTGATAAGAACAGTATAAAGTCCAATGTGCGAATCTCCACGAGCTCTTGGCTGTACGGTAAATGAGAATTAAATTATGTTATTATATTCATTATAACTTAGAATTTGAACACTAGGAATGATCGATCAAGCACGTTAAGTGAGTGTACTTATGAATTTTATTGATTTGCATTTCACTACATTTTTGGGGTCTCTAGGGGGAAGTCAACTGCCCCTCTGCCCCCCCTTTGGCGACGCCCTTGCTACGCGCGATGACGTCTATTTTATAGGTATAAAAATATATACTAAATCCGAACACCCAGTTTAAATGGATTTATTTTAATAAAATTTTGTATAAGTACTTAATGAAGCATAATAAGTAAATGATAAAAATTTCAAAATGGTTGCACTGCTTTAAAGCCCTTTGACCTTTAATAATGTGTGGATGCACCCTGATGTGCTACGCATTCTCCAATGCGCCTAGGCATGCTTCTGATCAGGTGGTCAATGTCCTCCTGTGGTATCTCATTCCAGGCAACCACCAACTCCTCTCGAAGTGCTTCTAGAGTCTGAGGAGGACGTTGCAAATTGAGCAATCTCTTACCCATCATATCCCACACGTGCTCAATTGGGGATAAGTCGGGATATCTTGGTGGCCATGGTAACAATGTGACATTATGTTGAAAGAAGTCTAATGTGACTCTTGCAACATGTGGTCGGGCATTATCTTGTTGGAAAGTTGGATCTGCCAGGGTGTCAAGATAGGGTAAAAGATGGGGTTCTAGAACTTCGTGGATATAACGCTGCGCGTTCGTGTTACCTCTGATGAAGATTAAAGGTGACCTGGAACCATAAGCTATAGCACCCCAAACCATAACTCCAACAGTGTGATGAACATGTCTTTCAACAAAAAACTGTGGATTCCTCCTTTCACCAAGTCGCCTTGTAACCCTGGCACGACCATCGTGCATGCCTAAACAAAATCGAGACTCGTCACTAAAGACAATACTTTCCATTCCTGATCCCAGAGTGACCGTTGTCTGCACCACTCAAGGCGATTACGTCGGTGTTCTCCAGTTAAAGGGAGGACCAGTGTGGCCGGTATGAAAACAAGCCAAAGCTTCTCATTCGTCGGTAAACACTTCGCATGCCAATAGGTCTTCCGTGTTCTGCAAACCATTCATTTGCAATGGACCTGGTAGTGGAGAAACGGTCCCTTAAGGCCAATAATCTTAGGCGGCGATCTTCACGGTCTGTTGTTCTACGGCGGCGTCCAGTGCCCCTTGCTCTTTGCGTACGGCCTTCTCGAAGCCATGCCTGACAACACCTAACCACAGTGTCTACACTTCTTTGCACTCTAACTGCAATTGCCCGGAAAGAAAGTCCAGCTTCCCGAAGTCCCACTATACGGCCCCTATCAAACTCACTAAGTTGACGAAATCGTACAGGTCTCCGTACTCTAGGCATCGTAACCGATCGTAAAGGATGTCAAGAACCAAAATCCGCCAACCTTGATTCTTTACTGCGGCTGAAATATTCATTTTTAGAACGTTAGTGAATTAAAAAAAAGCAGTATAAAAACCGGAATGTCCAACTGATAAGGCTGAAAATTTATTCACTTACATTTACAGTAAGATAAATACATTCACCAACTTTTATTAAAATAAAACCATTTAAACTGGGTGTTCGGATCTATATGTCACTTAGTATATAAAAGTAAAAATTAATTAATATTAAGTAGATAGAAATATTCGCTTAATTCGAGTAGCATTAGAGCAAGAAAGCATCAAAGAATTCATATGAAACTTCTTGACGTATACCAGCGATGGTGTCATGTGAATTGTCTAGAAATTTAAATAAATATTGGATGTGGCTGATAGGACGAAAGTCCTAGCGCCATAAAAAAAGACTCCGGATTTAATGGAATTTTGGCAGAACTCGGCCATCAATCGAAACCGGATCAGCACTACCGCGCATCTTGTTAATCAAGATACAGTACTGTATTTTGAAATTCCCCAACGTCTTACTAGTGTGAGTTGTACGGATCTAACAACGACATAAAATACATCTTACGCTAATAACATCTCCAGCTTGTTAAGCGCGTATTCTGACACATGGTAGATCTTTTTATGAGGTAGCAATCTATCGTCAGCATGATGCACTCTTATTTGATATGTAAACACATTTTCCAAATCGTCCATCTCCTTGGTTTCTTCTATCATTTTACGATTGAGGTCTTCCATCTTGAACGGTAGAACACATACTGCCAATATTGTATGCTTGTTTGAATTGTTTCGTTACAAAAGGTCGATTATTTATAGTGCAACATTCTGATGTCTTAATCACAAACGGGATCAACAATACTATTTTGATACTAGATAGGTATTTGTTGCGTGTAAAGCTGGTCTAGAGAATCTTCGGTAGGAACTAAATACGAAAGGGAAAGGATCACGCACAAAACATCAAAAATGGGTCTCAGACGATTTGTCTAAGAATTTAGTATGCTATATTTCCTGCCTTCCTGACAAAAGATGTTCATGGGACCAAAGCAATCCTATTATTAGTTTCTGAAAAATAGCAAGAGGGTTGCCCGATTTACAAAAATGGTGAATGTGCCGACTGTAGTCGGAGAATTGTTATACTGAAGAATGTATTGCATATAAAAACCTTCTAGGAAGGAGTGTTGGGAGCCGCCATGTTGAGCTTGCTCATGTTTCTTTCAAGATCAACTTAAGGACAATATTATTTCTATATGCTTACACTGAAATCTGGCACGAATTGTTCTAGAATCCAAAATAAATCACGCAAAAGGACAGTGATGGTTGTTTAGTTGTATTTGATTATGACTTACAAGCTCAACTCAAGGTCTTGTTTTTTTAAAGGTGAAAGAAGAAGGAAAAGCGCACTAATATGAACATAGCTTCTGGGTATTGTCATTTATTGCCTGTTAATTTGAGTGTTTTTGGTTTGGTTTACTTCTTTCATATCGAACAGTTTGTGTGATATTTTTTGAAAGATAACGAACAATCTTTTGGAAAGCATATAAAAAACAGTTTATTGGATCTTTATACCATTGTAATTGACACTGACAAATGTCAAGCCAACGTTGGCGGCACATCAAATCTGTTATAAATAATTAGAATAACCTCGAAACATATACAAGATTCCATGCTGAAATTGTGGATTATATGTCACTTAGTATATTATCAATAAATTCATTGTTAATATTTTAAACCTATAACAGCCCGCTACATTTTTAGCATTTGTGTTTGTTAAGAAAAAAACTCAGATTTCAATAGTTGGGCCAACTGAAGTGGGAAGGGGCTCGTGCTCGTATATGCTATAGGAGATAATAATAGAACTATCACATTTATTCTTTCAAAGTTAAAAACAAATACAAACTTTGTTCTATTGCGATGAATTTGTGTCATCCACCATCGTCTGGGCCTTTTTCTTTTCTTAACTATTTATTTTAATATTGATATACGGACGAGAACATTACTCAAGAAAAGTTCGTGAGTATGAATAGGTACACTAGGTTCGCGAGAAATCTCGGCGAGCCTCCACGCCGAGACTTCTCGCCGTGAGTCTGCAGGCCGCTCAAGCGAAAATCTCGGCGAGAACTTCTTTGGGTCGCAAGGTTCTCAATACAGTTCTCGTGCTCGATGATGATGTACGGATAATAAAATGTCGTCGACATCATCACGAGATTTTACCGATTTCTTGATTTTATTTTTATACCGTCTGTTGCTGGCTAATAACGACTTTTTTTTTGCTTTTTAATTCTCCAATGGGATTCCACAAAATCGGTTCTGCTTGGAAATAATCTAGGAATGCCAATTCTAGTACGTTCGTCCAAATTCGGTTCATGTTGATGCTCAGTAGTAAATACCACGCACAACTGTTCTAATCGGCGAGTCACCTGCCACTGAGAAACATGCGAGTGTGGCGTCAATACAAGTTCTCGCCTGTTCTCGCGTTTTCATCTCCTGTCTCGCGCCAAAAAAAAAACGACACAAATCGGAGAACAAGCCAAGAACCTGCAAAGATTATAAAAATCGGTTCCACATTCACATTTCTCATGTTTTTCTCTGCGAGAGGCTTTTAGGTATGTTGTTCTTTCTGAAATATCAGCAGAGATACGACTTTATTTTAATTTAAGACGGAATTGATGAATCATCGCTTACCTGTACAAGCTCCAGTAGTCACTCAAGTATCTGGAGCTAATCCTGAACTCATCAGAATACCTCTTGTCTGCTCTTTCCAACCAAGGATGTCTCATTGCTGTTCTTATATCCATCCTACCCTCGATATCGAAGACCAGCAATCTGCTGATGAAATCTCTTGCTTCAACACTGATGTTGCACCACCACGACTCGTCGAAGATCCATTTGCCGGCCCTTCACGAAACAGAATCTAAATTAGCTGACCGATGAGTGGTTGGCTTGATTATTTCAATCCGAAACAACTTGGACCAGAAATTGTTACCTTATGTTTGTAAGAGTTTCTCTGTCGTTGGCGCCTCTGAATGGTGATCGTCCAGAAAGCAGAATATACGTGATGATACCAACGCTCCACATGTCTTGGCCGAATCCGACGCCCGTTTTGTTGACTACCTCAGGAGCCACGTATTCCGGCATACCGTAAAGCAGCGGGTAGAGCCTGCCCATATCAATACGCCTGGTGAGACTGAAGTCCGTTATTTTGAGATCATCTCCTCCTGGATGGGATATCAGCAGGTCACCCAACTGTAAACGATTTGTAACAGCTATTCATCGATGTGTCTCAAGACAAAGCATATGACATTGAACCAGCTCGCCCTTTGTAACAAATGTCATAAAGGGGAGAGACTCATTGCAGCTGATAAACCTTGGCTTGGAAAGGGGTAACACCTTTTTTATCAAAATTTATTCAACGGTTGTTGATATTAGATTGTAAAGAAAGCTAATAGGGAAATACCTAAATGAAAATACTATCAAAGTGAGGATAAATGGAAAAATAATTGAAAATGTAGAATCAATTGAATCTCAAATTTCGTTTTCCCTCGTTTCATCCTCGTTTATCATTCTGTGGACTGAAAACTCTTTTAGAAGACCGAAAAGCTCCAAATCTTACAGGTTGTATCATGTTTTCAAGAAGACAATCTTATTCGCAGAAAATTTTCAGACGAAAAAAATGAGAAAATCGTTCGAATATTTTGTTCGAGGAAGTTTCACTCAAGGGCGAAGCACGTCAATTCATTTGACCATTTGATTACGCTGGTCAATGATTTGACGTCTCCTGTGGTGACACCCAAATATCGTCCTGGTGCGTACTTACATTAAGTCCCATATGCGCATATCCCCTGTCGTGCATGTAATCCAGGCCCTGAAGCAGCTGTCTCACAAATCCAGCGATGTCACTCTCTGTGTAGTAGTCCTGTCTGAGCAAGTAGTCCCTAACTAGTTCTCCTCCAGCTGCCAGCTCCAGGATTAGAGCCAAAGAGTCATCAGACTCGTAGGCGTCGTAGAGCGAGATCAGCTTCTTGTGCCTGAGCTCATTGAGCATATCCAGTTCGTTGCGCATCCAGGGCCAGATGTCGGAGCCTGTGCCGTGCATCACCTTGGCTGCGTAGTTACGACCTGAAACAAGTATTTTCAGGTTTAGTCCAGGAACAGTGAAGATTCTTAGAGATGCAAGTTTGGTTTTTCTGAATACAGTCAAGTTACTCCTTCAGATGAAAAAGTTAGCTACGAACATGTTTAACAAAAAATTAAATGACCTTCCGTCTTCTCCTGAGAGGGACTGCTGCATGCGCACATGATTGTTGCGTTGCCGTCATCATGCACACAGCCCACAGCAGTGCGGATGCGATTGCCGTCTATGTCATACGACCACCGATGATGACGCTTGTTCATCGGGAGACCACGTCGCACGTATCGACACCCGGCTGTAGGAGTTTTAAAGGTAAATGTGCGGGACATCTATGATGAATGTAATATGCCTAATATGTGTGCCAAATTACTGGCATTGGAGGCGTATAAATATAGGTTGTTAATAAAGTATGTAGACAAATTTTAACCACTGAATCCTTGGTTAATTTGAAGACAAAAATTACCATATGAACATGGATCTGCAACGGCTTTGTTTTCATTCTAGAGCATATTAGAACTAAAAGAAATGATGATGTTTTAAAAAATTATAAAAGAATGGAACGTATTTTATTTCAATTAAGTATGCCCTGTGGTGAATATCACATGATTTACAGTTAGTTTTCAGACTCTCCATGTGCGTAGATACGGATACTAAGATCCAGTATTTTTTGAAAAAAATAGCATGACATTGATTTATTTTGATCGCAATATTTTTAATATTTAACTATTGACGCTCTAAATAATTTTTGTTTCCTAAAATACAGGGTAATACTATTTTCATCCACGTTCATATTGAGCTTCAGCAACTTGTAAAACATGTAAAATTCATCATAGGTTATACCAACTGTTCATTAAATACGTTTCATTATTCATAGAAATATTTGGAACATTACTCGTATTTCTTTAGTGATAGTGCTCTAGCTCGAAAAGAAAGCCCTTACGGACCCGTCAACATTTAGTCTTCAAATTGACCAAGGATTCGATGGTTGAAGTTTGTCTACATACTTTATTAACACCCTGTATCACAACGTCAAAATAATGAGATATATCCTCCTCCACCTTTACATCCCCTAAACCCAATTTTTAATTCCTGCAAGAATTTTTCTGAAAATGATCAGTATCGTTTGAAACAAACAAAGTTGGACGGATTTTTTTGTTTTTGGCCTTTTTCTCTGCCATTACTGGACTGATTTTCAAAATCTACAGGGTTTTTGCGTCCTAGACATAGTAACAACAATGTGTGAAAATTTCATCGAAATCCGAGCTTACTTCTCATGTTATAAGCGGTAAGATTTGCGGACAGAAAGAAGACCAATGGAAATGAGTGACATCGTTTTTCGTGATGTACATGTCACATAATATACAAAGAGAAAAGAAGCAAGAAAGAAAGAAGAACTGATATGCTCTCAAATCAGCTTTGAATTTTAGCATGACAAAACTTACCATTCAGCCTTTCAACGGCATGGTAGGTGATACCCTGTGTTCCTCTGCCCAATTCATCACCAATGTCGTACAAGTCTGTATACAGCCGCCTTCTGGCCTTCAACGGCGATAGGTTGTGATAGTTCCTCATGTTGTAGTCATGTTCGCTCTCTTCAACGTACAGCATGGCACTTGCTGATGTTGATCCAGCAACGTTTCGAGCACTTACTGAGTAAAGCCCTTCGTCTTTCAGTATCAGGTCGCTGATGGTGAGGATTGTTGTGTCAGGTTCCAGGAATGCTATCTAGAAACATTATTTAATTACAATCTTAGGCCAGCTCCAATATCTATATCTAATTCGCGGAGATAAAGCTAGCAGTACTCTTGCTAGATGCAGCACGTGACGCCTCGCTTGACGTCTCCCTGACCGAGATGTTAATTATTCAAAAATTGACGTTTAGTGATTTATGCTCTTTGAAAGAAGTTCGTAACATGGAAAGTTAAGATTTCCTCTTGGAACCTCTGTACCCCTATAACAATTTCCTATTTGCTTATGTTATATTCAAGGTGTTCCAGAGTTCGACGTCAATCCAGAAACGGGGATAGACCAAATTCTAATAGTTATCAGAAAAATATAGAAAAATCGTCGCGTAGTTTTCATATTATAGACTTAAAAAAAAAATCGGAAAAACCTACAGCCTGTTATGATCTGTTAGCTTCCAATAAGTAGTTATGAGATCTCGCCGATACTACAAATTTAATTTTTTTTCTCTCGATATTCCTAATATTTGACAACACTGCAAAATTCAACTATTTGCTGATGACACATTAATATATGTATATATCAAATAAAGACATTGAAGCTGCAATAGAGCTGTTAAACAATGATATGAAAAACGTAATCAATTGGTTAAATGTAAATAAACTTAAGCTAAATACAAACAAAAAAAATATATGCTAATAGGAAAATCTTTAGATCAAAATACGATAAATCTTACACTTAATCACCAAAAAATTGTGTCAAACGAATCATTTAAATATTTGGGCATATACGTAGACAGTAAAGTAAAATTTGAAGGGCACTATGAATATATTATTTCAAAAATATCCAAGAAAATAAATTACTTTTACTTTTCGCATAGCCTAAGCGTTTATTCTAAAAAACTTGTGTACAACACTATCATTCTTCCTCATTTGTTATATTGTTCGACTATTTGCAAATGAAACTGTATTATCAAAATTAGAAATACTACAAAACAAAGCTATGAGAACCATCTTAAGTAAAAATAAGTATACTAGAATACATTTTATGCTGAAAGAACTACAATGGTTGAATATCAAAAATTTGATAGCTTACTTGGTTTTCATTATCATATTCAAGTTATAAAATCATCTCCTACCAAATCACTTAGAAAATTTTATTGTATTGAATAATGAGTGCCACAACTATTCTACTAGAGGAAGTATAGAGTGTCATTTGCAAAACTGCAGTAGAAATATAACGAGCAAGTCAGTATTTCAAAAAGGATTGTAGGAATTTAATAAATTAAGTAATGATATCAAGATGTGTGTCAGTTTGAAAATGTTCAAAGGAAAATTGAAAAAATATCTCATGGAAAACCACAACTCATGGTATTGATTTTGTATAAAAATATGTAGTCCCGAAGACATAATATATTTTGTGATATACTGTGTAATATGGATATTATGGATATTGTAGCATTAATGCTAAATAAATCTGAAACAAACAAATTTATTGCATTTACAGATACATGTGGTACCAGCAACACGCGTGCTCGGCACACTATGCCCGTTCAGTTAGAGAATATCTTGATATGGAATACTCGAGCAGATAGATAGGGCGGTCTGATACAATTTCGTGGCCAGCCCGTTCACCTAACTCAAGTCCACTCGATTTTTTCACTGGGTAACGATGAAAGAAAAGGTTTGTTCAAAGCCAATCGAAAATTTAGCTGAGCTACGTGGTAGAATAACGGAAGCAGTTGGATTTGTTAATAACGGAGGATCCGTTCGTCTGATAAACCGATCATTTTCAAGAAGATGTTAAGCTTGCAATGCTGCCAAAGGAAGGCAGTTTGAACATTTGTTGTGAATTTAATAAACGAATTCACGAATTTATTAATATATGTGGCATTACTATATTCCTGTCACTACATAGAGCGACACTGTCCGTCACTCCGTCTAAAAAAAAAATTGAAATTTGTAGTTATGGAACTAAAAGGTCATCACAGGGTGTAGATCTTTCCGATTTTTTAAGTCTCTAATTTGACATTTTAGATTTTTTTATATTTTTCTGATAACTATTTTGACTTGACTATCCCCTGTTTCCGGCTTGACGACGATTTCTGGGACACTTTGTATAATTTAAGAAGTAGAACAAAAGAATCCAACAGCACAAAGTTCTCGCATGTAATTTATTTTATCCATACACTGCAGTTTTCGAATCTGAAATATAGACATAGAAACATGTACAGGGTTAACAAGGTATTCATTTTGCGTTATGTAGCCTGTGTAAATGATTTAAAAAAATATAAAATTGCCATGGTCATGGCCACAAGAATTTATAACAGATAACCCTCTGATTGTAGTATCAACCTTCAATCATTTAGGTTTAGACTCCCATTTAGGTTTTAGTCCTAGTTGTGTTTTGTCCACTTCAAATCACTGTACCTTTATCCTCGATGATGGTGCCAAAGGCTTCCAGTCCTTATACCACTTGATTTCCGGATACGGAACTCCAGTGATCCTAGCCTCTAGCCTCCCCTTACCCCTGAGCACGGAGTACGTGATTTCTGGTCGTCTGATGATATGTGGCAACTCCGCAATCTCCAGCCTTACCCTCTGTCGAGCTTCACCATGTTCGTTTCTGGCTACTGCTTCGTACCACCCAACATCACGCTCCAACATCCTACAGAAAAAAGGCGTTGCATTTTTGAGGCGATTTGGAGTGACTTGGCAATATTGTAAGCTTTTCTGCACCAGCTGATAAAGTGCGAAAGCAAGCGTTATTTGATTCATCTGTTTACAATTTGCGTTGAAGCTGCTAAAACCTGGCTTTCATACAATTATTTGGAGTCTTACTGTCTATATCTTACATACATCATGTCTCAAAAGATGTATTGAGCTGAATAGATATCTATCTGGCGTACTTCTCGGTATTTCAGTTACTTCACTTTTTACTTCACTACATTGCATACAGTGTTTCCCCCGAAAAGGGCATCCTTCCCAAAGCTGTTCCACATGACTCCCTTTATAGGGCTGAAGATAAATTGTACACGCCTTTTTGGGACATACCCTATACATTTTTCGTTGGTATTGATTCCGTATCACTAACCAATATAATCTAGTCAGGTATCGAACAATTGGTGGCGCTTTAATTAAATCAAAACATTTACTATTCAAAGGGCCAGAAAGAACGTTGATTCATAATTAAAAAAGTACTTACTACATAAGTCCTCTTTTAAGACAAGCAATAAAAAAAACGGAGGAAGCCATTAATTAACGTACAAACATCAAAAATGAGCTGACCACAAAACAAAATATTGATCAATAAAAATAATTTGAGAACAAAACGTTTAAAATCATGTAATTTCCATACTACAGGGTGTTATTAAAGTATGTACACAAACTTTAACCATCGAATCCTTGGTCAATTTGAAGACTAAATGTTCATATGAACACGGGTCTGTAACGGCTTTAGTTTCGAGCTAGAGCACTATCACTAAAGAAATACGAGTAATGTTCCAAATATTTCTATGAATAATGAAACGTATTTATTGAACAGTTCGTGTAACCTATGATAAATTTTACATGTTTTACAAGTTGCTGAGGCTCAATATGAACGTGGATGAAAATAGTATTATCCTGTATTTTAGGAAACAATAGTTAAATATTAAAAATATTGCGATCAAAATAAATCAATGACATGCTATTTTTTCAAAAAATACTGGATCTTATTATCCATGTTTTACAAGTTGCTGAGGCTCAATATGAACGTTGATGAAAATAGTATTATCCTGTATTTTTGGAAAAAATTTTTTTTAGAAGGTCAATAGTTTTGAACCGTAACATTCGAATAGAAAGTATCGTATAGTTTTTATTACAATAAATGTTCAGTGTGGCCACGAATTATTTCAATTGTTTTCGGGTACGTCATAGGTATCTAGATAAGGTCAATGCCTGAATATTAAAAGTATTGCGATCAAAACAAATAAGGTCATGCTATTTTTAAAAAAATACTGGATAACATTATACGTATCTACGTACATGGACGGTCTGAGAACAACTGTAAATCATGCGATATTCACCACAGGGCATACTTAATTAAAATAAAATACGTTTCAATCTTTTATAATTTTTTAGATCATCATTTCTTTTAGTGCTAATACACTCTAGCTTGAAAACAAAGCCATTGCGGACCCATGTTCATATAGAAATTTCGTCTCCAAATTGGCCGAGGATTCGATGGTTAAAGTTTATATACATACTTTATTATAGGTTCATGAGATTGACACCAGTTTGATAATAGCAGCCAACAAGTTGAATTTTAATTAAAGAAGTAATGAGAAAACGTAATTGCGTATGAACAATTTACTAAGCTGCTCAAATCGGGACGAAAACGCCAATCGCTATATATACATTTAGACGAAGGGAGGAGGTACATTCATGAGCAGTTTTATAATATATACTAAGTGACATATAAATCCGAACACCCAGTTGGACATTCCGGTTTTTATACTACTTTTTTTTAATTCACTAACGCTCTAAAAATGAATATTTCAGCCGCAGTAAAGAATCAACGTTGGCGGATTTTGGTTCTTGACATCCTTTACGATGGGTTACGATGCCTAGAGTACGGAGACCTGTACGATTTCGTCAACTTAGTGAGTTTGATAGGGGCCGTATAGTGGGACTTCGGGAAGCTGGACTTTCTTTTCGGGCAATTGTAGTTAGAGTGCAAAGAAGTGTAGACACTGTGGTTAGGTGTTGTCAGGCATGGCTTCGAGAAGGCCGTACGCAAAGAGCAAGGGGCACTGGACGCCGCCGTAGAACAACAGACCGTGAAGATCGCCGCCTAAGATTATTGTCCTTAAGGGACCGTTTTTCCACTACCAGGTCCATTGCAAATGAATGGTTTGCAGAACACGGAAGACCTATTGGCATGCGAAGTGTTTACCAACGAATGAGAAGTTTTGGCTTGTTTGCATACCGGCCACACTGGGTCCTCCCTTTAACTCGAGAACACCGACGTAATCGCCTTGAGTGGTGCAGACAACGGTCACTCTGGGATCAGGAATGGAACAGTATTGTCTTTAGTGACGAGTCTCGATTTTGTTTGGGCATGCACGATGGTCGTGCCAGAATTAGAAGGCGACGTGGTGAAAGGGGGAATCCACAGTTTTTTGTTGAAAGACATGTTCATCACACTGTTGGAGTTATGGTTTGGAGTGCTATAGCTTATGGTTCCAGGTCACCTTTAATCTTCATCAGAGGTAACATGAACGCGCAGCGTTATATCCACGAAGCTCTAGAACCCCATCTTTTACCCTATCTTGACACCCTGGCAGATCCGACTTTCCAACAAGATAATGCCCGACCACATGTTGCAAGAGTCACAGTAGACTTCTATCAACATAATGATGTCACATTGTTACCATGGCCACCAAGACCTTCCGACTTATCCCCAATTAAGCACGTGTGGGATATGATGGGTAGGAGATTGCTCAATTTGCAACGTCCTCCTCAGACTCTAGGAGCACTTCGAGAGGAGTTGGTGGTTGCCTGGAATGAGATACCACAGGAGGACATTGACCACCTGATCAGAAGCATGCCTAGGCGCGTTGGAGAATGCGTAGCACATCAGGGTGCATCCACACATTATTAAAGGTCAAAGGGCTTTAAAGCAGTGCAATCATTTTGAAATTTTTATCATTTACTTATTATGCTTCATTAAGTACTTATACAAAATTTTATTAAAATAAAACCATTTAAACTGGGTGTTCGGATTTATATGTCACTTAGTATATGTACACTATAAACTGCTGTCCTTTGCATTCCGATTTTAATTATTACCAGAATTGAAATTTTAGTTGAAAAGTAATAACTCAAGGGAGACTGTGGAAACAAATTGCTCGTGAGTGAGAATTATTAAGTGGTCAAGGATCACGTTCTTTCTGGCCTGACTTCAGTTTGAATTTGGATAGAGTGTGGCCGGATTGTGAGATTATTGTAGGGAATTGCTATTTTTCTAGAACTATACAGACTGATAAATCTAGTAAGACCAGTTCAATACTATGTAGAATTACTATGTGCTAAATTTGCTTTAATAGGTTCCTTCAAGCAATTAACGCATCACCAAAGTGTAAGTGTACAATTTTTTGCAAATATAGTGGTGTCTTTCCGAGATACTTTCCAGAGAAAGATAATTGACATAAGCAGTTCGAAACCCTATAGTTTTATTTTTTCATATTTGGAACAATTTGTTTGATAACAGGTGGAAATGAAACCTCATTATAGTTTTATCATTTCTAGGACATTTTACTATTTAATCGAACCAGTGGTTATTTCCGTTATACAAGAGAAGTACAATTTTATAATCATATTAGGATTTTTTGTTCCGCGTCGTTCGCGTGATTCATTAGATTGTCTCTACGAGTTCATTTGGAGGAAAGGTGACCTTCAGTCTCTTCAATCTATTGTTAATCCTTTGATACCGTGTTAATTTTTCTAGCAGAACCCGAAGCATTATATCGCGTGTGACGTTTTTGATCTCGGGTACTTGGCTCCAAACAATAGTATGATCTAGCACATGCGTAAGCGAAAAATATCCTAACAGCATTGCCGTCTGAACATTCAGCATCACAATTTTCGTGATCAACAACAACACCACAACCTACTTATTGATAAACAACGTCGCTTGACCATTCCTAGTATAACTGGAATCAAATCTACCACCGGGCTCAATAAGTTCATCATTGAAGTAATAAGACATTTTCGGTTTCGGGTAGCCATACACGAACCAAAACAGACTGGCGTTTTGATCCTTCACACCATATTGAGTGTCATGCTCTTGTCGTAAAAACCTTGGTGCTTGAGCCATTCCGTCGTGCGGTGGTCTTTCGATATCAAAGTCTTTAGGGAAATACGGTGAAGTTTCTGGCCTGAAATCTATTTCAGGAGGAAGGTACGGCATAAATTTGGGTAAGTCTGGTTCCAATTTCTCCCTGAAAATACAGATTAACCAACACGTTATAAGACTTGGTCTTCGGATTCCGAGGCTACGCAAATTGACTGAAAGTTGTATTCTGAAGAGCAGCAGTCAGGATCAACGGTTTGAACTTTTGCGCAGACTCAGAAATCTGAAGATTATCACAAGACCTTCCACGATAACTTTGAAAATAAAGGCGTTATCGACCTTGAAAATAAATTTTACCTAAAATCATCTCATTCTTGTTACACTTAAATGATTAATAAGCCTGCCAATAGTGCATATACAGGGTAAGTTTGTAGCGTACAATTGATTGATAGCTCTGTTACCATAAAATATATCTAAAAAAGTCATTTACAGAAATAATAGCTACCGATTAGATCCTCAGAGACATGCCTTTTTTGATTGGATTACGCTATACAGGGTGTTTATTATTGCATAACTTCAAGATTCGATAGAACTTTTAAAATTAATGGATAAAGTCTATATAAACATAGGTCGAAAAATGCGTGGCTTCCGAAATACAGGGTGTTTAAATTTACTTTCTAAAATAGTTTTTTTAAATATTTCGAACAATATTTGATGTATAACAGTGAAAATTGGTATACCCCTACTAGGGTTTTTTGGTACGACAAAACGAACCATGGGCATAGTTTTACTGTAGCCGCTAGAGGGTGCTCTATACTGTATCTGTAGTATATTAAAATGACAGAAAATTTTTTCTTAGTGCAATTTTTTGCTTTTGGAATAAAAAAACTGATTCTTCGCAGTTTTCAACATAAAAAAGCTCTCTTGTGAATTTTCGTTATAGTTAGCCGTTTCTAAGATATTTCGATTTTCAAGGTTCGATGCATTTTTAATTATTTAAGGCAAAATAACGTTAAAAAGTCAGTATCTCGATAATTTTTAGAAGTAGGCTGTGCCTGCAAATATTTTTGAAATTGAAGGCAGAATAGGGTTAAACGTCAATTAGTTGACAGTTGGTTTTGTTGTTTGCTGAAACCTGAAACGTTTTTTTGCAATTGTGAATGGACGAAATTTAGTTTCTTTTGCCTGTTTTTTTTGTAAGTTTTATAAAAATGCCATTTTTATTCTCCAATCAAGAGTTAGCGGATATTCATTTTGTGTATGGCTTTGTAAATGGAAACGCAGCAGAAGCAGCCAGAGAATACGCACGAAGATTTCCAAACAGACGACATCCAACTCGCTCAGTATTTGTAAGAGTGCATCGTCAAATAATTGAACATGGTTTTGGAAATCTCCAAAGGGATCAAAACATAAATGTTCGTCAGCGCAGATTTACCCATATGACTCTGCGTGAGTCTGATAGAGATCCGACCACAAGTGTTAGGAGAGTTTCTGGTGTCTTGAGAATTTCAGCAAGCCATGTTCACCGTGTTCTTAGAAATGGCCATAGACCATTTGCAACCTGTGCAAGGACTACAGCCAGGGGACGGAGAATGAAGAATCACATTTTGTTAGTGGATTCTTGATAGAACTGATAATAATAGGGAGTTTTTAAGTAACGTTTTATGGACCGATGAGTCATGCTTCACTAAACGTGGAGTGGTAAATTTTCATAATCAACATATTTGGTCGCATGAAAATCCGCATGCAGTTCGGGAAAGAAATTTTCAGCATGAATTTAGTGTGAACGTGTGGATTGGTATCTACCGTAATCGACTATTTGGACCCTACCTTTTGCCTGCAAGGTTAAATGCTGCGTCCTTCTTGGAATTTTTAAAGGCCGAACATGCAAATATGTGGGATGATGTTATGTTAGATTTAAGAAGATTGGTCTGGTTTCAGCTTGATGGTTGTCCAGCTCATTATTCGAGAATAGTTAGAAACTGGCCGGACGAAAATTATCCAGATGGATCGGCCGTGCAGGACCAGCCGCCTGGCCTCCACGATCCATTAGATTTTTTTGTGTGGGGATTTCTAAAAGAAAAAGTCTACGAGACTCCCGTAACCACAAGAGATATGCTAATAGACAGAATCAGGAATGCATGTGATGAAATAAGGCCTTATTTGAATAATGCTATACCACGTTCGATTATTCGTAGATGTGAATTGTGTATTGAACAATTGGGTTTACATTTCGAGCAACTACTTTAGATTTTGTATGTTTGTCCTAACTATCCAATAGCATTTTAGTTGTAAATAATTAATTTAATTTGTTAAAAATAAAATTGGAAAATTAAACAAATTAATATTCTGTTTTTTGTGTTTATTTGGAGTTAGGAATTATTGCTGTGTTTAAAAACACAATTTAAACGATCATCTTAATTACTTGTAATGCCGAAATCCAAAATGTAAAAAAAATATTATTTTCCCATAAATAATTAAAAATGCATCGAACCTTAAAAATCGAAATATCTCAAAAACGGCGAACTATAACGAAAACTCACAGGAGAGCTTTTTTATGTTGAAAAATGCGAAGAATCAGTTTTTTTATTCAAAAAGCAAAATATTGCACTAAGAAAAATTTTTCTGTCATTTCAATACACTGCAGGTACAGTAGATAGCGCCCTCTAACGGCTACAGTAAAACTATGCCCATGGTTCGTTTTGTCGTACCAAGAAACCCTTGTATACCAATTTTCACTGTTAAACATCAAATATTGTTCAAAATATTTAAAAAAAACTTTTTAGAAAGTAAATTTAAGCTGAAAATGCTTGTGATTTAATTCGCGGAGACTAGGATTTTATTTTCGAAGCGTGTAAAGAGTCGTGGATTTGTCTAGCAGGAATTTGCATCAATCGAACAAATGGGGACAATTTTGTAAAAATGGTATCCGTTTAACTTGATAATGATTTCTTTCAAATAATTTTGAATAATGTAATCTAACTGTCTTTTTATGCAACTTTTATGTAGGTGATTTTTGGTATAAATCAACTTTTTTTTGACGAGTTATAGAAGCTGTTAAAATTACTCAACTTTGAAAACACCCTATACATTTTTACTGTTTCGGGTTATGCTTTCTATACGTAAAAAAAATAATAAGTTTTTGAGTTATTTGCAGTTTCCCATAGACTGATCTGTCACAAATTTTTTTATTTCGTTTAGTTATTAATCACTTTTATCTGGATCTTTGTGGTAATTTTTTGTTTGAATAAATTATAAGGCAAAACTGTACAAAACAGAACCACTTGAGTAACAATTATTACAAACTTTGTGATTATACTCGTTACTCCTTGGATATTTGTGGATGAATTGTAGGTCCATCATCAAGAAATCAATTCTACATAAGATATTCATAATGCATGAGATGATCCTAGGCGAAATTGCATCATAAGTAACCAATACTATAGAAGCAAGAAAATAGACCAACCTGTGTGTAATAGCATACGGCGAAGGCTCGCTAACGCCATACTTGTTCTCCACTCTAACTCTAAATTTATAGTCTCTGAACGGTTCCAAGTTCCTTACGCCACAAGTACAGCTCCTAATGCCTGTCCTGACTGTGAACCAGTCACCGCTGGGCAGTTCGCACATTTCCAAAAGGTAAGTAACTGGTGCTCTAGGTCCCGATGGAATGGAAGGTTTCCAGGACAGGGTGCAATGTCTGTCTGTCATCTGGGATACTATTGGTGGATCGGCGAGCGGTACTGGTGCACCGCTCTTCTTATGTTTGTCGTACTCTGTGTACTGGTCGGAAATGGGTTTCTTTGGCTTAGCTTCCAAACCTGAAAATGGATAGAATCAGGATTAAAGCTTTTGATAACCATGTACATGCATATACAGACTGTCACAAAAGTTTGGAATGTATCACATATCTGACGAAGATTCGAAACCACGGCGGATCCGTTGATGATGTCCGCGATATTGCCAGATCTACAGTCTTTCAGAAACTGATAGCACCTTTCGTTTTTCTTATGGAATGCTATACATTTTATTCCAAATTTGTATTCTGCCAGAAATTCTTTTTATTAAACATACTTTGACCTCATAGTTTTTTCACCTAAGAATGACCGATGTTTTAGATCCTCCAAATCAAATGGTTTGGTTTTGCATACTGCATTGGTTAAGTGCCTTCACAAAAAATAATCGAGGGGTGTGATGTCAGGAGACCGAGGTGGCCATTCAATCGTCGTCTTCTACCTACCCATCTTCCAAAAAATGTATGATCCAAACATTTTGAGCGTAATGCGGGGGTACACCATCTTGTTGAAGCCATATTGTCACAAGGTCAGAAATGACAGGAAATTAATTTCGATACCAGTCATTGCTTAGGTGAAAAAAATACTTTTTATTGTTTAAATATTGATGTCTGACTGCGAATATTTCGAAAATTATGGGGTCTACGTCAAAGTATGCTTAATAAAAAGTATTCAGAATTTCTGGCAGAATACAATTATCGAATAAAATGTACAGCATTCCATAAGAAAAACAAAAGTTGTTGAAAAACTGTAGACTTGACATCAACGTATCCGCCTAAGCCTACCAATTAAAAAAAAAATAGGTCAGATATTCAATGTTTTGTTACAGTCTGTATGCGAGCGAGCATTTTGTTGATAGCATTTGATAGTGTTATTATTGCACCGAAATTATAAATATATCTGAATATCGTTTCTAGTTTTGTTGTATAGTATAATAATAGTACCAAGATGGAAGCGAGTAACCTAGCTTATGGTACGTCACTGCTAATGCATACGAGGTCTGTAAATTAAGTGATGGGACTGTTTTTTATATTTTTTATTCAAATCCTGGTAGCATACCGTTGTTTGAAATCGATGTAACTCACTTTTAGAACATAATAGAATAACTGTGTCGCAAAAAAAATCTGTACTGACAACCAAATAACTCGAGCGAGTTCAAACTTATACTGAAGACGGATGACATACTACCATGTCTCCCCTCCAAGCCAGGCGCCTCCATTGTTGCCATATCGAACGCTACGTTGCCAGCCTCATTATTTAATACACTGACCTCGTATGTTTTTGTATAAGTGTGCGTGAATTTCCCCATACCGAAAAGTACACTTCATCACCAGTGGCGTACAATGCGATAGGCTAGTCTTCCACTAGAATACTTGAATCCACATATTATGCCAATATGGCATGAAGGACATATGAACGTTCTGGGACATATGCTCCTTCGATAATTACTATCTTACCTTCATCAAACTTGAGAGTAGCATGACAGATATCACTTCCGTGTTCATTGCTAATTTTGCACGAATATTTTCCTAGATCATCTTCGTCAACACCAGATATAGTCAATCGCAGTAGGCCGTTGGAGTCCTTATCCATTTTAATTCGGTTTGATGGGAAGATCTTTTTGTCATTATGGAACCATTCCACTGTTGGTTCGGGTATGCCTGAAGCACAGGCTGTGAATTTGGCTGTCATTGATTTGAACAACTCGGTATCTCCAATGCGCTTCAGGAATACTGGCGGCTCGATCTTCTTGGTTGTTTTGCTGGAAAAGAACAACAAATGTTTTAGAATTAATTTTTATTGAAAATTGTATTGGTGATTTGAAAAGCACTGGATAAGGTTGTACGACAAGATTACTCTGAGTAGCTAAAGCTACAAAGTTCCCAGTCAACTATGGTGAAAAATTGTAATGTACTACAGCATAGCTGGTTGATTTTCTTAAGTCTGACCACTTTCCGCGTGGGAGGTATGTTCGTTTCTTATGTTATGAGTTATCCTTATAAGGAGTCGCCGTTTTCGCATTCTCTAAATAATGTTGGCACCATACGACACTCACATTTCTTTGACCACTTCCAGAGTGGCTGAGCATTCGTCTTTTCCTTCCTTGTTACTGGCTTTGGCCTTGTATACCCCAGCATCTTCGGGTTGACAATCAGTTACGTACAAACAACATACGTCGCCATCCCTTTTGATGTGGTACTTTTCACCTTCTGTAATCGGTTCGCCATCTTTTGTCCACGTGACCTCTGGGTAGGGAATACCACTGACTCTGCATGGGAACTTGGCGTCTCGGTTTGGAAGCTGGAATTGAACACAAAATAATTTATTGATAATAGGTCTCAGGTTTTTTATGCCGCAGTTGTTTGAATGCTCGGATTTTTCAAATGATAATGGAGGGATAAAGAATAAAATGCGCGGAGTAAAATTCCAAACCACCTGGATGCTTCACCTTCTTTAATTTAAATCTGCGATAAGAAAATATACGACAAACTGAGTGCAAAATGTATTTGTTGGTTTTCTGAATAATTAACATCAAACCTTTTGTTGCTATATTCCGTTACCATATTCATGGAGATAGAGCTATTCAGGGTATTTTAAAAGTTAAGGCTTTCTCTTATACAGCGTATAGTTCTTGTGGAAACAGGCACATTCTCCTACCAACAACACCAAAAACTTAAGATTATCAGGTGTTTCCAGCAAAGGATCAGATGAAAAATGTTACATTTATCAGAATCCAGCTCAGAAGTCGTTGCCCTATGTAGGTAAGCCAAACTGCTTGTTTATACACCTAAATCAGATTTGAAAAACTAAAAACAGCGTATTCCTGTGTTTATGGTCAGTGTCTTTAAGATGGGTGGCAGGCAGTTGGCACCCCTTTTTGCAGCACTCTTGATTATTTTCAGAGTTTTGAACTACTTTTGAATAGTTCTACAGTTCTTAGGGGGGTGCGACAATAGTTCTGCAGTTTTTTTCCGGAATTTTTAAAAAAGTTTTGGTGGTGCTAACTTCACGCCGCACCCCTTTTACGTAAAACGTGAGTTCTGAGCTACGGATTCTCAAGGTAGTGCATAGTTCTACAGTTCTCAATAGTTTTTAGCAAGAGTTCTGCAAAATTTACAAAACTAAAAAAAAAATCAGCATCAACCATCCCCGAAACAAACTAGTATGTCACGTCTATCGCCAGAAAATTTGAAAAGTACACGGTACTCCTGCACAGTAAGCGTCACACATCTATGCGTCCAATGATGTTCACTAATTTTCAAACATCGAAATCGGGGATTCTGTGAGAAATATCTACCCTTGGTAAAATTCCCACAAAAGTGTTAAATTGCAGAGCTCTAGCACATCACCCCCTTTAGATACCTCCAGCATAATACTCAATACATTTCCAAAAGCAGAATTCGGGGGCGCCATTAGAAAAAACTACCCTTGGTTGGGAAAAACGACGAGAAATACAGGGTGCTGCAGAGAGGACGGACGTTTTTGGGATGGGTAGTACTCTCCGCCTCCGTCTACGAGAGAGGTGGGGAGGGTGCCGTTTGACTCGTGAGATCCTAGCATTATTTTACCAGTTGTCGTTATGGAGCCTTGGACGGTGGAGCACCGCGTTTTCGCCTATGATTGTTTCGTCCGAAATAATGAGTCAGCCATCGTCGTACAGCGTGAGTTTCATCGTCACTTCAACAATCATCGGAATAGAGCTGTTCCCTCTCGAAACACCATCCTTCGTTGGGTTGAATCACTTCGCAGGCGTGATCAACAAGAAGACCAAGAGGAGCGCCGCGAACAGTTCGAACTCCTGAAAATGAGAACCTCATTTTGTTTATGAGTGACGAAGCCCACTTTCACCTAAACAGCATGGTTAACCAGCAGAATTGTCGTTATTGGGCTAATGAAAATCCGCAACAGTTACACGATAGACCGCTGCACAGCCCAAAAGTAACAGTTTGGTGCGCTGTATCGCAAACTTGCATCATTGGCCCTTACTTCTTCGAAGACGGTAATGGTCATGATGTTACCGTGAACTCAGAGCGCTACGTCGACATGATCACCAACTTCTTTCTCCCTGAATCACGACGGCGACGTGTTCCAATCCGACGTGTGTGGTTCCAGTAGGATGGGGCGACCGCCCACACAGCGCGAGCATCCATGGACGTTATTCGCCCTTTCTTCCCTGGTCGCCTTATTTCCAGGTTTGGCGACGTTCATTGGCCTCCTCGGTCCCCAGATTTATCCATATGCGATTTTTTCTTATGCGGACACCTCAAGGCTAGAGTATACGTGAACAAGCCCCGAACTCTGGACGAATTGAGGTTGGAGAGAGTTTACGCGAACTTCCAAGAACGCCTCCAGTACTGCATCAACGATTTCGGCCACCACATGCCTGATGTGATTTTCCACACTTGACTGTCTCAAATGCTATTTCCTTGTGAACCTGATTCCATCAATAAATTTGTTTTCGAGTAAAAATTAACTATTTTATGATTTTTTTAAAACCGTCCATCCTCTCTGCCGCACCCTGTATCTTGGAAACCTCAAAAATTCGCATAAAAGTGAACAAATGCAGCACCCCCCTTCAAATATCTTTAGCATAATATTCTGTACAACTCCAAAGGAGAACTCGGGCGTGCCATTAGAAAAAAACTACTATTGATTGGGAAAAACGACGAGAAATACCTTGGAAACTTCAGAAATTCCGCAAAAAAAAACTGCTGAACTATCCTCGTACCCCCCTGAGAACTCTAGAACTAGTCAAAAGTAGTTCAGTACCCTGAAAATAATCAAAGGTGCTGCAAAAGTGGGAGCCAACTTCCAGCGGATTTCAAGATACTGCTAATGAAGTTTGTTTCTCATTGGACTGTTTTGTACAAAGGACGAGGTGGATAAAGTAGAAAAGTTATATAGCGCCGATTGCTGTACATTGAGAAAGAGATGAACAAACATGTGTTATTAGTTCTAACGGCGATAACGTCGAACAGCATTTGCAACCTGTAACAGGGCGCTACTTGGAATCTCCTATCGAATGCTTCACCTCATTTTTTTATTTTTTTGCTGCTGTTTTGCCACACATTAGCTTTGTTGTCTCAAACGTTGTTTTTTTTGAAAAGGAATATCACACTTTCAGGAGCATCACATATATTATTACTATATGCATATTCAACATGTCCCAAACTCTAAAAGCTACTACACACAAGCCGGCGGCAATGCCGCCAGGTTTATGCCGAGCGGCTATGCCGTCGGCAATACAAGCCGCCAAGCATCATTCCGGTTGTGACAGTCACATAGAACACTAGTGAAGAGCATATTTTATGGTTGGTTGGTTAAAATGAATAAGGAAATCATCAGCACAGCCGCCGCAGTTGTAATTTTTATTTTAATAAGAAAAAAATACAAAAGGACGAGAAGGTTTTGGTTGCACCCAAGTTTACAAAATAGAAAATGGCGAAACGGTACTGCAATGATTGAAGAGTATAAAAAAGATGATGTGGGGTGTCAGCGTTTGCGCATTAGCATGTTTTTTGGGTTTCTGTACATCGTCTATGCCTGCACCAGATTTGTGCAACTGTTCGAACTTCTTTTTTTCCAGAAAATAATGAGAGGTTACCTTCTATAACTTTCTCTCTACTTCGCCTTTATCAATGTCAAATACACTTGCAATTATGTTCAATGCGTCGATTATTCCTATTCTTATAGTCTGCATTTCTGGGATTCCATAATATATCATTTTCGTGAAATTTTTCAATTAAGAGCAGCACAGCTTCGTCGTCCTAATTAAACGACATTTTAATTTGTTTAAACACACAAACCGCACAACACTACCGCTCGAATGCCAGGAACGAAGTGACGCCGGCAAGCCGCGTAACCCGCCGGCACACCCCGGCGGCAATGCCGGCGGCAATGCCGGCGGCTTTGTATGCCGCCGGGACAGTGTAGCAGCCTTAAGACGGTTCGGAAATAATATATTGGTATGGTTTATTTTTGGTACATTATCAGAGTGTTAATAGTGAAATTCCTTCGATCACACCTACCTGTTGAAGATCCGTGAATTTCTGTGTGAAGGTAGGAGGCATGAACACCTTTCTGATGCTACCCTTGCCTTCTGTGGTATCTTCACCCAACGGATTTGATATGGTTACGCTGTATATGCCCGCATCTGATGGCCTTGCGTTATCAATACGTAATCCAACCTAAAAGAGATGTGTTCATAGTATTCATGAAGAATAGTGCCTACTTATTAACATTACATATTATCATCGAGGGGCATATATGTGGAAGACTAAACAGTTTTAGCTCTTGGTTTTGGTAGTATACTGAGACTTTTCTGCCACACAGTAGGGTGTCTAGATTTATTCGTATTTTGATATTGTGAGGATAAACTGTGATGATTAGAACAAATTTCGAAAATTCACAGATGTGGACAATGATATGAACACTTGATTCTACGTTTTTACGTACCTTTCTGCCATCACATGTCATCACAATCCTATCATTCGGTACAATCTTCTCGTCATCCTTCTTCCACTCAGCACTGGGAATGGGATTTCCAGTAAAAGGTGCTTCAAGAACCAATGTTTCTCCTTCGTTGGCTACTGCATCTCTGAGAGGATGTATGAACAGCGGTTTTTCTTCGGGTTCATTGTCATTTGTAGCTGTTTTGACGGTCAATTCAGCTGACGTCTCTGTCTCACCGGCATCATTGCTAGCTACGGCCCTGTAAATCCAAGGCATTGTACACTATACTGGGATCTCAGATAAGGTTCATATCCCGTAACATGCCATGAATGTTGCCTAATGGTGAGAATATTTTGCTGATGTTTAAGTGCTGGCGTATGATGGGATCTATGGCTATTGGGGAAGGATGTAAGCTATCAGAGTATGGCACAGTCAAAGGATGCTCATGCATGTGAAACTCAAGTATTTTGAAGAGTAATGGGTGGATAAGTTATAAGGTGAACTACAACATGGCAAAATTGACGTAATTATTATACTCTTTTATAACATAAGGATAACTAAACTTAAAAGCCAAAATGGCCTGGTAAAGTTGAAGTTAATGTACAACCAAATGTTTGGAATATAATCATAGAAAATCAGACAAGTAGATAAATTATTTACAAGTTCCATAATGTTCAGAGTTCATCAGTGTGGGTTTCAGATATACAGAGCATTCCAGAAATAACACGCCATAGTGACACGGAAAGTAGATTAGCTGCAGATCAAATCAGCGTAACCTTAGTAAAAGTTTTCTACGAGTAGTTTCCGAGATATCGCCAATTTTAAGCTTTTCCAAAAAAATCCCTACTTTATGCTACTTTTTTGCCTGTTATGGCTATAAACAACTTCAAGCTTATGTTTTTCTTTCCTGGGCTACCGTTAAGAGTTGGTTGAAACCACCGAGTATTCATTTCATTGAAAACTAGCACGGTATGCTAAAAAAAGAAGGATGGTGGTTGCAGAATGAACCCCCTGAATTTTTTTTACCGGAGATCTTTAAAAGGTAAGGTCTATGGAAAACCAGATCGATCAGCCGATGAACTGCATCATGGAGTCCGTCAAACAGCACGCAAAATCTCCGATTTACGTTTGAGATGTTTAAAAGGGCAATTTTTAAGAAGATTCAGGTTGTGTATAAAAGTCACAGATATTTTGAAAACATGTTGCGAAAATAATAACAACAATGAAAATAATCACATATTTCAGGCAATATTTACATTACAAGGTATTAATTTAATTTTCATTTAGTTAATTTAAGATGTTAATAATGATTAAAAATTTTTTATTTGATTTGAATGTTGTGAAAATCAATGGAAATAAAAAAATACAACCTAATGTTCTGTACATTATTTTGATACCCACATACAACAATGAATAAAAAAGGATAATGGCAGCTACACTTACTATTTTTCATTTGCAGTATTCCGCAAGTATTACGACTTCAATGACAAAAGTTGGAATTATTCAGTTTTTATTAAAAAGAACCTAAACATGTTATACTAATTTTGAAAGAGTATTAAATAGCTAGCTTTCAATTCACTTGCTGATTCAGTCTGGTACATTTTTTTCACAGTAACTAGTCAAACTTTAGTAAAGGTTTTCGCATTGAAATCAAATGTAAATTAACATTTAATTTTTTAGCGTTATGTGCTTGCCCAAAATGAAATGAATAATCGGTTGTCTTAACCAAGCCCAGGAAAAGTAGGAATTTTTGTAAAAAACTTAAAAGTGGCAATATCTCGAAAACTAGAAAAATTTTACTGAGCTGTATATTCTGATTGTGCTATAACGATACCGACTCACTGGTATGACTGTGGAGATTTCCCAAATAGTGAAACAGTCAAGCATTGTTTCTATTTAAAGCTGTTCAGTCGTCTGTGACTTGATATACTTGTAAGTTGATAGCAAATTGAAAGTTCTGTGATGGTAGAATATTTTGAAAGATTCTTAATTAGAATCATTTTTACTGGGGCAAGACACTATTAATCTCTAAGGGTGTTTCGTGAAGTGCTGAAGACAAGTACACAAAACCATTTTTTCAATATCCAATAACCAGCGTAGCACAAAAACGCATATTTCGCGACGGTAGAATAGTTTCTCGGATTCTGATTAAAAGATAATTAGACTTGAACGCTATTAATCTTTATGGGTCATTCATGGAGTGTAGGTCTTTTCACGGCTTTTGGGGGATCACAGTAAAACTGTCGCAATTACTTGATGGGCAATACGCTATCTGTTTTTGTCTCACTGTTTTTAAAGTTTGATCGTTAACGTCTTCTACACTTATGTTTGTTATTGTCATTATTACAACTTGCTTGTCATGGGAGTGCGATTTGAGTTTATATTTGTTGATCTGCGATATAAAGCATAGCTTATGTTTGAAGATATATGTACAATACTGACAGTCTAAATTAAATGCATATAAGTATTTTTAGAAAGAGAATGAAAACAAAGGAACGCTGTCAGCCAATTCATGTCGGTTGGTAAGAGCGAGTTGCTGCGTTGAGGATCGGCTTACGCAGTGTGTAATTTCTTTTAATCATGGTCCATATATGGGACTGTTAGTCAATCTATTTACTTATTTCGTATGACATTGTGACGTAACCGCCAATAACCATGAGAAGAAGTATAGATATTGTGAGAGATGCATACACATAACATGATTTTTTTTATTTTCCAGTGAACAATTTGTTGGTTACAGCAAAAAATTTCAAAAACTATGTGGTACGATTTCAACACTTTTACAGATGTATAGATGCAGATTTTCGGTGTTGCAGCAAAATATATGATGTTATTGAACAAATCAACTTTGCCATTGTAGCAATAGAATCTGTAACGGAAGAAGAATCGGTGGGTTTGGACCGTTGATTCCTTGCTAGCTACTTGTCACCTTCATCTCCTAATTTATAACTGTCCAATTATGGGTACTTATAACCAGACTGGAACTTAGCGACCTTAATATGCATGCTCACCTGTATGTCAAAGCATCGCGGAGGACATCAGCAGAGTCTATCAGCAGACAGCTAGTACCTTCTTCTGGATTGTGAATGATCTTCACATGTTTATTGTCTGAGATAATTTCGGCGCCATTTCTCTGCCATATGATGGTTGGCTTAGGGAAGCCTTCTGCTTTCACTTCAAATTTGACAGGGAATCCTTCTACAACTGTCTGGGGTTGTAACCTTTTTATGAACTCTGGTTTTGTAGGCCTCTTGTCAACACCTACCTATAGTAAAGTACAACCATATTGTTCAAATGCAGTTTTTTCAGACTTAGACTTTTAGATGCAGGAGGTGTCTGACGTTAAGATAATTTAGAACATTAACATACCTTGGCTTCGCCCATAGCTTCTCCTAATTTATTCGAAACAACTATTTGGTAATTTCCGGCATTTTCTGGTCTCATGCTGTCTACGACTAGAGCCACCCTTCCATCAGGATGATGCTCAAAGTGAAAATTGGATGATTGACGGATTGGAACTCCATCCTTCAGCCATTTCACTTCAGGTACTGGGAAGCCTTCAACTTGAGCCTCAAGTCGCAACGTTTCTCCAACGGGTACTTTGCAGTCTTTGAAACACTTCAGGAACTTGGGTCTAGAGGGCTTTGCTAGAATATGAATAAACTTGTAGTACTATCACTCGCATTGGTCCAAAATAAAGGTTTATTATGTGTTCAATGTAAAAAAAGTTTCGGAAACCCAAGCCGGCTGATTTCACGCAGAATTTCTATGCAAGTGCATCGAGCGATTCAACACCCAATTCTCAGCTAATAAATTCCGAGAATTTCAAAATAACTGAGTTTTTGTATAATTTCTTTGCAAGTGCTTCAGCCGTTATGTAAACCCTGCTTATGCGGCCAACTGTGAAATGGAAGGAAATCGCGAACATCACTATTACTTACGATTAACGGCAACAGCACATAGGCATGCTGTCTCCCCATTAGCATTCTTGACTACCAGTTTGTAAGCACCGCTGTCAGATGGCTTGCATTTATCAATATTCAATTTTACTGTTCCATCAGGCAACAGAGTGGTCTTGACGCGATCATCGTCTGGCAATATTGGTTCTCCATCCTTGAACCAGGCCACTTTTGGTTTGGGACTACCATGGATCTTTGCCTTCAATTCCATTTTTTCTCCCTCGTTGAAGTCTTCGTTTCTCTCTAACTTCTTGCCGAATGATGGTGGGGTTTGTAGCATGCATGCCTCACAAGTGGTTTCCGCCTCTCCTACTACATTTATGGCAACAGCTTTGTACTAGAAAAGAATTTCAGATGATACAGAAATGTACACAAAATGCGATTGATAAGATTTAGGATAGTCTCACAATTAGGTTATACATTTTTAGATTCTAGATAAAAGACGAGCCTTTCATGAAGTGTCGCATTAGGATCTATACTCAAAACGTCAAATATTGAAGACACAAAGCAATTAGGGTATGTCGGAAAGCAGTTGAGTACAGAACTACGTAGAAGAATTTCCGACATATACGTTACATTTTTGTCTACAAATATTGGAAGTACGTAGGTTTAGGATTGGTCCGGTAAGAGTAATATTGAACTCATCCAAAGAATTTGAAGCTAAGTATTCAATGAATGCTCCATGTGAATTATACAGCAAAAATTATGGGTTTTTAGGAAAATTGGAAACGGAACTATATTTTTGCAGGAAATTAGAATATCAGAGCTCTGCTTCAAGACCATTTCTTCTAGTTGTTAATAATTATTTCTGATATTATGCTTTACTTACAGCTCCAGAGTTCGCCAAATCGAAGTTCTTGATGGTCAATTCGCTAGTAACTTGAGCCTCACCAGCAGTTTTTATTGTGCACTGATCATTTTCTTCAACAGGCTTGTCATTACAATACCAACGAATTTCTGGCTTGGGAAGACCGTCTGCTCTAACCTTCAGAGATACTTCACCATATTGTTCAACTTGTTCATCGTTAAGTCCAGTGATAAACCTTGGCCGTTCAGCTAAAAGCAGTGCATTTAACAAGTTTAGTTTCGCTTCGTATAGCCACCGATTTACATACATGGATCAGTAAGCCTTGGTTATTGTCAGTGGACTGAGCGTTAGTGTTACTGATATCTACTAAAGTGCCTCTACTCTATAGCAACTGGTATGATAAACACGCTGCGTGTATGTGCAACAAAGTGTTTATATCCAAGCATGAATCGCTAGATGACATTAGTTCATCCTAAGAGGATTTGTCGATACGATGCAAGTTTTGATGAAGCAAACAAAAACAACTATTTTGGTTGAACGACACAGTCCGAATATCGGGTAAAGTGTATTTTGCGTTTATATTAAGTTTTATGGTAACCAAGTGATTGCGTTTTCAAAAGCTCATAATATTTTGCAAAACTGATATGAAGCCATATTTGCGCGCGTAAAGCGTTTTTTTGACTTACAAGTAGGTTCTGCTTCCTCTGTAAAAATAAAGTTTTGTGTGAAGAAGTGTTTTCTGTTATCTATCTTACTGTGCTTTGGGCTGCTACACTTCTGCCTTGTCATTTACCTCTGTTTTACATATGCTTTCTCTTTGCATGTTACGAAGTAATAACAAATGTAAATTGAAGCTCAAAACACATTAAGAAAACTGTTAGAAGTCAGAAATTTTGTGAATATACTAGAAGAATATTAGGATTAATATAGTATTAATATTTCATAGAAGTACTACTTCACTATATACCGAAAGTTCAACTGGTAAAATATGTTGTAAGATTACACGTCAACTTCAATTATGAAGTTCAGTAAACAAGAAAGAATATCATCTACACAGTTAAACTACTTAGATAGAAATTAACTACCGCACAAACTAAAAACAACTGAGCATGGCAGAGAAATATGTCCAAGCTGAATAGATTTTTATCACGTGTTTACTATAACAAATTGTCTACTTTGCAGACTGAGAGAGTTTTCACAAATTAATTATCCTAATCAAAAGTCATATCTTTTTGCGTCAACATTTTTGGACATTTTCTTATAGTTTTCTACAATACTCACTTATTGTTCTCAACTTAGCTTCCGCAGTTGCTTCACCCAGGTCGTTCTTAACAACAACTTTGTAGTATCCCTCATCTGCTAACTTGACATCATGAAACACCAGCTTGTAAGCCTTGTTAGCTTTGTCTTCAACGAGTTTGATGCAATCGGAGGCTTGAACAACTTGGTCATCTTTATACCACAAAACTTGTGCTTCTGGATTTGCTTGAACAACTACTGTGAGTTCTGCCACTTCTCCTGGCATGGCCTGAAAGAAAAGTTGCAAATGCAAACGCTCTATTGGGGAACTAATGGAGAAAGGCTCTACGGATGAACCACATATTAAATAAAAACCAAGACATAATGGTATGATCATTGAGCGCACTTTTGAAATCGATGATCAAAACTCGTATACAAGAAGTAACACCATGTTTGGAATATGAGTGGCCAATATATAACTGACTGATTTAAATTGCGCGCCAATTTTGATACACGCATTTCAGTAGGTGGCGCCGTAGTAGTTGTTTAAAGCACTTGTGCCCAATTCATCATGGAGCTCTACACGATCCCACAACGCGTCCGTATTGTTAAAACGTTTTACTTAAATAATGAGTCGATTGTTGCAATGATTCGGAAGCTACGACAAGATTTTGGTCGAAATAATGTGTCCAGTGGAAACACCATTCGACAGTTGGTGCGGAAAGGTGAAGCTAAAGACTTGCCAAGGTCAGGCCGTGTTCGAACTGTTCGTATCAAGAGAGTTCGTTCTGAAGTACTGGGTATTCGTCGTACATCATTATGTACTATTTTGAATAAAAAACCTGCATTTGCGGCCATATATAATTCACTTAACCCAAGAACTACAGCCTAGTGACCGTGAAAGTCGCCGACAATACAGTCATGCAATAGTGCAGCTTAATACCCAAAATAATGATTTTTGCTGACAACTGATAACGAGCGATGAAACCCACTTCGACATGAACCGATTTGTTAATAAGCAAAATTGTCGTATCTGGACATTAGAGAACCCTCGTGTCATCCATCAGTGACCACTACATCCTCGTCGGTTCACAGTTTGTTGCGGTATGGAGGTGTCATTGGACCTTACTTCTTTGAAGACTGTTACTGGCGAGCGCTACCGTGCTATGGTGCAAAACTTTCTGTCTCTTCAAATCCACCAATTTAACCTGCAAAACACGTGGTTCCAGCAGGGCGGAATAACTTGTCACACAGCTAGGGAACGTTTAATTTCTCGATTAGGTGATGTCAACTGGCCACCAACGTCACTGGATTTAATGGCTCCTGACTTTTTTATGGGAATTTTTGAAAAATAGCAAACCAAATACTACACAGCAGTTGCAGAAACCTACCTAAAAGTGATGGAAAATGTAATCAAGAGGGCTCAGGCTTGCGTGGCTTCTAGAGGCGGACATTTGTCCGATATCATTTTTCATACATAATTTCAGTTTCAATAAAAGAATAAGATGAAAAAATGGACGTATTTTTATATCATTTCACATATATTCAAGGTACAAACTAGTCAGTTACATATCGGCCACCCTGTACATGTAGGGTTTTTACTAAATATGGAGCAAAACTTGGAGGGGTTGATACGTACAGCATTTTAAGAGTATTTCGATTTCTTGAAAGTAATTTTGTCATTTATTGCTACTGCCGCTACTTAAATCGCCTTAAAACATACCTTTGCATCACGCGGTCCTTCTATTTCTGGTTTCATTACAATAGTAAGGACAGCACTGCTTTCTGCTTCACCCCACTTGTTCTTAGCTTTCAAAGTATATTTGCCCCCTGTAGCAACATCGCCTGAAAATAATAAATTTATAAAAAACTTTGAAAACTTTGAAAGCAGAACAGTTTGTAGCCTACTTACACCTTGGAATGGTGATCTTATATGTACATTCATTCAATCCATCTTCGATCTCATGATCCTCTGAGTCTAGGACCATTTTATTCTTTTCCAACTCGGCGTCAGTGAATTCTTTGCCATCTTTACACCTAGAAAGTAGCACGTTCACATTTTGTTTTCACTTATTATTATACGACAAGAGGGTAAATGTGAATGTACTTTACCATGCAACTTCTGGTACAGGGTCCCCAGTGACAACAGCCTTAAAGACAACAGTATTTCTTTTAATGATTGACTGATCCTGTAAACCTTCTTTGAACCTTGGTTTTCTCAAATCTTTTTCAGCTGTAAGTGAAAATAACATTGATCATACATTATGAACAGCAACTGAGATAACCTTATTCATTTGGCCAATGGCACTGGTAAATTGACAATATCTTTCAAACGACTTATCACAACTCTGTATTTCGTATATGAGAATTTTAGTGCTGCTGGACTCACCTAAGGGCATAAAATATTTTTAATCGATGTACTATTATTTTCGAATCTAAAATTGATATACTTCGAGACTCTTCATAGATATGGCAATGAAAATTTATTCTTCAACTGTTCCACACTGTCAATAAATTGATTTGGGAATTTTTTTTAGACAGTCTTTGATTGTTTGTATCTTGAAGAATGGGAAGTATAACGTTTAAGTAAATAGTTTAAAGACTTAGTTCGATTCAATATACCCTTGGTTAACAGTAGTCGATGAAGCTTTAACTACTTTGACGGCAAATCAGGTGTAGCAATAACGAGTTTCACATTTTTTCACTTATGAGGAACTTTTGAAATCAAATATTTTACTGCAAGAACAAAGGGTACTCACGGGTAACGTGCAGAACAGCTTGCAATTTAGTCTCGCCTGCAGGGTTAGTCAGAACACATTCATATGTTCCAGCATCCTCCATCTTTAGTTTCTTAATCTCTAGCTGAAACTCTTCGCCATTCTGACTAGCTATCATCCTCAGATGTCCATCAGGTTTGATCTCTTTGCCGTTCAAAGTCCATGTGGCTGTAGGAGGAGGATTGGCGAATCCTCTTACTATGTAAGTGATGTCCAAGGACTCAGGTCGAGATCCGTCCTTCATGTTTGTGTCCATGATCATGGGTTTAGCTAAGTAAATTTGTGACAGGTCAAGATATCGTATTTCAACACGGTGGTGCTTGGACAATGTATTTACAAGAGGCTAAACGTGGTTGTCCAGAATATCTGTCAGTGAAAATTCTTAAAAAGGTGCAGGAGCTTTTTCAAGAACTTGGGAAATTAACAGCTAGCCGAAAAAACGGTAGAGTGCGTTAGAGAATACAGGTATGTCAATGCAAAATTTTACAGTAGCCTTTCTATAAGCTAAATGCTATTGGACCCAAAAGATCTTTAAAGAAAGCATTTTTAAAATTAGCCCAAGTCGTCGAAGTTTCTAAATTTTTCGAGGATTGGAACGAGGGATACTATCGAACTTTTTGAAAGTCGATGTTTCAGTTCAATCTGATTAAAGAAAAGATACATCTGTATCACTTTTTAAAAACCTACTCATGTACAGATGAGAAGAGCCTTCAAACACAAACTATTTGATGATTTACTTCTGTATGACTTGAAGAAAGTATCTTTCTATGAGTAGCAATAGTAAGACAAGTTTCACTAGATATATTGGACAGTTACTTGAGCATTAAGTATAAAAATATGTACAATATATTTATAATCAATTGTAGCAAGTTATCTGCTTCCGTTATGCATATACCTACCGTGTTTCTTGCTGATTTAGTGCTTAGCAGCCGTTTGTTTATAGAGTGATTCATAGGGCAAAAACATGTTCTAGATGTTATTGGCGAAGAAGGTTAAACACTTAAAAGAGTGTAAGCTCATTCGTGCAAATATGTGGTGTGGCATGCTAATGCATTTGAGTCAACGAGATTTTTCATCCAACTTAAAGTAGGTAGTGCTCATTACTTTAGATTCCGTATTATAACTAAATTTGTACTGAATAAGTAATTGGAAATTCAAACGTAGAAAGACAAAACGTTAAAATTTTCTCAGAAATATTGTGAATGTATATGTAAATATCATTTGAGACTGAAGAGTGGGTTCTTTTAGACCTTGACTATAACTGCTTGGGAAATACTCCATGTAGTTATAATTTGACCAATAGGATTCGACTTCCTTCCACATTTTGTCTCTGTTTACACGAATCTGTTTGCTACATGTGTGGAGTTAACACACTCGTTATGTACAATTGAATTCAAGGTCAATTCTGGTGTCATCTTAGACTGTTTCATATCTATCCTAAATCCTATATTAACTCAGAAGTATTTCTGGTCGATCGACTGATCAAGCAATACTTTGTGAAGTTTAGTATGTCCTATAACTTTTTCTACATCCATCTTTATTTATATTACCCATTTTAACCTCAAAAATAATCTTCTTGTTGGATCACCTGCTTCCTAAGACTAACCAGAATTCTCCTTAAGTTCGAGAGTGTGCCAAATTCACCCATGTGCTCTTAGTCAATAATAATTTGCGTCTACCTTCTGGACCTTTAGGTTTCGGAATTTCATCTTCGTTAAATGCAGAACCTTTACTGCTCAAATCTTCAAACAAACTTCTTTGCTTCTGAGCTCTTTTCAGTAGTGCCTCTGTTTCTTCGTCTAGCTCTTCATCGTACTCTTTCTTCGCTTTTTGGCTCTTTCTATCAATTTCTTTTTGTTTTGCTTCTTTGCTACTTCTTGTATCTTTGTCTGGCTCTACGTAATCGGCGTCTTCTATGGTAGCCTTTTTACCTTTCTTTTGTGTAGGTTTATCGCTATCATCTCGATTATTTCCTACAGGCTTCTCACCCTTTTGGGTAGCTTCATCTTGTTCTATCAGATCAGCTTCTTCAATGGTAGCCTCTTTACCTCTTTTCGGGACAGCTTCGTCACTATCAACATCTTTTTCTTGAGGCTTCTTGCCCTTCGTCTTACCTTCATCAAGTTCAACATGATCGGCTTCTTCTATAGTAGCTCTTCTACCTTTTCTCGGCGAAGCTTTTTCGTTATCACCAGGTTCGTCATAAACAGGTTTCTTTGATTCACTTTCCTGTTCAACTTCTTCGATTTCTTCGATATGTACACTCTTACCGCGTTTCGATTTTCTTCGTTCCAAGATCGTTTCTTCGATTTTCTTTTCGGATTGTAGTTCCTCTCCAGCTTCAACAAATTCAGCTTCTTCAATAATAGCTGAGCTTGCTTTCCTGAACACTTGAGGTGAATCTGGCTCCTCAACTATGGGCTCGGGTGTTTCTTGGTTCACCTGGATGACCTTCACATCTTCTTTTTTGTATAGGGAACCTATTTGTGTGAATGTTCGACATGTGAGTGTAGGGGAAGGCTATACTACTTCTTTGAACAAGAAGTGCGATACAAATTGTGTTAGAAAATGGGAACAAATCGTTTTTGTAAGCCTTGGAACCATATAAGGATACGAAAAAGTGATCAGTCTGAAAATTTATTATATTAATAAAAATACAACTATCATTGCTGCACCTTAGACCCAGAAATATGCAATAAAGCAATTTATAAACAGGTATAGGTGATGCAGCTTCTATAAATTGTGTAATTGGCTAACGTTAGAACAAACCTTTGCTGTCCGTATGACATGTCACTTATGTAGATTAGCAATGACTTATGAATTTTGCCTCAAAGTTCTAGAATGACAAAGGCACAACCAGTTCAGGATCGCTTTACGGAAGAACAAAACATTAACCATTGTGATCCAAATTAATAAAATAAATGTTGATTATCATATCGATGGCTTTTAATAAAGTTAAGCATAATTCGTTGTGTAGATGAAAGCAGGCAACCCATTATTCACAATTTGTTACCACTTTCTAAGCATTTCATTGACTAGGTGAAATTGATCTTTCACATGAAAAATGTGGTGGCTGTATGAAATACCTTTCTCTGCTTTCTTTTCATCAACCAATGCCCCTTCCTCAACTTTTTGTGGTTTCTCTGACTCTTCTTCTACTTTTTCTACCTTCTTAATTTCCTCGACCGTTTCTAATTTAGGAGCTTTCTCAGCAGTTATTGGTTCGTCTTCGATCACTTCGACTTTCAGTTTTTTTGGTGGTTCTCCTGTTTCTTCGATGGCGTCTGTATGTGTCACTTCTGTAATGTGTTTGGGGTTGAAGGGAAAGACGAACACAAAATACAGTACAATGACATGATCTGAGTATGACGGACTGTATTGTAAAAATAGTCCATTCAATCTAACTATTGGACAGTGGCTTCATGCTAGGTTTGAGAACTGTTCTGTGGTTCTTTAGAGTGTGAGATAGTTATGTGAGTCGGATAGATAAGGTATGTATATTTTATGACAAATAAGAACAAACGACAGGCACAGTAAACCAGAAAAATGACAACCTTCACAAATCTGATAAGTCAACTTACCACTTTGGCAAATTCGCGACCGGCAGATTAAAAATAGAAAGTCATATGATATTAAATAATATTAGAATATTTAAATTATAGGATGTATTAGTGGACAATATCTAAGGATCACAGAGGACATGTAATAAAGAATCTGACAAGTATGTATAAATAAGTAAAAGCTTTCAATGTAGATACACGCATCAGGGGACTGCAAAAGTTGATTGATTCCAAATTTTGAACCACGCTACGAAACATTTTTCAGTGCAATATATACTAATAACGCTAATAATATGAAGTTGTAGAATATTCTGAACGCTTTTCTTTGGTTTTATAGGCTCCTAAATATCGAAACTAGAAATATCATTTTTTTGTAAATGACACTGAAAAGAACCTGTAAGCTCGATGACGACAAACACAACAACTTGCATGACACTTACTTGCACGCAAGACGTACAATTGGCATGGGTATCTATGCTAGCCTTTAACTAGAAAACCAATCGTTAAAATTCACGATTTATCCCGATTATGTTTCTTAAGATGAAATTTGCACAATGTTGGCAGAAGAAATTTTTCTCAGTAGGGACGAAATAACAGCGAACTACTAGACTCTTCTGAGGAAATATTTAGTTTTCATTATGTTGAAGAATTAACAAATTCCACTATCTACTCCGTGCCTTATAAATTGGTTTTAAACTCTTGTCTTGTGTCCCTAATTGCTTTTTCATCAACTTCGAACATTTTCAGGACATGGTACCAATGTCGTAACTTCTTATTATACAGCGTGTTTCTTAATCATAGGCTGTAGTTACAAGGACGCACTAGCGAACTAATTTAAGTAGAAAAGTTCATATAAACAGGTGGCAGCTAATTTTTTTTCAGTAATGCTCCCTAGTTATGAACTGTTAAGTAACACCATATATGCACCGTTATTATTGAACTTCTTCATTTTCATGAATCTGAGATATCATCCACCCTAAATGAAATCTTAACTGGTTTTCGATTCCCATCAAAACTTACTGTGAACGGTGACAAAACTCTTGCTGCTGACCGTGCCAAGGGAATTCGTCACCACGACCTCGTACTCTCCCTGTTCTTCGTACTTGATCAAATTTACCGCCAAATTGAAAGTCTCGTGCCTCTTGGTATCTCTGCTTATCTTGATCCTTGCGTCCGCCGATACTTCCCTGCCATTTCGTAACCATTTTACTGTTGGTGCAGGGCAAGCTTCCACTTCTACTTCTAAGTGGAGAGTAGCGCCCTCTTCTACTGTCGTGTCTTTGAGTTGCTTCAGAATGCGAGGCGCACCTGGAATGAAAAAAATGCGTTTGAATGGGGTTAAGCCGAGTAGCCTGCGGCTAGACTTCGCCACCAGTCTACTTGATTTTCTATTTGTTTGTTATTTTACTGAAATAAAACTTTTCTCCATACACAAATGCTGTATGAGTATCATATTGTAGATGCACAATCAAAACGGTTTTTCAAGTTTTGGAGCCTGCTAGGAATTCTGTTGACTACTCCTCAGAGTGATTAGGAAGTTGAAAAATGACGGAGAAAATATAGGATAGGTATATTTCAAAATTTTGTGTCATTCAGATTTTTTTTGAGTACACCCACAAATCATCAAAAAGGTGTCTATTAAATGCCCGAACACCCCAAATATTCGACAACCACGCTTTTTTCGACACAAGATGTTTCAGAACATCAAGAAAGCAATTTATCGAAGAATTCAGATATAATCTAAATAATGATCGTAGGAGTAATTTGGAAGTTAGAATTCAAACAGAAACCACAATTTTTGATAGTAGATTCGTGTAAAGCTTGAAATTCTACATCCGATTACATTTTCATATACGAAATCAAGTAGTTGTGGTTCGATGTGTATGACCGATAGTGGCAATTTTTTTGTGTTCGTGTTAATGTAATATTGTAGCTTAGAAATAAATGAACGCCTAAACAACTGAAAACTGCAACATGAATACACCGAAAATCTGGCAACCACGCAATTTTATGAAAAAAGATCTTGAGATGTTCCATATGAAAGAAGCAATTTATCTTTTTCGTCAAATATGACCTATGAAGTATCTCAGCGGGGTTAAATCTGCAAGCCCAAATGGCACTCCTGAGGCCATTATGTAGGTCAGATTTGATGTCCAGAAATTGCACCTTTGATAACCTGAAACGTTTGTGAGGACCATTTTTCAGAAAAATGCATAGTTGCCAAGTTTTGGTGAGTGTTCTAATACTTTTCAGACGTTACAGTAGCCTATTCCGATAGATAATTGTACTGTAAATCTTAGGTTATACATAGTTCTACTACCAAGAAAGGCGGTTTTATTTAAATTAACAAGATTGACTCCCAAATGATCTCCGAAGACACTATCTAGATTATATTTGTAGTAATCGATAAATTGCTCTTTTGACACCTTGAAACTTTTATCAAAACTGTTTTTCAAACATAATAGTAGTTGCCGAGTATTCGGGAGTTCAGGTATGTATATGAGAGACTTGCAGTATATGTCATTTACACATATACATATGTGTATGCATAGTGTATGAATTTTATCTGTTTTTGTAATTGATTTTTTTTTGATTGTCTCAAATCCTCAACAAAAATGCCATGTTCTGTAGTATGCTAACGATTTGTCCGACTTTATATCTGAAGGTGGTCCAGAATATAAGGTTGTGGCATATGCAGATGACACCAATATCTTGGTTACCAGTCCAAACATCACCGAGCTGCTGGAAACGACTGAGAGAGCATACAACAGAATCATTAAATGGTCTGAAAAAAACTTCCTCCGAGTAAACACAGAGAAGACCAGCATTGTGAAATTCGCATTAAAAGATGAACAAGATTTCAACATTTTTGATCATACTAATAAAGCTATTCCATCATCTAATTCAGTTAACATGCTGAGGATGATACTTGATTATCGAATGTCGTGGGGGTTCTACGTTGAGTATTTGTGCAATAGATTGCGAAGGAGTTATTATGGCTTGAAATTCTTAGCAAAGCAGTGCAGTAAACGAATTTTAAAAACTTTATACTATGCCACTGCCAACTACCGTATCCGTTATGGTATTCTCAATTGGGGAAGTAGTTCACTAACTGTAGTTCTCCTGCTGCAAAAATATGCCATTAGAATTATTGATAACCTTGGTTGGCGCCAATCCTGTAGCTGTAGAGAATCCTTTAGAACACTAAAGATGTTGACTGTTTTAGGTATTTACATTTATGAGTTGGCTTTGTTTGTTTTCAAAAATAAGCGCGAATATTTGAAGTCATCAAACACCAGCAAGAATATCCAACTATGTCTAAGATGTGTTTAACCCCGCCGAGACATCGAACTAGGGCATACCAAAAAACATGCAGGTATATGGGATGTAAGATTTTTAATAAGCTCAATGATGATATTAGGAATGAATCAAATATAGCTGTTTTCAAAAGAAAACTAAAACTTTTTTTGATAGACAAATGTTTCTACACCTTGGAGGAGTTTTTTGTTTAGATATATGTTTTTATACTTTTTCAACTCGTCACCACTATTTTTATGACCTTGTCATTTGTTATAGAATTTTTTGTTCTATTCAACAATGAAATACATTATTATTATTATGTACATTCTCTGGCTCAATAAATATCTAACTATACTAAGTGACATATAAATCCGAACACCCAGTTTAAATGGTTTTATTTTAATAAAAGTTGGTGAATGTATTTATCTTACTGTAAATAACAAGTGAAAAAATTTTCAGCCTTATCAGTTGGACATTCCGGTTTTTATACTGCTTTTTTTTAATTCACTAACGCTCTAAAAATGAATATTTCAGCCGCAGTAAAGAATCAACGTTGGCGGATTTTGGTTCTTGACATCCTTTACGATCGGTTACGATGCCTAGAGTACGGAGACCTGTACGATTTCGTCAACTTAGTGAGTTTGATAGGGGCCGTATAGTGGGACTTCGGGAAGCTGGACTTTCTTTTCAGGCAATTGCAGTTAGAGTGCAAAGAAGTGTAGACACTGTGGTTAGGTGTTGTCAGGCATGGCTTCGAGAAGGCCGTACGCAAAGAGCAAGGGGCACTGGACGCCGCCGTAGAACAACAGACCGTGAAGATCGCCGCCTAAGATTATTGGCCTTAAGGGACCGTTTCTCCACTACCAGGTCCATTGCAAATGAATGGTTTGCAGAACACGGAAGACCTATTGGCATGCGAAGTGTTTACCGACGAATGAGAAGTTTTGGCTTGTTTTCATACCGGCCACACTGGGTCCTCCCTTTAACTCGAGAACACCGACGTAATCGCCTTGAGTGGTGCAGACAACGGTCACTCTGGGATCAGGAATAGAACAGCATTGTGTTTAGTGACGAGTCTCGATTTTGTTTAGGCATGCACGATGGTCGTGCCAGGGTTAGAAGGCGACGTGGTGAAAGGAGGAATCCACAGTTTTTTGTTGAAAGACATGTTCATCACACTGTTGGAGTTATGGTTTGGGGTGCTATAGCTTATGGTTCCAGGTTACCTTTAATCTTCATCAGAGGTAACATGAACGCGCAGCGTTATATCCACGAAGTTCTAGAACCCCATCTTTTACCCTATCTTGACACCCTGGCAGATCCAACTTTCCAACAAGATAATGCCCGACCACATGTTGCAAGAGTCACAATAGACTTCTTTCAACATAATGAGGTCACATTGTTACCATGGCCACCAAGATCTCCCGACTTATCCCCACTTGAGCACGTGTGGGATATGATGGGTAGGAGATTGCTCAATTTACAACGTACGTCCTCCTCAGACTCTAGAAGCACTTCGAGAGGAGTTGGTGGTTGCCTGGAATGAGATACCACAGGAGGACATTGACCACCTGATCAGAAGCATGCCTAGGCGCGTTGGAGAATGCGTAGCACATCAGGGTGCATCCACACATTATTAAAGGTCAAAGGGCTTTAAAACAGTGCAATCATTTTGAAATTTTTATCATTTACTTATTATGCTTCATTAAGTAGATACTTATACAAAATTTTATTAAAATAAAACCATTTAAACTGGGTGTTCGGATTTATATGTCACTTAGTATATATATACGAAAATAAAGTTTAAGGCCGATCCGAAACCCACTTTGTTAACTCTGTCATCAAATAACCCATTCTCAAAAATGAACTACCGTTACCTTCACATACCCTTCCCCTCATCAAAACTGGTGGAGCTGTTTCTAAAAGCTTCTACACACTAACGCGAGACATGTGAATGTGGAACTGATTTTCATAATCTTCGTAGGTTCTCGGCTTGTTCTCCGATTTTTGTCAGTTTTTTTGCGCGAGGCAAAAGAGCTGACTACGCGAGAACAGGCGAGAACTTCTATAGACTCCACACTCGCATTTTTCTCAGTGGCAGGTGTATCGCCCATTAGAACAGTTGTGCGTAGGATTTACTAGTGAGCATCAATATGAGCCGGATTTGGACGAACGAACTAGAATTGGCATTCCTGGAATATTTTCAAGCAGAACCGATTTTGTGAAATACAAATTTAAAAGAATATAAAAATAAACTAATAGCCCACGATGCTTGGAATCGTATTAGTACCTTGATGAAATTACCCAGGGAAGAATTAAAAAGCAACAAAAAAAATCGTTATTAGCCAGCTACAGAGGGTATAAAAATAAAGTCAAGAAATCGGAAAAATTTGGTGATGGTATCCACGACATTTATCAGCCAATATGGTTCGCATTTAATATAGGCGTAAGTAATGGGTGATTTTTTTGCTAGTATCTTTTTGGTAACACTGTTTTTGACAGATGACGCGTGAATCGTGTCTTGTGTCATTGTCAAACTTGTTCAGTTTGGTCTATAATTTAACCATGAATCGACTTACGAACGAACAACGCTTGCAAATTATTGAATTTTACTATCGAAATTCATACTCGGTTAAGAGAGTGCATCGAGCACTGCTTCCAATTTATGGGCAATTTGGTCGGCCTACCGAGCGAGCTATTCGGAAGCTTGTGACTAAATTTCGAACCCAGTTTACATTATTGGACATTAAACCACCAACACGCAGACGTAGAGTGAGGACTGAAGAAAATATTGCGGCTGTATCCGCCAGTGTTAGTGATGACCTTGAAATGGCGATTCGCCGCCGTTCGCAGCAATTGGGCCTCTGTTACTCCTCTACGTGGAAAATTTTGCGACAGGATTTGGGTGTAAAACCTTATAAGATACAGCTGGTGCAAGAATTGAGGCCACACGACCTCCCACAACGTTTGCCATTTGGTGAATGGGCGCTGGCAAAGTTGGAGGAAGATCCACATTTTTATCGAAAAATTGTGTTCAGCGACGAAGCTCATTTCTGGTTGACTGGGTACGTTAACTAGCAAAATTGCCGCATCTGGAGTGAAGACCATCCAGAAGCATTGCTAGAGCTACAATGCATCCCGAAAAAATCACTGTTTGGTGTGGATTATGGGCCGGTGGCATCATCGGGCTGTACTTCTTCAAAGACGACAATGGCCGGAACGTAACTGTGAATGGCGAGCACTACCGTGCGATGATAACAAACTTTTTTTTGCCCAAAATGGAAGAACTAGACTTGGCTGACATGTGGTTTCAACAAGACGCTGCCACATGCCACACCGCACACGAAACAATGGCCCTATTGAGAGGCGAGTTCGGTGAACAGTTTATCTCACGTTTGGGGACCGTCAATTGGCCGCCTAGATCGTGTGATTTAACGCCGTTGGACACATGTCTACAGGGATAAACCAGCAACGATTGACGCACTGGAAGCCAATATTGAAGCATTTATTCGTGAGATACCGGCCGATATGTTGGAGAGAGTGTGCCAAAGTTGGACCTTGCGCATGTGCCATCTAAAGCGGAGCCGCGGCCAACATTTACATAAAATAATCTTTAAACATTAAATTATATCGACCGTTCTATCGACACAAATAAAGATTTAATCGTTTTTTCAAATTTTTTGTGTTTTTTTTTAAATAAAATCCTATACCTCTTAAAAAATCACTCGTTATAATACGCCAATGTGAAGAGCAATAAGGTTGTCGCGACATTTAGTTCTGCGTTCATCGTCATCGAGTACGAGAACTGTATTGAGAACCTTGTGAGTGTGGGCCCAAAGAAGTTCTCGCCGAGATTTTGGCTGAGATTCTTGCCGAGATTATCGGCGATATTCTGCTTTGAGTGTGGAGCAGTTTTAAGATTACGCTTATGTATGGAGAGTGAAAAATATTATTGAGTCATATACCAGTCTTTCGATTCAATTCAGTTACAAATTAATTTCTCTACTGGTACTTACAGTTTACTGTTAATTTTGCACTGGTTTCAGCATTTCCGCATTCGTTGCTTAATCTACAGGTGTATTGTCCAGACAGCTCACTTGAAACCTCCTTGATTATAAGTTTAACTCCATCGTCAGATTCTAGTCTTGTAAACTCACTCCTCGTTTCAGTGATTTCTACCTCATCCAAATACCTAGAATAAAATAAAAAATGAGCATCAACCCATAATGTATAAAGACAGAACTGTCACAGGTTTTCCCGAAACAAAATATAATTACAGATCTAAATGCTATTTCCATATAAGGTAAAGTGAGTAAAATGTCATCCTGTTGACGATGAAACTGTATTTGATAGCAGTTGAAGATGTTGAAAACAACCGAAATAAAGAATTTTCTTTTGCCCGATGAAGTTTGAACTAAATTAGCTTCTACCCACGAGTCAGACGACGCAGTGGCATAGTGATAGTTGCTACATGTCTACTAATCAATCGCCGCTAGATGCTTTAATTCAAATCACGTCCCAAGAGAAATATTCTCTTAACTATGGATCTTGTGTCCGTAGGTGGTAGACTGTCTCAGATCGTCGAACCTGGGGGTACCACCCCGCGGATCTCCAAGGTGGAACCAGAATGTGTTCTTTCCCCTGTATTTCCCTATAGCCCGACGGTACCCTCGGGTATTCAGGCTTTAGGCCTATATGGTGGCTCAATTATAAAAACAAAAAATTGGATGCCCCGTATAATCGTGGACAAAACCCTGACACTTGACACAAATCCGGTACAGATTTCCATTCTCAAAAGAAGAAATCCTCAAAAGCAAGACTGATCAAAATTCATTTATCTTTAACTTTATGAATGGAGCTATTTTCAGGAATGCCTGATTGGGCGCCAGCAAATAAATGTTTTTCTTTTTAGACACTGAATTGGACCACAAAAAGTGGTATATCGGCATACGTACCATTTGACAGTGGGTTTCGGGAATGCTTCCAATTTTACATCAAATGTAACATTCTTATCGTGCTCAGTCACTGTCATGTTCTCCAAAGGTTTGATAATCTTTGGTGGCTTCTTCACCCATACAGTGCACTCATCTTCCACTGATCCGTGGATGTTCACTGCCTTGCATTTGTATTTGGCAGCATCCGTGGTTACAGCTCCAGATATCCTGGAAGACAAAGAAATGGAGATTACGTCATTAGATTAAAATATTCAATTATATTACAGTTATCATTATACCTCAGTTCCATGTTTTGTGAGTCTAATTTATATTTATTTTTCTCAAATTGACAAATAGAAAAGCTGCTAGTTTAGATTCTACGTATATCAAAATTCTAGTAAGAGTATACTGGAATCAAAGTGAGACTCAGTGAAAACCTCTAATTCAACTGAAGAACTGTAACAATTCCTGATGATAACATAATGAATATGGGAAACCGAACGATATGCTCTTATGTGCTAATACCTCATATTGTTTTAGAATTTGGTTCGCTGATTTTGCGACTCACTACTCACCTCAAAATGTAGCAATCACCATCCTCCTTTACTCTGAAATGATCGGTTGAAGTGATTTCCTCATCACCCTTGTACCATTTAACTTCCGGCTTGGGTTCTGCCTCAAACCTCACCTTGAGCTCTACGTCTTCTCCTTGTGATACCCTTTTCTCCTCACCCATTTTCTGTATCACCTTTGGTTTACTGAATACATCCATATTCCACATTTCAGTGACTTGACTTATCTCGTTGGTAGCAATTACAGAGTAGGAGCCTTTATCATTCAGAGAAACCTTCTTGAATACCAGTGCATGTTTATTACCAGACTTCTCTATCTTGATGTTTTCAGTTTCCTTGATTACTTTACCGTCTTTCCAGAATTGAACTTTAGGCTCTGGAATGCCTTCAATTTCGATTTCTTGTTTCAGTAGAAGGTCGGCATGAACATTCACGTCTTCCATTTTCGTCTTGATCTTTGGTGGCGCTGAAATATTGAAAACTTAAGAATCCACAATAGTGGAGTGACCTTAGATTTAAACCAATACTAGGTTGTGAGGCTACAAAGTCCACTTCAGTCACAGTCGTATGTTGGAGAAAAACAAATGTAAATAAATAACTCAACTAAAGTTAACGAAACCAAGATGTGGCATCCGAAATATCCGAACGAAAGGGATATGAAAAATAAGCAACACGCTATGACGAACATAGAAGCTGAACGAGTTTTTTCTGTTACGGGGTCCGTTCGTCATCAAAGTCCCTGGTGCCACTGCAGCCTCTAGGTCTAATTGTGCCTTCTTCCCCAATCCAGCTGTGTAGTTTTCTGAACAAGTTGGTGCAGTGTTTGCCTACTACTGCTGTAAACTCCATCGGTTCAAGTTTTGGTTTCCCGAAGAGTTGATGTCTTTTATGATCCAGACATGTAGGGCTGATTATGTTCCTCTTCTGCATTGTCTGCAGCTAAGGTCTCCATCGTACAATCTGATTTTGCTCAGATGTTCTTTCAGGCCATTGTGTCCTGTCAGAAGCTTCACGAAGTTGGTTTCGACTCATTGAGAGCAGTTCCGCAGTGTTGTTTGGACATGGTCTCAAAATGAGTTTTTTCCCATGCCTACATCCAGTCACAAGTGCCAATGTTCCTTGTGCTGGTTTCTTACCCATTCTTTGACTTGGTTCCTTATTGTGATTTTTGGACCCTCCAAGGCAAGTTCTGGGATTGTATAGGCTGTGAATGATCCTTTCCTTGCGAGTTCATCCGCAGTTTCATTTCTCGCGTTACATGAATGTCTTGACACTCACATCAGTGTTGTGTTGCGTCAGAGTGTTCAGTTCTTGTTGGCATTCCCAGATCAGTGCAGATGTCATTCTAGGCTTCATAATGCTATGAGTGACGCCTGGCTAGTATATATGGCGATTATTTTACTGTTATATGCTCGCTCATGATTTACTCTTGAATAGAGCAAGATTGCATACACTTCTGCCTGAAATACAGAGGTGTGTCTTCCAAGCGGCATGCTATGCCCAGGATTGCACCTGTTCCCATATATACCTGCAGCTATCCCAGCTCAGTTTTTGGCCAGGTAATTTCCCCTTGCAGGTTGTGCCTTTGCTGTTTCGCTCAGTCTCCTACTTTGGTCCTCATATAGGTCCTTTGGCTGTAACTGCAGCCTAGAGTAGCCCATTTTCGCCTTCCCTATTATTACATATTATAGGTGGGAGGTCCAACATGATTTCAAGTGCTGCAGTTGCAGCGCCCTTCTTTGCACCTGTCAACATTAAAGTCGACTCCGCTCTGCTTTTAATGACAGAAATATTGGGAATGTGAAATCGAAATGTACTGGAATTGGAATATATGAAACATTGAGGACTATAACGGATAGAAAGATATGCGGAGAACAAATTATCTTTATTTATTTTCATTAATGAAATAAACAATTGTAGTTTTATGGCTTACCTTTCACAGTGAGGTTCATTTCAGCACTGTCAGTACCCAATTCATTTTCAGCATGGACAGTATACTTTCCTGCGTCTGAAGATTCCACGTCTTTGATGATCAGAGACATAGTTTCCTCATCTTCATACAAGATCCTAGAAAAAAAATAACTTCATAACTAACTGAACTAGAAAATATAATAGTTTTGATATCCTATGGCTTTGCAAATCAAGGCTCCTGCGTTGGAAACTGTATATTGTAGAACTATGGTATCTTTTGCTTACTTGTGTTTTTGGCTAGACTCGATCACTTTTCCTTCATGCTTCCAAATGACATTAGGCTTGGGATATCCCTTGACTTGAAGTTCCAACATAGCTGATCCACCAACATTTACACATGGATCTTTCTTGACAAACTCAAGCTTTGGCTTCTCAGGTTCCCTGAACAACTGGTTTACAGTACCATGCACCGTAAGCTGAGCACTGCAGCTGATGTGACCTCTACAGAACATTAAGGTTACCAGATAATTTGTTTGAATTTATACTAAGTTTTGACAAAAATTTCCAACATTATGTAAGATAAGGGAGAAATAATATTTCGAAATCTGTTGATTTACCTGGAGGTTTGGGCTACGCATGTGTATAGACCCACATCTTCTGGTCGCACTTTTTGGAAAACTAATGCCAAGGAGTCTTCATCGTCTCCCATTAGGACTTTGAATCTTTCTTCTGGCTCGAAGGATTGGCCATCTTTCTTCCAATGGAATACAGGCTTTTCGCCAGGAGGTAGTATTTCACCTTCTGGCATATCTTCGAATATCTTCTTATTGTCTGCAATGGATAAAGTACTATTGCAATATTTTGGAAATGACACATTCAACTAATTTCAGGTCTTATGTGTACAAAATCGAACTTTAATCTCTCATTGGAGTGGTATCACGTAGGCTGACTGTATTCCCCACGCATTCGTAAAAAATGTCTATATTCCATATTCCCTATATATATCAATACCGTAAACATATTTGATTTTATATTAAAGTGATTACAAACTTGAACAACGCAAAAAGTGTGTACCCTCTTTAACCTTTCTTCCTCTTGCTGAGCCCAAAAATGATCAAGAAATTGTCAAACATACAAAAACGAAATTTTATGTTCGTATCTTTGGCGCAACTGAACCAATGTTGCTGAGTAACATTAAAAAATAATATCGTCCCAAAGATCGACGTTAGATAGACCGACAACTAAATTTGTCAGATGAATTAAATGGGCAAACCATCAAAAAAGCTCCTTATCTAAAAATCTCGCTTATGCGTTTTAAATAATATTGTTACTGATAAATACTAAAGTCGTTTTTTGTTACCTGTTACAGTTAGTGTCGCTTCAGAGGTTGCTTCACCAAATTTATTTGTTGCAACACACTTGTAATGGCCAGCATCTGCCTTTTTCACGACTGGTAGAATGAGCTCGTAGAATCCTTTATCTGACTGCTCTCTGATTACCTGGTATCGTTCACTTTTCTCTGGGATTTTGGTGTTGTCTTTGTAACTGAAACGGACAAAATAATATTTTTCTCTGGAGGTTCAGTATAGTCGCCTGATTTGTTATGTCAAAATACATTGCGTGGCTGGTCGCCAGGGATACCGCAGATTCCTTAAAAAATATTTAAACAAAGGTCAAAGAGCAGTTTGCTTTCCATAAATAGATGTGTGATAATTTAATATGAGGAAACATAATGCGAGGAAACACCAATTGATGGTTAACAGCAATTCCAGGTAATTCAAGCGCCGATTCCATTATGTGACAGTCTGGCGGTCCCTTTGACCAATAAGATTAGCAGAAAATGCCATGGAATGATTTATTATATTTGTAAAAGCCCTGAGAGTCACTGACTACTCTGTTCCAGCCCTTATCAAAATGGACGTGTTTCGTATGAGCGGCACCTTCTGAACCACATATCATGCATCCTTGTTTCAATAATCAGCCTCAATTTTGTAGAATTAGATGAATTACTATTACAGTCAACAACTAAAATTAAATAGTAGCGTAACTTATCGTACGCCACTGTTAACGTGAGATATCACCCTCCTCAAAGGGTTCACAGTTGGTATGATTTACGCCACGCTTTCGAAGTCTGGTGATGGTCATTGTCTAATTCTACCAAATTTCTTAACAGCTTAGCGTGATAGTAATTCTAGAATTTACTAGTTCCATATCAGGGTTCATTATCAATTAATTAAAGTACCATGAGGCCTGGCTTAGAATGTGCACTTCTTCTCAAACATATTGTTCTCACAACTTATAAGAGTTTTAACATATGTTTCCAATTAATGGCTTTCAGATTTTTTTGAAAAAATTTAGTATGCTGTAGCTCTCAACATGTAAAACAAGCATCACTGGGCACAAATTATTCTGACGTGAGGCTTCCGACATCCGAGATACTCCACCCACGCAAGTTGAGGGAGTGAGCCGTCCTGTTTATCTAATAGAATTGCAATGGTATAACAGCCAGTCAGGGCAAAGGCAGGCAAAAGAATCCATTGAAGATTGAAAGCCTGCATTTATACAGTGTGATTCAGAACTATGGGATCAAACTTGTAGTGTAACAGTAGAAAACATTTGAGTATAGGGACCCATATCCGGAAAAGTGTCAATTCGGCACTACGGCCTTAAGACGCGTTAAAATTTAGAAAGACAATGCATTGTTGATGATTATTTGATTGGGCCATACCTTCTACCGGAACGGTTAACACGACCTATTTAGAACTTCTTGAAAATGTTCCATTGAACGTTCGACAGCAAATGTGGTTTCAGCATGATGGAGCGCCGGCTCACTTTGCTGTACAAGTACTCGAGTATTTGGCTCAGCGGTTTGGGCACGGTTCGATTGCCAGAGGTGGAGCAGTTTCTTGGCCACCTAGGTCACCCGATTTAACGTCGCTAGATTTTTTCCTGTGTGGACATGCAAAGTTTTTGGTTTACGAAACTCCAGTAGAAACAGAGCAAGACTTAATTGGACGAACTACAGCAGCATTTGAAATCATTCAAAACTAGTATCAAATTTTTAGTCAAGTCCGCCGAAATCATGTGCGACATTTAAATCGGTGTACTCAGGTTGGAGGAAGACATTTTGAACAATTGTTGTGATGATATCATGTACAAAAGGCAGGGTCGTAGTGACACTTTTCCGGATATAGGCCCCTATACTCAAATGTTTTCTACTGTTACACTGAATAACCCGTACAAGTTTGATCCCATAGTTCTGTAACACCCTGTAGAGGACCAATTGGGATCTAATGGGAAGGTCATAAGCAACAAAACGGGTCTCCTAACAGGGCACTGTTGTCAGACCGTTTCTGCAGAGAGCTTGCGGAAGCCCTAGTGCATCTCTTTGTGTCACTGCAAAGCCCTGGCAAAGTTTAAGCTTGAGATATTAGGAACCATAAATCCATCAGCGGAAAGCTACATGCAGTTCTTTGGGGTCTGATTGAAGGATCAAGGTAGGACACAGTGCTTTAGACACTGTATATGGGAGCTCACAGTTGATTGATATGGGGCGCAGTGGCGTTAAGGCTATCAAGTTAAATTCTTTTCTGTAATCTGTAATATAATTGCAATGTTGGTAGACCGGCTAGCAGGGATGATTAAACGGTGTGATAGGGGATCACCCATCTTGGATGACCTGTATCTCAGACACTACTCTTGGAAATAGTTTGGGCCCATGAAGAGTTATGTTCTGCGATTTGAGATCTACAACATAATAAATAAATATCCAAGCACAAAGCAAAAACATACCTGCAATATTACAGCTTATACAAGAAAAAAATTATTTACTTACAAGGCTACTTCAGGATTGGGTTCTCCGACAACTTTAACCATGAAGCGCAGATAAGTATCCTCCAAAAGCTCAGCATCTTTCATGGACACCAAAAATTCTGGTTTATCTGTTTTAGCTCTTTCTGCTCTTTCTTCGGACGAGACTGGAATAGCAGTGATGCATAATCAGTATATGTTTAGCTGAATAGAGAGTGAAAAATTGTGGTATAGCTGATATTATTTTTTTTTTTTCGTAATGCGCAGGGTTAAACATTTTAACAATATCATTCACATCACAATAGTCAAACAGTGTGTATAATACTTCGTATAATTATAAAAAATGCCACACAACACTCGTATATAGTCGAGGATTTTTCTTGGAAGTTAATGTATAAAACGATGTGAGCCCTTGTCAGTCATATTTCACAGCTCGGGGTATGTATGTACTCTGTACAGTATGAATTAATACAAATTGAAAATACAAAAATCAAGTAAATAATATCAAAACAGTTAATACGTATATCCAAGTTAGTAATTTTTAATGTTGGTAATGGATGAGTTGTTGCGGAAGGAAAGGAAATGAAAATGCAGAATGAAAGTTGAGCAAGCCAGATTGATACCAAGAGCTTATAAATGGTTTTACAGCTTCATTTTAGAAAAAAAACTTATTGGAAAATAAGACGCAATATTCAATTGGTTAAGAGGATTACTGTGAGAGTGGCGTTGTATGTACCTTAAATAAAGTCAAGAATCAAATAAAAGATGACAGGCAAACATAGAGGTATTCTGGTAACCGACCGAACAGCTGTTGAAGGCTATCACCATCAGAAGGAGCTTTGAATCTAGGATGTGAAATACATTATAATTTTTTGATTCCGCAATTTTATTCGCTATCCGCTTAAACAAAAAACAAAGTCTTTTTATTAATCATTTGAATGTGGTATAGATTTTCGGAAGTACGACGATTCTCACGAACTGAGTACCATTGATTGATCAATTCATGATTGGAGATTGATCGACTGTCTGGGAATATTTCGCCAAAGTTACTAATTAAACTCGAAGGTGCCACTTGTGACCTATGCAAAAAAACAGATTTCTTCATGGTAAAATAGCGAACGTATTAAATGTGTAGTATCATCCTACTAAATCTTAGCAAATTTTTACGAAAAAATTGTAAGTCTGGATTTATTGGTGCAAGTTGTTCAAGCGGGTATTTAACACACGGACGCATGAAATGGGTAAACCAAGTTTTACTGGAAAACTTTTTATTTGACAACAAAAAATGAGAAAACGTGTTTTTTGGGGTTCAATCGTGAGTGCTGGCAGGAACGAGACAACTCTTCAAATAAGATTTTTAGGTATTTATGAAACCTACAGAATGAGACCACATGTAAAAAGATCCGACTAATAGCAAAAATGTTATGGCAAAATGCAGGTTTTGGCACTTGTTGGTAATCTGACGATCATTTCCCGCAAGGACTTGAAATTCTTCAAATCCGTAGGATTCATACTTCTCAATAACAACAACAAAATTGGATTATATTGGTTAAGTAGTTTTTTGTAAATTTCTAATTGTTTATCCCAAAACACCTGTTTTCCGGCCATCACTACTAGTTTATTGAGCAATATACAGGGTTTGCTCAAAGAGCATTTAATAGCAGAATACATGTGTTTACCTTGCCGATATGAATCGCAAACCATTCCGAAAGATAAATGTTATTTTTTGCGAAAAACAAAGGTTACGTTTTCTTCTTCTAAACAAACTCACACATTATTTGTGAGCAATTGAACAAATGCGCTACAATATTTGAATAACATAGATTACTGCGAATTATTCACAAAAACGAAATGTTTGAATTTATTTGGAAGAAAAGACGTAACCCTTCCTTTTTTGCATAAAAATGACATTCATCTTCCGGAATGGTTTGCGATTCATATCGGCAAGGTAAACTAGTGTATGTATTTTGCTATAAAATGTTTTTTGAACTAACCCTGTATATTGCTCAATAAAGTAGTAGTGATGGCCGGAAAACAGGTGTTTTGGGGATAAACAATCGGAAATTCTCAAAAACAACTTGACCAAGCTACTTCAATTTTGTTGTGGTTATTTAGAAGTACGAATCCTACGAATATGAAGAATTTAAAATATCTGCGAGAAACCATCGTCGCATTACCAACAAGTACCAAAACCTGCAGTTGGCCTCGGTTTTCGGCCATAACTGTTTTGCTATTAGTCGGATCTTTTTACGTGTGGTCTCATTTTGTAGGTCACGTAAATACCTAAAAATCTTATATGAAGAGTTTTTTCGTTCCTGCCAACACTTTAGGTTGAATCCCAAAAAAACGCGTTTTCTCATTATTTGTTGTCGAACAAAAGGTTTTACCACAAAAATTGGTGTACCCATTTTATGCGTCCATGTTTTGAATACCTCCTTAAACAACTTGCAGCAATAAAATCAGACTTTACAATTATTTTGCAAACCAACCGTCTAATATGTTTAGACTAAAAATGCAATCATTCACGTAAAATCAAACACTGAAAATCGATATTATTTTTTGTAACTTATATCGGTTGGACTGTTGCAGTCATATCGGCCGACTCATCTATAGGTTAGCTGGACAGATATTTCCGATATACACATCAGTATCGGTCTGTCCCTATTAAAATGCAGTTTTTATCCTCCTACGGTTTTTCAGTAGAAACTATTTGTTAGCCAAAAGAACAAAAGCTCCGCCTTCCCCACGCTCTTATTTTCCATCAAGCTTTTAAGGCTTAAGCATACTAACGCTTATGAACGACCAGCTGAGCCGAGCAGGTGATCTGTTGTCCTTTTTCATCGTGCGCCACCGCCGTGTACGTTCCCGCGTCCTCCTGCGTTACGTCCTTGACAACCAATCGGAACTCGCGGCCGTCTTTGTCCTTGGTGACTTCCAACCGCCCACTTGCCAGCGCGCCATTCAGGGCCTTGTTGTCCTTGAGCCATTGAAGCGACTTGGGCGGCGTCAGTAGGCTTACCTCGAAATGGGCGGATTCACCGGCTGTTGAAGGATGAAGAAAGCGGAAGAACGCGAGGTTAGTGCGAGGAAGATATAGAAGAAAGGTGTAATTTGGTTTGGTGTCGGTGTGTTGATCTGAGTTTATATGTCTTGCTGTGTATAGGCTCGGTCTGAGTAAGCAGGATGTCCCAAAATGAGTTCCGTATAGAATACAATGAATGTCAAAGGTTTCTACGAAACAAATTCATGGGGCTCTCCTACAGAGATTCAGGTTCCTAAGTCTCGATTTGACTATTGACCCTTGGGGAACAAAATTGGCGCCTATCGCACAAATTCGACCAGTGAGAAGTAATGAATCCTTTCATTTGACCGGGACACAATTCGGCCAATCAAAAAGAAGGATGTGCCATATAGTCGCAAATTCGACCAATCAAAAAAGAGAAATTTGGGTCTTACTTGAAGCATGGACTAAATCTGATGCAATATCTAGGCATGACAGCAATTTCTAAGCAAGTTATTAGCATAATAGTGTCACTATTTACCCGAGAGTGATAACTGATCCATAGCTACAAATATCTATCTTTTATCTTTATTGGTTTGTATCAGGAAAGTTGAACTAAATCATTAAATTTTCTCCTTGCTGTGAAAATTCTGCTTAATAAATTCTTTAGAGAAATACGTAGAATTACAGAATGCTTATTATTTAACAAATATCGAGAAAATACTCAATTTACTTGACTACCATGTGAAAAATCCTGTTTCTTTTTAACTACTTTTATGGTCAGCGCCTGCCCAGAACTAATTTTCCTGGCTTAACAGTCAGTGATACCGTGGTGCCATCTCCTGGACCAACTTCACGACCTATAACGCGTTATCTTGCCACCGTCACCGTTCCATAGTCCAGTAGATGGCGCCAGCGATATCAATGGGTGGGCTGTTAGACCAGGAAAATGAGCTCCAAATACGTGTTGACCATGAAAGTAGTTAGGAAGAAAGAGTTTTTCGCACGGCAGTGAGATAAGCTGAATATTTGCTCAATGTTTGATGAGGTATAAGCATTCTCTAATTTTATTTGTGCCTTCAAGGTTGTTATTAAGCAGACTTTTGTACAGCAAGGACCAGTATCAATGATCTAGCTTGACTGACTTGAAACAAACCTATAAGGATATTGGATTGTTAAAAATAAATCCTTTTTTATTATCACTCAGGTAAGTAGTGACACTGTTATTTTCAATAAAATGCCTAGTAGTTGCTGTCACATCAGTCCAGATATTGCATCAAATTTCATCGACGCTTCGAGTAGGTCCCAAATCCTTCTTTCTGATTGGAGGAGTCTTGATTTAATATAGGAACTGGGGGCTCATCCTACACAAATCGTATGATTTTTCTTTAGTTTGAGAGATATTTTACAAGAAATCGACTATATTCATTAGATCCATTACCTGAAAAACGCCTTTTCATTGGTCAAGCGACATTTTGGTGAATCTTCGTGAGGGAGCCCCTTAGGATATTTTGTATATGTACTTGTGGCATTATTGTTCATGTTTTGTAAAAGCCTCTGAGAGATTGCCATTTTATTGTATGATACTAGGTATCTTACAGAATGTGTAACGATTTCCTTGGTCACATGTAGATAGCTTAAAATACTTGTAATATCGAAAGCAATCTCAATTATGTTCTTCTATATTCAAAATTACACATGTTTTAAGCATAATAGTATGAAATTAGTGACAGGATAAGGTAAACTTATCAGATAATCGAATCAAAGATAACTGTTTAGCAATAGCAAAATTCTGAAATATACTCCTTGACTTCAGTTAGTATACACTTTTCTCAAATAAATATGACAACCGGTACCGTAAAGCATTCAGGAAGCCTATGAAGTATGTAAAGCTTATGTCTGTACGTAAGTACTCGTATATGTAATAGGTGAACTTGTAGTATGTATGTCGATGAAGTGTATTGAATAGGTAGTAAGTACTCAAAGCTTGCTAGATAGTAGAATATAGGTAGTTGATTCGATATAATAAAGTGTTAATAAATTACTGAGAACTGCTTAAGAAAAGCTTTGAATGATTTAACAATGAATTCTACCACGTTAATCTACTGAAATATAGTATATGACATATAAGCTACAACGTCTTTATGAAGAAGTAGCTAAAATGTCTTAGGATAAGAAATTTTTGCATTTTGGATATTTTATAAGCAAAAGATTATTATAAATAATTTCGGTTCAAATGTAAGGTATGCTTTTTTGGTACAGATAATACGACCACTAGTACGACTTATTTGCATTAGGTAGCTGAGGCTTATGTAGCCCGGAATTCCATGTACCACGGAATGTCTACCATTTTTACAAATGCAAATTCTGCAGGTTTTATTCACGGAGATAGCAAATCGGAAGTGCGACACATACCAGTTCAATTTTGGTTCAGGAATCTGAGATTGCATTGGTATCTGAGTCTGGCAAAGTTTTGATTTATTTAGAGCATCTTTTCACTGTTGCGTACATGTCCATAAAGTTGTTTATAGTGTCCGATCGAAATTTCGGTTTCCGTTTTCTAAAGGAAAATGTTGAAAAATTGTTATCCATGACATATGATATCAGATCAATCAATTATGATTATTAGATTACATTCTAATGGCCTGTTGTACCAACGGGGAATTTAAGTTTTGTAAGAGATCTAGGGACTTTTTTATGTAATTCAAGATGGTAGATAACTCACAAATTATCGGAGAATTCCAGTTCAGGCTCAATTTCAGGCAGAGTATTCAAAACTGTACAAGCTAAATTGCTTAAAAAATGCCATAGTTACTAATCTCTTGGAAATAGTTTTTCCTTTTAATCTTTGAAGAATTCTTCTAGAAAACCATTATTTATGAGTTTTAGGATCGCCAAATCATCGTTTGAAACACTATGATAGCTAATAAAATCCATTTTTGAAGTCTAAAAATGAATTAGACGATCTTTACAAAAATTGATCGTTTGCGCTAAACAGCCTACAAAATTTTTAACGGGGTTTAAGTACTTGCTCAATAGAAATCTTCAAATTAAACTAAGTATAACCCTAGAATAAAAAATCACAATCTCTCAAAATGACAAACTGGCACACTGTCAAAGTTGAGCGTGCTTGTTGAGTCTATAACTCAACGTTCAATCATCCATGCTGTACAATATGATATATCAATCTTTTTCCCTGGATGATTCTATCCGAATATGTAATAGAATAAGAGCTTCAAAATGACTCCCTTTTATTTGAAAAATATGGTCTTGAAATTTCCAACTATTATTTTTATGTTAAAATCTAGTATGCGACAATTTTACCGCTCCGAGTTTTAGTTTTTAATTACCCGCTTAAGAAATTCTGTAGGCGAAACCTTTTTGAAAAGCAGGTATGGTCGGAGTTCCGTGGCATATGGCAATTTTCAGCTCCTAATCTCTAAACATTACGATATATTGGCAATCTAAAATTTTGGAAAAGATACTTACGTTCTATGCTAGTTCCTCGGATAGTCTTGATGAAATGAGGCCTTCCATCAAGTTCATCCAGCTTTTGCTCTGCAGTTTTTTCCCTAACTGTCTTCATGGTTGCACTTTCTAATGAATCCATCGTGCTTGATGTAGCGGTTTTTTCAAAAGACGACTCTTCGACTTTGTGTGATGACCTTTCTTCGGTTTTTTCGGATCTCTGTTCAACCTTTTTAGAAGATCTTTCTTCGACCTTCTCTGCGTGTTGGCTTTCGCTGCGGTACTCCTCTTTGGTTGCGTTTGATATTTTCACTGTTTCTGAAGAAGAGATAAAAAATCAGACGTCAGAATACTTAGGTTATGCTCGATGACTTTTCAGTAAAAAATTACATTTCGTTGATTACTCATCTTTGTTCGAATACTCTGTTGTCGAAGAGTAACCTATCTTACCAGTTACCGCACCATAAGAGGTGAAGTGCCTATTACAGAATGTCCTACTAATGAGCTAAGAGCTTCCGAAGGCGTAGAACGTTGATGAGCTATCATGCTTTCAAAGAATGTGGGTTGGATATTTCGTCAAATTTATTGATCTTTCAGACTACTGTTGACTATTCCAATGCTAATGAAACGTGATTTCAAATCACCTTGAAGATTTTTTGTCACTTGACATTTGTTGAGCAGTCGACCAAATGGTATATGGTTTCTGAAAAAGTCAAGTCTGACATCTCAGAGGATTATGTGAAGAAGATTAGCCTGTGTGAAGTGCAAAGCTGTTCACGAAGAATCTGCCAGTTTGTGATTTGGTGTTGGAGAAATGATTGTAAGGAGTTATGAAGGATAATGGCAAAGAGCTAGGACAAATAGATATACATGTAGTCACGAGTCTTAACGGATCAAAGTAAGGCTACCAGTATCCCTTTAAACATATATCTCCATCTCCCTCATACATACACATATAACCTCCCCCTGTGTGTGAAAGTTTGTTCGGTAAGCTCAAAGACATACGTTTTTTAGTGATGTGTCTCCGTCTCAAACAATTTGTCGTAACGTATGAGTGCCCTTCAATCATATTTGTCAGAGTGAAAACTTACTTGATATCGGCGAGCAATTCGAGATGTCCTGTTATCAATCTTCAATAATGCGCGGAAATACGATCAATGGAGGAGGCCGGTAGCTCGTGCTAAATTTGTTAGAGTATTTCTAGGAGTAGACTGAAAACAGCGCTCCCCTGTTACCTACTTCATGCGTCCTGAAGAGAGTAGCAGATGCGCTGAAGATTAGTCCGCGCAGTGTTCCCCTCATCGTACGGAGACTCGATCTGTTTACGCATTTCATATGGCGTTGATGACGTAACCGCCAAGAACGGCGACTACAACTATAGTGTAGTTAATAACATAGTATGCGTGATGTGGAAAATGAAGTTGTACAAACAAAAAATCATACATTTCTTCATTTTCAAGGATTTTCTACTGAAACTAAATTATTTAGGAGATGCAGTTCAAACGCAAATAAATATCTCTACTATGATGAAGGTTAATTGAATAGTATCCCGCGGTGGAACTGAATCTGAATATCCTTTAGATTTCCATCCGCGGCTTTTAGGTGAATGTTCCAAGATGGCAGCTCTGTGCCAGCTTGGCTTTTTTTTTTTGGGGAGTGGAAGATGTAATACATCATTTTGAAGCTTCTTATGAGGTCTTTACAATACTAGAATATCAATTTCAGTCAATTTAAATAGCGAACGGGCGAGCTGGTCAATATTATGCTTTTTTGTATATCGACTCACTTAACATTCAACTTAGCGTCAAAACTCTATATTATGTACATCAATGTTCTTCTTTTGGAACGGTATATCGGAATATGGAATGACACTCGGAAGTGCCATTAAATACATTTTTTTAGTTTGATGTTTTGAGATTTAAGGACTTTACATTCTGGGGTAATAAACTGCTAAAAACACTGATCAACAGCCAAAAAATATCCTAAATAAAATCAACAAAATATTACTATTTTTAATGTGCTAAAACCGGAATGAAACTTATTTTTTCAATATTAGTTCAAGTTTTAGAGATACGGTAATTATATGTGTTCCTGCTGTGACAGTGTTAATATACTGTAATTCACAAGAATGCACGTGCTACATTTTTATATTCGGCAAGGAAAGATGATGTAATCGGCATGATTGTGTTACGTTATACATACGTGTACATTGTATTGTTTTATATTAGCCATTTTTTCCTCAGTTGGCTGACAGCGTTCATGCAAGATGTCTCGAAAGTGTGTAAACAATCCAGATCAGTTTTGTTACGTGTGTGGTGATGTGACTTTTGCGTCTCAGAGACGGTCTATTACTCCACTAATAACAAAGGCATATCAGCTTTATTTCGGTTGTAAACTAGGTGATCAAGACAAACAGTGGGCACCCCACATCTGCTGTAATACATGTGCTTCAAGTCTGAGGAGCTGGTTAAATGGCAAAAAACGATCTATGCGCTTTGCTGTCCCAATGGTTTGGAGAGAGCCTACAAATCATATTAATGATTGTTACTTTTGCATGGTACCTTGTGTTGGACAAGCCACAGGTATGTCCAAGAAAAAAAAATTATTATTAACTACCCAAACATACCATGTGCGATGAGACCTGTGCCTCACAGTGACGAAAATCCTATTCCAAAACCCCCAGAATCCTACACTTGCGAATCAGAAAACGAATCAGATCATGGCGATCGAGTGATTCGTCAGGAAGAAGATATGCCATCAACGTCAAGAGATCCTGATTTTATACCGAGCACGTCATGCCACCAGCCGCACAAGATAACACAGTCAGAATAAAATGATCTTGTGAGAGATTTAGAACTTCCAAAATGTAAGGCAGAGTTACTTGGATCAAGACTGCAGCAGTGGAACTTGTTAGAAGACGATGTTTCGGTATGTGTTTTTCGTAAACGCCACAAAGACTTAGAACCATTTTTCAATATGGAGAATAACTTGGTTTTCTGCAGTAACATTAGCGGCTTACTGGCGGCGTTAAATATAAACTATAACCCAGAAGAATGGAGATTGTTTATAGACAGTTCAACATTGAGTTTAAAGGCAGTGTTATTGCATATTGGAAATATTTTACCATCTCTTCCTGTAGGGTTTGCAGTTCACATGAAATAATCATATGACAATATGAAGTACCATTGACTTGCATAAAATACGATGAGCACCAATGGCATATTTGTGGCGATTTGAAAGTTGTTGCACTTTTACTTGGGCTGCAGCTAGGCTACACAAAGTTTTGCTGTTTTTTGTGTGAATGGGACAGTCGGGCAAATGCACTTCATTACACCAGACAGAACTGGCCTGTTCATCAATTCCTAGAGCCAGGTCAAAAAAATGTACAGCATATGCCATTAGTAGATTCGAAAAAAATTTTATTACCACCACTGCATATCAAGTTGGGCCTAATGAAAAACTTTGTCAAGGCATTAAATAGAGATGGGTCAGCTTTTCAATACCTGCGTCGGAAATTTCCAAGACTAAGTGAGGCAAAGGTTAAAGAAGGTATTTTTGTTGGGCCACAGATTTGAAATATTTTGAAAGATACACAGTTTGAAAACACTTTAACAGGTATTGAAAAAACTGCTTGGAATGATTTCCGTCTGGTGGTCACTAATTTCTTGGGAAATAGAAAAGCTGACAACTATAAAACCCTTGTCAAAAATATGCTGTCATCGTATCAAAAGATGGGCTGTAATATGTCTCTTAAGATACATTTCCTACACTCACACCTGGACTTTTTTCCTGACAATTGCGGAGCCGTAAGTGATGAGCACGGCGAACGTTTTCATCAGGATATTTCAACAATGGAAAAAAAGTACCAGGGAAAGTGGAATCCTTCCATGCTTGCAGACTACTGTTGGACTCTTGGTAGAGATGCTCCAGAAACGATCCATAAAAGAACAGCAAAAAGACAGCGCATATAGTGATTCTTATAAGTATATGAATCTTGTTACTTTTTTTAATATATCCTTAAAAATAAAAAGTTTTTTTTCTGAACCGCAACTAATTGTTTTATTTCATTGTCATTTTTGGATTCAGCGCCCCAAAATTAACAAAAAAGTGCACTTTTCCCACAAGATACAATTAAAAAACTAAAATTTGTTGTCCATTGAAATCAGCTGCAAACTGATATATCCGCCCTGCCTGCATCTCTAAATACTCAACCGTTATGTTAAAATGCCTGCATCAATTGTAAAGAGGGTATTTAACGCGACATAGACATCCATTGACATGCCGATGTCATAGTGACGTGTCTTAAAAATTCCCCGTCCTCGCAAAAATGAAGTACTGGCACGGAATTAAGGAAACATTATTGAGAGACAAAAGCAAGCCTGCGGGGGATGAAGATGCAGGCCAAAAAGGGGCCAAGGTGGAGGATAACATGATTCCCAGACCAACAGGCACGGGAGACTTTGACTACGAAAGTTATTGCGTTAAAGATTCTGAAGATGACTACGGTGGCAGGTGAGTAGAGTCTGTGCTGGGATATTGTCCATCTTTTAGGCCCTGTTAATCACGGTATAATATGCTGACTGTCGAACAAAATAAGAATTCCGTCGACACCCTTCACAGCTCAGAGTGACAAGCCGATCCCTGCCCCTTCGGTTGGCCTGTGCTTTTCATTTTTATTCATAAAGTTTGTATTATGTGTACTGCGAAAAAAGTCAAGCGAACGGGGACTTGTCTGTTGAGAATACTGTGCAAAATCCCAGTCTCGAACTCCTCCTTGTTCACTGCCCCTATAGCGGCCAAATCAAGAAGTTCTTGTACATCCATTTCGTCAAAGACACCTTTACAGCTAAAATATCGAGGTTGTAGCGTTGTAGGGTACAGCTTTAAGGTCACAAATTTAAGGTTATGTCCACATTATTTCTCATGCTGTTTCGAAATGTATCCACCACCGATTAACATAACGTATACGTATACGGCAACTTCGGTTGACATTGCGACTGGAAGCTAACGAAACATCTCTTCAATGTACGAGGTCTGTAAATTAAGTGATGAAGCTGGCCACGTAGCGTTCGATCTGGCAACACTGGGGGCGCCGGGTCTGGAGGAAATGCACTGGAATACCTATGTGATCCGCCTTCAGTACAAGTTTGAACTCGCTCAAGTCCGTAGCTTTTTTTTAACAGTTTTTCCCATTGTGTTCTAAAAATGCATGACATCAATTACGAGCAACGGTGTTTTGCTTCAGACTTAGGCACAGTGCTAAGGAAAGTCTTGCTAAACTTTGCAGGCATACGAAAATAGTGCTTTGCGAAGAGCCCAGGTTTTTTGGCGGTTTAAGGCATTTTTGGAAGGGAGAGAGTCGATTGAAGATGAACCACGAAGCGGAAGGCCTTCATCTTCAAGAATCGATGAAAATATCGACAGAATCCGGGATCTTGACATTGACTCACACCACCGTTCATCAGATCAAGGACGACTGGGTGTTATATCACGATAATGCTCCTTGTCAAAACAAGTTTTTGTAGGGGATGTGAACAGTAAATGGATCCATTCTGTAGAAACGATCTGTGAATATTGTAATGGAAACTCCGCTGTGTATATCACCACCTTTTCAATTAGTTTGTGGTGGCTGATGATCCAGCCCAGCGGAGGACATACAAGGGGCCCAATAGGGTCCAACTGTTGTGATTTTGGCGATCGTCCTTGTTTTATTCTCTTTCAACGCAGAGCTGTCTTTAATGAAAAATGTTTTACATTATTTTTCCTAGGTTGACTGAGGAGAACGAAACCTTCGATCAACGTTTTCATAACGACGTCGAGAAGCATGATGCCCTTCTTCAACGACTTGGAGATGACATCGATGAAACTAAGAAAGAATACTTCTGTTGTGCCGGTCGCTTGGAGGAAATGGAGAAGGAAGTGCAGAAACGGATGGAGTTGAAAAATCTATGCTCGCACATGTTCAAAGAGCAACTGCCTAAGATTGAAAGATCTTTAGAATTGATACAAAATTTCGGTGACTCGCTTACCTACCAAAATGAAGTGTTGGACTCGTGGCATTGTTTCATTGAGGAATTCAGAAAAATACCAGAAGAGCGTATATTGCATGGAGAGCGTAGTACGTGTCATAGAGAATAAAAAAGGCAAAATCAAATTGTATTTGATCTTACAGAACGTCCGGTATCAGGTATTGAGCATGAATGCTGTTTCGGACTTCAACTGTGTGTAGAATTCATACTTCACATTTCGATTCCAGTCGCCGCCTAAGCTGTTTTCCAGTGGCGCAGTCGAGTTGTCTGTGTTAAATCTGTAGTGCTTTGCGATATCGCTGACTACCTTATCGCCACCCTAACCTTCTTATTCCATCAGAAATCCCTCATCTGACAGAAACAACGACACCTGAAACTCTTATTTATTTGCTTTCCTGTTGAAATTTCTCTGCACTGGTTTATTTGTGTTTCATGTGTCCAGGCTTTTCTTCTAGGTGGGACACTGAATTTTTTGGGTGGACACTATCAACCATTAACTTCATGATCATTCAAAATTCAATTACAATCTAAAATTGTAAAGCGCAAATTCTATAGACGATGGAAGCCCAAAGCATTGATGTTTTTGTATATTATACTATACCATACTAGGGTAGGGTGTGACAACATTCTTTGCATCATGAGGCAATATGGGAGAAAGTGAGTAGTTCATATTATGTGAAAAACTTTAGAATGAAAAAAAAACGACGAAATGCAGACTTGGTAGTTCTTAGTGTGCATTTCACGTTTGCTCGCTGACGTTTAAGCAATACGTACAGCCACAAAACAAGTTATCAACAAGTGTATAACAACTTGTACGAACGTCAAATAAACAGCTACATACTAAGTACTCATCCTGCTGGTAGTTTTGAAATTATATCGACTTTTTGGCATTATATATATGGTTTGGCTCTGAGTGATGTAACATCTGTGCCAGGGTTGGCACTAGCGGAGGCTACTCGTAGCTTCTATGGCTTAAGCTGTAAATTCTATATTATAGGTCGTTGTATTTTACCACCTACTTTACAAGTTGACATTAAACCGATTTTTACCGATACTCATAGGTGGAAGTGTCGTCGCCTCTTCACGCACACTACAATAATGAGTTTCTCAGTAGACTTATATCCGCTTTGATTGCTGTTGTCTGTCTCCGATGACTAGAGCTATACCACACTGTCGATTGCTTAAAAGCAGGGAACAAGATTGTATATCGTGGGTTATGGTCACCGAGAGGGAGAGCATATAAGCCATACGAGACAATACGACTACATTTAGCGTATCAAGAACGTATAGTAATAATAATAATCGTCTTTATTATTATTAGTAACTTTCCTCAGGAGTAGTTTTTGTCAATACTTGATAGCCTTTTTGAATATATACCTAAGAAAATATTTTTTTTCAACCTTGACGCTTGATTAAAAAGTTTTTGTAGTTCTAGATAAAGGACCATTTACCTCGAAGGACACATTATACACACATACATTTATTTCTGGTACACCAGCGCGAGGCGTTCAAATTCGCGCACTTCTATTAGTGAGTAAATGAATAGACCATAGTATGATACGGTAGGATGAATTGCTACAGTGACGAATCTAGGAAAATAAGGAGGTTTGCTCCACATGTAGCTTCTTGCGTTGTATATGAAAACAGCTGCTCATAGCCCCACAACATATAACTCTGTTATTGACAACCAGCCAGACCTAATTTTTCTAGACCTATTTCTAATAGTGAACTACTTACCAGCTTCAGAAGAACTTTTCTCGCCGGTACTTTTAGATTTTGCCTTCCTGGCAATAACGACAGGTGCCTCATCACCGTCTTCCTCAACTATAGTAGTAGATTCTTCAGAGTACTCTTTTCTGCTATATTCTATAACAGTCGGAGAGTCCTCACTGATAGCCTTGATAGTCTTGTCGCTATCAGAAGAGCTTTTATCCCCACTTTTACTTTCGGTTACTTCAGTCTTTGAGTACTTCGACAAGATTGGCGCTTCTCCCTCTATTCCTTCTCCGTACTCTCTAGTTTCAGAAACCTCTCTCTTGGAGTATTTCGATACAACTACACTATCGTCTTCACTTTTTCCCGATTCTTTGCGAAGGTACTTTTTTGCGTATTTTTCGTAAGGATCCTCTTCGGGTTCTTTTTCTTTTCTGGATTCGCTTCTGAGGTACGACTTTGAATATTTGTCTTCGTCTTTAACTTCTTCTATAACCTCACCTCTTGAATATTTTTTGGTATATTTAGCGTATTTATCTTCTTCGTCTAACTCGGAAGGTCTTCTTGAGTATTTAACTGAATACTTTGAAAGAACATCATCGTCATCATTGCTGCTTGCTTCAATTCTACCATACTTTGATTCGCTCATTTCAGAGGAAACTGACCTCCTGGAGTATTTGGAACCCAGCGATGATCCTATACTTCTCTTTGGGCTGTAAGTATTTACACTATCTTCATCACCAAGTTCGGTGCCTGTTTTCAAAGACTTTCTGGAGGTATAGTTGTCATCGTCGTCGTCTAATCTAGATTTTCTTCTGTAACTGTAACCGTCTTCATTTCCTGTTAAGGATCGAGGAGTTCTAGAACTGTAGTTGTCGTCATCACCAGACCGGGTTACAGATCTGGTGGATTTTCTATCATAAGAACTATACATTTCCTCTCCAGGTTTCTTGTATCCAGCAACCAAGCTTCCTGAGTAGCTGTAACCTCCATCGTCATTAACAGATGATCTTGTGGACATCCTAGAGTAACTGTCATTATCGTTAAGTGAGGAAAGCGGCTTTCTGGAACCGTAACTGTCAAGTTCTGAAGACAGTGGTTTTCTAGATGAATAACTATCTAGTTCTGTCGATAGAGGCTTCCTAGCACTGTAACCTGTTTCCAAATCCGAAGATAACCTTCCGTATTTCGAAGTATAATCATCGTATTTGCCTGTAGAGTCTGTGTCGTATTTTGTAGAGTATCTGGAGGAAGAGAGGTCTGAACGTCTGGAGTACGAAGGTTCGTAGCTACCTTCTGTGAAGAAAGAATATGGTCTGATGAGTGACAGGAATGTAGGCAGCGCTATTGAAGCTGCGGTAAGCTAGCATTGGCAGGTCTGCGATAGTTGTTCTTCTAGGCGGAGTTAGTGAAGCGAGCAGTGAAACATGAAGCGATTAGAAGCTATGATAGCAATGCGATATTGCATGAATATTTACTAGTTCAATATTGTTAGGCTACTTCCGTGCAGTTCATTGAGAAAAAATGTTTCTGTGGCAGAATATTAAAGCTGCACATGGTTGTAACCATCAGATTTATATCCTAAGGGATTTCCTATGATAATGCCTTCATACCTGTACGATATTGACCGGAACAACTAGTATGTATGCAAAATATTTACGTGATACTCTCTAGATTAAAGCTTGGTGTTGTAGCTTCCGGAAGACTCTTAGGTTATTCTAAATTTGAATGCGTGACAAAAACAGTCAATTATCCATTTCATCTCAATCAAAAATCAAAAAGGAGCAGTACTTATTCCTGTAGCACTGAAGCCCAAAATTTACGGACCACACAAAGGCAGTTCAGTCTTATTCTAGATTACTGTCTATTAGCTATACTCAGGCAAAATCTCCCTACAATTTTCAGTCTTCGATACATAAGCGATCTGCTTACGACAGGCCACGCGCACCGCCGTTTACAGCGTCAAGTGGCGGTTAATCGACGCGTACCCCGTACAGATTTAGACTCGTCATCGATCAGTCGGACAGCCCTCCTCTGGACGCTAGGACGCTTTTTGTTCGTTTGTAAACTGATGCGTCCCAAGCAGTGATCACCTCCAGTTCTCTCGTCAGAGAGGAAGTTGCTGCTAGTCTTTTTTCCAGCTCACCGGCAGAGATCGGCCTGTTGCTCTGAATTCCTGCATGTAGACCTGTCATCAGCAAAGCTGTGCATTGGATTGTTGGTACATGAAAGGAAGTCCTTGATGTATAAGAGAAACACTGTCGCAGCCAAGACCGATCGCTGGGAAACACCCATTAAGAGGAGAACCCGTCAATTACGACGGATATCTTGCGGCCATAAAGAAGGTCAGCCATCCATCTGCAAAGATTCTCTGAGAGGCCATAGGATAGAAGTTTGTATAAGAGGGCACCGTGCCACAGCTGATCGTATTCTATCGTGATATCAAGAGCAACGACATAAACCACATCATAAGACTGGATGAGTTTACCCCAGAATTGCGTAAAGTAAGCTAGGAGGTACCCCGTGGATCGGTGGTTCCGGAAACCATACTGCCTGTTGCTAATCGAGCTACACAGAAATTCTAAGCGTTGTTAGCGATATAAGCAAACATAGAAGGCATGCCATGCCGGGTTTCAAAATTCTCGGACAATCTATATTTCAACTTTGGCTCGCATTAATCAGAAAGTATAAATATGGCAGATAAACTTTCACATTTTTTAGGTGATGACCTCCATGAACTTTTGTACTACGTCAAGAATAATCATATTTTGATTTGTGGTGTTCTATCAGTGACATAGCAGTAGCTTTATGTCAAAATTGTACTATAAGCCGAGCAGTAACTACCGAATTCAGAAATAGAGGTTAGGTTAGGTTTCTTGTGAGTGCATCAATAACGATCCGCCACTGCGACTCTTTAGTCTATTGTGGCTCACACCTATTTATAGTTCCCTCTGTAGCTCCGACCTCCTGAGGAAGTCGATCAACTTGTTTGGATTAATAGCCTATAGGCAGTGGCGGCTCGTGAGGTAGTGCCACGGTGCCATGGCACTACCTTGTCTTCTTCAAAAAGAATATTTTTTTCAATCTTCAATGTTTTACTTTATTTTTTGCTTTTTCATTTTTTTTTTGGTATAAATTATATGAAGTGACAACACTGACAACGTGACAACACCGCAAGCACCCGAACACGCGACGAGATATAAAGCATGCCTTGACCTTGACGTCATCAACTTGTGCCAATGTCGGGCCGGCCCAAATAAAAAGAGAGAAATTTTACCAGCATCGCATACGAGCGACAGAGATAACGCTACAATACACATTTTTATATGAGGTGAATAGCGAAAGACAAGTATAATTTGTGCCAGGCACATCATCAGTCGTAATTCGTTATCAAATGATATCGGCGGTGTTTTTGTTCGGTCGGTCGTTTCGTTATGATTACGTCTAGTGCTGATTTCGGTCTTTTTTTACCTGAAAAGTGAGAAATAACGTTTTTGTTTTAGTACGTCTAGTGTTAATGAACTGCTCTGTTTTGTGATCATATTTTTTACTGTTTTATTAAAACTAGTGAAAATGAATAAAATCGGGATATTAAAAAACTCATTTAGTGGTTTTTCGCTGGATCAAAAACTGCAAATTAAAGAATTAGGACGGCCAATACCCGATTTAAAAATTGAGAAACAAAGTGGTAGCGGACAAAAATCGCGCTGTCGCAAATTTAATAAAAATGTGTACGATAAAAACAGCTGGATATGTGGTTGTGAAGAAACGAATAAACTATTTTGTTTTGTATGTGTTCTATTTGGAGGTGACGAGACTTGGTCAAAAAAAGGTACAGATGATCTTATACATATATGGGATAAAATGAAGACCCACGAAAAATCTAAAGTCCATATGAATAATGTTTTTAGCTTTTCTATTCTTGGTAAATTAAATATAAGGACTCAACTCAATTCGGCTTATCGCAATGATCTAATTAAACATAATAATCAAGTGGATAAGAATCGATATGTATTGAATAAAATTATTAATTGTATAAGGTTTTGTGGAGTATTTGAGTTAGCCTTAAGGGGTCACGATGAAAAGGAAAATTCGGAAAACAGAGGCATATTTAAGGAGCTGGTGAATTTTAGCGCCGAATTAGACAACGAATTGAAAGTCCATATTCAAAGTGCCAAACTTTTCAAGGGTACCTCAAAAACAACTCAAAACGAGCTTCTTGAGTGCATGCTAGATGTTTATCATGAAGAAGTTAAGAAGGAGATTGCAAATTCTCCTTTTGTTGCAGTAATTGCCGATGAAACGACTGACGTAGCCTGTGAATTTCAGTTAGTTATTATTTTCAGATATTTGTGTAAAGGACAACCAGTTGAGAGATTTTGGAGATTTTACGTCCCCGGCGGACACGATGCCAAATCAATCGCTGCATGCGTTTTAAATGTTGTAAATCCATTAATAGATCAAAATCCAAACAAATTAATAGCTCAAAGCTATGATGGTGCGTCTGTTATGAGTGGTGAATTGAATGGCGTTCAAAAGATTATTAAGGAAACTTATCCACTTGCAAATTATGTTCATTGCTATGCACACCAGTTAAATCTAATTATGACAAGCGCATGCTCTGTCAATAAGCAGGCTAGAATATTTTTCCATAATTTATCTGGATTGTGCTCTTTTTTTTCGACGTCTCCTCAAAGAACAAAAATTTTGGATGAAATAGTTAATCGCAGATTGCCAAGATCTTCCCAAACACGTTGGAATTTTCAGTCACGAGGTGTTCATACAGTTTATGAAAATAGGAAAGACCTGATTGAAGTTATGGACAATATAGAAAGTACTTCACGCGATTCTTCGTCGATTAATCAAGCCAGTGGGTACAAATTAAAGCTGCAAGATACAAATTTTGTATTTTGGCTAAGTATATTCCATAAAATAATGCCACATGTTGAAATTGTCTTTAACCAATTACAAAAAGTATGCACCGATTCTGTTAAGGTCAAAAATGATTTAGAGAATTTTGAAGCAGCAATTCAAACTATACGAGAACAAATGGATAGCATTATTGACGAGATTGAACGAGTGCAGAGAGAAACTGATGAACCGGCAAGAAAAAAAAGGCAAGTTGAAGAAGGCAGCAAAAAACGGGAAGCGTTAGAAATATGCGATGCAGTATTATCGCAAATAAGAACAAGATTTAACTTTTCTGGGCATTTAGTTGCTTCTAATTTATTTGTGTCTGAAAAGTTTTCTGTTTATAAACATCAGTTTCCTGAAGCACATTTAAATGACACATGCACACAATTTTCATTTTTAGACAAAAACAGGCTTAAAACTGAGTTACAAGTATTATATCAGAGAGAAGAATTGAGTACTACTTCTGGAGCTGTTCCACTATCCATTTTATTGAACGAGGAAGGATTAAATTGTACGTTTCAAGAAACTCTTAAGCTCTTAAGTATTTTAATCACTATACCGATGTCAACATCTGAAGCAGAACGCTCTTTTTCAATGCTGAAACGGATTAAAACTTTCCTCAGAAACACAATGAAGGAAGAAAGGCTTAGTGCTTTAGGAATGCTGTCTGCAGAAAAACATTTTGTTAGTGGCATTGAAAATTTTAATAATAAGGTAATCGAAAACTTTGCTACCAAAAAAGAAAGAAGAATGGACTTCATGTATAGAAAACTTTGAAGTTATAGGTACTTCTCCACACTTGTTTTATAATTTGGTGCGCGTGTGTAAATAGTTTTATTTTTGATTTTTTTTTGGACATATAGATTTATTGAACCTCAAGAACTTTGACCACTAACTATCAGGGGTAAGTTATAAGTTATTCTTTACAATTTTGAATCGATTCAAAATTATGGCTTCCATTCTGGCACTACCTCACTGAATTGGCACGAGCCGCCACTGCCTATAGGTCTTCTGCTTGGAGTACTACGTCTCCTAGTATATAGTACCTGAGTCTAGCAATTGCAGGACATCTGCACAATACGTGCCTGACCGTTACATCTCCCTCCTTGCACAGTCCTCAGCGTCTTCCTCCATGCCCAGCCTGCTTATGTGGTGACGCAATTCGCAATCACTAGTGTACAGTCTTACTAGAGCTTTTTTTGTAGCAGAGTCTGTTACCTTCTTTGTCAAGATTGGTATAGTTGCCTTAACATGGGTTAACCCTGCTAATTCCTTCCAGTATTGATGGATGTTTCTACCAATCAATGCAGAGATTATTTGTTTAGTCGTATTGTTGTATCCCAATCGCTGGCTCAGGCCCTATGAAGGGTGTGCTAGCCCCACTCTT